CGTAGGGTACCCAATGAACGACGACGAAGGCGCCATAGCCAAGAAGCTATGGTCATTCGGATCCCCAGTGCTGGGAAATTGTGTGATGATGGAACTCTAACCTCTTTTGGGGCCAGAGAATTCCAACTTGGCTCCGAGATTCTTCGCTACAAGCGTCGTATAATGAAACTATCTAGGCCAACGGGGTTAACGCTGGCTGAGTGAGCATGTTTGCGCGCGAGTCCCGACGAAGTGGTCCTCTTTCGGCACGCCGCGATTCCGAGACCAAGGTAATAGACCAGAGGGAGGAATGTCGAAAGGGACGGGACGCTACGAACTAACGAGTGCACGGCTTCAGTGGAGGTCTGTGACATGGCAAAAGACGTTATCCTTTTGAGGATATTTTTTTCAAGGTGCACCCCTACCTGTCGTCCTAGACAGCTAGACTGGGGCTTCTGGGGCTGCTGGGGTTGGTCCTCGTTCGCGCTAGAGCTCGTTCAGGGACAGCTTGCGACCCGAGCGCGGTTAGGGCTAGTAAGATAGGGACTTTCGTAAATCTGTTGATCGTCATCCTCAGTTCGTCTGTTCTTTCAGCCTCTCCGACGGCCTTTATGTTGAAGTTGGCGCTAATATAGGTACATACAATAATATCTTCGCGAGCAGGCCAAACAAATCGTGGCCTGAAAGCCAAACAAGATATCACGGACTATCGCTACCATGCAATTTCTATAAACATCGGCACACCAAGGGACTTTGTTTCTGGTACACATGGCCCGATCCCTTGGAATCTGAGTCGCCAAAGTCCGATGGCTTGACCGCAAGAACCAAGTTGGCGCCTCTCGCCTAGCTAAGGAGGGCACGAAAGCCGCCATTCTCACGTAAGAGGTTTTCTCCATTTGGAACGGAAAGGAAGCATGAGCACCGAGACCATAGTTCGTATCAGGTTCGGGAATCTTCTTTCCCAGACTGCTGGGTCTCATTTCTCGTGGTCATCAGCACTATTCCTTGTACACTTTGCAGCTTCTACCACTCCAAACCACTCCCTCAAGGTCTGGAGCCGAACCGAGTTCCGATCGAGGCCTAGCTTGCCAGGGCTGAGCTCGAAGTCAGATTAAGTGTGTTGATGGTTGCCGGATCGATTGGTTAAGACGGAACGAATACCGCAAGTACTATCACCAGTTCGGCTAGGTCTTAAGTGGCGCCATCGAAAAAAAATATTTGGTCCTAGAAACGCTAGAAACACTATGGGGCTGTCTGTCCTTTTGGTAATGGACCTGGCTTAATTTTCTCCTGGGTGTGGTCGACAAGGTCGACGAGACCTTCAGTGGCGAGATTGTAGTACGTACATCGACTACCCGAGCAATAGTGCGTTCCAATGAGTCGGGTCGGCGACCAGATTGTGAAGACTATTGGGTGCAAAATTAATTAGTACACAAGTTAGTTAGACGCAAGCTGGAAGTTCCAGCTGCTTACTACAGAATTTACTAAACCACCTAAGGTATGTGCATAACAGAAAACTTCACTTAACGAGCTGAGCAGACATGAATATCTTTTCGAGAAGAATTAGATACCTAGTTTCGTCCGATTTTCTTGATGACTATCGATGGATATAAACAATGAGGGTCTTTTTTAGGGTCTCCGCCACTTGACTATCGCAGGGTTTCATATGCAGGAACCGACAGTCATAGAACCCTGGACAACCCAAGGCTTTACGAAAGGCGTCGAGTTCTTGTCAGCCTGTTCATCTTAATACATTCCCGGGTTTTAATCGTGACTTCGGTTTAGGCTTGGCTGGGTGAGATTTTGGTGTTCCTCAGAATTGGAGTACGTAGCGCTATGCAGGCTTCTTTGGGTGCCTTGCAGGTTGGCCTAATATCACTTAAGACAAGCCTAGAAGCGGAGGATTTTGATGACGTCTAAGGAATGAGGTATGATTCTAGCTGCTTACCGGCAGGAGAATGTAGTCACATGAACATTGTACTATACCATGTAGCACAGTCAAAAGTAGTATGAAACTATGAATCCATCGTCGCTCTTGACTCCCCCTACCCATGCTATCGGTCTTCTTACGCTGTACTGCGCATTCTTCGTGTTATCTCAACCACGCGAGAGTATTTCTAGGGGCCGTTAGGTGTCTCGGCATTGCGGCATGGTCAACATGGTTCATGGTAAAATCCCTTGCTTTTAATAAGAAACCCTAGAGATTTCTAGAGACTAGCGGGATCTTACTGAAGATAATGAACCAGGTGGTTTAGCAGCATACCTTACCTACACCATCGCGACCATGGATTGGTATCGTCACGAGACTAGGAAAGATTGGATCAAACCATACCTAGTAAGTTGTTGAGAGACAGCCAGGGCTGTTGACGATGCCTTCAACCCTCAGATCTACTGTCCTTCATACTAGTTTCGAACCCACTACGATTGTTACCTACTTGATCTTGCTTTACTTATCTCGGACATCGATCGTCCTAGCACCCTCAAGGATAAGCGTATCCTTAATAATATCAGTGCAAGGCATATATTTATATGATAACTAATCATATATTATTAATGATCACGGATTTCGTACTATGTGGGCTCGCTACCACTTATCTCCGTAACTGGCCGTTCCGAATTCTGAGCAAGGTCAGGCACTGCGGATAGTGCATTGTTCCTAGGACATTATTGATCTCATTATAGGCGAGCCAAACTCGAATTGTCATCGTCTAATATCAGGTTGTATTTGTCATAATTGTCCGCAACTACCATTTAATTCTGTACTAATAATTATCAGAACCACTGTATGTAGCAGATCGTACTATGTAAGAGTGCACGCGGCGCGAAAAGGCGGAATTGGCAACCCCAGACTTTTCCATTCCCTCCCCTTTCCCATACTAAGCCGCTTGATAGCCAGGAAAATATCCTTGTGCTTCGCATCGGGACTTTACCTAAACTAGAATGATATGCCCGGCCAATGTACCGGCCGAACCACAACTTTGCCCTTGCAAATCCCGGATTATGAACATTATTCACGGTATCACATTTCAAGGTTTTATTACAGATCGAGTTGAAGATCGTGAATGATTAAGGGGTATTTTTCGCAATTGTTCTAGTAAAGGGTCTGAGATCTACAGTATAACCTTGTTCCAGAATGACAAGATATCTTCTTCTTCAACTAGCACTGGCGCTTGTTATACGATACCGAAATACCCATGGCTATTAGCTATTGAGACTATCGCACTACTTTTCGACGCCAAGCGGGAATAAGCGGTTTTTTCATCATGCACCAATCTTACGCCCGTAAACCATCCCTAAAATCGTTAAGCCACAGAACGGGTCCAAATTTGACACTCTCGACAAGGGTTAAAATAGTTTCCTCGATGACGACCAACACTACACTGCCATATTAATCGATATCTTTGATAAGATCATCGTACTTGAGTCATGTACGCACGTGGGGCGCAATGCGAGCCTGAGAAGAGCCTCCCGAACCTCTCGAGTTACACAGTAACGATATTCGTGAGATGGTGAGATGGCAAATTCCGTATTATAAGCTTATTTACATGGCAATATATGTGCGTGTTTAATATAATTTAAGCCTCTGAACATCATATATGTATGCATAGAGTGCAGAGAGACACTGCTATGACATCGTCTGCATGTGCTGTATCAGTGCTTTACATACATATATACATGCATATCAGCCATATCATGCGAAGTTGGAACTTCTTGAGACACAAGCTATCGGATGTCCGATACGGTTTCGCCCGCACCTCGGCAGCCTCGTTTATGACGTTTATCTTTCATATGACGCGGGAATCATGCCGAAATGGAGTTATGGGAATAATAAAACGACTCGTGATAAAACTAAGCGAAATTCCGTAGAGTAAACTCCGAGACTTATCGTATGTTCCATCGTCGCTTGGGCTGTATTACCCCTTATTCGCCTCCATATGTGAATATTGTGAATATGTAGATACCTAGGTACATATATACATGTATGTATATATGTACGTATTCACATCTTAAAAGTGTATTTTGCTTTATGAATAATATGATCCAAAGTTATACGCGTATTAACTAAAACCCCGCATTCTTCAAGCTTGGCATATGCACGTACCTGTAAGTGAGATTTCTTTGTCAGTTTTGGGCAATCCGCTGTCAAATCTCGATTTTACTTTTTTTTTTCTTCCTCTCGAATCCTCAATTTGCAAGGATAAGGATTCCCAACCCTGCACCAACCATGGAAAAAGTCGTCGTCAGCCGCATCAAAGTATTGATAGGCCTAAGATGTACGCAGTACGCAGTACATTGGTACCTTTCCAATCTCATCCATGGGTGAATCACGACTCGACTTGCGAGATACGCCCACACCTCGACCAATAATGGATCGAGCCCTTGGCGATAGGCGAAACTTGGTCTGCCAGAGCTGCCACTATCTGCCACTACCTGCCATGGCGATCATACAACCATCGGAGCTACGGGATTGTTTCAATCCTGTGAGAGCTTCGAATTGGATTAATGAATAAGTGGCCTCTCCATGGCCTCTCCATGGCACGAAGTCAACAAAAGCAACCGACTGCATCCCTAGCGGGCTTGTGGTACCCTTCTTATTGGTGACCTCGTTTTATCCATCCCAAGTCACCGGCAGCAGCCTTCTTTAGGTCGTCTAGTTGCGTAGTAATATGCAAAAGTTCGTTAAATCGTTCAGGTAAGGCAGACGGCGTTGGTTCTATCCAAGGCCAGACCTAATAGTCAAAACGAACGGGAGCCTGGAGAGCCTGCTTGGAAGACGACATGTCATGTTATACAACGGCAGTGTCCAACTAGGGCCAAACGCTTCTACTGTAGGTCCGCACACACACTACAGGCGCTGAATCTTGCCTTTGGCTTGGGTCACACGGCACACAGCAGTGTTACCCAATACGCTGAATTCGCTGAATTACCTATACGCTGAACTCAAGTATCCTGCCGCGTAAATTACAATACACTGCCTTGCTGCACGCAATCTCGGCCGGAATACCGGTCATCGGCTATTCTGTAACAATCGTTTCCCAGCTGCCTGCGTCTCGTAAAAGTTTTCATAGATGTTGCCACTGCTATGCCAGCCCTAGCGTCGTGCACGATGCATCGGATCAAAGGATAATACCTAGTACGTTGAGAGCGTAAACTAGCAAGACCGGCGTAAGTGTGACGAGGCAAAACATGCCGTCTGCGATGGTGATCTATCTAACGCCTTGTTTTACAGTTATTAAGTGAGAATGGCAACATGGAATTTCTTATGCATCATGCTCTGCAACATTCCAAGGTGTTTACGTAAGGCGTTTAAACTGTCTCTTACCTACATTGGATTTGTTCCTATTTCGTTCCTGTGCAGCATCGTGATGCTGCGAGGCCGTTCCCCTGTTGTTCGAGACCCGGCGAGAACTCTCCCCAGCCACAGGACAGCAAGGGCACAGAGCTCTATAGCAGCTATGAATATGGACGGCTAGACGCAGGACCAAAATGTCATGCATGTCTCTGATACTGAGCTAGCAGAAGTATGCTTTTCTCGCTCAGGCACGCGAATTCCACGTTCTCCAAAATGGAGAACTGCTGGGCGCTCCTTGAGGATCTATCACGACATATCCGCCACTAGTGGCAACGATGCTCACTCAACTTTACGTCAACTTGGCGTTATTTCCAGCGTGGCAGCGTGGCTGCGACGCCGTATCGTAAGGTCACGGCATGTTTCTTATTAACGACACCCCATTCCTCGTTTAAGGCATAAGTAAGCTAATGTGGCTTACCGTAGCATAGAAGGATCCCACCCTGCCCTCTCATTGGCCTCCCCGCGCCGACGCAGCGGTTCTTATTTTCCCATCACATTCGTGGCTGCATCGTGAAGCTTGGGGGGAAAAGGCTATGATGTTTACTGATTTTTGCTTATCGTCGCCAGGATTGCGAAAAGACGATCCTGAGACGTTAGCGTCACACATTACCGTTTACTGGGTCCCTTGCCTCTGTGGCTAGCTACTAGACTGCTAGAGGACTGAAAGGGCGGGCGATGGCTTGAGATCCCTGGCGTAGACATGCCAAACTCTTCACATATTGACGTTAGTGCTGATGTTTTTTTACTCCAGGACTTCGAAGCCACTGTTGAGCACATCTAGGATCGAAGCCCTATGATCGACCCAGGGAGGGAACGCCCATTACCTCGTTCGTCCCACCTGGCTGGCACACGGGAAATTTACTCGCGTTATTATTCCCAATCCATCGGATAGGAGTTGGTTTCCGACCGAAGGATCTCCCACCAGCAGGCAATTGTGCTTACCACGAGAAGGGGTAGCGACAGCTAGGACGTACATAGCAAGCCGTGGCAGCGTGGGAAAAATGTCCGTAACTTAGTCCCTGCCCTAGGCACGCAGGCACGGAACCGTGCTGCCGAAAACAAAAGTAAGATGAACACACTTGGTTCACGTATGGTTCGGGAATAGTAAACTCTCCATGGTGAACCGGTTGAGAACTGCTGTACTGTACTGTACTGTATCGTACGAAGGTGGCTTTGCCACTCTTGTTTCTGTAGCACGTTGGTTTTTCTTTTTCGGGACAGCTAAGCGTATTATGCGTGTAAAGAAGGAATCAGGTACCTATTTACGCAATTAACAGTGAGTAAGATATCCCTTCGGCGCCTAAGAGGTATGTAAGTACAGAATGCTGCCCGTCCCGATGGCTTTCGAGGATCTCCAATTGGCGCTCACTGTGCCGAAGGATCACAATAAATCAGACCACGTCCAAGATCTTGGGCGTTCCAATTGAAGGACCCCTAGAACTCCTTAAGGAACAGAACCCAACAGAGCGGGATGGATTGGAGCAACACTATGCGAACCAGGTTTATACAACACAATGCCAATGACAATGCCAATGCCAATCCGTCCTCCTGGTCGGAGCAACGGACGGGATCGTGACAGCCCCCAACGTATCTAGCTCCGGATTCTTTGTTACTTAATGACGGCACCTGACTTTGTGCACCCTACCCAGCATAGACTCAGGGATTTAAGGGATCTCAGGGATAGAGGGATAGGATGAGATAGTAACCCCCTTTTGCATAAGGTTGTGTGGCAGCACATTGCCTCACTTCGATAATCCCCTACACGGCCTGCACGGGTAAATGAAGATTGTGCGACGCCGGTAAATCAGCGTCTTCCATCGCAGAGGAGCGCGAAGCAGCAACCCGGATCGCGATTAGGGTCCGTCTCACTCGCCAAATAGATCCTCGATTTCATCTACGCTGGCCACTCTTGGCAGCCCTGGCCGGAGCCGTTTTGAGTGGCCGGTAAGAAATCGCATACATATTATATGCTATGCTATGCTATACGCACGGCAGATATTAAATGTGGTGTTAGCATCGCATCGCCGTCGCCCAACGCTCCTTTGCGTAGCCTTGTTAGGCGTCAGCAGTCATGAGACTTTCCGCACATGCACCTTGCCGTCCTGCTTGTCTATCTCGTAGCGCTTGCGTCCGAGATCGCAGAGCCCTGCAATACCACCCTCGTCTTACTTGGAGGTCATCACCCTACTGCCACCGTACTTCTTGTTGCTGTTATGCTCCGAACCTCCCTTCGACAACCCGTTCGTCGCGAAGTCTTGAACTTTTTTTTTAATCTAGATCGCCTGCTCGTCGCCCGCGCTGAAACGTCGAATGTTGATCGCCTTCGAATCGGCAGATACGAGCGTTGCGGATGCATTCGGTGTGCACGACGCGCAATGCCCTTTTCTTCTTTTTTCGCCGTTCGCCGGGATCCTATTCTCGGTTTCCCATAGACGTCGATATCGAATATCGAATATCGATATCACGGTCTTGTAATGATACGATCCGTTATTGCATGTTGAATGTTTCGGCTACGGGAAGCGTCCTTGTTTTCGAGAAGATGCCTCCGTTCCGGTGAGCATGACGATCGTAAAGCATGACACCTCTAGGTACTAAATTCTCACACCAGCGACAACTTCCTAACGCGGTAATCCCGTCATTTCAATCATCGTGGACATCACCTTCCTTGACCGATGACCCGCTATAGACGGGGTTATAGTGGGCAATTGCTGATGAATACCTTCAACGTCTTACCGCTTTACCGCGAGAGATGAGTAGTGATGTGCTTTAGCCTGAACGGACGTAGGGCGGACTTTGGGATCGTGTCATGGTAGAGTGAAGCCGGTTTTGCCAAGACGACAATTGACTTAAAGTCTTAGTGTGAAGTTGGGCAGTAAGATGAATAGGTAGGTATGTTTGAAGTTCGCAACAGTTAACATGGATAAGATGGAATAGGTAAGCCGTTCGGATACAATGTTAGTTTTGCCTAGGTATCTCCAACGGCACTCGTAAACAGGTATACGTTCCCCACGACAGCGAGAGGTCATCACTATCTTAGTTAGGAAAACTCTCGCGTGCATCAAAACGGTCTCGCCATAAGACATATCATCTTCTAACAATTATTCCCGAATACGTATACTCGGGGTAGGATATATATCCAGGATCATCTTTGATGCATTGGCTTGCTAGAGTAAGAAAATAAGGAATGAATATGGGCTTTGTTCTAGACCAACGTGCTGTAGCGGTGTCAAAGCAATATCTTATTCTCGTGTCTTATGTAGGTACGTTTTGTGATTTCTACGGCTGTTCAATGGCGTGGCATATAGTAAGCAGTGGCTTGCAGGACAATGAATTCTTTAGTAAGTATGATCTCCTTGCTTCGATGAACAATAGGTAACCGCTACGAAGGTTATACTGCGCGTGCTTCTCTTTTGTTGCATTGTGAGGATGCCTCGTATAATGTTTCTGCGAGCTCCGTCGTATGCGGAAGCTCGATCGAACGGACACATGGGGGGATCGACGTCTCTATGGATGGAGGGATGTCCATTGCTTTGGACACGCTAGAAACTCGATCTATATCGTTTGACTGTGGATGCTGGCCACCTTATATTCGACAATATCATAGTCAAACTAGACCATGGGCGGCTAGAATGAGTACTGTGAGGATCTAGTAGAACCGAAAGATTTTCCATGAAATATCTGGAGAGATGGATGCTTCCTGAGCTTTTCTTGGAATAGTATCAGCATTGAAGCTATCGTGAACCTCATCGATATTCATTAATAAGCACCCTAGTCGGTGGGTCTTCTGAGAGCGACCGTTTTCCTTCATTGATTTTCTGATTTTAACCCTTGCATCCTTAAATTGATAAGTTCGACATAATGGTTTCGATGCTAATTAGTACTTGGCCTCTGTAAAGAAAGAGAGTTGAAGCTATTTAGGTTTCCGTAGAAGTAGCGTTTGTGTGGTAAATGTGTGTAACGATACTTTGGTACCTTGATGACGTTGAATTAGAGTGTCTACTTGGGTACAAATATATGCACAGACCAGGTGCATTGAGTGTGGATCGGTAAATACGGCGAAACAGCTTTTCCACTTCCCGCGGGGAGCTCCAAAATTTCTAGGTGGACAAGCACAATTTCGAGATCGGGATACAAGCTTCGCGACGTGACAACTCAACCAGATCTTGTCGTTTAGTCGCTTCGTTGTTTGTACAAGGTCATCATCTGTACCTTTACACCGATCTAATTCAAATACCCCAAAACAACTAGAAATTACGCTGGCACACGTCTTTCAACATGCAGGCTCCCGTTTTGGTTATGAGTGAGCCCCTCCATAATCCTTGAGCTTGCCTAGCTTCAATATACCCAGAGATAGCTGACCACAAATAATAGACACCCAAAGCGGTGAAAGGCAAACTGGCCGAAAAGCTCAGTTGTCTAACATCGCTGCCGCGAAGACGTATGACTTCTCCCCTTTACCACCCGTGCCTTGCTTTCCCCGCTAAACCCAAATTCCAGCGTCTCCGACATTATTCGATCATGTCTTGGCCCCAAGGCTATGTTAAAGATGTTGCTGGATCCTATGGGCGGTATCGTCTTGACGAACGACGGCCATGCTATCCTACGAGAAATCGAAGTATCGCACCCCGCTGCAAAGAGCATGATCGAGCTTAGCAGAACACAAGACGAGGAAGTAGGTGATGGCACAACAACCGTCATCATCATGGGTTAGTAGTCTACCATCTTATAGTTTAGACATATTTTGCATGGACTAGGTACTAATTATATAATAGCCGGTGAGATTCTAGCATATGCCCTCCCGCAACTAGAACGAAACATACATCCGGTCGTTATCATTTCCGCCTTCAAGCGTGCGCTTAAGGATGCCCTAGAGATCATCGACGAGATATCCCTGCCTATAGATATTAACGACGACAAGGCCATGTTTGGCCTCATCTCCTCTTCTATCGGTACAAAATTCGTTTCCAGATGGACAGACCTAATGTGCAGCTTAGCTCTTAATGCTGTCCGAACAGTCACCTGGGAGGCTGGAAACGGTAAGAAAGAAGTCGACATCAAGCGATATGCGCGTGTGGAGAAGGTCCCTGGTGGTGAGATTGAGGACAGCAAAGTCTTAGATGGTGTCATGCTCAACAAGGACATTACCCACCCGAAAATGCGACGGAAGATCGAGAACCCGAGAATCATCCTCTTAGATTGTCCGCTGGAGTATAAGAAGGGAGAATCTCAAACAAACATCGAGATCACAAAAGAGGATGACTGGAACCGTATCCTACAGATCGAAGAAGAGCAAGTTAAGGCTATGTGTGAGGCAATCTTGGCTTTCAAGCCTGATTTAGTCATTACTGAAAAGGGTGTTTCGGATCTCGCACAGCACTACTTCGTCAAGGCAAATGTTACCGCCCTACGCAGAGTTCGAAAGACCGACAACAACAGAATAGCTCGTGCAACTGGTGCAACTATCGTAAACCGGGTGGATGATCTCCAGGAATCTGATATTGGAACCCAGTGCGGTTTGTTCGAGATCGAGAAGATTGGTGACGAGTACTTCACCTTCCTTACCCAGTGCAAGACACCCAAGGCTTGCACAATCCTACTCCGTGGACCTTCCAAGGATATCCTAAACGAGATTGAGCGAAATCTCCAAGACGCTATGGGAGTAGCTCGCAACGTTATGTTCCACCCTAGATTATCGCCGGGTGGTGGAGCTACTGAGATGGCAGTCTCCGTACGATTAAACCAACTGGCGAGGAACATCGAAGGTGTGCAACAATGGCCATACAAGGCCGTTGCCGACGCCCTAGAAGTTATTCCTCGAACTTTAGTACAGAATGCTGGTGCTAGTCCAGTAAGAGTTCTCACTGAACTCCGCGCCAAACAAGCAGAGGGTAAGAGTTCATGGGGTATTAACGGAGATACTGGAACGATCGTGGATATGCAGGAGTACGGCATCTGGGAGCCCGAGGCGATCAAGCTTCAGAGTATCAAGACCGCCATCGAGGTAAGATTCTACGATTATTCCACGATTATGCATAAGTACTAACATTATCATAGGCTGCCTGCCTGTTATTGAGAGTTGATGACATCTGCAGCGCCAAGAAAGCACAGCAAGCCGGAGCTCCGGGACTAGGTGGCGGGGATGACTAAAGAAAAAAAGAAAAATAATTGATGAAGATGCTAAGCAAGCCCATTACACGTGGAATACTTTGAGGACATACCCCTGTACCATCAAGTGGTCTAAAATTCATGAGATAGATGGAATAGATGGCTTTGCTACCACATTGACTTAGTCATGACTTTTGTGGCACCTTATTCAGGATTGCTCTTGTTTGGTAGTACAAGATTGGTTTGCCGTAGGTGTGTTGTGTGTCCTAGAATATATGATTCAGGAGCAGGTTCCTTCGGAAATACTGTGCATCAGCCGACAGAACATTCGAAAGGGGCTATATAAGGAGAATCCCATAAATCACCGTTTTGGAAGCCGAATATTGTATCTGCTACTAGCTTACGGGTCCATACGGGTTTCGGGAAAGTATCTAAACGTGTCCTCTACCTCTCAGATTCTCGCAAGGTCTAACGCGTCATTAGAGATTCACTTCCTTCATGACCTGGAGAGTCCTCCAATAGTCCAGGAAAGGGAACGAGATCCCGTGACTCAGAAACAAACCCCATCACAGAAAAGAAGCCAATTATCATCTGAAAACCAATTATAGAATCTATTATACGAACAAAACATTTTGCTCACTTGCAAACCTTGGGGGTTTACTTCGTTGATACGCGTGTAGGTATAAAAGCCTATCGGAGTCACATTCAAGCGTTGAAGATATCTACTCCTAGACATAATGCTGGTATGATGCCATTACATCTTATATATATGATACTCGTTTGAAATTATTTTGTGCTGGTACATTCATAGATGTATGTACAGCTTGGGGCTTCTCATCTTATCTACTAGGTAATTATATCCACAGTGGGTTGGTAGGAATGATTGTGGAAGGCGGTAGACGGCGTGTGTCATGATACACTCACTACTTGGGCAACTACCTACTCTCAATTATGGTTGACTCGACCGCACTTTCCTTCAGATTGATAAACCAAAATACTTGCCATGTTTTCTGCCCACCGCCTTCCCTAGCAGCTAAGACTGAACATATCTTTCTACTTGTACACTCATCTTCCTTTCTATTTTTTCTTCCTCCTTCATACACACAAAATCTTCGTACAACTCAGTAGTAGCAAGAACAACAAATACTTTGCGCATCACAACATTCATACTACTACCACTTTTACAAAGATTTTATTTTACTTCTACCTTCACCCTACCTTTATTCTACTCTTACTCGACACCTTTACCCTATCTTACTCGACCCTCGCTCTACCTTCAAGGTTTATTCTACCTTTACTTCATCATACTTTTATTTGACCTTTACTCAACTTTCACTCAACCTCTTCATACTACCTCCATTCTACCTTCACCCTACCCTCCTCGATTTCTACTCCACTTTTACTCTACCTTCATACACTATATCATCATCTTCATACCCCTTTAGTTCTTTTATTCGATTGCATCCTGCACCTATTGCCACCATGCCTGTCTTGACTAGAAAGCGTAAGGCTGAGCTTGAGGCTGCAGAGAGAGTACCAGAACAACCGTCACCGGAAACTGAGCATGCAGCGGAGGAACATCTCTCTAAACGCCAGAAGCGTGATGATCCCTTCAAAAGAATAGACCCATTCCGCCCTCTTGTATGTATTCTCCCTTTCCTTGCTCCTCTTACAATGATTTTTCATGGTCTTGAGCGCTCTTCTTCAAGCCCACCCAAATCTTCGATTTGAAACATATTTGCGCCCTCAGAAATTATCAAATACTAATTTCTGTTGTTGCAGTCACCTCGCCCCAAGACAGTGTTGCGCCGACGCGACCAGATGAAGCTTTTCATGTTGAAGAAAAAGCCTTTCAAGCCGCAGCGTCCACTGCCTACCGTATTCTTCACCGTGCCAGAAGCTGACCCGGCCCGACAAATCTCGGCTAAGAGCCGAAGTACCAATGATGTAGACACCATCATAGCTACCAAGTCTCTCTTTGAACACGTAGAGTGAGTTTACATCTTCGCCTCCTTTGAACACAAATATGCAGCGAAATATATACTAACGAAGTGGTTTAGTAAATATGGCGTCGAAGCGATGCCGAGCCGAGAGACTCTTGAGAGCTGGCTCAGAGAGAATAAGGATGAGTTCATCCAAGCCAGGGAGAAGCGAGCTCGGCAACAACCCACCCCTACTCGCCGCATCCAGGCGGAAGGCCAGGTCATAGGCCCCATTAGACCCGAACTAGAAACTCCAGCTGCCCATCATCCAGCTGCGAGACCTCCTACAAACCAACCTGTGGCTCCGGTAGCCAACGGCGGAATAGTTCGAAGAGTGATTCGCCGTGCTCGTCGCACTGTTAATCGCCTCTTAAACAGAGCTGTGGCTGTCCTGGACGAGACTTTACCTGCAGAGACGGTTCTCGTGAGACATATACATGAAGATCATCAAGTGTGCCCCGGTCACCCACTACAACTCGTCCAGCTCGCCCGTATGGGTATAGAGCCTGAGCATGTTAGACCGATAGCACCCCCTCTAGACCCTCGCTTCTTCCACCCGAACGGACAATTGCATTCCGTCTACAAGTATCTCACCGCTCAGATTCCCCTCCCGCGACAGTGGACGAGATGGGCCTTGAACAACGGTATCACGGACGTCCCCGGACGAGGAAATATTGGCGACCATGGAACGTATGTCGCTGACGACACTTTTGACTATGACGCGTTATACCAAGCCATTCACCGTGGCCACTTCAGGACAGGGCGGATAGAGATCGATTCCCACACAGACCATTGGCCGGGGGTCGAAGGACGGAAAGATGATGTGGTCGTGGATCTCGAGTTGGATGAGTTCCGTGCACCGAAGGAGGAGGAGGAGGAGGAGGAGAAATACAGCCATCAGTTAAGGAAGGAGCAGGGTGCGCCGCCGTCGCCGTCATCGCACATGTTACCTCATGGATCACCAGGTCCGCCTCCCTCTTGCTCCACGTATCGTCTCCCAGACAGCTTCTCCGACACGACGGATTGCTCTACGACACAGGCGGATTGATCCACGACACGGGCGACGGTTTCAGACCCCGAGGGCGATGATCGCTAGACAGGCTACAACGAACGAGATTTGTCGGGCAATTCATCGCGTTATAGTAATATATCCTACCTACTCCGATTGCGCCTGTTCACCTCAAGTCTAGGACGGCGGCATAGGCTATCCCGAGTAAAGCCTTTGTAGCCGTCCGTGGTGCCTCTGTCCCCATTAACATATGGGGTTTTATAAGATACGGCAAATAATTGCCAAACGCGAACTTAATGTTTGCGCTACGGGATACGGGAGACCCTCAGGTGGCAAGGGGGTAAGTGCCATACATGTCGCCAAAAAAAAGGTGGTAGTTAATATGAAAATACGATTGCCGGGCTTGAGGTATGGCTGGATAAAACAAGGAGGGCACTTTTTCCCCCTTCTAGGAAACCATCCAGATTCCGAGTATATGGAGGAAGGAAAGGATGTACAATAATGGGAAATAAATTAGTCCATAATGGGGCTATTCCATGGCATTGGCCTAGGAGTTGTATACCCGGCTGCCTAACTTATACGTTAGAGACATATATATACTTATTCTACACCTATACAAAATGTCATTAAATGATATTGTTTGGAGGATGATGAAAGAACCCCATCAATGTGAGCACGGGCAAGGCCTTAGGTGAAGGTGACGGGCACTTGAATTAGAGGCTTGAGTCGAAATATTATATATACCAATTAACTCGATTTTTCCCTCGTGGATTTCCTTTTTTTCTTCTTTTTTCTTTACCAATAAATAATACAAAAGAAGGTTGCTACCGCAACAATAGATATTGCGCTATTGATAATCGTCATTATCCAAGACGACTGAGACCTTATAGTCTAATCTTCGCAACCGCTCCTGTTGTCGATGGCTTCGCCAGTTGGTGCCGAAGATAGCATCCAATCCTGGTCCGGAATCGTAATAAAGGAAAGAATCTAGTAGATTCCCATGGATTTGAACTTCTTCAGATGACGTGTACACAGCCTCCTGCAATGCGATTGAGGCGTGGTGGCTGATGAGATAACGGAAGTCACGTGGATTGTTGTGGGCAATTCTCGAAGTTTCAAGCTTGCTGTGGGCAATCGTTTTTCGTTGCTATTCATAAAATACGTACAAGTTCCGAAGCCGTGGAAAATCACCCATCCAAGTAGAACTAGTATGACAGCACCGACGAGTTACGACGATGGCGCCCTGGCTAGAAACCTCTAGTATGCTAGCAAGAGGATGGAAGATATCGAAGGATGTTGTCCCAGAAATACGTATACGCATAGAGGCCCAGGTGGATTGACACTTGGAAACGAGTTCAACGGCACCAACTTGTTCCCAGCTTACGTTGACGATGGCCACCCCTTCAGAAGCTTGTGGTATGCAAGCGAGAGACTCCTGGAGCAAGATTATAAACGTATAGAAGGTAATTAGATAATCGAGAATGATTATAATGAGAAGGAGAGTGATGTGGATACCTGAACAACAATAAGGCTGGATATCTACTCATAAGACCTTTTACCTTTCTTAGAATAATACACATACAAGTTCACCCCTCAGCTTAGAAGATAGCCTTGCATCCAAAGTGCTATAGGTGATACGTACGTATAAAGAAGCACGAATAATACCTAGTAGATATCGAGATATCAGCTCCATTGTAGACAAAACACACCCACACAACAAAGACTCACAAAGTGCATACCTCCTCCGCCCCTCTCTCATATTTCCTAAGAATTAATACCCAAACCCAAACCCCCTCCGTTCCCACCCCTATCTAACCGCTCCACCATCCCTTCCAAACGGCCTCCCCACAAGCCTAACACCCACAACCCCATCCCCCTCAAACCCATCAACCCACGCCTCGCCGCTCACCAGTCCCGCGTCGCGGATATGCGCGCGTAGGACATCGCGATCGCGGTCTTTCTTAGAACCTTTACTAACCCCATTTCCCCTATTCCTACTCCTACTCCTACTCCTACTCCGTCGCTGTTGCTGCCGTTCTTGCGGGTTCCGCTGCACCACTTTCTTACCGACATGATCCGTATTGGTTATATGGCGAGCAGCGCTAAAGTCATACCTAAACCGCTTGCCACGCTTATATCTCGGGTCGTCCCGCAGCCGCGCTAGCTCGGCGACGATGTATGTCGGGGCTAGGTGCGCGACGTGGTTGATGTGGAATCTGTGCTGTGGTGCTAGCGGGGATGGTTTTCTTTGTGAGGGGTTGGGTGTTTGGGGGGTGCTGTTGTTGCTACTAGAGATTGGGGGGATTTCGGCTTCGATATCGGGATCGGTGTTTTTGAAGGGGTAGGTGGAGGGGTTGCTTTTGGATGTTTTCCTTGGTGGTTTTGGATGCTCGGGATTGAGTTTATCGGTTATTGGAGCAGGAGTAGCTTCTTCATCTTGTTCCTGTCCTTGTTCCGCTGGGCTATTATGACTTTCGGTATCTTCTTGGAGATATTCGTCCAAGTGGTCTTGGTGGAAGATGATGGCTTTCTTGACGACGTCTAACTGCGCCCGTTCTTCCCTATCCGAGGGATACAGGACTGCTCCCGCGCGGCTCGGCGGATTGCGTGTCCCCTTTCGTATCCCGCTCTCCCTAGACCGGAGGGCCTGTGTGATGCCCGTCGCCCTTTGGGTTGTCCTAGTTGTCTTGATATTGAGCTTCCGACCACGGTTACGAGCGGCTATTCTCGCTTCAATGAACCACTCCTTATTTTCCTCTAGCCATGAGGCAAAAATGTCCCGAGGAGGTACTGCGTCAGGCCCATAGCGGTCTCGATGTTCTATAAGTTGTTCCAACGCTATTGTTAAAGTCTGATGAGATGAGGACTTTCGCCGAACAGTTCTCTGCTCCGTAGGTTCATCCTCTATCGGGGTAGGGTTAACGAGAGATGATCTTCTCTCATTGAATAAGTAACTTGGTCTATGATGAGACATGGTTTAGTGAAGATAAGAGAAAGTAAGGATGGTTGGATACTAGACGAGGTAAGGTAAGTACTGATGATGCTGATAAATATCTATTTATAGTTCTGTGAATTCTCAAAGGGCAGAAACACACTTAGTGAACCGTAGCTTTATGTTAACATTTCGAGAAGAAACAGATATGGCTTCATAAAAGAAATAGACCAACAGATGAAGAGTTACTCTTAGTCGTATACATGAAATCTCTCAATATGCTTCATTGAAAATCATTCATTTCGTCCATCCAGCATACCTAAAATTATCTCAAGACCTCATATTTTCCAGTCTATTCATATGCGCTAATCATAAAGGGTATCTCCAATATGTGAGAAAGAGGTAACATACATTGAAACCAACCAGACTCCGCCCTAGTAGACACTGCCTCTGATGCTCTTATCCTCGCGCTCGGCCTTGTCGATATCTTCCGCCTCATCGCCTCCATCGGATCCTTGGTCGGAGTTGTTCGGCGCATCACCAAGCTTATTAGCGTGCGCGTGTCGTGTAACCGATGGATCTCTGCCATTAAGCAACGACCTCTCACCGTTTCTAACTCGCGCGACTTTAGCAGCAAGACGTTCGCGGGCATCGTTTTCCGAGAATTCCTCCTCGCTAGCGTGCCCCGATAACGTGCCGCCGAAGTCGCGCCCAGTATGTAAAAACATCGACTTCTGTGGAGTCTTGAGCGCGTTTCGAAGCCTGTCTTCGATTGTGATATATGAAGGTGTTCCATCTGGGGAAGAAACAACCTCTTCCTGGGCCTTAATGACGTCGATGTGAGGTGCGGCTCTACCGCGAGGATCATCTGAATCGTCATCAGAGTTGTTGGGTCCTTGAACCCTCTTAGCCGGAGTACGACGACTCGCTATAGTGCCATTAACCTCAGGAACAGCATGGGCAAAACCGTTCTTCGCGCTGTCCTCGTCATGCTGCCGTAGCTCTGCTAGGTCGCGTCGTATCTTGAAATCCTTTCCATGGTTACAACCTTGAGGGCAGCCGCCCCAACGGCGTGGTGCAATCGGATGGCTGTTCTGCCTCTCTATCTTGCTTAATTCCTTCTTCCTCCCGGTATCAGTTAGTTCCTTTTCCTCTTTTGCCTTTTGGGCTTCTCTCTCACGGCGTAGTTCGGACCACGTCCTAAGCTTATTTTCCAAGTCATATTTGCCGCTGTCTAATTGCTTCTTCATGATAAGAAATTCGCAATGGTTGACATTGCGTAGATCCTCGAAGTATTCGACAGAGAAGTGATACCACTTCATTAGGAAGACACGGGACATAAGACCATGGGTTACTAATATAATGCTAGTGTTAGAGAAGGAATGACTCGCGTTATGGTTAAAAATAGTATGAGGGGATATATGGGGTTATTACGCACCTAAAACGCAGACGCTGGGGAAATCATCTTCTCCGAACTGACGCCATAGACTCTCGTTGAATCCCGATACACGGTCATAAGCGTCGGCAGCGCTCTCGCCGTTGGGAATACGATAGAAGAAGTGTCCATAATCAGCACGCTCTTGCCACATGCGTTCCATTTCGGCACTGCATGGTTGGAAGTTTCCAAAATCTTGTTCTCTCAACCGCGGCTCCTCGTACACCTTCATGTTCCTACGCTTGAAAGGTGAGGGATCAGGATCATCGGATGTTAGAGTTTCTAGAATCCCTTCGGTTGTCTCTCTCGTTCGTCGGTACGGCGAGGTATAAAATTGGAGGGTGTCGTCTGGTCGAAGCAAGGCTCGTAGCTTGAGACCAGCTTCACGAGCTTGCTGCCATCCTTCCTGGGTCAACTTGACTCTGTGATCAGGGATGGTTTGGTGAATCTCGCGGTTCTCTGTTATTCAGATATGTAAGTCTTCGGATTTGAATCTTCGGAGAAAAGTTGGTAGACGACGTACTATTGCCCTCAGACTGAGCATGTCTGATCAGTATTATAAGCCTTGGACGACCCATGATTAAAGCCCTAGCTAGATCTTAGAGATCTTTCCCTACAAAGCGCCTACGATGGCGCAATATTCTAGAGAGCGAGGCAAGATGAGTTTCGTTAGATTAGATGCTAACGAGGTTCGGGGGAGTTCGAATTTCGAGTTCGAGTTCGAGTTCGAGTTTCGAGAACTTGTCGATATTGACCGAGTTAAAAGCACCTGGAATGTTCTAAAAGTTATCGAGGTAATGTGGCAAGCTTGAGCAAGTGACTCGATCGAGTACGTCAGAAGACTGTGGGGTACGGTTAGGTAAAATGCTAGACAGAAGAGCGATTCCAAATCATGAATAGATAGGCACTCTCGTATTTAAAGTACTTTTAAATTATATGTCTCTTCTAGGTGAGTTATAAAGTGAAATAAAGTGATATAAAGTGCGGCAACACGTTGCAGACGCTGTGTTGTACAAACGACTTTCAGATGGTATATGTATTGGAAAGTATTGGGAAGTATTGGAGAGTATTGAATTGTATTGGATGTTACGATTTTACCGGATTACAAAAATGGTGATTCTTGGAAGTAGGGGGGGCAGCTGCTAACTAGGATGTTTTATCGCTGCAACTATGTTGGGCTTCTTGTTTCACTCCTGCCAACCAATTTGTTTTTGCTGTGCCGAATTGTCGGGGTCTCCCTGCTAGCCATGCGTCAAGGAAGCCTAAAACGCTCAGTCGTCTGTAAATGCTCCTCTCTGATTGGCCCCAAACAAGTTTCCCATCTGGCCGACCCCCTCCAACCGATTTCGGCTCCAGCGTTGGGCTGCACTTGGATCTGCCTTCTAGCGCAACGCTGCAGGGACGACCCGGGGTCTTCTAAGGTTATTACTCCCTACAGCCTACTGCTGTAGCCTGTACCTCTGTACTACGCAGCAATCGCAGCATGATACAATACAGTATGTACATCCGGTGAAATGTGGCGTTCCAATCCCGCTGTCCCGTTCAATCATCCAACCCACTTTTATTTTCTCTGACAGCCTCATCAGCATCGTCATCATAATCATCCCAACTCTTCTCATTTGCAGCCTTGCATCGAAGATACAAGTCGCACAAATTTTCGCGACGGCTTACAATCAATAAGGGACCGACGCATCTATTCCTTCGCGCAATCCGACCCCATCGCGCGCTTCTAGAAGCATCCAAGATCATCCTTTTCCGAACCACTCGCTCTCACCATCACGAAAAAGGCCATCGTGTCACGCCACCAACATACGACCACGTACTTCGAATCGCGAGAGCCTCCCCCAACATCCCAACTCCCGACGCAGAAACAACGACTCATCAACGACCTCGCTACCACCCGTGCGGGTAGGTGAACGGAAACGAAAGGAAAGGAAGGAGAAAAGGGGGTTGGCGCCGACTCCACAGCTCAGCTCAGCTGTCATCCGGTCTGTCTAGGCAGGGAAATAGATCCGCCTCTTAGCCTACTCCTACCTCATAGAGCTTCGAACTGCAGCCTTACTACGCACCCATCATCCCACCATGTCCGGCGAAGGCCCCGAAAGCATCCCCACATCCGCGGACCCGCGCTCCAAGCGGCCGACGAAAAAGCGCGCGTTGACACCTCTCTCCGCGCAAGCGCGCGAAGTCGAAGTCCTCTTCGCGAAGCCCGACCAAGAGATCCGGATCCCGGACTCGTCCGCCTCAACCGCGCTCACGGGGGGCAAGAGACGCGCGCTGCCGCCACCCCCGGAGATCGTGACGAATGTGCAGGGATCGAGCGCGGGAGCCGGGTCTGGCGAGTTCCACGTGTACAAGGCGAGCCGGCGGCGGGAGTACGAGCGGCTGCGACGGATGGACGAGGAGGTAGCTGACGAACGGGAGCGGGAGGACTTCGAGCGCACGCGCGAGGTGCGCGAGAAGAAGGACGATGAGAAGACGCGGAAGAATCGGGAGAAGCGCGAGAAGGCCAAGGCGAGGAAGGCGAAGGGGAAGAATGGTGGGGGAGGAGGGGGAAAGACAGCTGGTGCTGCTTCTGCGCCGGCGAAGGGTGTGAAGGCTAGGGTTGATTTGATGAGGGATAAAGGGGATGAGGCGGAGAAGACTGATGATGAAGCACCCGCGACGGGAGATGCGTCGGCGGAAGAACCGAAGGGGATTGTCATTGAGGAGGACTAAAGGATTGGAATTAATACATAGTGATACCCATCAATTCGTAGTCTACTTGGGTGCGGAAAAAAGTAATAGGGCCAGGAGTTACAGGTTGGTCGCATAAGGCATCCAATGTTAATAATTTGCCAACAGTACTGTATTCTGATAATGTAGCACCATGTGTATGTAATTACAAAAGGACATATAAAACTTGCAAAAGGTATCATAAATTACCTAAGCCCACGGTGAAACCAAGTGATATCGCTTTCGTCAACCCTTACCAACATACCAGCTAGAAGCAAAGCAGAACAAAAGAACATAGTCAAAGTCCTCGACTCCAGTGTGGGAATATGAATATCTCATCAAGGGCTTTCACGGCTGGGAAAGGAAAAAAAGCCCCTTAACCAGCCATCCCTTGAAGTCATTTCTAACTAGTGATAAAAAAAAAAGAGCTACCCTGGTTTCGCTTTTCCTCAACGAATTTCTCTATCGAACATCCCATTGTAAGCCGTGAAGTCATCATGAATGCTAGCGGAGGGATATATGAGCCGCCGTCGATTGGTTGCCGGCCTGCTTTTTGTACAAATTCCTCCTAGTAAGTAGTAAAGCATCGCCTGTCCCGTAAAAAACCCGATTGTCAACCCTGGTGGCGTCTTGGCCTTGCCCTACCTATCATAGTGGTACATGCGCCAACTGAACAGAAAATACAAATGATTTTTTTTTAAAAAATAATCTCCATCCTCGACCGCCTGACGATGCATTCGTGGTATACAACGCTGTCCTTTTTAAAAAGCTCTATCTCCTGGGAACGCCGTACAGATGCACTTATCATGTCTTAAAAAGCACCCATTTGCTACTAACTGGTCGCCGTATCATCCGGCTGATCAGAAGAACTTAGACATCGCCGTGCTGAGGTCGACAAAGTCGACCGGCTTCGTAACGTAGTCGTTGAAACCTGCGGCAGCGCATTTCTCTTGGACGTCTGACATAACATTTGCCGACAGGGCGATGATAGGCAACTTGCGTAGGTTAGCCTGCTCCTCCCATTGTCGAATTTCTCGGCAAGCTTGATAACCATCCTTGCGAGGCATATGAAGATCGCACTAATCATAACATCGTCAGTTTGTTACCATAATAGTTATTGTTCGAAGATCCCTAACTTACCAGTATTAAAGAGTAATAGTAAGGGGGCTGTGCGAACACCTTCTCGGTGCACTCCACGCCATCTGCGGCGATCTCTGCCTCGATGCCCACTTTCCTCAAATACCTGACCAACACTTTCTGGTTAACCGGATTGTCCTCGACGAGAAGAACCTTGTATCCTTTGTTTCCGATTCGCTTTTCTACGTCTAGGTAGCTCTGTTTCTGATTCTCGACCATCTGTGCGGCGCTGGAACGGTTCAAGTCAACGCTGAGGTCACGTTCTCTACCCGGATCGAAAATCACCGCAAATCGAGACGGCTTCACTGGCTTGTAAATGAACATTATTCGTTTTTCTGCCAGAAGTTGTTGGTGTTCGGCATCCGACGCTAGCTTGAGGACCGCTTGTCTCTGCACGGAATCTGTTAAGACGAGTACTGACGTCTTGCCGCCAGAGCTTGCGATTATCATATCGACGACTCCCACGATCTCTTCAGCCGAAGGAAGGTTTAGAACGATATGGGTGAAGGTGACAGATTCGTGTCCTCCGATTACCGCTTTAGCTTCCGACACGCTTGCCATAGCTGTAATCTGGTGCGGAACATCTTTCGGCAATGTCATCTCGATATGTTTTTTCGTGGCTTCCCTGCTATAAGTCTGAGGGCAAATGATGAGGATTGAATACATTGGTGGTCGGAATTGTATTAAGTCTGTGGGGAATTTAGTCCCATCCGGCGTAGGCATCATCTGGGGCGACATCTTCCCAGAAGGCATCTCAAGTTTCATCTGAGAAATGTCTTGTCCGCTAGCCTTCGCGGCTTCGCTGAAATGCGACAGGCCGACGTTCACAGATGAGACGGAGGATCGTATGGTATCCTGAGTACGGATGGAGCGGAGTGAAGGGTCTGAACTACCAGACGACTCTAGCGCTGGTGACGAAACGTCCACATCCGAGCTGGGACTAGCAGTTGAGACGGAATCCATCGTTCTGTGTAGCAAAAGTGGTTTAATGGCATGTGTCGGCTTGCCTTCCATCGGAGATCGCATAGACGCAGTCATCGGCGGAGTACTAATGACACTCGGATGGTCCTCGGAACTTGGTAGACCAAATTTAGCAGTGAATGTAAACGTCGATCCTTTTCCAGGCACAGCAGTTCCATCCATTCTCCCTCCGTGAAGTTCCACAAGCTGTCTTGAGATCACGAGGCCCAATCCACTACCACCGTGCTGGCGAGTGCTGCTCCCGTCGATCTGACTGAAGGGCTTAAAGATGAGTTCTGCCTCTTCTTTGCTGAAACCTCGTCCGGTATCGATGACCGAAAATTCCAGCATGATCTGGTGCTCACCAAGCTCGAGAGCATCGCACGCATAGACCCTACACCGGCTGAAGACCTCTCCAGCGGCAGTAAATTTGATGGCGTTGCCAATGACGTTGAGAAGTACTTGCCGAATTCGCACTTTATCCCCTTTAACCCAAGATGGTACGTTTTCTTCCACGATGTAGTTGAGTTCGAGCCGCTTAGCAATTGCCATGGTTGATACCAATTCGTTAACATCCTCGATAAGGGATCGGGTGTGAAACCATTCAAAATTGAGTTTCATCATACCGGCGTCAACCTTGGATAGGTCCAGAATATCATTTATAATCATGAGAAGGCTGTTGGCGCTGGTCTGGATTGTGTTTGTGTAATCTCTCTGCTCTTCGTTCAGTATTGTATCCTGTAAAAAGCTCACCATTCCGGATATGCCAATTAGTGGTGTGCGGATCTCGTGGGACATATTGCTTAAGAATCTGCCCTTGGATTCCATTGCTTCTTTGAGCTTCCCCTCTAACAGCTTGTGATCGTTGATATCGGTCGCCGAGCCAAAGTAGGAGCTTGCACCGCTGCCGAAAACAACGTCGTCGATCTCCACACATCTTATCAAATGCCACCGGTATTCGCCAGATTTCGATCTTAGTCGCACCTCGGTAGTATAAGAAAGCCGGCCATTGCTATCAGTCGCAACTTTAAGAATCCCCTGCCTGAATAGTTCGCCTAGGTCCGCCGTGACAAAATCACGTGCCGAAGCAGAGCTCATGTTTTGAGATAAGATTTCTGGTTGTTTTTCATAAGCGCTTGTAAGTAGCGATTTGATCCCTGTCGATGTATAATCATCGATGGATATATCTACTTTCGTCTCCTCGTTGTAATGTGTTGTCGCTGCCGAGCGCTCTGCTGGCAGCCGACATTTCGCCAGGTCATCCGGATGCACGAAGTCTATAAAACCCAGACCTAACGCATCTTCATCGCTCTGGCCGGTGTAGGATAGCCACTGCTCATTTGCAAATGTTATCCCATCGTTTTCGGTCGCGGTAAATATTATCTGGGGAATCAAATTTGCAAGTAGACGGTGCTTTGCTTCTGATATTTCGATCTCTTCTTGTCGAAGAGCCATTAATTCGGCAACTTTCTGGTCGTGAATATCCATGTACGAGCCGATGAATTGGACTATAACACCTCGTTTATCCCTCGAGGCTACCGCGCGAGCCTGATGCCACCGATATGCACCGTCGAAGCGACGAAGGCGAACGGATTGAGCAAATTGATCACCAGACCGAAGAGAGTGGCCCCAAGCACGCATGTACTCTTCGCGATCTTCAGGATGTAGACTTCCCCAAGGGTCCGCAACTAAATCTGCCAGAGTTTGACCCCTATAAGTTAAGTACCTACTATTAACCCAAACAATTTCCCCGTGTACCGGCAACGCGACAAATACATGTACTGGTAATAAGTCGAGCATTAGTCCCTTAAGGCGGTCGGAAGGCGGTAGCATAGTAACTTGTGGTGCAGATGCAGACCCAGGTCGGATTGGCGTTGGGGGCTGCGATGTAGGTTTTGTGAGGAGGGAGGTGCTAGGGGGCAATGACTGGAAGGATGATGAGAAGTCACCGCCGTATGAATGCAATAAGGTATGCCTGTGGCCGCCTGACTGCATGCTCTGGTTGGACAAACGTCTCCGACTATCATCGACGTCTTGCTGGGACTGCTGGTTCTCCACTCTAGTGTTTATATCTGAAGAGTCCTTCGATGCAGGTCTTTGTTTTGATATCTGGTTAAGAGTTGCTTCGTCGAAGACTCCGCTATTACGAGCGATGTCCGAGCCTTCGGTATCCTTCATAATTGAATTAAGATCTTGTTGATGATGTAGAAGACTTCCCGACCGCCTCAGTTGCTTGGCCATTGTAAGCCCACTTTCTTTGGTACCTGTCCTGGAAGCTCGTTGAGCTATTACCTCCGCAGGAATGTTTCCGCTTCTAGGGACCGAACTGAAGTAGCTGTCGCCCCCTGGTTGGTTGGGGCTAGCACCGGTAGTTCGCCTTTCAACAACGAGCCCGAATGAATTAGATTCCCAAAGTGGCGTTCCGCTGGGAGAGGCATTAATACTTCGGGACGGACCTGAATACTCGCTGGGGCTGGTAAGACTTCCGGTAACCGAACGTTGGGATACATCCCCAGGCGAGGGGGCATTAAGACGAGTGAGCATAATAGGGTCTGTTACTGGTCGTCCATCAGGGCCAATAGCACCGAAGCCACTCGTAGATGGTCTTTTCCGATGAATACCCATGACTTCTGTCTCAAGATTTGAATAGTGTCGACAAAGGGAAAAAGTTGCTGCTAAATGAGGTGCGAGGTGTTCGAGTGAGTGGCGCAGATTGGCGGGATATGGTATAATGGGGGTTAAGATCGACAAGATCGCAATAGGCAAATTTTTATTCTTCTTGGCTAATTCTTCGGTAGATGGACGCTCATGTAACATCGCAGGATTTACGATTGGTTCCGAGTGGCTTCGTTGAGAAGCCTTCTGTTCCAACGCAGAGGGATCTAACTTGAATTTTTGAGGTGGTTTCGATAAGAGGACATGGTTGAGGGGTATATGGAGGACAGTCCAGGAGTTATCAACACCGATGGCCTCGGGAGGTTGAGTTGATGTATAGTCGTGGGGACTCGGTCCAGGGTTGAACGACTCTTCATCGACTACAGCATCTGTGAAGAAGGGATTTTCTGAGGGGTCGGCTCGAACGGCAGGTGAAGGAGCCGGCGATTGGGACCACGGGGACGGGGGTGCTTGCTCGTATTCTTCGTACTTCGGGGTAGGAGGTCGAGGCAGAACGTCGTCGAATGTTGAATACAGACTGGGGATTTTTTTATCTACCGACAGCGATTTCCTGTTTCGACTCAGGGATCGTGGAGCGCCCGCACTGGCCAATAACGTGGATAGCTTCGTCTGGGATTCGGATCGAATAAATTTGCTTGACAATTGTTTCCTATGATCTTCCGCGGGAACAGGTTTCGCGATCTTAGATTGTTGCTGTTTCTCCTCAGAAGTTGGATCGAGATAAGGGTACGTGCGAGTTAAAGCGATCACCTTCCCTCGCTCGACAACGCGAGTGATGCCGTCATGGTCGATAAGCGGGTCGGCCTCGAAATCAAGACCTTGCAATACCTGAAGTAGACGGCCTTTACCATCCTTCGTTGGCTCCATCTTAGCCTCCCACGTCGGGACAGGCTGTTGCTCTTCGATAGCGTCATGCTCTTCAAGCGTTTGCCTATTTAACGTCGGGTGGGGTGAGGTCGGGTCTAATTTATCTGTCCCTGGGTAATAGCTTTTACTCCTTTGAACCAGACCAGGCCGTTGAGCGTTTGAGGAAGCCGTCTCCTCTGCATTTACCTCCCGGTTTCCTATTTGATCTTCATACGCGGTAAAAGAATGCCGGCTCTGTATTGCCGGCCGTGTGGGCTTGCTACCCTTATTAGGGTCCTCAGAACTCGATCTAGGCTCGGGTGGATCACCTTCGCTACAGGCGGCGGTCCCTTTTGCGAGATATACCATGCTCATGTCATCTTCCTCTAGAGCGTTATACGTGGCTTTTTGTCCCCAAGGCACATTTTCGACGTCTGTCGGGTCAGCTGGCACAGAAAGAGTTACCCTCTCGGCTTTGTAATAATCAGTCATGATCTGGACAACCGTATTCCACCATGCCTCCAAGCCGGGTTCGGCCGATAGCATTAACGATAAATCATAAAGACTAGGTGTAGGGAAATCGAGGTTCGACGGTTTGGTAGCCACGCCGGTAGGTAAGAACGTCATGGCCGATGCGGGGGTCGACGGGTCGGATCTGATTTGATCTTGCAGCACGAACCCACCAAATTGTGCGCCCGCCGGGTTGACGGCCCCGGTCGGAGGTTGTTGGTTAAGAACATGCTGCAAGTATGTCGCGGAAAAATTAGGAGTGGTCATGCGAGGGAAGGGGTAGGACGGTGTCCGAGCCGAGAAACCCGGGGTCATGCCACCGCGGACTGTCCTGTTAGATTCGGTTGAAGCGGTCGGGATATCCGAGTCAGTCGTCGTCGGGGACGGCGTGGTACTAGATTCCTCCTTTATAGGCGATACGCGCGTCTCCTCTGACGCATTTCGCGTGGGCGACGGAGAGGTTCGAACGGCTTGTTCTCGACGTTCCATTTCCTTAGCGAGTTGTGCCCGATACTCGTTAATAGATAGTTTGTTATCTATGATTTCCGGCGGATCTCCTGTAATGCTAACTTCTTTACTTTTTCTCCTTGCACCCGTGCCAGCTCCTGTCGTTCCTCTCCGTGATTCATGCTTTTCCGATTGCACATCTCTAGCGACGGATGGGGATATCCCAACACCGATCGCGTCTAACCCACCACCCTTCAAATTAACGTGATTTACGCTCGAAGATGCGAGAGTCAGCCAGGGTGCATCAGGATTCGTCGGCCCTACCGCGTTTCCTGACAAGTTTCGCATGGAATCGAAAATGTCTTCGGAGAAACTAGTCCGGAGAGGACTACTCTGTTTCTCGGTATTCAATGGTTGAAATGTAGTCGGATCATGGCCAGGGGAATAGGAGGGCGTTACGGGGTTGGGGTTACGTGGTTCGTCCGGTCCTGAGTAGTGTTGATGAGATGGCATTCCTCATTCACGGCGCCCCCATGCGGCAAAGTCGGGGACGAATCTCACTGCGTGCTCGTGATCTCGGCATTCGCATTCGTTTAATACCTATAGATTATGGGATTTATCGTCGTTATAGAGGGATATTAGAGTATACGGGCTATACAAAGCAAGCATACGACCGTGGAGAGGTGTGTTGAATTGCCGTATGTTGGTTGGGTGACAGTGAGAATAAGGATGGTGATTCTTTTTCGGCTAGGAACAGTTCAAAACCGGTAAGTGGCATCGTCTTGTGTCGATTGCAAGGCTCATCGCTAGCGGTCGGTTGGGTCACTACCTACGTCAGACAGTGCCCCTAGTGGCAGTTTGATACGGACTAGTTGCGACTCGGGTACATCCGTAGGCTGTAGGCTGGAGCACTTAGGGAGCACCTTAAGGAGCAACTTGAGCTGACCAAGACGACCAAGAAGACCAAGACCCCTAAGCTTTCGAGTCGATTTATTTTAGGTACACGTCCGATGTACGTAAGCAGAGGCGATGATGGGTTTGGTCAGGTATTCGGGTCCCCTCTCGTCTGTCTGCCGCCCTCTTTTTCCCGTTATTTCTATTTTTTATTCTTATATATTACTAGGTACCTAGGTAGGTATGTATTTCAGGTTGCAAATGGGAAAAAGGTAGGGTACGAAGAATACGGAGGGTACGAAAGTGTTTGACAGGTCAACAAGTAAATTATTAGCAGCAAGTAATAATCATGATCTACCATTACCACTGGCAGCACTGGCTAAACAGAACAAGAAAACGTCAGGCGGAAAAGGGAAAAGGGAAAGGAAGGGCATAAAAGTTGCATCGGTACATCAATACTGCGGGTACGCTAAAAATTTAAAAAGGGCAGGAAAGAGCAACATTGGCTAGTGGTGGTAGGGAATAGGGCAGTAGGGGACATGGCAGGTGGGTTTTCTGTCCACGTTGATAATTGCATCTGCTTAGACTTTCTCTGGATCCTCTCTAACCTAATCGAAGCCAATCAAGGAAAGCCTAAGAAGTAACTAGGTAGAGAACGATGGTAGGATGGTAATCTGTTTCCCCCGCCCAGCCGAAGTGTGTGAGCCAGTTCCTTCCAACTTCTGCATACCCAGCATCCAGCATACCTTGATCTTCAATTCTTCATTTACAGCCCACTGCCCACTGCCCATTGCCCATTGTCCATTGCCCACAACCCACAAAGCTCCCGGACCCTGGAAGAGAGAAACACGATTTCCATTTAACCACTTGACAACCACACCCACTCCAACCTACCACCTCTCCCACTTCTCCCACCTTCTTCTCAGCTAGACACTAAACTAGCCCTCCGCGTTCTCATATGACTTCGCCTTGTCACGAACTCGCTAGCTGCCAAGTTGCGTTACCGAAAAAAAGTCCGAGAGGTGTGTGGTATTGGTGTTTTGGTGTATCGGTGTTAGCAGTTATGTTGGTGGTATCGTAGTATCAAGGCTTTTATTTATAACCTGCGCGCACGGAGAGAGTACGAATACATCATACCGAGGACATTAAGCAGGGTCCGAAAGTCCCCTCATAATATCTATTTTATATATATTTATTATATTTTATTTTTATTATTTTCATTACAAAACAAATCATATTGTCGTTAAAGTACCTTAAGCACTGTAGGTACCTACTAACTTAGGTATATTGGAAAATCAGCACACCGCGTTTCGACGCAATATTATGTCATCGATCGAAGGAATGAAAAAATTCAGAGAAAAAAAAGCTCAAACATAAAACCTTGTCGATAATAAGAGCGGTCAAGCATGAGTATAAAGGTCACAAACGTAAATAGGGGGTGGGGTTGGAGTGAGTTCGCGGTTCTTGACCGGACGAATACCTACACGATCTTCCCGACCCCAGCCCTCCTCGAACCTAGCCAATGGTCGTAAATACAGCTGATGCAACTAAGGATCAGCTAGTTCTACTGGTGCTTTTTTGTGAGCAGATCAGGTCAATGGAGGGAATTTAAATCCAATGGGTTTTCGCTACTGAAACCTCTTTCTAACTCTCTTCTATCCTAGACTACCATTGATCCAATCCAACTTGGGATATAAGGCAAAGTACTGTAGTTCGACGCAATGCATGGGAAGTGAAGAAGCATCTCTGCAACTTTGGTAGCACAAGCCAAGTGCGTCATTGCATTGTGTACGTCATCTTACCTGCATGGATGAGGGATGGAATTTTATAATTTGTTGCACGGTTGCTAGCTGTTAACGGATAAGAATGTCCGATGGGAATTCGCGTTTAAGAATAAATGTCGAACTATGCTGCTATGTATGTTGCAGAAACTATCTCACTTCTCATGGAACTAAATGTCAAAGCTATGGAATTATGGCGTTGCTGATCCCGAAGGAACAGAGACCGTTGATACCTAAATCTTCCGGATTTCGGGGTTCTTACAACGCTGTGCAGGGCCTGCAGGGCGTGCTGGGCGTATTAATGAAGCGATTAGCAACCGATAAACCGATAGACAATACCTAGGTACGAATCAATAACAAGCGCGCTCAGAAATCATGTCATTTATATCCAAGCTTGATGAAGATTAGCATTACCAGCATACGCACATTGTTGAACACCGTGTTCATTGGATTACACTATCACAGAAACTTGCTGATACCCCGAAACTTATACATACCTTCACAGATACCTTGGTAGCAGCTTACTGTACTCCAACAGATCGCAATTCGCAACATTCACCTTTTTTTCAAACTCTCACCTGTTTCACTACTTGTATACAGTATATGATAAAACATAAGCCCATTTATCATTCCTGTGTTTCACAATGACGAAATGTGTGTCAGTTCGCGTGACACTGCAGGTAACTTCTTGGCCTATCAATTGACGTTATAAACCGAAGCGTTTTTAATGTTTTTAATGTTTGCGGCCAATAGAAACCTAACGGCATTTTTTTTAGGGGTTCAGTTACCTAAACCACTCACACGGGCCATCCATCTAGGCTAAGGTTCAGGAACCTAGGTACCTGTAGCATACCTGGCAGCTGTTACCCAGATAGGCACTTGGGTGGTATAGGAAACCTTGACAGGAAATAAGGGTCTTTCTCTTCTTTTAACCTATTACAACCAAGGAACTAGAGCAATAAAAAATCCATCAATTGATTCTTCAGCAACGAGTCGTCATCTTAGCTCTCGTATAACCCAGGTCTTCGGGATTAAGGCTCAATTTAGAGGAATCGATATCTCAAATTCTTGATTTCGATCGAGAATATCTACCCGCACATAGTATGTACTGTACCTAGGTAAGTAGGTATTTGATTCATACGAGAAAGAGATTGAGCTAGCCGAGAAAAGACAAGAAAAGACGCGTCGGCTGGTCGGGCATAAGTGACGATATTAAGATGCTCTATCATGTGCCCCAATCCCTGTATTTGGTCCTAATATTAGGATAAATACCAGGGACGCATTCGGTTCCTTGCGCAAGCAAACGACAATCACTTACAACGAACACGCAGCCTTATTCTAAAAGCGTCCTAAAATGGTCTTAGAGGAACAAGGTAGTCCCAGTATGCCCTATAACGATACAAGATTTTCAACCTCGCCGGCCGAGTCGTCCCTCTTCATGCTCGTGCCCCGTCAATCTAGTCCTCTTCAACACGCAGCCCAGCGGCTAAGAATACGTTGATGGTCACTGCTCCAGGCCCACAGCACCGCATCAATCAGGTTATTATCCACATCCCAATTAAGTACCGAGCACTGGAATGGGTCTTTTTCTCGACACGGACAATGCTTGATGAGGTTAAAGAAATGCGCTTAGGGCCGGGCACGGAACCACCACGGGTCCCATATGCAACTATCGACTTTCCACGCCTTTTGGCTTCAATATTCGATATATCGTCCACCGACGGACAGGAAATCGTACGATAAATGACAGAATCGGGATATCCATCTAAGATCATTACGGACGATCTACGTTGTCTCATACCAAGCTCTCGGGTAAGTATCATAGCCACGTTGTTAAGCGGCATCGCTAGAGAATCTAGTGAAAGTCCCAGTCGTACAAATAGGAAGATCAAGATAGGGATACGCGAGCTTTGGGACGCCCCCACCAATGCCGGTCCGTGAGTGGTCTTCCGAGATGGTTACACTACAGTGTGCGCGGAGGCGGAAAGCTCATGTGACACCGCATGAAACTATCGCATCGGGCAGCTTGTCCCTTATTAGACTAGGTACAGCCAAGCTGAAGATAGCCTCACATAAAAGCATTACTTATCGCCACTACTAGTATTCCGAAAAAAGGTCGTAAATCTATACTCATACAGTGTCATAACTAGATACCTACTCATCTAACTCATGGTCGCCACAATATCCTCAGCTCCGGAGCACTTGATATGATGTTTCTGAGGTAAGAGCGGAGTCACTAGTGATGAAGGTCCGGCCAAGAGTCAACTCCCTCATGCGCTATGACTTGACGGTAGGAGGCAAAAACTCGTGGTCTTGTGATATGCTATCACGCGGTCACGATCTACCTATGTAAGCTAAGTGCAAATCGATTCTTTGTTCTCTAGGAATGACGCTCCACTTCAGTTTACCCTCATAGATGAAGACTTGCTTCATACTTCAGATGCTGCAGCATCAGGACTTTCTTATCTGCATAGGTCCCATTTTCTTCTAAGTGCGCATATGAAGGCAGCTTGAGACAAACATGCCCAGATGTCCGAGATGGTCGATATTGGTTGGTTGGTCATCATTTGCCACGGAGGCCGCAACTAGCGTCAAGAGCTGTTAGTCTAGAACTTATGGCTTGGTGGCCTGAAAAGAAGGCTGAATATAAAAGTCCGCGTCTAATAAGGGATTGTTTAAAGACGCAGATGCATCAATATGGACTATGCCCATCGTTGCCAGCTGGTGTGAATGCACACCCATAGAAGGCAGGTAGGTAGGTAAGGGGGTATTCTGAATAGGGGTCGGAGTACCGCCCAGTCTCCCTCAGCCAACTACGTACAACCAACCATCAATTAATTTCCATTGAATACCGGGAGTACCGATGGAATTTAACTATAACTACCTATGGTATTTGAAGGGATCGTATTATCTAAAAAGAGAGAAAAAAGAATATACAATACCAGATTGTCAGACCCAAGTACTGTATCTAGGGGAGAGCGAGCGGGATCTCGAGTTCCTCAGGTCGTATATGATCAACAATCACATCACTATTATCAATATACCAAAGGGGATCGAGTCATGCTCGCTATTCTAAACGTTTGTGCCCTTGCATCTACAGTCGCCCGGAAGGATAGGCATAATTGCTGATCAAGCGAAATAATCTAGGGAAACATCTACGAAGCAAACTTGAGAACCTACACCAACACGTTGGCAAATTACTTTATGGTGCATCCCGCCGTTTCCTATCGGTGTATTCGTCGAGGCTGCATGCAGCCTCGGAACAGCTAAACAGAGCCGCAGACGTCGAGAATGTGCAGAAAGTCGTGTGAGAATATCGATGATGCTGCTTCCTACGGTCCTTTGAAGCTATTCTAGGCAGTCATTGGTCTAGGGTTATGATGCTGGCGCCCTAGATGGAGTGCTGCGGCCTCAGGGGCTATGCGCTCAGGTGAAGAAGAATGCTTGGTCTGGAGCTGCATAGACATTCCTTGAGGAGTCATGATGATGAAATTCGAGGGCGAATCTGGTATATGTGCCAGATTATGTGTTATCTATGTGCCTAACGTAATTTGTTTTTCTAGAAATGATGAGAGGATGAAGAATAGTGAAATAGCTAGCTAATATTATACAGGTAGGTACGATAAATATCGGAAGTGGGCATGGGAGATACCAAAAAAAAAAAAAAAAAAAGCAAAAAAGCTCGGCCGGGAGACGGAAGCTGTAGTCGTTGAACCGACAGCTTCTCCGCGTCACCGACGGGAAGTCGTCCCAGCCTACGAAAAACCCCATCTCGCCCGGCAAGAGTTTTTACTGACCTACACTTCCAACCGTTGAGTCACGGGGGCCCTCCGTTATCTCCACGATTGAAAGGCGCTTGTGGTCCATGCCTGACAACCATCTTACTCTACTATATAACCTTTTAGTCCGGACATAGTCCGAGGAGTCGTCGTAGGTGACGAGTCACGATAATCGTGGGTGGCCCGTGCGCTAGAATTCCAAGTCGAAGAATTATTTTGTCGCATTATTCAACATGGCTACTTGTATTTTCTCGCTTTTTTTGGGGGGTGTTTTGGTCCTTTTTTGAAAAAAAAAAAAATACACGCACATACACACTTACATATATCTAGTATATAAGAATGGATGCTTGGTCATGCATTCAAAATCAAGAGAGAATGGAATAGCGGCTTCACTTGCATTACCTACTTACGTCGATGATCTCTCGGCTTTAATGGAGTAGGTAGATACATGCTTGAATGGACAAGCAACTGATCCCGATTTATTAGACTGCAGAACACTAACACATGATATATATGCCATTCTTCAGGGACCTCAGCCATCGGCTCATCTTTAACGGGCTGATTTAATATGTTTTATATCATCTCGGCGCTTAAGGACTTAGATTTTACATTGAGAGTGTTAGGATAAACCTACCTACTGATCTAGGTCGCTATATGAGCCTCGAAAGTTAGCAAGTGATTCCATGTTACAAGCTCCTAGATATGATAAAATCATGATATCTTTATATAACCAAGCGGACCTGCTTGTAGCTTTGGGAGATGCTTCTATTACTCTCATATTGAAGTTGAGTACGGAGCTGTTGACCTTGATGACAAGATCTCTTTCGGGGCTATAATTAGGTAGCTTAAAACCAACCCTCACATGGCGTAAATTACATAATATAGAGGTATCTATCTATCCGGAGGGTATCGGATTCTTTTGGACTTTTATGAAAAGCAACAATGTAAGCTTTGAAGTTCTCACGACGTTGGAATGTCTGTCCTTCGTCGGGTGCCTGTCAGCTGTTTAGCCCCACATTCAACCCCTTTCTGGGCGTGCTAGGATAAGCTTCCGCTAGCTAGCATATGACATGTTTTGAACCCAATCAGGGCTCAGCATCCATTATAAATAGAGTAGCTACCCCGGAAATTAGTGCTTTTAGGTACCGTATGTGTCATTCACCATCCAATCAAGTCCAGCTTGTGGGGAATCTCTTTGCTCCGCCAACAGCCGCCGTGGATTTCTTGTTGCCTTTCCCATTTACCATTTAACTAATGCACATGTTCATCTAGACGTCACCTCATATATTCATTGCTACACATAACGACCCCATTAACGCGGATATGTACAAGTTGCTATTTCTTGGATAGACGTAGCTAATTGTACTATCCCGCTGTGGGCTCTGTCCGCGAGAATCTGGTTATACGACTGCGTTGATCGTAGCGTAGAAACTGGAGTCGACATTGCCGGTGTCTCTTGGCTCGAATCCATCGTCACCAACTAATCTGTACACACAACATTCGAACATGGCTGACCAAAGTCAAGTTCGAAATGACGAGCGAACACCCCTGCTCCGTGGCACGGGAAATAACCATACTGACGAGAACGGAAATGATGCTGTCCAGGAGAGTGATCTCGCCCATCTCGACGACCAGGTTAAAACCTGGAGGCGCCGTCGTTGGATATCGCTTTTCGTGAGCGTTTTTCTCATTGTCGCCTTTATCGTAATATTAATTGTATCTGGGGGTAAGTTATCTGGAATGCTCCTTCAATGTTCATCTTAAATTCCATGCTCTTGCTATTCTTTAAGCCATTCGAGGTTGGGACTTCCCGTTTCTGTTGTTTATCCTGAACACAAGTACTCCCTAGCCGCGTTTCTGTGTCAAGGTTGAACTTTATAGTATTGTTCCACTTGCTTAAGGTATATTATCGGCCTGTAGCTACATAGGCAAGGTCAACCCGAGGTGGTATGCGTTGAAGCAAATGGCGGAGTAAGAAAGACAAGAGACCTATTCACCCGCCAATTCATCCTCTTCGCCGAGCTTGAGCTCCACTCGATTCTGCACCTCCCGTCTATACCTGCGAAAATCTCAATTTATATCTTTTCACCGAACCTCTAACTCGTCACTATATACACAATTCCTTAAAATCATCTAGAAAAAGGTGTCTAATATCTAGTGTTTATATAGTGCTATCCCGTAGCCGACGGAAACCATCGCCAGGCATGAATGCGTCGTTGTGCCTGACGCCGGCCTGCATTCACGCAGCGTCCGAAATTCTCTGTTAGTAAAGTCCAATTGGTTTGATTCGAGCTTAGAAGAACTTACAAAGTCAATAGACAATCTATCACCGAATTACCAGACAATAGATGCTTGCACTCACTTCGATAACCTCGTCTGCGATGGCTTCGGCGATCGCCATGATATACCACAGGATAAATCCTCCTACTCTACGGGCACTATAATGTCCGAAAATGGACAAACTACCCTAAGGCATATTCTAGAGTCACCATATCCAACTAAGTCTGAGGTATGTGATCATACCCGATGTATAACTCCAATATGTAGAAAGAGAATCTGCGAGATCGCCGTGGCAAATATCGAATAATTGAATTGTACTTAGAAAATGGCTGGTCTTACTAACTCTGGTTTAGCATTCATCGTTTTCGCCTAAGAATCTTATAAGGATTGCCGCCTCTTCTGACGAAGACAACTTTAACATGATACAGGAGGCTTACAATTCATGCATGAACGAGACAGCCCTTCAGAAATCAGGTGTTGCGCCTCTTGTTAGCTTGATAGACCAAGTTATTGCATCCTTCCCTGTCGCTGAGGGTGCGTCTGAGTCAGTCCAACAAGCAGATTATGTTGCTCTCAGCGAGACTCTCCTTCTCTTAGAGAAGATAGGGGTTGGTTCATTTGTAGGTCTTGGTGTCGGCGCTGATGATAAGAACCCTGATGTTGTCATTGTTCAAGCATTCCCTGCAGGACTTTCATTGCCTTCACCGGAGTATTACCAGGATGCCGATACCGTGGCCTTATATCAGACTATGCTTGGAGAAGTTTTCGCTGCCCTGCTTCCAACCAACTCCTCAAGAGCATCGGCGAAAGAGCTTGCTCAATCTGTTATTGATCTCGAGAAGAAGATTGCGGCCATCACACCACCCCCTGAGGACCAGTCAGATGTTACTGTAAGACTTTTGGTTCACATCGCAAACTCACAAAAATGCTAATGAGCGTAGAAATACTACAACATTGTCAAACTTGCCGATGCTGGAAAGATTGGCCCTGCAGTCGGTTTAGATTCAATTGTGAAGGCTTTGGTTCCCGAAAATTACACAGCAGACAGCCTATTGCTGGCATTCCCGGAATTTTTGAGCAACGTATCTCAGATCATCTCTAACACTTCTAAGTCTACTATACAAAGCTATCTAGTTTGGAAATTGGTTGATGCATATTCCTCTTATGTCGAGGGACCAGAGGTTCAGCCCATCGTCCAATTTGGCAACGTTCTCTCTGGAAAGGTATGTGTTCATCCTCTATGATTTTCTGATGGTGGAATAATTGACCATTCGTAGGATCCAAATACAAAGTCTGAACGATGGAAGACTTGCGTTAGCTATGTTGACGGTACCCTTGGCTGGATACTTAGTCGATTTTATATTGAGGCTTCATTCTCCGATGAAGCCAAGAAATACGGCGATCAAATTATAATGGATATTAAGCACCAATTTATCTCGAAGCTGAATGATCTGAGTTGGATGGATGACTCAGTCAAGAAATTGGCTGCGAACAAGGTGAACAACATTGACCAAAAGATCGGATTCCCCACCACTTCTCCGAACATTACAAATCCAGAGGCGCTGCAGGCGTACTATAGTGGCTTGACCATTTCGGATTCATTCTTCAATAACACCCTATTAAGCAATGAAAGGGAAACCAAAAGAGGTTGGGCAGCCCTCGGAAAGCCAGTTGACCATGGCGAATGGGGTATGCAAGCTGACATTGTCAACGCTTACTATAATCCCGTTGGTAACGAGATTGTTTTCCCAGCTGGCATTATGCAGTTCCCCGTCTTTGAATTGGGATTGCCTGGCTATGTATCGTATGGCGCCTTTGCCTCGGTTGCCGGTCACGAGTTATCCCATGCATTTGATAACTCCGGTAGACATTTTGATGAGCATGGCAATTTCACGGATTGGTGGACAAATAACACAGTCCAGGAGTTTGATAAGCGCGCCAACTGCTTCGTAGATCAGTACAGCAATTTCACGGTCCAGGGCAACAATGGCGAACCCCTGCATGTTAACGGAAAGCTGACCCTCGGCGAGAACATCGCCGACGCCGGTGGCGTCTCTGCTGCTTTCGCGGCGTGGAAGGACCGCACAGCATCCGCGCCTGACCAGAGCCTTCCAGGGCTAGACTTCTTCACCCACGAGCAGCTCTTTTTCATCTTCTACGGCAATTGGTGGTGCGGCAAGGTTCGAAAGGAACAGGCGATCCAGCGCATCTACACGGACCCTCACTCACCTGCGTTCGCTCGCGTACTGGGAACTACGGCGAACTCGAGGGCGTTCAGGGAGAGTTTTAATTGCCCTGTTAAAGAGCCCACTTGCGAATTGTGGTGATTGTGGCGGCGCCGAGCTGACAATCGGAGAATCATAAAAAGGAAAATTCACTAATATCTTCCATTTCGATTCTTGTACCTAGGGAATTATGGAGTTATCTAAATTGAACGAATTTGACTTTAATATCACAATGCTCTACACCGAGTCCATAATCTTGATTACCGGCGACTACTTGAAGCGCGGGTGATAAGTGCGAGGTCTTCTTGGGGATTTCAACGATGAATTGTTAGGTCTATTAATTTTTGATCGTACCAATCGCTTCCTATACTCGTCGCTATTTCATTCTCATGCCCTTTAACCCAACCATACCGCAGCATGCTGCATTGTTAATCCAAGCCATTTTAGATGCCGAGCTAGAAAGGTATTACCTGAGTGCCTAGGTACCCATACTTCTGATTTTACAAAAACTCCATCGAAACGAATGCCCCAATACAAACCGCACCTAATACCTAGCAAGCTAACGCCGTAGCTAAGAACCGAATTTTTGCCCGATTTTACCCTGGGACTGTAGAGATGTGATCCCTTCCTCGCCATGCATTCCCTTATTCACGAGCTGGAGACATGCTCGTCCCACCAAGCTGCGTTGTTATACTATTCCTACAAAGAGGGGTGTAGACACGTATCCCTTCACAAGCCGAGCTTGTGCTTCTTGATCCGCGGGAAGACGCCGATGACGAGGAGGACGAAGATGACGATGGTAGCCCACAACTTGATATTGAGAACATTCAGATTATAGTCTGTCTGCGTAGCGCTAATCACAGTCGCGGAGAGGAATAGCAAGAGCGCGTAGCCGCTCGAGCGGTGGTACTTCCAGATCTTCTTCGCGGCGGCCTCGCCGCCGTACAGGGCCGGGGTCGCGAACATGGTGAACCCGATCGCGTACTGGGCCAGCAGCCAGAAGGAGGCGATGACGCCGAGGTAGCCGTGCGCGGAGTGGAAGTGTGCGCCGTTGTTGGCGATCTTGTTGTACTCGATGCTGAGGATACCCACGGCGAAGATCAGGAAGCCGAGGACGTTGAGGCCGGCGTGGATCTTGGCGCCGACTTCCTTCTGCGCGCCGGTGTGTGTGGGTTGGATGACGAGGATGGATTGGACGAGCACGAGGAGCCCGGCTGATTGCGCGAGCGGGTGCACGGAGAATAGGATCAGAGGCCCGTTGAGGAAGACGGCGGCCCAGACCGAGGCGACGAGAAGGATGCTGGCGGCTTCGGCGATTATGCCTGTGCCTGAGGATTGTATGAGCTTTGGCATGTTCACGGGGTGATGGGTACGCTAGTGTAGATGGATGTATGGTAATATCAAGTGTATATTGTACGTAGCTAATGTTATAAGACAATATGAGGCTAAAGTGGAGGTAGAACGAGATACGTATGCTCTAAGGAGATAGGTAACGTGTCTAGAAACAGAAGAAAATATCGTACCAAGGATGAGGTTTTTGACTATGGGGGCATTGTCTCTTTGAGAAACATCTCCCGGCCGACCCAAAAGAGGCTCTAGATCGCCTTCGAGTTCACCGCCGTCGTCCGGATTATTAATCGGGGGGTGTTGGGGAATTCCAGTCGCGGAAGCCATTCTGGCAATATTCTTTTTACTTAAATTAAGGTAGCGCCGTTAGAGGGGTTTTACTGGACTGGGCTCTACCGCACTTTTCAGCAGAGCTGCGTATTATTAATGACGTTTGCGGTTCGCGAGATTGGCTGGGCGCGAGGAGCTGACAAAGAGAGATGTAGCGATGTACTCTGTACTGGTGGATAGATTGGCAGTCGTAGGCCCGTGGGACAAGTTAAAAAACCCTCTTGGAGTTCTGGGAGTTTTGTTTCCCATCCTTTTAAAACTGTCGGAGTCGGAAATCTCAAGAAGGCGAGGAAGCTGGCCAGGTGAGAGTTCGGAAAAGGATCGAGCTCACCATCGATGACGGACATGACGGAGTCCTGCTCAACCAAGCTCCCGCCTATCAGAGCGCCGCGATTCTTAAGCAGCACGCTGAATGTAGTGCAGGCCCCATATCTAGTGCGGGCTGCGCGGGGGAAGCTACAGGGAGCTGCACAAGCAACCCCTTATTCAGGAAGGTTGTTGGTATCGCGTATGTACGAGGTACAGAATGCCCGGTCTAGTATATGTAATAATTAGTTTCATTATTGTCGCATGGAAAAGATAAGCGCATGTGCAGTAGAGAGTTTCAATGATATAAAGGAGGAATAAAACTCTGAAAATGGGGATGGGATATCAACCCCAGTTCGCATCAATGTACCCAGGCTGCCAGGCTACAGTACCAGGTCCAAACTAGTAGGTAACCTGGAAATCAAGAATCGCTTGTTTTAGGGGACACATGTGCTGAAAAGGAGGGGCTGGATGGGGCTGAGGTAACTGGAGGAGATAGCCTTTAGGTGATATCGCATATGTCATAGGTGCCTCTAATTGCTAGCACGAACTAATCTGTTGTCGTACACGATTGGTCGGTAGTTGGAAGAGTTCATATTCCAATGCACATGCAAATTAGCAATTAGCAATTGGACTCGATGTCGAGAGTGGCCGCATTCCGGAGCTCGCCCCACTCGATTAGCGTTTGGAGATTTCGAAGTCGGAATGTTGCTGCTTCGAGGTCGGAGCCTTCTAAATTGGGCAAACGATTTGAAACATTTGATTCACATTTGCTGTGATACGTTTGTGAAATACTTCAACACAGACACGCCACTCCGTATAGTGAAAAACAAGACTCTTACTCAACATGGCTGAAGACTATGGGTATAAGTTGGAGACCGTTAAGGCCACCAGCATTAGTTCGGATGAGATCGATAAGACTTTCCGATCTAATTCCATCGGTATGTGGACATAACAAGATGAAAGGAAGCCGAGACGAGACGAATTATAACAAAAAATCCAGAATACAAGGCTTTCTTAGCTAACTCATCCAACTAGACTTGATTTCTGGAGCATTAGGAGGCAAAGTCCTAGGCTTCTCAGACCAATGGTTTGCCGATGCCGACAATTTAGTGACGCCTACGCCTCCTATAAGGCAACTAGGCAAGATGGTCTACACAGGCGCTTGGTATGACGGTTGGGAAACGAGAAGGCACAATCAAGAACCTTTCGACTGGGTTGTCATACGACTTGGTGTCGCGTCGGGTACCGTAAAAGGAGTCGAAATCGACACTGCCTTTTTCAATGGCAACCACGCTCCCTCTATTTCGGTCGAAGGCTGCTTCTCCTCTGACGACGACAAGGTTTTATCCTGGAAAGGGGGAAGAGGTGAATGGGAGCCCATTCTAAGTATTCAAGAATGTGGACCATCTCAGAGGTTTGGTTGGAAACTAGACAACCCCACCTCGAAGCAGTACACACATGTTAGGCTCAACATGTATCCCGATGGAGGAATTGCGAGATTTCGACTGTTTGGACATGCGGTGCCAGTCTTCCCCGAAAATGCAGATGCAATTTTCGATCTAGCTGCTGCCCAAAACGGTGGTGTTGCAGTTTCGTGTAGTGACCAACACTTCGGCACTAAGGACAACCTCATTCTGCCTGGTCGAGGCAAGGATATGAGTGACGGTTGGGAGACAGCCCGCTCTAGGTCCAAGGGCCATGTCGACTGGACTATCATCCGTCTAGGTGCTCCGGCTCTTATTCAAGACTTTGTAGTCGATACAGCTTTTTATAGAGGAAACTTTCCCCAGAAAACGAAGATTGACGCCATAGAATGGAAAGAGGCCGGAGAACCTGGAGCAGATGCTCAAGGGTGGACTGAAGTGCTGGAGCCCAGTAAGTGCGGACCAGATCAGGAACATAACTTTACCTGCGCCATAAAGGACAAGCCCTTCACCCACGTCAAACTGACCATCATTCCTGATGGAGGTGTGAAGCGATTGCGTGTTCTGGCCAAGAGAGCCATTTAAAATACGCTGTTGGGATGGGGGAAAAAGGCACCTTTCAATCTACAACGTACATATTTCGGTCAAGTTTTGAAAATATACTCAAGTTGAGAAGACGTTGAGAAGTAAAAGTATCATTGTGTTTAATATTAATGAGTGAAGAAGATTCAAGAAATGAAGGCAGGCCAATGAAAATCAGCGTTAGGTCCTAGGTACCTGTATACAGCAGTTATAATTGGGACGGAAGGTAGGACCTCCAGGGCTGGTGGGAGGATTCGTGCACGGGCCACAAACACTGCCATAATTGTGGCAGTTCCCATTGTGGCTATCTCATATCATCATGCACTTGTACTTAGAACTTGTCCGAAGGTCTTGTTTGATTGCATACAAACCTGATACCTGATACTGTTTAATGACGAACGCCTAAAAAGTCTGGGACGCAATATTAAAGAAAGACCCACAGCTCAACTAGTAAATACTCCTGAAAAGGATGGTCGACCTTTTATTTGTTCCGACAAGTTCTTGAACGAAATATTCCTATGCCGCCTCCTATCTAAGCCATGGATTTCGGGGATCTGGACTCTGATGGCGGGGGATTCGGCAACGAGATGCGGTCGAAGCCTCGCCCTCTCCCGGCTGACCTCCCCAAGTCCCTAGACGATCGTAGAGTAGTACCGACAGATCTGGTCCCGGAGACGGAGATGTACGATGGCTGGCAAGGTTAGTTGACAACCCGTCCCTTATTATATATATACCGCCCAAGTACTAATTATAACAACCTCCCTCTAGGCCAGTCGCAGTTCCTAACGAGCCCGATGCTAGCGAAGCCCCTTCACTTCAGCAACCTAACCCTTGACGATCCAAACTACGATGAAGACTTGACTAAGGGCATGCCCGACAGCGATACGCGATTGATGCAAATGCTGGCGGCGCAGGCACAACATCTTGGCGGGGAAGCTTTCGGTGACGTAAATGCAATTGCAACCGATGATAAATTATCCGACGACGAGAAGAAGTCGATGCTACAGAAGGTTTTGATTATGTCTGCAAGCAATGGCGACCTCGATAACGTAAAAAAGATACTTGATGGCAAGGCGAGGCAATTTGTCGATATGAATGCATCTGATGATGAGGGAACACCATCCCTAGTTTATGCAAGCTGCTTTGTTAGTTATTGGGTGAAACCTACACCAACATTGATTCGTCGCTAATAATGCTTAGGGACATGAAACCGTGGTGCAGGCTCTTGTAGATGCTGGTGTTGACGTAGACAAGCAAGACCGCAACCATTGGAGCCCTTTAATGTGGGCCATGACGAATAGGCACAAGAGCATTGCGAAGATACTGCTAGACAACGGGGCATCTCCGGAGGCAAAGACCTCATCTGGCAGAACAGCTTTTGACTTCGTTCCCCCGGACAGCGATATGTCATTCTATCTTCACGATAATGGCTACGGCATTGGAAATGCTGGGGTGACAGATGATTTCTATAACCCAGGCTTCTCCCAAGATAGATTCGAAGAGGAAATGGCCGAGAATGAAATACGGCGGCGCATGATGATGGATAGTGCACGAGATCTTGAGGTTGACCTAGGTAATATGGGAATCGATGACCAACCCGAGGTAAGTTGAATCGGGCTCTACGGAATTCAAGGACGACGTACTAACCCTAATAGCCCATGGATGATTTTGAAGAGGAGCTGCAGGAATTTGACTGGGGTCGGTGTTTACATGATCAGATGTTCGTCTTTCAAGAGAGCGACCTGGATAGGATACTCGATATTGTCATTACCAATATGCAACCTCAGCGCTCGCCGTCTCAGAAGCCTGTCCCGGCAAATATGATATTTCTTAGCGCTAGGTATGCTCACTACCATTCTAGTCGCGATCTATTGACGAAATTGCTTGTCACCGCTCAAGATAAGATTAACGAAGTTGTCGAAGCCCATCAATGGGATATGACTATCTTGGCGTTTTGGATGTCAAACGCAACCCTACTGCTCCATTATCTAAAGAAAGATGCCGGTTTAGTTGAGGCGACAACTGAGTTCCAGGCGCAACTCGCAGAGCTAATCAACGAGATCTTTATCCTCGTCGTCAGGGATGCAGAACGACGATTAGATAAGGTTCTAGATGCTGCAATGCTTCATCATGAGACGATTCCCGGATTAGATGATGTTACTTTTCAACACGAATGGAAGATATTTAAGAGAAAAAAGGAGGTGAAAGAAGAGCCCCTCGAGAAGCGATTCCGACCCCCTTCTCCAAAGCAGCGTGCCAAACCCGCTCCCCGAAACGTAACATCACTTCTTTCATCCACTCTGTTCGTCCTTGACCTCTACGATATTCACTCAGTCATTACGGCGCAAATCATATCGCAATTGCTCTACTGGCTAGGTGCGGAACTCTTCAACCGAATTATGAATAATAGAAAATATCTCGCCAGGACCAAAGCCATGCAAATCAGAATGAATGTTTCGGTATTAGAGGATTGGGCTCGTTCTAATAACCGCCAGCCCGAACATTACGAGCATGGTGAGACAAGTTCATCAGGTGAGACAACGATGGAAGCGGCGCGCAGGCATCTAGCGCCTGTTGTCCAACTCCTCCAGTGGCTACAGTGTTTCTCATCTCTAGATTCGGACGATTTAGAGGCATTGGTTGGAACACTCCAGCAGCTCAAGCGACTAAGCCCGCAACAACTAATATATGCCGCTAAGAATTACCGATTAGAAGTTGGAGAAAAGGGATTACCTAAGAGTGCATTGAAGTATCTTGATGCAATTCAGAAGGAGGCCGCACTCAGGAGAGATCGAAGAAGGACAGTATCCCCCATGCCAGCTAGCATGCCATCGACACCTATCAAGACCACGTTCAACGGCGTTACTGCGGAAACTCCAGGTAGCTTTCAAGGCACGCCGAATCCAGACCTAGACGACGACGATGATGTGCCGGAAGGAATCAATCTAGATCCCTCCCTGATGTTACCGTTCACCCTCCCAACTGTCACGGATATGCTTATATCTTACGGGGCCGGATTTGGAGGGGTTAACCGGGAGCGGGAGAGGAAATACATACCAACGATCCCACCGGAGTTTCTTGATAAGCTAGAAGTGAGCGGTAATTCAAATCGGCCAATCTTTGGCGAGAAAGATTGGGAGAACGAAGAAGTTTGATGAGCTGACGGATGTTCGCTTAGCGGTCAGCGAATGAGTAACGACCGAAAGCTAAGGCCAGCTCAACCTGCATGAAGCTCTACTCATCACTACCTACAAACCTACAAACCTACATACCTACATACCTACCTAATACGTTGACATCACCGAAAGCCGTCGCGTTGGCGCCAACGGGGAGGTTATAGTTATCGACGCGGTAATGAACCCTATGCAAGCTGCAAGGGACGGACGCGTGGCGCAGGGGAAACTGGGGGGATTCAATTGCATACAGTAGCATCTTTCGGGAGAGGCAACGGGATGAGTCAGATGAGGCCAGTAATACATCTCGAAAGCTAGCACTAGTGCATCTTACCGTAGTGCGCTGGACACGATAGGGATGGCTATTGGAGGACTAGGTATCAATTGGGAACCCTTGGGCAGATAACTTGTATGCACGAACAAGGAAGAGAAGATAGAAAAAAAAGTTTTTTTTCTACCAACAGACTGGACCGACTAGGTTCATCTCGACGGGAATGTGAGAAATGTCGTGGCTGCTGTTTAGCGGTCCCGTTCAACTTCAGGTAATCAACCAATGGAGTTCTATGTTACCTACCGCTTGCAGAATTACTCTGCGGTCTACGATGCGGTCAGAATATATGCAGGCACACCATTTGCCAACTGTCACGGTCGATATCGCCTGGTCGCGTCCAATCCGGTGTTACCAATTCACTCCGTTCATCGCTTCAAGGGTTACCGTTCGTGCTTGGCATGCAACCAACCTCTAGATCTTGGCAACTGGTTCTAGGATGGGTTCAACATCTGAAAACTACAAGAACTACTGTAGATACATAGTACACGGCACAACCAGTATCACGTTTCGATAATACCACACGAATCACAAAATCAATTAAACCTCGTCTAAATTTAGAGCCCATGCCCTCAATCGTAGAACCATCCGGGCAAAAGTAAATTCTAATAGTCATCGTAGGTTACCTCTATTCGACCCCGCGCTATTTAATTTTCTCTTTATCTTTCTTTCTTCGTTCGTTTAATTGGTGGCGTTGGATGGAACTGACTCGGATGGGCGCTGGCTAAAAAGGCCACGTCAATAATCTAGTCGAGGTCGGAGTTGAGGGACCGGCGGGATTATTCAAGCTTTTCCTCCGTTTTTAGGAGGAACTTCTAGGCTCAGCCCATTTTCTCTCCAGTTTACGGGAGTGACGTATACCGATCGCTTCTTCATCGCTTACCCCGCCAGAATCGGTGGCCATTCACTATATACCGCGATGGCCGTTCGGCGTTCCCTGGTTATACCAGTGCCAGGTGGGTGTCGTTATTAGTCAAAATAGAGCCAGAGGATGGTGTAGCAGTAATGGGATGGGTGGAATTTTCCCATTCGTTTTATCCTCCGCGTTCCCGACTTGGCTAACCTGAGGTTGATCCTGGGATCTTGCATCCCGAGGCAAACCAATGGAAGAGGAGAATGAGGGGAGCCTAACCCCATACTTACCGGCTCAACAACGGGTTCTTTACTTTACCTCCAACTCATGTGGGGTTTTGAATATAGCATGAACAGACTTGTCGACTAGGAGGCTTGACATAGCGGGTAGACGGAAGAGTATACAGTATACTATTCTTGACGATACTCAGATCGTTTGCCGCACCTACTTTGTATATGTAGGTATATGTGTATGTATGTATGCGATGGGGGGTGTGAAGGAGCGGCATTGCGGGGGCCGAAATGTCTGATGTTCGATGTTGCTTATTCCAAAGACGGTTGTTCCAGTTATAAGTGCAGTTGTAAGTGACTATAGAAAATAGTAATGTGATAACATTTACTGTTGAACATCACCTAACTCACACAACTATTTCTTTTTAGGTATGAAGGGTTTATTAGTTTCTGCAATCAGTAAAGATAAAAAGGCTTGGCAACGTTAAATTTAGCAGATTGGGTGGATTGGGGAATGTAGACCGCTAGATTTCCTCTTCGAGTATACATATGATATACATGGGGATAGGGCAAACGGGAAAGAACGGTATGTGACCGCTTCCAGCCCTGAGATTGCCATTGGGATTATCGGTCTAGCTTCGAAAATCGTAAGTGCCGCAACCTGCGCAACTCGGCCAATGCCCAAATTTGCAAGCGGACCACCTGTACGCATAGTAAAGAGTGGAAACTAGGAAACTGCGTCTCTCTTTTCTAGCCAATTGGGAGAAAAGGTAATGGTGGTTGTAGGTGGTTGTAAGTGGTTGCGAGGGTAGGCAAGCTCGATGATGTGCATTGCTTCTATTGACGCCTTCCGCGACCTAGTAGATGACCTACTAAATGACCTAATTGACCTACTATTTCCTAGTAAGTATAGTAGCCTGGAGGTAGTAATACCGCAATACCGCAATACATACATACCGCACAACGTCCTAATGGAAATGCTGCCGCCACGACATCCACCTTTGCAACCTGCATGCTGGCCAGATCAGATGAACCGTGGCCCAAGTCTAATTTTTCCTAGTTCTTTTAAGACAAACATATTAAAGCAAGCCGCAGCCGCGGGCTCGTGATAACCCAAGAAAATATATGTACTTGTTTGCACGCTCACGACGTCGGTTGTGTAAGTCACCCAAGTCATCCAAGACATCTGATACACAAGTCACAAGCCACTTACATACCTACATACCTATACATATGTACTAACTTGACGCTTAACAGCATTAAACATTGCTTACCATTTCCCAATTCGTCTTTGGTCTTAATATTTTAAAGTTCACAAACATTTCTAACGAAGAAAACGAAGAAGGTATAGATCACACGCTTCATTTCTTTGGTCTAGGCTTCCACCTCCTCGGGTACGCACTGAATCGTGCTTGGTCTATAGATACACACCAACTTTCCTCCCCTTATTATACCTATTGTATAATTGGCTTTCTTTTCCCCTGAACGTCCTCCATTACCTAAAATGAAACCACGCTAACTTACAACTAGCTATCTGGATCGGTGGAAGTGGTGGACTAGGCTTAAGGAAGCTTATGTCGTGACTCGCAACAAAAACGGGGATCCCGTTCTTGAGGAAGTAAATAAAAGAAAGACCATCTTCTCTATCACGATTCCCTGGACCTGTCTTCACTACTTAAACAAGCTCCTCGCAGCTTGTTGAGCCCTCCAACGGTTGCTAGCAATATATGCTCGGCGTTACACTAGACACAATATAGACCAATTTCTAGAAATTGGTATTTGAGCAAGGTCACAGAGTCACAAGACACAAATGTACTCAGTACACTCAGCCCGATCAGCCACAATGTTCGGAGTTACACCAGGCACAGTACCTTATGTGCCTCCGCAAGCACCCCAAAAGAATGCACCCTCCCGGTATAGGTCTAAGTCTTCAAGTCTTGTTCCTTTCAGAGACGAATCCAAGTTGGTTGCCTTGCGATACGATCAGACCGTACAAGCTGAGCCGCCAATACCAATACCACCACCTCGATCATCTCGTCGTCCACCACCACGACCTATTTCTTGCGACACGGCTCGTTCTACTGTTGTGATACCGCCTCCTCGACCGGCTCCCCCTACCGAGCAGCACCCCGCTTTAAGAACAATCAGCAGCCCGCGAATAGAGGCAATTGAAAAGCGAGATTCTGGCCACTCTCCCGCGACACCTTCAAGCTCTTGGACAATTCGCGAAGATAGTGAGACAGATGACGAGGACCCTTTCGCTTATGAAAACATTCAGAAGTTTCCTGAAATTAAGCCCCTCACATTAATAACTCGTTCTGCATCGCCATCGATTTATGGGCGAGTGAGCGAATCCAATAGTAGGGTTAGCGCTCCTTCTATTTCGCCTGCGCTGTCAGATGGCGAGACTGTTTCACCGACATCGCCAACTACGCCATCTTCCAATTTCTCAAGGTTTGCTCGAAGTTTTAGTCTGCGATCGAGCCGATCAAACTCGTCTAAATCCTCGTTTACGAAAATGAAGCGTCTTCGGAAGAAACCTGCAAATGAAAGAAACGATGGAGGTCCGGGCGTTGAAAACCCCGGTTATCCACTAAACGGGCAAGACCGTTCGGCGCCTAAATCCCTTAGCGGCACTTTATCGCCAGCATCTGACCCCCATGGTTCTCCAATTATTTCTACAACCATCCCCACCGAGAGCTTATTAGAAGATGATTTTATGACCCAACTGTCCTTCTCTAAGCGTGGTAGCATCATTTTTGGTGCCAAACATCCGCGTAAACATTTTAGACACGCGGGCATCATGGCCGACCAAGAGAGCGCTTTCGCGACCGAGAACGCCGAGATCGAACAAACCAGAGAACCGCGCTCTTTTCCTCTTGTTCATTCGAAAACTTCTGCCAGCGCAAACACAAAGGATGCCGCCAATGCGTCGGGCTCAGGCTCAGGGGCACCCGACAATACCAAAACCAACTCCTTGCCTCCTACGCCTCGTCAACCTCCTCCTAGCGTCCGAGTAATATCTGCCGAGGCCGAGAAGGAATCTCAAAAGGTGAGATCGCTCTATGAATCCGGGGAAGGTCTCAATTGGGAGGACGGGGCGGAACGCTCATCGATTGATGGGCGTCCCCAACCCTTAGTAGAACATCCACCAAGAGAGAATGAGAACGACGCGTATGGTTTCCTTATCTATCCAAGTTCAATACATGTTTTATCGTGCTAACAAGTCGCCTTTCTTATAGGGCAAACGAACCGGTTGGAAACCTTATACCACTCTCGGCTTCTATTTCGTCGCCACAAGATAAAGACCTGCGACGACGGCACGAGTTAGCAGGAGGGATCGAAGACTGGGAAGGTGTCCACGGTGAGGACGTCGATCGTTACGGTTTCATTTCTGTTAGACAACCACGCGAAACTCGGCCGGCCACGGCATACGAAACTACATCTGTCCACTATTCGGAGCGCAAACAGCGTAATGTTCTGGTTCGTAAAGATGCAGCATCGCTTTCGCTGAGACTGAAGCGCGGGCCTCGAAGAAAGCTGTCGGCCCGCTCTTTGAATACACAAGCATCGGGATTATCCACAGCATCGCACCGATCCGCTCTGTCGGCAATCCGCCAAGCCACAAACCTGTTACCGTACAACAGGGACCGAAAATTGCTAGATGAAGCGGGGGATATCCTTGCATCACACCCGGGCCTGTCGCAAACGGACGAAGATGGGTCGTTCGAGAAAAGACAGGCCGAGTCAAAGTTGAAGGAAACGGAGCGTGCGGAGAAGTGGCGAAGGATGGCCAAAATAATAAAAGCCGGCTCGGATGGACAAGGCATGGTGTTCGACTTTGACATGAACCATCCGAAGCTGATCGAGCGGACATGGAAGGGCATCCCTGACTGTTGGCGATCGTCAGCTTGGTACTCGTTCCTTTCCGCTAGTGCCAAGGCTAGCAACGAACCGTTCGCCACGGATGATGAGCTTAAGGTCGACTTTCATCGGCTCATAGACGAACCGTCGCCCGATGATGGTCAGATAGACTTGGATGTGCCCAGGACCATTAACCAACACATCATGTTTCGGAGGAGATATAGGGGAGGCCAGCGGTTGCTTTTCCGTGTACTGCATGCTCTGTCACTTTACTTCCCCGAAACGGGCTATGTCCAAGGCATGGCTCCGCTAGCAGCAACCTTCTTGAGTTACTTCGATGAAGACAGATGCTTCATAATGCTGGTGCGACTTTGGAAATACCGCGGCCTCAATCGGATGTACCAGTCAGGGTTTGTGGAACTTATGGCTGCTCTGAAAGACTTTGAGCAGGATTGGTTGGGTAGTAGGGACGTGGCGTCGAAGCTTGTAAGTTGATGGCTCCTCATAATCAATTTGACGTTTTACTGACCTTGACTAGTCCGAGTTGTGCATCGATCCAACCGCGTATGCTACTAAGTGGTATCTGACTCTTTTTAACTTATCGATACCCTTTGCCGTTCAGCTTCGTGTATGGGATGCTTTCCTTTTGCTTGGTTCGTCGCCAGATGTGCCTTCGACCCCGAGCAAATCTGCAGTCGAGCAGCCATCATCTAAAGGACTGGAAATTCTTCACGCGGCCAGTCTCGCAATTGTCGACACACTCCGTCCTACACTTCTCGACTCTGATTTCGAGAATGCGATGAAGTCGCTCACCTCCTGGATCCCTATCAAAGATGGACAGGGATTCATGGACCTTGTGCAATTAGAATACAAGCGGCATCAGAGCAAGCAGAAGATCTAGGGGACGCTACTGCTGTTATGATGCACTGCTCGAATTGGACTTGGTTTTTACTTAGCGACATCCACAAGGCTGGAAGGCAGATACACAGACTGCCCTCTTCTACTTAATACTCGAATGATTTCTCTATAAGATAGGTGGAGTGTATAATACTGGTTTACGGACCAGCCACGACGGGATATCTCGTCCCCCAGACACCGTTCAGGTCGCGACAAGGACCCAGCCTAATATCGAATTCCCTTTGTTTTTTTCGGAGAAGCGGTGATGTTTGTTGACGGTGAACTACATGGTGTAGGCACGGGAGAGGTTGATGGATGGTTCTCGCACTATACCCCCTATGCATTCAACGGACGGTTAACGAATGGGAAAACTGGTTGCTCACGTTGATTATTCCTCCTACATACTGTTACTACTACTTAATAAGGTATCCTGCTGCATAGCCGTATGAAGGGCATGTTGGCTATACCCCCTAAACTATCGTCTAGTACTTTGTCCTAGAGAACTACTATGATAATATAATTTGATTTACCTAATTCATCTGTATTTCTGATCGAGTCTGTATACATAGGTAACCTGAATACGCAGTATTCTCTAGGCACCGACTTATCTTCGTGAAGCACGTGTTTACCATCCATGCTTATAGGAAGTGGCTTGAATATGGACTAGTGCCAAGGCTTTATCGAAGGCTAACTTCCCGCGATGGATCTCACTACGGATATAATCATGACGTATGGTCTCATGATTGCCGATATTAGGCAATCCCAAAGAGGAAATTTGGCTATTGGAGAAGTTTCAAGCGGATAGGGCTGAGTCTAGTCTGATTCAGCTCATTCCTTAGTTTCTATGTAAAGGACAGCAAATTTTTATTTTGGATTCGAAGACCGCTAGTTCCCCTTAGATTCTAGAAGCACTATACATATGTATAATTATCGGATTGTAGGATGTTAATGTTGTTTCTCCCCGCGATACTCCCAGATAATATCCCGATCTGGAAGGATGCTGCGCCTGGGCTGGGACCATAGCCCACGTGGAGTCGATTCATCGCCAGGCAAGAGATTACTTCGTCGTTACACAGCTGTCTAAGCGAATTATCGACGCTGCCGCCGAAGGATCGAGCTTTCACACCACATACCGTACTCTACATGGGACCCCGGTGGTGGAGGCGTTGCTTTTGGTATCATATCTTCATGCAGGCTGACCTACCAGCCTACATACCTATGTGTTATCAGTAGGACTTTCCATATATATAGGCGCACTCGTAGGAATCGTAGCTGGGAGAGTGTACTAGACAAATGTCTTTGTTTATAAGCCAAATATATTAATTATCTAGGCCTTCGCTCGTCTCTCTCATAACTATTGACATTTGTATATTCAGCGCGTATATACATACTTGTAATCTTACTTACCTTAGTACTCATCTCGATATCCATCCCCGATCCTCACACGCCCAAACCTCCAAAATGGACTACTCCAAAGGCCCTCCACCGCCATACTCCTTCGCCGGGTCCACCGTCCAATTCCAACAACAGCCGCAATTCCAACCGCAACTCCAACCACAGTTCCAACAACCGCAATACCAACAACCACAATTCCAACAACAACAACAACAGCAATACCTACCTCCCCCGCAACCCCTCCCCCAAATCCCCCGCCAGTTCCCCCCAGCCTTCAACATGTACCGCGCAAGCGGCCTCGGCAACCGGCACTACACCCTCGGCGAGCACCAGAAGACCCCCGTGTACGCGATCTCGCTACACTCCGGGCTCTCAGGCCAACCGGACGTCGTGCTGCATAACGGCCCGCAGTCCTCTCTCCCACCTCTCGCGGCCGCGGAGAAGAGCGCGTGGAGCAGTCGTGGGACCGTGTATCTCCCCCCGCTGCCCGGCGCGGCGGTCGGGAAGAAGGGCGCGGCGGAGGAGAGGTTTGAGAATGGCGGCGGTTTGGGACATAGGACGTTTTCGTTTGCGGTTGAGGTTGGGGGAGGAGGGGGGGTTGGACAGAGGGAGATGTTTGAGTGGAGGCATTCGAAGGGGGGTGCGGTTAAGGGGCTTGATGGACGCAGTGGTGGGTGGAAGCTTGTGAGGTTGGCGATGGGTCCGCCGGTGGGGGTGGATGGTGCGGGGTTTGTGCAGGGCGTGGAGAGGGGGAGTGATGGGCGGGAGGTTGTTGCTGTGGTATGTGATGTTCTTTCTTTGATGATGAGGCTTGAACTCTTACCTGTGGTGCGGATTATACTGACGTCGTGGCATTAGTGGGCCGGGGCTAGCGGAAGCCTGTCGAAGATTTTGAAGTTCCAGTTTCTCGGGTCCGGCGCGAGTGGCTTGCTCGGCGAACGATGGGCGATTATGGCTGTTATGACGGGGTTGAAGATTTGGGATATCGAAAGGCGCGCGAGGCAAGCTGCTAGTGCGAGTTCTGGCGGTGGTGGAGCTTAGGTCGCTGTCGCTGCTGGTGTGTAGTCTCTGGCTGCTGCCTCGGACTTGATTCTTAAAGCTGACTACTTATTCACGGTGGTTTTTGTTTCAGGAGGTTTCTTGGGGTATGTTATGGGAACTCTTCACCTGCCAAGAGACTGTTCTCTGGGAATTCGATATTTAGTATGTACTTATACCCTATGAAGTTCTGTTTTGTCCTTTGAAGATATCTCTCTCAGCTTTTCCTTCTCGTCTCAAGATGTACGTGGCGATCTTTTACTACATTTAATATTCCGAGGTTAAGCATCTCAATGTTGTGAACCCTTCTCTGGCTCTTTTGGTAGATAAATCAAGATAGTATCATGTTTATCTTTACCATACCCGGTGCCCCATACCCGCACAAGCCCATAACGGAACCCTGGTTGACTTCCCTGTCTGCGGCGAGGCTCAGCTCGATGTCGATTGACGTCAAGTCCACATTTTGCATGGAAAATGATATGACATTCTATGCACGTTAGGACCAACAACTTTCTACTTTGGGATCAATGATCCGTTCTCGTCGCAAAAGACCCGTTACTAGTTAGCCTTGTTCCCAACCATCGTATCTGTAATTTATCGTCAACTCCTATTCACCGTGTCTTTGCTCTTGAATGGGTCTCGTATGCTAATATCCTTTAACTTCGCAGTAGCAACTACTGACGACTTGGAATTGTACGAGAAGCTTAGCTTAACGAATTATTTACCATCCGCGCGGTGCGAATCGTTAACGATGTCGATCGACGAATCCCCGTGGAGTAGGCTTCCAGGCATCAAGTTACATGGGGGTGTTGCAGCAGGCCACCATTTGTCAGGGGTGTAGATGGAGTCGATGGACAAGTAGAGTTAATCATGTTGCTGTGCCGCATAGCGAAAACAATATCGAATCAGGGGATTACGCACGACAGTTTCTCTTCGTCTGGAAAGATGTTGATACACGTACTCCCTAACTTGCGATCTCTGCTCACCTTGGCATCGAGCAAAACTTACCCTACGACGTGATAAGTCATCTACATCATCGGTACAAACTTTACTGCCTTCGACCACGCCGACAACGCGCCATTGGGTTCTCAAAAGAAAGGAAAAGCGATATCTCGAATATACAAAATTCACGGCACTACCGCCTTTAACGAGTTCCCTCAACGTTATTAAACAGCGAGCTTCAGCATCACCGCCGCGGGCGGTCTGGTGGCGACGGAGATGCCGCTCAGTACTGGTTCTATCGTCGGCATAGTATTCGCGGTCTTGGGTTTCCTCGCCTCTCTCTCGATACACTATTATTTCCTCCGACGCAAGGAAAAGAGGGAGAAAGAAAAAGAAGAAAGAGAAAAGGCAGATCTCGAGAAAGGAAAGTCGGACGGTTCCACCCCTACGGTCGAGCCACAAGGCCTTACTGCTAAGCCGGAGCTCGAAGGCACCATGCTCGGCGCCGTGATGCCCAAGATGGAACTCGACTCGCAGCCCATCGCCGAGCTTCCCAATATATCGCATGTGAGAGAGTTGGATGGAACGCCGTCCGTGTCTGGGTCTCAGCTTGACCCGAATTCAGCGACTACGGCAACGAGTGCGGATCCTCTTCTGCCGGCGTCGACTAAACAACACGATATCACATACGAATTACCTGGATGATCGATTTTTGGTTCGAAATCTGTCATGTTTTTAGGTGTTTAAGTACACTGGGCGTTTGATATATTGGATGCGTTTGTTGTTACGATTATGATCCTGGTCTGGCGTTTAGCCACGCGGAACGGACTTCCCCAACCATCACCGTCGAAGTCCGAAGCCTCAACGGGTATCATCGGGATCGAATCAGAGCTACGTTATGTTCATTAATACGAAAGACAAAATATAAACAAATAATTGAGATACCCGAACAATTTTGTATGATTGTCCAATTATTGGAATTGTGAGCCATAGCCCTTACTGGCTATTGACATCTTGCGATCATGAAGGATATAATCCTCAAGCCTGGCAGTCATATACCCGCACCAAGACGGCAAGGCGCATCACGGTGTCTTATTTTACTTGGCATGATGCATGTCAGCTTTCAAAGGTTTTGGAATCTAAGCTGCTGATGAAATACACCCCTAGAGTTCTATAACACGACTGATCCTGTATGAATATGGCTCTTGTTAATGCTATTAACAACACCATGATGGGAAACTCATGTTTACGAGAATGTTCTTGTGCTATTAGTCTAGTGACTATAGTACCTGGATACCTAGAATAAGTTAACACTAAGTGGTTTCCATCCATATCTTCTCTATAAACAACCCCGTATCTCAATGCCAGATAGCATATCAAGAACATCAAGGTAAATCCCACCAGCTCTCATGAACATCCCTCAGATCAACCGTAGCCGGATCTTTAATATACGGCGTAATATCAACAGCAAGATCTTCTTCCCTCCTCGTCCTCCCATTCCCAAAATACCAAGCCAACCTATTCCCGCTCTCGGAGAGGTACTCATACTCCCAATCCTCCCAACGCGGGTCCCGCAAGACGATCGTAACCTGCGCCGCGCTGCCGGGCCAGAGCCCATGTATCCTGCTCCCAGGCCGCCCGCTATTATACCACGAGCTGCAATTCTCCGACAATACCGTCGTCTCGAAAAACGCATCCGAGTACGCTACGAAATCATCCGCCGCCTTGCGCGCCGGCTGAACCGTCCTGATTCCCTCGCGCGCAACCTTGCGCAGCAGCTTCGCGAAAAACGTCACCTGCACCTCGACGCTATGCGGCACCGTGCCCGACCTGCCGGACCCATGGGGTCCATGAACGAAGCCCAAGTTCGGGAACCCCGGTGTTGCGACCCCGAGATACGAGTACGGGAACCCGAACTCGCCGTCCCTCTTCCACAGCTGCGATAGATCCTTGCCGTTCGCCCAGATGCTGAAGGGAGGCACTAAATCCACATTCGCGCCCGTGGCGCAGAACACGGCGTCGACGGCGCGGTGTTTCCCGTCGACGGTCTCGATGCCGGTCGCCGTGAAGGCCTTGATCCGCGTCTGGATGTACTCCACGTTGTCCTCCGTGATGGCCTCGAAGTAGTTCGGCCCCGGCGTCAGACGGCGGCAGTGCGGGGAGAAGTCCGGGATGATATTTTCGAAGAGCTCCGGTTTCTTCGCTAGGCGCTTGCGGATTAGCTCCGTGTACTCCTCGCGCGACTTCTGGTTTAGCTCCGACCCCTTGAGCCAGCTGGAGAACCCGCGCCAGTATTTCGATTCGAGCTCTTTGCGGAATTTTACGTATTCGGCCGGGTCGGCGAAGGAGTCCCGCAGGGAGGCGGAGATCGGGATGGGCGTTATGGAGGTCTCGTCGCCGGCGAAGGAGGCCGTTACCCAGGTCTTGTTCCGCGCGTAGTGGTCTAGGTGCTTCACGCGCTTCTGCAGGTTCGCGGTGAGTTGGATGCCGCTTGCGCCGTTGCCGATGATCGCGACGCTTTTCCCGGTTGGGTCGAAGGTAGGGTCCCAGTTAGACGCGTGGCGGAGGAGGCCCTTGAACTCGTTTATCCCGGGATAGTCGGGCAATCTCCAGGCGTTGAAGCGGCCGATGGCTGTTAGGACGAAGTCGAACTCCTGGCTCGAAGTCTCCCCGGTGCTGAGGTTGTGCACTTTCACGTTCCATACGGACTTCTTCTCGTCCCAGCTTATCTCTTCTACTTTCTGGGAGAGCTTCAAGTGCTGGTACACGTCGTACTTCCGTGCAAGTCCCTGCCAGTATTCGCGGATCTCGCGACCCTGGGCGAACTGCTCTGACCATTGCGTGTTGGGGGAGAAGCTGGTTTGGTATACGTGAGCCGGTACATCACACCTGACTCCTGGATATATGTTCTCAAACCATGTGCCACCCTATATCTAATTAGTAGGATTATTACTCCCAGGATGTCGACGGTAATGCTTACCACATCCGCGTTCTTCTCGAATATCGTCAGTTTTATGTTAGGAACCTTTGCAGGAAGGAGTATGCCAGCTAGAACTCCGGAAAGTCCTGCTCCAATGACGGCGACTCTTAGTTGTCTTGGCTCATCAATATAGCGATCCTCAAGTTTGAGAGTTGGGACGGGATAACTAGAGAATTTTGGCTCTTTAAGAAGCTCTTTGGCTGCGTCTTCCACCTTTACTACCGGTATTTGTACACCATTAGTTGGCTTATCTGGGGTTTCTTGGGGCAATAAAGATGTCGTTGCTCCATTTGTATTAGGAGTTTGTTCTAATGTCTCGACAGTCATATTTCTAAACGAGTTGACCACCTTCGTACAACAGAAACAGAAATTCAACTAAATGGGTATTATGTCTATTATGTCTAGGTAATCATCTTAATTATAACAGGCCGGAATCCAAGACTTATAGCCGCCTGACTGAAGTTATCTTGAGGCGCGTTATCATTCGACTAGAGCCAAGTCGCCCACCTACGGCATTTATAGGCCAAGCACGCAATAGGCCCCGCGTCTTTGCACCTCCGCTATAGGACGCCCGGGTAGCAATCAAACTCATGATTGACACCATAACCTACTTGCTACTGTTGTATTGAGGTTAGTCCGATGTCGTGATGCATTTGCCGATATGAAAGAGACATCTCTATATCATCATCAGCTAGGCCCATCCGGAACGTATGACGAGTGTCTATCAATAGCGGCATCGTCAACTTTCTGAATAAATTGAGCAACAACGAGTTTCTTAGCAATATATATCAAAATTAAAAACCTAAAATGGCTTCCCCAGGGGAAAAGAAGCAGATTTTCCTCAATGCATTTGATATGTCCACCATTGGTCACCTCTCCCCTGGTCAATGGAAGGTGAGCATCTAACCCCTTACCAAGATATTTTATTAACAATTCATCAGAACCCCGTCGATAAATCAGCTACAAAGCGCAAACTTGAATATTGGATAGAACTAGCAAAACTGCTAGACAGAGGAGGATTCAATGCTTTGTTCCTCGCCGATACATACGGAGGCTATGATACGTATGAGGGGAGCTTGGACAACTGTATCAGACGAGCTGCACAATGGCCGGTGACTGATCCCACCATAGTAGGTCACCTAATTATGAATATTGTTCAATCATGCGTAAAGAAGACCTGATCATCGTACAACAGCCGATCACGGCGATGGCAGCAGTGACGAAAAATCTATCTTTCGCCATTACCGCGTCAACTTCTTTCGAGCCCCCTTTTCTGCTAGCTAAGCGATTTTCCACCCTCGATCACTTTACAGGTGGTCGTTTTGGGTGGAACATCGTGACCTCGTGGAAAAAAGCGGCTTTCAAAGCCATTGGTCTTGAGAATCCCATCGAGCACGATGAGCGGTACCGTCAAGCCGACGAGTATCTAAAGGTGCTATACAAGTAAGTTATCGTGGTCCGTCACTATGTAATCCGGTAAGGCTTAAAGAAACGTAAATATAGGCTCTGGGAGGGATCGTGGGCAGACGACGCAATATCCCCCGATCCGGAGAACGACAGCTACGCGGACCCGGACAAGATCCGCACCATCAACCATAAGGGGAAATACTTCTCGCTGAACACGCGCCACATCGTCGACCCGTCTCCGCAACGGACTCCCTTCCTCTTCCAAGCCGGGACCTCCGCCGCGGGCTCCGAATTCGCCGCCACGCACGCCGAAGCGATCTTCGTATCATCGCACTCCCCCGCCATCCTGCGGCCCAAAATCACCAAGATCCGCGAGCTCGCCGCGGCCAAAGGCCGGGACCCGCAGTCTCTGAAGTTCTTCGCGACATACACTCCCATAATCGGGCGAACCGACGAAGAAGCGCGGGCGAAGTACGCAGAGCTGCAGAAGTACACGTCAGTGGTCGGGGGGCTAGTCCTCGTGAGCGGATGGACGGGGATCGACCTGTCGAAGATCCCGCTGGACCAGGAAGTGTCGGCGGCGGACTCGCTGGAGGCTCATAAAGTGCGCAGCATCCTCGACGCGTTCACGACGACGAGCGAGGACATCCCGCAGTGGACGCCCCGCGTGATCGCGCAGAAGGCGTCGATTGGCGGGCTAGGACATATCGCCGTGGGAAGCCCGCAGACGGTGGCGGATGATATGGAGAGGTGGGTAAGGGAGGGCGATTTGGATGGGTTTAATATCGGGTATGTTACGACCCCTGGGACGTTCGAGGAGGTTGTCGAGCTTTTGATTCCGGAGTTGAGGAGGCGGGGGGTTTACCCTGAGCCAGCCGAGGAGGGGGAGAGGTTGACGGCGAGAGAGAGGGTTTATGGAAAGGGGCAGAGTGGGTTGAGGGATGATCATGTTGGGGCTACGTATAAGTATGATCGGTATCAGGAGGATCCGCCGTATGTTGAGGATGAAGCTGTGAAGGAGGGGGAGAAATGAGTAGCATAAGAAGGAAAAACTGAAGATGCTCATTTTCTATGAATTTTCATTATAATTGATTGAAGAAGCTTGAGATAGCTTCGTCAATATTCGGCCCATTTGATTGTGCTAGTGAATATAATCAAACGTTTTCGCATTCTAATGATATATTATACTTAATTCTATGAGATTTTCTGATTATTATAAATATTATGATTGATATACTGTTTTTGAAGCAATTCATAGAATAGGGGCTGGTTCTAAGGTAGCCCTTAACATGCCTTACATCTACCCAGCAACCAGAAAATAATTATCAATTATTAAAAGCTATTACTTATCAATTCCCCATCTCCAATTGGCTTGGTATCTTCACCTTCCACCGGAGTACGACGATCATCGCAGTGCAACGGCATACGGGTAACCCCGCGCCAGCTCTATTGCGTGATCGAAGCCGTCGTGTTGCGTGATCACAGCCAAGTGGTCGGAGCGCCATTCCATGCGGATAGCAGCACGCACATGCTACCGACGTAATATCACGTAGTGCCGGCTAGCGGGCAAGGTCGCCGGCATTCGGAGGTGATGATGTCGACTACCAAGGTAGATGTTTAGCTTCGGTATAGACGAGGGGGTATATCACCCGTTCCCCCGGCTGCAGTGACTGAAGTCTTAGTCAGTAAATCAACTTCTATGCCCCATATTGCAACAATTAAACAGGATCGGACGAAATGAGTAGTGATGCAAAGCCGAAGAAGAGCCTTGTGCTCAATGCTTTCGTGATGATGTGTAAGTCTAACCGGCCTAAGAGGAAGGCCTACCAACTTATACCGTATATCAGGTAGTGGTCATCAAAGCCCTGGTTTATGGAGACACCCCGACGATGAATCATGGCGATTTAACGAAGTATCACACTGGGTCGAGCTTGCAAAGTTATTAGAAGAGGCCAAATTTCACGGCATTTTCATTGCTGACGTCCTTGGTATGAGATAACTACCTTGCAGCCAACAATGTTAACTAAATATAATAACTGACCATGAATATAGGGGGGTATGATGTGTATAGCAATTCTTTAGATCCGGCCAAGATCTCAGGGGCTCAATGGCCAGTCAACGAGCCGTTTTCTGTCATTGCTGCTATGGCCGCTGCAACAAAGAGCATCGGGTTCGGTGTTACGGCTTCAACGACATACGAGCAACCGTATCACTTTGCAAGACGATTATCTACGGTTGATCATCTGAGTAAAGGCCGGTATGTTCCATTCTCTCGGCCCCGGTGAACTTTTACTGATTACATGCAGATTGGGTTGGAATGTTAGTCAACACGGCCTATGTAATTTTCTACGTAGAAGTTGACTGAATGGATGTTAGATTGTGACGAGTTACCTTGACTCCGCCGCCAAGAACTTGGGCTTCACCGAGCAACCCAAAGTAAGACCATATATCTTCGATAATAGGGGCGCGGCGCTAAAAAGACCAATGACAGCATGATGATCGCTATGCACAAGCAGAGGAGTACGTCAAAGTCATATACAAGCTCCTCGAGTCATCGTGGCGGGATGACGCGGTGAAACTAGATCGCGAGAAGGGTGTATACACCCAACCAGACTTGGTGAGACCGATCAACCACCGGGGCAAGTACTTCACAGTTCCTGGGCCGCATATCTGCCAGCCCAGCCCGCAACGAACCCCGTTGATCCTCCAAGCGGGAACTTCCCGCGCCGGGAAGCAATTCGCGGCCCAGAATGCCGAGGCGATCTTCGTATCAGCCCATGCCCCGGAAGTGTGCGCCAAAAGCATCGCAGAAGTTCGCGAGCTGGCGAAGACTCAGTATGGCCGGGACCCAACAAACATCAAAGTCCTAGCACTCGTGACGGCGATCCTGGGACGTACCGAAGAGGAGGCCCAGGCCAAACTGGCCGACTACCGAAAATATGCCTCACATGAGGGAGCCCTGGCCCTCTTCGGTGGCTGGACTGGTATTGACCTGAGTAAATATGGGGAAGAGGAAGAGCTGAGACAGGTCGACAGCAATGCTGTGCGGTAAGCATGTCAATGCAAGCCCCTATTATTCCTTCTTGCGTGTTAACTTTAGGTACCTACTCTAGATCTACTGTCGAGGGCTATGCTCGATTTGCGCCGGGGACTTCGAAGTGGACAAGGCAGACTGTTGCGGAGCACGTCGCCATCGGTGGAAATGGGCCAATATTCGTGGGGACACCCTCGCAGGTGGCTGATGGACTCGAAGTCTGGGTCAACGAGGCAGATGTTGATGGGTTCAACTTTGTAAGCATTAAACTGATGTTGCCCCTTAACCAAGCACGCATTCTTACATAGATGGATTTTAGGCATACGCATTGTTCCCTCAGTCGTTCAAAGACATCAGCGAGCTCCTTCTTCCTGAGCTTCGTCGCCGAGGGCTGTTCTGGGACGACTACGCCGTACCTGGAGGGACTTACAGGGAGAACTTCTATCAGAAACCAGGGCAGACAGGGCCGCTTGACGAGCATATTGTTTCGTCGTATAGGTGGAAGGCGGGCGTACCCCCAGGACAACATATCATCCCGGAATAAGAAGACCCCTGAAAATACACACGCGGGTCATGAGATATCACCAATGGGTTTCCAGTGTTGATGATGTGTAGGGCACAAAAGTTCATGTACTTGTAAATTCTCACTTAGGTACCTAGGTAGGTATAGTCGGATAACAAAACAAAAGTCCAAAGTCCTACAGAAGTTAGTAGTAGGAACCTATAATCCACATTCTCTTCCATCCCATTCCTCTCGTAACAATATCGTGTGCTCCATCTAAATCCGACACGTGGGAGGATATACGAGGCAGCCAACGCCCATCCAACCGCCAACAAAACGTAATGCCAAATTACGAGGCTTGAATCGACGTTGTATACGGCTTACTTACGGATTCATTACCGGGCGATCATCACAGCCGCACCGATGCCCAACTCTTACTGGAAGAAAAACGCAATGAGGCCCGATTAAGCAGGAGGGAAAGCAAGAAACCGATATTGACTCGACGAAGGACATTCATCAGATTCAGAGGAGCGTTCACGATAATCCCCCTCGCATCAAAAATAGGTAAACAACGAAACTAAGTACCTAGATATCCTCCCCCTCGCCGTTCATCGTAACTTGATCTCCATCGACGCCACTATCGAAGGATCCGGCTAACGTCTCCCGAATCTTACATAGTACATCCGTACTGCGCCCTACGCCCACTCCCACAAATCGACAGGATTCTCGTGCGTACCCACCGCCAACCGCACGATTCCAAGACCTACATACATGTCTCCTACGTACCTCCCAAGCTAGCAGGACCCGTGCGCACGCACATTCCCAAAACGACCGGCACCGCGTCGCCAGACGATCGCACGGCCGGGAAGGGACATGTGGCTGCCCTACCTAACGCCTCTGGCGTCTTTTCCCGTCTCCCGATTCGGAAACCCCCATCTTCCCGAATCGGGCAGGAAAAAAGAAAAGGGAAAAGGGTAAGAGCACATCCTTTCAGCTGAGTGAGCCGGGCAGGGCTCCTTCGCTCCCGCGCTATGGATATGTCTAGGCTGCTAGGGTAGATTCATGGGGGGGGGTTCTCCTCCCATTCTCGGGAGTTGTAGTAATGAATGAATGGATGAACGTGGCTTTCCAAAGAACGCGATTGTGGGAATGGGAATGGGAAGGGAAATGGGAAGCGGGCGTAGGGCTTTCGTCGCATTCGGGATGAGGACGCTTCACCTCTCGTCCCTAGTAATTTCGCGTGCGTTTTACGACCGCCGCCACCGCCGCCGTCGCCATTCTTTCTTCTTTCCTTTCGTTGCCACCCACGTGTTTTCTTTCGCGGCAGGTGAGCTGAGAAAAGAAACCGGGAACGAAAAAAAAGCCAAAGAAAAGTAAGGGAAAAAAACGTCCGCTGAGCCTCTTCTTTTCCTCCCTGCCGAATACGGAAGCTGGTATGTAGGTAGGTATGTAGGTATGTAGGGCGCAAGGCAGAAGAGGCGTATATTAGCTAGGGGAGGTGTTTCCGAAACTCATCTCATTAAATAAGACGTATGTAGGTATACGCAGGAGATGTTGAGATGGAAAATCGGCATGTCGCTCACGCAGGAATCACACTGCCGACGATCAAATATCAGATCAGCCACAACCACCACCATCACAACCATCACCACCACAACATAACACCCATCATTCGGATCGGAAAACGGCCGAATCTACATTCCGCGACGGGCTGCTGCTCAGTAGTACCCAGGTAGGTAACAACCTACATATGTATGTCTAACATTCTAACGTCTCTGCAACCAACCTTCGCGTTTAGGTGTTAGGTGTTATGTATGGGTATGTAAACCGCAGCGTCGCATCGGCTGCCCTGTATTTATGTATAATATATGTACGTGCTGTTTCAAACAAAGTGCCTCTTATTAAGACCTACCTACCTGTAGACAAGAAACACCCAAAGCCAAGCTTTTTTTTCTCCCCCTTCTTATTCTTCTTCTCCTGCGACGGAGAGGCGCTGCTGCGCCCGGCATTGGTTGGTCCCGTTTTCTGCCGCAGATGGGGTACTGGCTGCTTCGTCGAATGAGCGCGGAGAGAGGCTTGTAATGATGATGATGATGGATGGGGATGGGGATGGTCTGCTGCCTACTGTGCAGTAACAGGTCGCAGACATCGTACTAAGGGACCTAATGTATGTAGGTACCGGGGCGTCGCGCATGCAGTCAGCGTCTCATGCCGCCACAGCGTCGCATCGCAGGTCCGGTTTGGGATGTTTGTCTTGCCCTGCTGCGTGGGTTTTGAGTTGAGTTGAGTTGAGCGAAAAAAAAACACAAGGAGTCCGGTTGCTAATGGCGATGGTAATGGGTAGGTAGGTAATGGTGGTCTCGGGCCGCCTGTTGTGGTCGCGTCGCGTCCAAGTTCGGCGCCAGGAGGGGGTGTCCCAACCCTTCCCATGCTCCATACTCCACGCTCCACGCTCCACGCTCCAATGTCGATGGGAGGTTCCAGCGAGCGGCTTGGGTAACAGTAACGGCGGAAGAGGCGGCCGGCGTTATTGTTACCTACCTATACCTGTCTACGACCTACATACATCCACGCTTACACGTACATGCAGGGCCAGACGCAGCCGGGAAATAACTATCTACCTAGGCAGACGCGACGGACATATTCTCGAAATCTTGGTTACTATTCTTCGGTGAGGGTCGTGGTTCCCGGACTCGTCTTGGTCTGGGTCCTCTCCACTACCTTACCTACCGCTTGGAACACGGGGCTTGCGCGTCGTCGTCATCGAGAGAAGGCGGAAGAAGATGCGAAAGAATACTAAGAATACTACCTTTCTCTTGTGCCGGCACACACACACCACCATCTAGGTTACCGTAAGCATTTTCTTTCTCTCCCTCTCTGTATCGCCCTCTACCAAGGTTCTGAGGGTGAGATTTCCGCCGCGGTCTCGTGAACGGGACGGCAGATGACGCCGGTCGCATTTCCGAGTGAAAAAGGGGAATCTAAATAAAGAAGAGGAAAAAGGTACTAGGTACCTATACAGGTAGGTAGATAGGGAAGAATGTATGTACTGTGTTAGGGTATTGGGTTCATGCGGAAGAAGGTGATAAGTGTTCGTAAGGAAAAATGACCGATTCTGGCTCGAAGGAATCATACCAAGCTCCCAAAAGAGGCCCTGATCTGCGAGCGCGCTTCTCCTACGATTACTTGTACCCCGTGTCGTCATGGTTCAAGGCACAAGGCGCGAGCCGCTACTGCGAGTCATCATGCATCTTGCGATTGATATGCAACTTTCGTAGCGGCTATATGGCACGTATGTAGATATGTATGTAGGTAGATAGGTAGGAACCTGGGATGAAGGCGCCCGTGATGTATGTTTGTATGCATGTAGGTCTAGGTAAGTAAACAAACAAACATGCAGAGTCGCGCAGATCATCCAAGATGCCTTGTCGCATGATTTGGAATAACCAGCTCGACAGAGTCGCCTCCGCTCCTCCTGGAATCGTCCCATAGTGTCCATCTCCGCGAGGTAGATTAAGCTGAGTAGCATTGATGGGGTAGCAGGAATTCCGCCGACTAGCTAAGGAATCCCTCTCACATCCATAGGTACTATTATTCCATATCTTGATGCGGACGTGCACGAAGGATTGCCTCGGCATTGAGAATGCTGTGGCTTTTGTTCTTTCGACTGAAGCAATCCATCCCTAACCCCGGAAACTGGTTAAAAGGCTGACAAGCAGCCGCGAAGGAAGCGAAAGTGAAGCAAAGTGAATCTGCAAGGTTGATCATGCTTGTTCCCCCAAGTGCCGTCGATATTATGCCACGATGTCGGGGCGATGCTGATATAAGCTCAAGCCTTCGAGAACACTTAGCTTACGAATACGCGGATGATGATACCTATAGATCCGTGAATATTGCCCGTTGCGCAATTCCCGTCTTGGCCCCGTCCTATTTCGAGCTCGTAAAGACACTTTAGACATTAATTCTCATCTCATAGTCCAGACGAAGTGGAGAGTTGACAACAGCATCTTCTTAGCTACTCCTTAGTGCAATCCGGTCATACACATCTTGCTAATAATAGCAGATTTAGATCGCGACATCGATATACGCTAGCGAGTAGCAAATCGCGTCAAAGGCGGAACCATAAGCACCTAGAAACCGTCGTCAGCATGTTTATTCTATTCTCGGAAACGCGTTTATGACCTTACATGCGTCGTCCGCCGTTGCATATCCGTTTTGGGATTCATGATATGAGAATGATGATGGATGAGGTGAGAAATGGGGAAAAAAGAAGGGAGAGTAACCACGGATCCACCACCCCTCCCCCCTAAAAAAGGAGTACGAACTCCTCATCTCCCCCGTGGGGGAAATACAGATGAGAGGTGGTGGTTACATGGCGCAATACAGGTCGGATGTCGTTGCATCGCTTGATGGGATAAGCGGTTGGGGCGCGTGTGGGCGCGAATCACCATCTGGTCAGACTCTGCTTAGCCGTCTGGCGCGCGGGTATTTTTTGCATCTCTGCATCTCTGCATCTTTGCATCGAACTACGTTGTTCCCCTCGACTCGTTTCCCCCGTCACCCTTCCTCGCGTATCGTATCCTCTCGTCCGGGTACGGCAGTCGGAGGTAAGTAAGCAAGCAATATGTAAGTGGGTATGTATGTAGGTAGACATGTATGTATGTATGTAGCATGTACCCGGTAAGTAGACGTGAACAAGTATCGTGCATATGAGCCCGGACATTGCTACGTATCTAGGCGTAGGTGACACATGTGGCTTGCAGTCGTGTCGCCGCCACGACTCGGATAAGAAAGCCATTCTCTTGGCTTATGAATCACTTGACGCTTCTCCTCCTTTCCTTCAATGCAATAATCGTCGAACCTGCAACTCTTAGCGAGCGAACACCTTATTCCGTACAGCCCTCTGGAGTCTCACCTCTCTGTTGTGCGACCGTACCGACGAACCTATATTAAGTAACCGACCAATCTTCCCGATCGCCTGCGCGCTGTCGTGCTTAATAAGTCCAGCTATCTCCAGCCCTTTCCCGTGTTACCCAACCAAGACCAGTCGACAAATCATTAAATCTCCGATAATTGTCAAGCCTCCCCAGCCAATAGCGTCCCCCTAGTAATATACGGTACATGTACAAGTAATAATACGAACCTCCTGGCCGTCGGAAGAACAGGTGAGGTAATCTATTAGGATACGCGAGAAACTATCCGCTTCTGGTGACTCTGCGTCTCTTTGCATGAGGCTCTCGGCAAGAGCCTCTCGACAAGCCATGTTCATACTAATATCCGTTTTCGAAAAATATCGGGAGGCGGTGGGTAAAGGTTTCAGTTCGTCATCGGATTGATCGTTACCGTCTTTCTGAACTCGACTGTGACTATGGCTATGACTATGGCTACCTAGGTATACTATACACCGCCCGACTAAACTCCTAGTCTTGTCCCCGACTTTAAAGACGCCTACCCCCTTTTTCACATGGTATCTATTGTAATGTACAGGCTCAAATGCAAATTTCCCCAATGAAAAAAGTAATAATGTTGAAAAAAAAAGTCCGGTGCCCAGAAACTCCAGGTCCTCTTTTCCTGACCCTAAATTATCCACACCGTAGAATGCTTTTAAACCGTCGTTGTGTCCCCAAGTATGCAGATGGATGATTTAATACAGTTGTGATGCGAGCTATTAGTTACAGCGAATTCCAGATGATCGTCGTAGCCGAACCATCTCATCCTAGACTGCCTTCTTGACTGTGTTTTCAATGTTGGTGTGGCGTATATGTACCCAGGTGGGTAGTCGTTTTGCGTGTTCAGCCGAGATCTCGATATCTCGGTACCGGAGGGGGAAAACTACCCTCTTCGGTTGTTAAATTATCGCGTGCTAAAAACGTCTAGGATGATCTAGGCAAGATTGGACATCCCAATTTTGTCTGTCGTGGGATTTGAGCTCGCTTCTAGAATTTAGCATGAATTCCCCCTCTCCTAAATTCGCCTCGGAGGCTGAAACGCGGTCGGACGCCATTATCCAACACGAAAATGTACCGCCTTAATCAGTTTCCCGTCCAGGACCAGGATGGCCCGTGGCTGATCCTACCCCAGCTGCACCACCACCACCACGCGACCTGTCATCCGACGTCGACGGCGAATTTCGTCGTTCGCTCTCGCCCTGCTGCGCCCTCATTTCCGAAGGATATCGTGGCGACGGTTGATCCGATAACAACGACGAAACCGAGTGAGCACCGCTCCGAGGTTGCTGTTGCTGTTGCGACGATTCGCCCATACCGGCCTCTCTCGACGGCCCGAGGCCAGGTGAAAGTCCTCTGTGAGGACCGAAAGATTCAATTCGACCGCGTCCTGCAGATCGATAGGATGAAATATCACTTCTCTGCCGTGAATGACCTCGTCGTCGACCTGGAGGGGGGTTTGATAACGTTGATCCTCCGTGCTGCCCGAAAGGCGGTGATCTAAACCGCGGTTGGCTTGGCGGAGGCGCTGGTTGCTGGGGACCGGTCGCTTTTCGTTTCTTAGGCGATTCCACTAATTATCCAAAGGCAACATTAGCCAAGACAAGTCTTTTTTTCACTTGCTCGTTTTGGATTTTGACAAACCAGAAGGCGTTCCTGGCTGATTAGAGCCTCCGTGCGTAGTCGGTGGTTGCCAATGATGGAAATATATCGATGGTGACTGGGTTTCTTGCTGTTGAGGAGCTCCTTGTTGCTGCGCTAATGCGTGTGCTGGGTGAGGGATACCAGACGGCCCGCCGGGCCCTTCGCCAGTACTTAGTCGAGGTAGAGCAGAGCCTCCCAACGGTCTTCCTACAGCTCCACCCATCCCCATTGTGTGCGCTCTCGGTCTCGGGGAGCCGGGTCCTGGATAGGGAACAAAGCTCGCCTGGGCGCCCGTTCCAGACCCAGGCGTCGATGGAACTCCGTAGGGCTGTCCTCCGTATTGTTGAGACTCTCTCCGGGTCTCCGGAGATAAACCCCCTTGGGATGGCATAATCTGTCCTGCATGCGCCTGCTGCGGCATTAGATACTGTTGCGCCCATTCGAGAGCCGCCTGCGGAAGTACTCCGCCGCCCATTCCAGCAAACACGACTGGCACCATTGGCGGCGGGATACCGCGATCCAAGGATGTTCGGAGCATATCATATTCCAATCTCCTCTGTTCTAGGCGCAACCCCTCTTGCCGTGTCTTTTCTTCTTCCTGTCTCCTCCTCTCTTCTTCGGCCTTTGCCACTAGCCAGGTCCTCATCGACTCCTCGGAACTCTGGTGTGGGGGCGGCGGTAATGCACCAAGCGATTGACTATGCGGTGAAGGGATTGGTTGCCCTTGTGAATGTAAAGGTGGCCCCGGGGCTGGTGGGTGAGGAGGACCAGGAGCCGGGGGCGGTGGTGGTTGAGCTAATGTCATGGCTGCCGGGAGAGGCAGGCCACGGTGAGGCGCTGACATGGGCTTGGTAGATGGGCTCTGCTTCTGCGGGAAAGCTAGATACGGCTTCTGCAAAGGGTCCTGGATACTCAAGGGGGGCGAGGATCGAGGCGGCGTCGGTAGGTCATGGACAGGCCGGTACCCGTGATGAACTGGCTGCTTGGATGTGAGCATCATCTCGGTAGTAGAGGCGAAGAGAAACTAGACGATGACGTGGGGATGCATGCTGGGGGGTTAGAAAAGAGCCGGGCGACAAGAAGTTGAGAGTGTATACAGGAAACAAAGAGGTGGTGAATAACCTTTGCATAAGAAAGCTGGTGGTGGCGGCCAGCTAAGAGAAGGGATAGGATACGATCGGGGCTTATGGAACTTTCGGATCCTTAAGCCCAGCCTCATTTGAAGATCGGTGCCAGACACATGGGTAGTACTTTCTAAAGGATTAACTAGGGGGGGAGGAGAGGAGTTGTGGTAGTTTGTTGCGTGGTATTTTGGGCGTTGCAACTGGACATGCGCCGACACAGCAGCGGTCGAGGAACCCTGGACGTCCTGGAAGGATCGGTGCCCAAAGTAGCTCCAAGTCTCGGGAAACACCAGGTGGGAAAGATCTTGGAACGGGACGATAATGTGAGCCGATAGACAGATTCTACCACTTGACGCCGTTTTAGGCAATGCCCGAAGCGGAAAGTAGACGTCGTCCTGAGTGTGGAGTAAACGAGGACCGGGCTTATCTAGAAGGTAATATGCGAACGTATGGATCTGGGAGATTTCATACAAGAACCGTAGTTTGCCTGTCTAACCGGATAGGAAGGAAATGAAAATTGAGAAGAAAACTTAGGCAGCTGGACCGGATAGTTGGAACAGCCCTTAGTACCGGGTCCGTTTACGCAAGCCGTGATGAGAATCGTCCGAATCAGAGGTAACCACTCGCTGTCAAAGTGAGCCGTTGCCTAGGCATGTTAGGTGAAACCGTTACTAGCAAGAAACTAAGTGGTCTAGGTCGCCAGTTCGAAGGATGGCTAGGTAGAGAATAGAGAATAGGAGGCTAAGGTGAGAGGGAAGAGAGAAGAAAAATCTGTCGAATAGCAAGCTCGAGAGCTAGGGAAGTTAAGCTACGCAGTGTTAGTTCGAGGTAGAAGTTGAAGAGTGGCTGAAGAGTTGACGAGGCGTGCCCGGGGAGAGGAGGAAAGAGGAGGGGAAGCCTTCTTTTCACGCCACTACAATGACGAGGCTGATCAAGCTGGTGAGTACAGATCAGATCAACTTGGCCTGTCCTTGCCCTCCGTTAATTTTTTCCCAGGGTTGAGAGGCCCTGTCCCTCGCACAATAGGGCAGGGTTGCCAGCCCGACCTTGGACTTTGGGATGGCGTGTTTATAGGGCTAGTGCGGTATCTTTTCGCCGCAGGACCCCTTTTCTAGTACCTCTTTCCACGATAAATACATAAATACCTCCTACACAGCGACATAGTAAACGACTGACCTACCCCGTTTCGAACTCGAGTCTCGAAGGAAGCACAGGACCGGGGGTGGAAGACTTGCCATGCAGGGTCGATCCCTCGACGTCGGAAAAAGAATGTCAAGGAGGATCCAAGAATGAACGAATCAGCAAGTGTGGGGGGTGTGGGAAGTATTAGCAAAGCGGCTACCTAGCACCGTTTAGCTGCTTGCTTGACTAAGTGAGAGAGGTGAATGGCGAGTGGTGAATGGTGAATGGAGGTGGATGGATTAAAGAAGTGGAGTCTCGTAGAAGAGTGAAGACTGCACGGCGCATATGTGGGCAGATGGGACGAAAACTAATAAATAGACGCTTTTCTGCTGTAAGACGTGTCAAGAGTTCGAGACTTTAGGATAGGACGGCGCAGGAGAATTCTCGCGAAGAGATCTAGAATTCGGCCGATCTCTTTCCTATTCTTTCTTCTTCGTAGCGCTCTACTAATTTTCCTTCGTAGAATGTAGATTGTGGGTTATGGATTGTAGGTCGTAGGTCGTAGGTTGTTAGTTGTAGGCGAGCAAATGTGTGTAAGTGGGAGGAGTTTGGAGTTTTCGTTTTACCAGGTTAATGGGTGAGTTTGGTAAATCTACATAGTATAAAATACCTACATACCCTATGTAAATACCTGGATATAGGCAATACTAGGCACATAACCTACGAAGCTAGGTTCAGGTCTAAGTATATATACGTTATGTATTTTATGTCTTAAGTATACATGGCATATAATATACGTGTGTGTGTGAGGGTAAGTACATCCATAGGTAAGAATTATGTATAGACGTTATGTATATGCGTATATGTAGTTAGGGAATCCGGCAGAGACCGTTGGTAGGTGCGAAACTAATATGGATAGGTCGAAAGGGGCAAGTACAGTGCAGAATGTACTTGCTCAATGCTCTATACCGGCTTGGGGCTTGGGAAAAAAGCGTCAGCAGCTGAAAAGTGGAGTTACTTCGCGCTTGAGGTATGTGGATAAGTACATAGTTACAAAAACATCTACCTACCCTCACTACTATGCGTACTTCTGATAGAAAATAGCCTAGAATCATTGGCTACTTTCTGGGCTGAGCAACATACATCCACTTACTTACATACATACATATGTACCATACCATAAGTACTTTCTATACCTAGTAGGAGGCCGCCTCAGACGAGACCCAACTCTCGAGTCATGCCGCGAGAAGGGATGAGAAGGAGTGTACAGAATACAAATAACTGATATCCTCTAGTCTTTCCCCCAGTCAACAGAGCCGTAACCCAGGTTAAGTCGTTGTTTGTGTGGGTGCGTGCGTGTACATATGTATGTAGGTATGTATGTGTGGCTGTACGAAAGAGACATCTCTACCTAGTACTTTCTACTACATGCCTTGAAGCTCTCCCACTCCCACTCTCCCCCAGCTCGTGTACCCCAGTTACCTGTGTGCCGTATGTATGTTGTATGTACAAGACCGAGAGAAACTAGAAACTTGCTAGGTCGGGACGTAAGTACTCCATACCGTGCGTGACTGTACGGAATCGACGCCGGTTCTTCCAGTTTAGCGTATGCAAGCATGTAGGCATGTGTATGTATGTAGGTAGTCTGCATGGAAGAATGTACTCGATAAAAAAAAATCAAGCTTAATGCAGGCGAGTAGGCACGCAACGAGTTTCAATCCAACTTGCTGTATTCCAGATCAGAGTATGATATTGTAGACACCCAAGTATGAGATTTGAGACTTTTGTGCAATGTAACCTATATAGTACCATAGCTTGGGTAGTTTCCTGTCTCTTATGTGTATGAAGAATGGTGTTTTTCATAAAATATCAAGGCATCATACTTAGCTGACATGCGTCCCCTACACGGCTGGAGTAAAAGCAAAGTATGCACGATGGCGGGGTCTTGCGATTATTCCTCAAAACAAGGGGTTCGCTCATCCTGTAACCAACCTGGAAGATTCCAACGCCAACGGTGTAAGCTGTAAGAGAGTTGTGAATATTCCCGATCTCGCAACAACTTGATAACGCGCAACGCGCAACGGGAACAAACAATCCTAGTATCTTGGCAGCTGACTTCCTCTTTGGAAAGATCAGCATTACCCGTATACCTAGGATCAGAGTCTATGTTAGGTAGGTCGAAGAATTGCCTAGGTAAATAAGATATACGAACAACAGTAATACAATTACCATATTACATTAGAGAAGTAAAGTTCGATTCTGAGGCTGCTGCGGTCGCGTGGCTGCGGTGCTTGTCCCTTGCCTAGGGGGAGCCTAACTAGTAGCAACTTAGGAGAGATCTGACCTAAACCATCAGGTAGAACGTACCTGAAAAAAAGAGATGAAAAAAAGGTGGTGATTTATTTACATACTTAGTAAGAACGCCGTGTCTCGGGACCGAAAGTCTTAACCGTGTTATGTTGTTTCGATTATGTATGGGTAAAGAAACAATCTGGTCTACTGTACAGATCTATAGGGATTGAGCAATCAAAAGTCGAATAGGTCAGGTATTTGCATATTTGCATGGTTTCGCCTTCTCGCAGCCCTTGTCGGCAATGTTTCATAGTCAGCCTGATTAGGCAAGTCGATCTTTCATATTTAGACGTTTCAACTAAGGCGGAAGACTAGGGGGTTCGGGGAATTGAAGGAGGGCTGCAATAACGTGGTAGTTACTCGTCACATACAGAATACATACATTTTACATATTACATATTATTACATGTATAATATGTAGTACATAGTGTATAAATTGCGGTCATTTTCCAGAGTCACTCTGCCGGGTCGACCATCCCAGTCCGCGGAATGAGAATTACCTCATCTAGATCCGACATTCGACATTGGACCAATGCTGTTATGTGGAAAGAAGGAGAAAAGAACCCGCTCTGAAACATCGATCATGTACTTTACTATTTTTTTTTTACGACAAGGGTTTCGGATTTTCTATGCCGGGGGTTGACAATTATGTCGAAATAGGGAAAGGCTATCGTTGTTGCAGACATTTCAGTGGCGGAGCGTAGGGCGATTGACGATTGACGGGAGGGGTTTATGGGTTACAAGGTTACAAAGAACCAAAACAGTTAGATCGGTTGAGACTAAAGGAGGGGCAGAATGTTCGAAAATCCGCTAAGCCACAAGAATTCTTTTCACTGACTGCTCTTTCTCCCTCCTTCTCATAGGATGACGAGGGATCATGGCTTAGAAGGTTCAGTCTGGCAGTCTGGATGAGTACTTCGTACATACCTCAAATCCCAGCGACCCTAAACATGCAGCCTAAGTGCTTCACACCTTACATGGGATAACATGAACATGAACATGGATAACATGGGTTGCATGCAGAAATCTGGTAACGCTGCTTATTTACACGAAGCTATCGCCCAATGTCCATGTCGCATTTTCAAGAGTTTCCATCCTCTTGTCACGGCCTTGATAGTTTTAGAATCGAGTCCTTATAATTAACCAGTAATTATGTTGGTAAGATTCGTCGTAACAGATAGACTCAGATGCGACTACTCCCAACCGAATGCGGTCCTCTTGTCTTTTTTCCATCACATCCAGCTCGCCCAATTCAAACCCCGTAGTTTCTTCCGTACTACATATGGCACCCCTCCGTGTAAGCCAGCATGCCTAGGTACTTACCTATACATATTTACATGATGTATGCTGTATTAGTGCCATGCTCGACCTGGCCCTGGACCACTTCCTTACCCGGATTTAACTCCTTGTCAAGGCCTTCCCGTGTGTGCTGAAAACAGTGACTATGTCGAGTCATCAGGTGATGGATATAAATGCCGGCATTTAAGGTTGCTTTCAACCTTAGTTCATGTTTGGTTTAGAGCCCTGTCGAAGACGAAGAGTTTACCGTATGTGCAAGGAATACCGCGTGGGTTTTGCATTGATGCTACTGCCACTTTTGGACATGTTCGCCGTTGCGATTTTCGTTACTACATGGTGGGAATTTCAGCTCGTGCCTAGTTCATCGACGCCATAACCGAATGTTGCCGCTTGGCGTTAGACGAAAATCTGGTACGCGGAAATCGTTAGCTGTCTCCCCTACAGCGTATAGCCGCAAACCGTTTATAGGATAGTATCTATCGCTATAAGTCGATACGTCAGTTTGTGGCTGATGATGGACACAAGCAACATGAGAGCCTCACTGGACGTCGAACCTTGTTATCGATGGAGTAACACAGGTGCGGCACACAAATCCAATGCTAAGGATTCAATAAATATCTAAGATTCAGAGTTCCAAAGTTCATCCGTAAATGAGCCAGCCAGTTCTCGAATTACGGCGCAGTGGTTGACAACCTGGCTACCGTCTGCACGAGCACGTGTAATGTGGTGCAGCACAGCGTGTAACCAATAATTCCTGGGTAAACAGATCGTCCCTCAAACATGCCTAGCTCTTCTGCGGCGCACCTCGTAAACATTGTCGCTCGTATGGGCCGTTGCCTTAACATTTGATGATTTATGACGAAAGGCGCAACCATTACCAATCGCTTCTTATCTGTGAGACCGGAACTTTTTTATAGGCAAATGCAGATTCTGTCATACAGCAGCATTGGATACGAAGCACGGGCTCGATATTTATATGACCTTAGATGCCTATCAACATGTATAGCGTCTACTACCCATTCTCGTGTTACCGAATACACATAACTAACGATAAAAGATTCGACGAATCCCATCAAGCAAACACTCAGGTAGAACATTGAAGGCGTTTATGAGAACGTAAGTGGCTGTATACATACGTGTATATTCTAAGATATCGATTCAATGAATTGATATCTTTACTTATCCACATACATACCTACTTGTTACTTCGTACTTATGCATCTCATGCGTCTTTTAGGATATGCATCATTTATAGGCAGTAATAAAAGGCAACATACAAACAAGAAAAGAACACAAAATTGAAGATGTACAGAATAATGTTAAAGGATTCTATTAAAAGTTTACTAGGTAGAGCTAGAACTAGAGATACGAGAGTACTTACGTCTCGTAATTCCTAAAAGGGGAAGACGAAACGTCAGTCGACCAATCAGCAATAGGCCACATAGTATATGTCTTGGCCGGGATAGCTGGCTGCTGGTAAGCTAAAAGCTACTAGGTACTATTAGGTGACAGCTACTAGGTAGTAGCGTTCTGCAATGTATAATGCAAAATTGCATAATGCGCATAATGTATTATACCAATACCGCATAATGATTCTATTATACGTATAACGGAACGGAGAAACCTTTCGGCCCCATATATACTCCACATACAGGGGTTATTCATATATCACATACAATTTTATTTCAAAATAGCTTCAAGTTGTTCAATCAATCAACCTAATTACTATTAAAATTACCTACACAACCTCGAAAAAAATAGATACAAATCTGAAACAACCCTATCCAATTCTCAAGTGATCTAGTAATTGTCTATAGCTTTCTTATTCCATGCGATCGATTTATTCATCGATAGAATTCAAAGAGATTTAGAAGGCGCGTTTGTACGTAGGTACCCAGCTTGTTAGTTTTGATCTAATCTTATCGATCACTTGGAAAGTCCTGTATGTATATAATTCTGCGCCCAGAAAGCGCGTTCAGAAAGAACTGAATTAGAGATCGTACTTAATAGATATCCTTTGATCAATTGAGGCATCGTATGTATTAGAAAAGGGAGAAAATCGTCGATTAGTGGAAGTTTTTGGCCTCGATACCACATTATACCGTTTATTATACACCTTTAGTATGGGTATAATGGTATAATGTGGGGTGTATAATATTATACCGTATAGTGCCCTCATTATACGTATAATGCAGAACCCTACTAGGTAGAAGCTGGACCTAAGCTACAACCAACATTTGAATAATAAACTAGGCAGGCTCGAGTAGAGACGGAAATGTATTCTTAAACCTTGTACGACCCCTAAGACATTAGCACAGTATATGCATCACCGTGCCATGCGTACCTTCTCAAAATGTTGGCTCTTACGTTTTCGCCCAGTTTGGAGATTAGGGTTGTCTGATGGAGACGAAGAGACGAACTTTGAAACGACCACCTTCAATTCTAGACTTTCTCAACTCCAAAGAGCTAAAGATGTTACGATTGTATCATCCCTTGAACACTTGTTTCCGGCCCCGCGCTCCGTTACCGTTGCCAGCCCTTTCGCATCATCTACATCATTGTAGTGACAAGAGGCAGGATGTACTATGTATGTTGGTAATGGGTAACTTGAACGCGCCATGCAAATCAAACACCAACTCGGCAACCTTTGCGATACTAGCCGATGTTTGGATTCTAATCCGTAAATCCGAGACTCGGCCAGAGCCAAATATACTACCTAGCGATCGTATATGAGTACGAAGATTGACACGTTCCAACCTGTCATTTCGAAGGGGGTTTTATTATTGCTCTCCGAAGTTTGTATGTACGAGTTATGAGTAAGTGTTTACATTTCATCTTATTAGATTCCGCAACTCATCCTTGGGGGCTTACTATCTGTACAATACGAACATGCAGATAGAAGATACTGGGCTGATCTACACATAATCTCTGGTAGCGACAGCGAACTAGTGGAACCTATGAATGTTCCAGATCGAAAGCACTGTCCAGTTCCGAGCCGGAATTATACAGCGCGGCTCTAAATGAACAACAGCAAAATGTCTTAGGCAGACTATGCAAGTTCATCGCGATGCTCGAGAACAGCTTGATACGTACGCTGCAAAGCGTCGGCTTACGGATGGGGTTTCCGCATTGGGGTTATTTCCTCCCTTCTAGCATCTGGCTCTAAGCGGCAGCGGTTCCTATTGCTCGGTAACTTCCATACCTATACCGACCCAGTTAGGTCATTGCCCTAGGTTGATGGGTCATACACTTTGACCCGGTAATTGTCGCCTTACCAATTATAATTCGGGTCCCCAGGACTCGCTGTTACAACCGAATGGACCTCGAGACTGGAGATAGTGGAGAGCCAAGAAGACGCACAACAGCGGATAGTCTAATGTTAGTTTATTCGTAGCCGCCGACAACTTGAACCTTCTCGGGCAAGCTAACCTTAAACTATTCGACTGTAGCGTGCCCCGTTCCCTACATTTATAGCCTAAGCGTGTACTATGTATGTAGGTACCTCCCTGTCACGAGAAACGTCGATATCGCTAATACAGGCAGGCACTTGACAACGCTCTTGTGCTTAGAAGTTGGTAACGGTCCACTTACGGCATCGAGCAATCCCTCAGCAAACCGAGCCGGCAGCATGTGTGGAATCTGAGCGGACTTCCGGAGAGCAGTACATGTCTACCTAGGCATTTACTTTGCAGCAGGCTAGCTGCCGAGAAACGCATACTGCATTGGTGATGCATCCGAAGCGAAGATTGTAATCAACGTGTAAGCAAGAACTGAAATAGAAGGTATTACTAAACTTGTGACATTCATTTTTTCTGATATTTCCAGCTGACCGACGTCTCTAGGAAAAGCTTCTCAATAATCTCTTAATAGCATCTAGACTACTAACGTTTGATATCCAAACAGCCGAAATAACCACAGATCAGTGTATCTCACGGGTTCCTCATTACAACAATCCCGAAGTTACCACAGACGAGACGTAAGGGTTGATTGCCTGATTCTTATAGCCTCTTTATTTCCTCAGAATGGTCTTTAATACCTAACTTGGGACTCACAAAAATAGCGTCGTCGCTACCCTCGTGACATCCACGAAGTCTCCTAATCATGCATTCCTCGAGCAATGCCTATAGAGAATTACCAGTTCTCACCAACGTGAGCAAGTTTGTATAACTCAGAAACCGAGGTCCGACCTTATGCGGGATGAGTGGTTAAGTATCCATTCTGGCATGAGTTGGGCGAACTGATTGTCACCAGTCCTGCGTACCAGGTTCATTCCTGCCTAGGTGGCGCCTCTTAGAAAGGCAAGAATCCCGGGAAACAGCATGTACCTAGTAAAGCAGGCTAGCGGCTACGGCGGCCGATCGTTGACCGCAACGCGAGACCACGAGATTCCCAGTCGGGATGTCAAAATATCCTACATGAAAGCGTGTGGTACACGACATGCAAGCATATACTGGCAACCTTCCCATATTCCTGGCCCGCGCCGATCCTTTACATATGAACCTTGACCATGGCATTGACAACTATGTAATCAATACGTTTTGGTCAGCCTGTGACAGACCTAACAGCCACCTCTACTACGATTATCCCTTTCATCACAACGGCCAAACCTTTAATTTACTGAAGCAGTTGTCTGACCAGATCCTGCACAGAGAATTTGGAATTATTGGAACTACCGCTCATTCGAAGTCTCTTTTTACCCCCACAAGATAACACGGCTCGCCATATTTGTGTGGACGCCACATCCTTCCGCTGTTACGGCCCCGTATCGACCGGAAAAGCGATTATCAGATCTATACAAAAAAAATTTGCTTTTTGCCATTGGATTGGATCTTAGATACGTGGCTGAAACACGCTATCATGACGCCTCCCGCTTTTCAAGGACGTGGCATTCCCTGGTGACATTCTTTACTTCACTCCCACATAGGTTAGGTTCCGAGCCTCGCGTGTGAAAAAGGAAAGAAGAAGTGAAACGGATCAGGCACGTGCTATACTTTTCTCGAGCCGCAATATTCCTTGTATCGTCGGTTGCCTACTTTCGAGCCTGGGAACTCCATCAAGAAAAGTCCAAATAGGTGACTCCGTCAAGTTGAGCACCCGGGACTCCGACTATAAAGATTATTGGCCCTTAGATCTAGGGGGCTTGTCCTTGCCCATACAAGGCAATCAACCTTCGGTATCTATATACACGATATCTATTTTTCCAAGATTCGTAAATATTAGCTACTGCGTTCACGGCCCTTAGCTTCGAAGGGCGCAAGCCACTTTACTAGCTAATTTGGTTTGCTTGACTAATTAATAACGACAAGCCTCAAGATCTCCGAAAAGGGCATCCCTAGAAACTTAGTACCCCGACCGTTTGTGCCACCTGCTGTTTTCGTCCCTTGATGACATTTGCCCGATCGACGAAGGTCCCAACCGCGGGATAATCTAGTTTAACCAAGAAGCGGCCGGAGATAAGGCCACCGCGTAATATTTGTTACACCGATTCTATAGGGCCTCGTCTTCGCATCTGTCCCGATCTACATCAAGTATCACAGATCACATAGGCGATCACGGCTGTATTTTACGGCGGACCGACTATCACGGCTTATTAACCCGTCCCGGGCTGTCGGGGCTATAGAGGTTCATACGAAAGTTCTGCTACGTGCTAACTCATTAACCTAACTTGGCGGCAATAGGCTAAAGCCTCTAGCAGTGGGTCAACGAGTTAAAAAAATCTATAGCGCCCCTTTTATTTTATTTTCCTTCGGGGAGTTTCTCTTCTAATCTTTTATTCCCTTCCCCTCTTGTTGGAGTAATTCTTATTTCCGGTGGACCGCCTCGGACCGACTGGAAATCTCTACACAAACCTCTAGGTTACTACTTCTTTTATTTTTTAACTTTTTTTTCTCGCTCCGTAGCCTCGGGCCTTTCTGTGTGGGCGCCCCCTAGTGGGACAGGGCGCGTATGTCTTAACTACTGCTGCCGCTAGCAGCGCCTCTCAGCTACCGTTCTAAGACGTTGACGGATCTGCATTTTTCGACCGGCGTGGACTGGCGATGGGGAAATGGGTCTTCCACGTGGAATTTAGAGTCATGTAAGTATCCGCGTAGGTATGTGGTATGTGGAACTTCTCATTAGCGAGACGTCGTCACCAAAGGGGAATAAGCCACCATCTGTCGTATGTAAGTCGGCGCTATCATAAGCGCTCACCGTAGGCTTTATATAGGTAGACTATAGCGTATACAGCACCTACCTGAGATAGTAGTCACATAAATCAGCGTGTCCAAAGATTTGTTCTTTATTCCTAAATACGTATTCGCGTGTCTGGGGACTCTTGACACAGGGCTAATAATCAACCGGCCAAGCCAATCCGACCAAGTGGGAGGAAGGGAGGTCTGTCTTTCTTCGACTTCCTCCCTCGCCCCTGAATAGCAAGCAGACCAACCAACCCGCCTTCCACGAAGCGAAAAATGTATGCTTGCTTCGGTCGTGTAGTAGGTAGGTACCTAGGTATTCGTCTAACCAGCGAATATCGTCGCCCAAAATCGTCTCACATAGCCCAACTCACCCCATCCCGGAATGAAACCAAGACCGCGTAAACTTCGCGCGTGTGTTTGTGTGTGTAGGTACCTAGGTATATATGGTATATGTGCGTGCGTGCGTGCGTGTCGTATGTGTGTATGTGTCCCCTCATCATGCGTACGTATTCTATCAATTCGTGATGATATATGATCTCAACAAGCGAGGCAAAAACGTGCCTCGCTTCTCGCCAGACACATTAGAAAAGCCATTCGAAAATATTCGTCAATCGCATCTTCCCATGATATTTTTTGCCATTACAGAGACCCCATAGTCCGAAACATGTGATAATCAAAGACAATTGAAAACATTGGAAACATTGGAAACAAAAAGGGGAAAACGGTAGAAGAAGAAAAACAAAAGGATGCCCGTGTATGCTCCATAATCCCAACACCAGAATTTCGCCCCGGCCGCCCCCGTATGCCTTGACCGTGACGATTAGATATACCGATTTTTGTGTGGTAGAAACAGGATGCCCGCAAAGTCAACCGTGGACTCGTACGTGCGAGAAGTGAAGAATAGAAGAAAAATAGATAACTAGAAGATGTTCTAGACAAGCTAAGTATGGGAGCCTGTATGCAATTTCGTTCATGGATGAAGTCATTCTATCCACGCCAAGAAAGAAGCATTCATGTTGACTACCTAGGTAGTTATGCATGATGTTTCTATAAAATGCGATGGGATTCCTCTCAACCATCTCGAGATAATTCAAGTTTCATTCGGACGCCTACAACTCCGGAATGCGTCTATTTGGGATTCAAACCCTCTCCCGATTAACTACCGGCCCGCCTGCAAATGTATCAAGTAACGTCAATCCTATAATAAATCATCATGACTCGTATCGCTTTCTAGAAGAGACGAACTGCTTGAATATGGTTTTGGGTTCTTTTTGGTTAAGACAGCTTTCGGTGACACGATCTTAGGCTCACTATTATTCCGGCTCTTCGTCAACTTCCGTGGTCGTCGCGTTGTCGGAGAAACGGCCTCATCCGACGTCTTGTCGCTGGATGAACCGCTGGGAGTGTAGGCAGAGTCTATGCTCTGCATTGGTATGATTAGAGGTGGAGAACGGGTCATAAAGTTGAGCGGGTTCACCGTAGGGGGACTAGGGACGGGTGTGACGTTGCTATCCGAGGATTCCGTCGGTGTTGTTTGCGTAGATATAGGATCCGGATGGTGTCCAGCAGGAGGGGTTGGGGGTTGGAGGATTCCTGTAGTGTAGGTGTCTAACTTTCTCTTTAGTAAATCTGCCTTGACTGGTTTGGCGAGGTAGTCGTTCATGCCCGATGCTAGACATCGTTCTCGGTCGCCTTGTATTGCTGAAGCTGTCATGGCGATGACTAAGACTTTTCTCACTTCCTCGATGGGATCCTTTCGGAGAAGTGCTGTGGCTTCATAGCCGTCTAGAAGAGGCATCTGTACATCCATCAAGACCACATGATAAGGAATACCCTCTGTGGCCTTCTGTCGTAGACCTTCTACTGCCTTGAGCCCGTTCTCATAAGCATCGACCTTGTCGTATCCAAGCTTGTGCACAAACTTGATGGCAATCTTCTGATTGATGAGGTTATCTTCTGCGATGCAGATGCGAATTTGATCTTTTGGAATCTTTGCCAAGTCCATAACTGGATGCAACAGATGCTGGTTGTGTGATGGCTGAGGGAAGTCGCGTCTTCCTCCAATAGCTGAGGGTGTAGTAACGGGTTGGGCTTCTCCTGCCGACACATCGGGTGTCGTCTTGTTGAAGGTGACCGTGAACCAGGCTTTCGTACCCTTATTTTCTATACTCTCCAACTTAATCTCCCCCTTCATCATATTCTCAATGAGCGATTTACAGATGCTGAGGCCGAGTCCGCTACCGCCATATTTGCGAGCAGTACTTGCATCCGCTTGACTGAAGGGCCTGAAGAGTCTAGCTAGCTGTTTGGGCGGGATGCCAATGCCCGTATCCTCGACCCAGAAGGTAAGTTTTGCATGTTCAGGGGTATTCAAATCCACCCTGGTACCAATGGTGATAGAGCCATGTTCCGTGAACTTGAGACTGTTGCTAATAAGATTCCCAAGAACTTGGTGCAAGCGGATCGGATCGCCATATATGAGCATTGGTGGTATATCGATATCTTGAATGATTTGTACACTTTTCTTGGACGTCTTTTCTCGGTTGCTATACGAGGCAGCTCTGACGACTTCGCGCATCATCTCCTCTGGGTTGAAGGCAGTAATGTAAAGCTTCATTTTGTCGGCTTCCATTTTGGAGAAATCGAGGATATCATTGATGACCGTAAGTAGGAGGTCCGCGGAGACTCGAATGGAATCTGCCATCTCAAGTTGTTCTTTGTTGAGATTACTGTCTCGTAAAAGTTCCGAATTGCCGATAACACCATTCAATGGGGTTCGTAGCTCGTGGGAGACGTTGGCAAGGAAGATACTCTTGGCTTTGGCAGCTTCTTCGGCAATCTTGACATTACGTTTGGCCTCAGCTTCGGCGTCTTTGGCCTTAGCCTCGGCATTTCGAGCTTTTGCGACAGCTTGCCTCTGTATCCGGACCATGGCCTCGTTCTCTGATGATACCTTTTCGACTGCCTTCATGGCAAGGGCATTGGAATAACTGATACCGATCTGGTTCACCAGCAATTGGAGGACGGTGACGTTCCGATCAGTGAAACTACCTGGTTCACCCTCCAAGTAAAGTACTCCGAGCAGTGGCTTTGATCCATGGCAAATGGGTATCGCGATGACGGCCTTGCTTAATGAATTTGTCTGTAACCAAGAATCGCTAACCTTTCCAAATCGCTCGTCGCTGATGAGATCGGGGATGAAGACAACCTCGCGGAACCGAGCGCAGTATAGAACGACGTTCTCGGCAACAAGTGATGAGCCAATGAGTGGTTGTCCAGGGAGATTGGCTGTTGCACCCCTTTCCGAGTCTCCACTGGCCGCAATGCACCAATTATCATCCTCGTCGTCTTCATCTTGAACTATGATCGCTGCTTGGGTCGCGGACCCACCACAAGTTTGGAGGATAACATTGCACATCGTCTTGAGTAGATCATCAACTCGTAAAACGGATGAGATAACTTGGGACGAAACTAGAATGGCGTGAAGGTCGATCATATCGAGAGCAGGCAAGCCAGCACCGGCTTCAGGTTGCATTGAGCCGCGCCAGGCAGCCATCCGGGTTTCCTTCGTTTCTTCGTTGACCGGCTGTACTGACTGCGGTACGTCTTCGCCATCCGCGGCAGCGTACGTTACAGACGCAGAGTCACCAGCAAAATCGGTCTGTACGGCGACTTCAGCTGTTCTTGAATGGCGAGCAGGACTATGGAGAAGGAATGCGTGGTCCTCCTCTATACGTTGTGCAATTCCAGCCGCCCCCAGTTGACGCCAAAGGGCAACCGATTCTCTCAGGCCCGCCGTTGCTGAACGCCTTGCCGACTGTCTGACGAAAAAGCCAGCCATCAAGAAATTCCCAAGGGCTTCCTCGAAAAGAAGACTATACTCTGAGGCATGGTCTAATGCCGCTTCGTAGTGTCGGATAGCAGAACCATGATCTTCGCGAAGCTCCGCAATCTGGGCGTCCAATAATTTTGACCAGGCAAGATAGTTGGCGTCTGAAACGACTTGCCAGTCTTTAATCTTCCTATTCAAGCCTTCTAATCTTATTATTGTATCTTGAACTTCATTTTGCAGATCGTCGGATGCTGTCCTCGGATCCTTCAGCTTGCGCTGCATGAGACCTGCGAGGGAGAGGCCATAGAATACTATGACGGCTCGACTGTTTCGGACGGACCAGATCAAATCCAACTTATCGAGACACCTTCGCCCCATCTCACAAGCTTCCTTATAGTACCCATACAAGTATAATGCAATGATTTCCATGGTTTCGTAAATCAGAATAGACCTGCCACCGTTTCGCGTTTTTATGTTAAGCCAAGACTTGTAAGAGTTCGAATTATGTTGATCGTCCGTCATAACGGTGTCTGGTTTTGTTGTCACCGTCTTGCCTTGGAGCGCACGGCATATTTGTCTTACTGCTATCAAGAAAGTTCCACCCCTAGTATCTTGGTGCCAGGCTGGTACTTCCTCACAACAGTATTGGCAGATCGACTCTAGATAGCTAAGATTCTCGCTCGCAAAAAACCTCATTTGAGTCGAGAGGCCAAAGCTGAGGATAACGGATATGCGGTCACCAGCGCTAGACGCAAATTCGACGGATTGTTCTGCGTGGTTAAGAGAGACGCTGATAGGAACCTGGATGTGGCTGACGAAACTGGCATACACCATATACCCACGAGCCGAAGAGAAAGAGTCCCGGGTCCGCTCGAGGAGCTCCAGACATTGGCTTCCGAGTTCTGCGGCAAATTCGACCATGTTAAATCTGGATAAAGCGATCATGGCGACGTATAGGAATGCGGTACTGGCGTGAGGGAAATGCTTTTGTTTAAGGGCAAGGACAACATGCGTAAGCGAAAGGTTGTAGAAGTCTAGATTGTCACTCCACCAAGCAGCACTGATAGCATCTATCAGAATAGCTCCAATGGTGACTTGGTGGGTGTCCATAACACCAAGGGGATTCAAGATCTCTGCCCTGTCCATGCTTTTGATCTTGGCGGCTAACTCCATGAAGAGCGCATCGCATTTTTCCAAGGTCGGCTGCGTATCGACTTCGACCTTCAACTGAGATAGGCTCTCTTTAAGGATAGCAAGCGCCGCCTCTGCATTTCCATTCTGAGATTGAACTCGGGCAAGGAGAAGCCAGGCGGGGGCTTTGTCCTCAGCATTTTTGGCGCTGCTAAGGATAGTATCCGCAAGATCATGAGCCGTCCCGTTATTTCCCATATAAATGTAGCATTCCGCTGCACGCAAATGAAGTTTGAGAGTTTCCTCGTAGTCGACGTCTTCGAGGCCATCCGTCCACGGCTCTGGCTGTAGAAGCAATATAGCGCTGTGATAATATTTAGCAGCGGTCGGTCTGGCGCCATTCTCTACAGAAAATAGAGCACAGTCCATTAAATGCTTTCGGTATGGCTGACGGATATGAACCCGACGCTTAATGATGTGAACTGCTTCAGTGATATGAGAAGCGGTATTATCTCTTGATTTGACTTCTGGTCGACCATGCCTTAATAAGGTTTGTGCAATAGCGAAATGCATCTGAGGAGTGTTGCATTCTTTTAAGGACGCCGCTGCTTGAACATATCTATCGTGAGCAAACCGGAACCTGTCGTCAGTTTCACCTTGAACTATGATGCAAGCGTTGATTGCCGCTTGTAGCCCCGCCACTGCCTCCTGTTTGGAATACTTGGTACGGTAGAGGATTCCGCTCATCTCATGACCTTCTTCGTCGTCAACAAGGTCGTAATCGCCGGCTAGAAGCTGACATATTAGAGCAAATGAGAATGCATTTCCCAAGAGAGCTGCCCATGCTAAGATAGCTCGCGATGCCGGTGGGAGCTCGCTTAGTCGGCGTGTGATGAAATCATTATTCAAGACATCGTAATTATCTTCTCCCTTGAACTGTTCGAATAGCCAATCCAAGTCGAAGAGCCATCTGTTTTCCTTGTAGTCGTACCATATGCATCTTTTGCGGTAGCAAGCATTCAGCATCTCTCTCATATAGAAAGGATTACCGGCGGTCTTCGACTGGATTACCACGGCCAAAGTGGCAACATCTTCTAGGGGTCGGCATAATGTCGATGCGACATATTGCAGGATCTCATATTCGGTAAGTGGCGATAAAACAATTCTAGTAATCCTTGGGCCGCTAGATTTGGGGTGTTCTATTTTAACTTAAAACTTAGCCTTTATCAATAAAGCGGAGGAGGAATGGGAGAAATTACCGTCAGTTTCGGCTGGCTGAAGTATCTTTTGGACCTTTTCAGGAGATAATTCTTCTGGCCGGTAGGTTATAATTAATACCATCTTCAACCGAGCCGAAATCACTTGAGTGATCAACTCTAAGGACTCATCATCGGCAAACTGGAGATCATCCAGGCATAAACAGACGAAGTGATGACTCGTGAATATTCTTAGTAAATCCAAGAACGTGTTCATTAAGCGGATCGTCTTCGTGGACCCGCCAGTACGCAAGAAATCTTGGGAGCTCTGCGATGTCACACGTGGGCTCTGAGGGCGAGGTTTCACTGGTTTCCCGGGAGAGCTCATAGGTGATGAGCTACGTCTATTCCCGGGAATCCTGTTGATTCGCCCGTTGACTGATAGTTGCGGCGATGGAGATGGTGCCGAGGTTGGTTCTGGTGAGCCTAGGAGAAACTCGGGGAGTCCGAGTAAATTGTGAAGCATTGGCCATATTGGACGAACATAATCCTTCAGGGCTCGGTGAAGAGGAGTGTCGGTATTGCTCTCACCCCATACTTGCTTGAATAGGGAAGATACCAGTTTCAGTAGTGGCCCGAATGCAGTTCTCCTGGCGGTGTCGAATTTGGCCGTCGCGCAATATCCTCTCCGCCTTGCATCAGCCAACACTTGTTGAACGAGGAAACTCTTCCCTAACCCCCCTGCACCCTCAATAGTAACGACCTCACAAAAGCCTCGTCTCCGAAATTTCGCCGACCCCAATTGTCTCGAAAGACTAGAGGTTTCCGTGCCACTATGACGTGAAGAAGACTGTCTTTGCTCGCCGAGGGTATCGAGAACGGTTTTAGGTTCGAGGGACACCGATTGATGCCTATCCCAAGCTTTGGCTAATCTGGGAGCGGATTGATTCGAAGAGATGGTATCTCCAGAAATAGTTTGAGTGTCGGTCCCATTCACTGATGGCTGAACAACGCTCCTAGCTGGTCTTGAATCCGAGAAGGATTGTGAAAAGGAGCCACTTCGTCGAAGTCCTCCTTCCACAGAGCTCGCACCCTCACTGGAAACATCAGCAGCATCAATGATCTCGCTTGATAAAGCTGAGTTGTCCGAAAATCGATTGGCTGCCCCAATGCTTGCAATAGCATGACCCCTTGCAACCCTCTCGATGACTTTCACAAGTTCACTATGTTCTTTCTGGCGCCCAACCATAGCCGTAGGTAACATAAAAAACGACGAGATATCCTTCGAGGCTATGTGCCACTCCTTTAAGGCTGTCCAGTCGCCATTCCCCAGTAACTTTTGAACCGTTTGTAAGTCATGGCGTAGGCCGCTAGCTGAGTGATATCGGTCGGATATGTTCTTGGATGTGCATTTTTGTATGATGCGACCAAGAACTTCGGGAACATCTGTTCGAATACTAGAGACCAAAGGTATACGGCGATTTAGTACACATTGGACAATATCTAGTGGCGAAGTCCCTGTGAAGACAGGCTGCTGAGTTAGGAGCATCCAAAATAGGACACCTAAAGAATAAATGTCAGTCCTCGTATCTGGCTCTGCTGGCATGCGGCCAGTCTGCTCTGGACTAATATAAACTAATTTGTTTTTAGACCCGAGCTCCTTAGAGAGCGTCGACCATCCAGTGCTTGTAAGCCCGTGTTCGAACGATCTTACCCCCGAGCCAAATGATATCAGCTTTACCTTGTTCGTATCAATATTAAAGTGAAACGCATCTGCTCTTATTTCTCCATGGACCATACCATGACCGTGGTGTAATATCTCTAAACATTGCGTAGCACCAATCGCGAAGTCGAGGAAATGCACTAGACTTATGGGAGGGTCTAGGGCGAATTCAGTCCTTCGATAGGATTCGAACCGGTCCTCGACTTTCCTAGCATAGAAAAAGGCCGGCCCCAAGTCCAAGGTTTTAAAGAGATAGTTCTCCCCTGGGTTCTCATATATCGACACGATTATGGCCGCTCGGTCGCCTGGTTGCGGGCTTAGTCGAATGAGGTCTATCGGCTTTACATTGTGTACTCCCTGCGGATCGGCGGTGGCCATCAAGTTCTTGGCTATATGAAATGTCCTCTCCTCTCGAAGGACATGGTAGGATACTCTCGCGATGATCTGCTGCTCTTCAACATTGGAAAGGTCGGTGGCTAGGCTAGAAAAGGCGGGAGGAGAAGTCGACGAACGTTCGCTGCTCCCTTCGCTCTGAGAGGTAAAGCCGACGACGTGGATGTCGCTGGGCGATGGACGGCTCGGAACTAATTTGACGATCCCCGGCGGGCTGCCTAGGGCTTGCAAGGGTGTTGTCGTTGTAGTGGTTGAGTACGGCGATATAAATCTGGTGCCATAGATATGCCTAGACAAAGACGCTCCATGTTAGACGGCTACTATTGCAATCATGCGAGACTCATCGCATTCGGGAAAATAGGATACCAGTTGTCATAGCTTGAATGGAATGGCCTTCTCGATTCATCCCAAGTAAAGCCGCCTAGTTGCCGGAGCCGATCGAAGATGCGGGCTGGGGGATCGAGCTGGTCGTCCGACATGCCCGCGGACCCGTCCATATTGATGTTCGGCATACATAGGTACTACGCCAAGTAGGCGAGGTAGGCCGGCCACGGCGTCGTTTAGTGGGAAGAGAGCAAGCGAAATGCCACCGTCGCGACACACATGGCTTGTCTGGCCACCTTCAAAACCGAAACCGAATATTGGAGCGTTTGCAATGTTTGCAGTCTTTTCGGTCTTTTCAATCTTTTCAGTGTCTGGGCTGACGATCTCCGCCCGGGGTTTTTGTGCTTCGGCTTTTGTATAACTTGTCCAGGAAACAGATGCACTAGTATTTAGGGTCGTCATCTACTGATTTGACTGGTTTGAATGGTTTGTGGAATCCTGCAAGTGGAATTTGGTGCTTTGGTGCTTGTCGCTTAGTCTCCTAGGACCGGTTTGCTCTATTGTACATTAAAGATCCAGGATCCAGTGATCCAGTTCCATAGCGTAAGAAGACCTTGGTAAATATTATGAATGGCCAGAGAGGGTTTGTGGTACAGGAAAATTCGTTTAATCAACTAATAAACTGATGAACTAATACAAAGACAGGAGAGACATTCCACCTCTTACCCTCCATACATAAAATTGTAGATGAGAGGCGTTTATACGTTTAATACATTTCATTAGAAAGTACATGGCTGGTTGGTTATTTTCTGTCGCGACTGCCCCTCAATATGTCTAGTATTCCGCTAACAGGAGTTACATCTGAAACCCAGCTTTCCCCTCTTTTTCTCCCTAGTAAAACCTGCACCTGACCCGGTCGTCGAGATAAGAGAGAACATTTGCCGCTCTTACCAGAACTTTGGAAAGTGCGGGAGCCCCGAGCCGTGGCAAGCTGCGTGGGGTGTGACGAACATTGCTCCTGCGGTCCTGACGAAGTTACGTAGCTCAAAAATCCAACTCTAACCATAACCTTAGCAGGATATCCTTGGCAGCGAATGGGGTCACTTCGGCTACATTTATTTAGTCGATACAAGTGGCATATGTAGGTACCTACTTGGTAGATACTTACCTACTTTACTGGGGGATCCCACGACTCTTCTTTTGACAACATTTTTTAATCGCACGTAAAATGGTCTAATAGGACGGCAGATACGTCAATGGCACTGTATGCGGCCAAGTTGTTATAAGAGGCAAAATATTCATCATGTACCTACATGAAGAGATTTGTCATTTTACTACGCATTCCCAGATCATCTACGAGCCACCTACGTAAACTATGTAGCATAGTAGGCATGTAAGATTTTGAGAGCTGCAAGGCTATTGATATTTCATGTAACTCTTTTCACTTATAGATAGGTGGATTTTCCACCTTACCAGAATCCCATTGGCTGAAAAAGCCGAGTTACATCACCGTGCATTATGCCAATTACCAAATAACGATAGGTTCATAAATCTATTTCTTTCTTTCTTTCTATTCATCAGGCTCTCTAACGCAGAAAAACATGGGTTTATAATGCCATATCATCACACGATTGCATCAGAATCATCCTAACGTTCCATTACCGTCGCACTCATCAAACATGAACTGCCATATGCTCAACATAACTCTTCAAAACTCCCTAGTATTTTATAGGGGCTTCTAGGCGGCACGAGATTAAGCGAACATGTACGCCTTCAAGGGCCGCTCGTTATTAAGACCGGCGTTTATTTGGGGTGCGAAGGCAGGCTCTTCTTGGCCGCCAACGGGCCTTGGTCAAGACGACGCTCAGTGTTTTGGCGGGAGTTGACGAAGTCGGGGTAGTTCAGCGTAAGCTCAACAGCGCCGTTCACGATGTGGTCAGCAGCCTCAACACCCAACATAAATGAGTGGTCCTGGTTGCCAACCTCGTACCTCCAGCTGCCGAAGCGGCCACGAGAGTAGATGTCGAGGTCTTGAAGCTTAGGAAGAAGTTGCTTGAGGACACCCTCACGTTCTAGAGTGGGAGTGGGGTAACCGTGGTCGAACTTGCGGTGGTAGGTGGAGACGATCTCATCAGTAGACTTGATCATGTCGGTGTTGACCAAACCCTGGATGCAGTCCTTCAGTAGGTTCGCCTCGTCAACCGGCTTCAAAGAAGACTGGGAAACCTCCAACATGATAGACCAGTAGGGGCCTTCCTTAGGCTCTGTGCTCGCAGGCTTGCTGCCATCCGCGATGGAGATCGTGGGGAGCTTAACATCGGCCTGAGGTTGGTTGTAGGGGGAGTAGTTAGAGAAGATGGTCGCTCGGTAGAACGGGCAGTTGTCTTCGGGGAAGTACAACTAAGAATCGTTAGTTATATATAATTCAATGCGGTTCAACTTCCAGTAATAACTTACCCAGCACTTGTCACCGATACGCTCAGGTCGTGCGCCACGTAGACCAACACCGATGACGTGGGTGGAAGAGTAGAACAGACCCTTGCTGAGGGTAACTAGCTCCTGGTTGCCCATAGTCTCGACCAATTGGTCAACGTTCATGGTGGAGATGAGCTTGTCGTAGCTAATAGTTGTGCCGTCCTTAAGAGTGACGACCTTCTTGTTGGCATCAACCTTAGTAACCTCACCCTTCTTACCGAAACGCTTCTTCTCTTGGGGAAGAGTGTCTGCGACAGCAATCCAGATACCACCAGTACCATCACGGGCGGGGAAGCGGAATGTGGCATTAGGACCCCAGTTACCAGCAACCTTGTTTAGAACAACGTTCTTCACAACGTTCTTGACGTCAGGGGCAGCAACACGCTCACCGAGCCATTGGCATTGCATCTAAATATTGCAAATTAGACGGTTTATTTCATGACAGTTCGAGAATAGTATATAGCTTACCTTGCTGGTAGGAACAGCCCAGACCTTGTAGTTGTATGGTCGCATGAACATGTTGGCAATGCCAGTACCAGTCATACGCAAGATCCACTCATCGAAGTCCTTGGGCTTCGTGTTTGCGACACGAACCTCCAAGGAAGCATCAATTAGACCGTCAAGAGCCTCAACCTGATCTTCTTTGGGCAGCATAGAGATGTTGTTCTGGAAGGGGTAAGGGACCCAGAGGCCCTTGTAGCGGACGTAGGAGATACGCTGGTGGGTGTACCAGTCATCTTCTTTAGGAAGAGCCTCGTCGATGCAGTCGTCGAAGTACTTGTAGTGAGAGAAGATGACATGACCACCGACATCATAGAGCTGGTAAATAGAATCGACGATTAGCTTTCTGCAAGGCGGAGACGAGTTTGTATTGATAGACTTACGAAACCCTCAGGAGTGACGTCAGTAGAGGCAAGACCACCAGCCTTCTCGCTAGAGTCGATGATTAACCACGAAGGGCCATTCTATACCAAATTGTTAGCCCACGATAATTTAATGTCTGAATGGCGGTGTGGCATACGACTTGGTGGAGGCGCTTCGCAGCACCTAGACCGGTAGGGCCAGCACCGATAACGAGAACGTCGACGTTGCTACGAGTGCATATATTAGCCAATTGACCTTTCATAAAAAGTTGTTCCTACTTTGATGCAGAATCTTGTTCGTTCTCCAATGTTCAGAGGACTAAGAAACTTACATGTCTGCACACATCTTGTCTTAGGGTTTCAACACAAGGCGGGGAAATATACCCGGATCAAGTGAAGCTCTATAAGCAGAAGGGTGTTGAAAAGACGGAAATGAATGGATAGACTATCCAAATCAACGAATGCTGAAGGATAAAGTCTGTCTAACTCTATGGTTTACGCGAAAGAAGTTCGTGTGGCAGACGAGAAGTCTCGAAGAAAGAGACCGATGGTCAGGAGAGAAGCGTGGTGTTTTTCTATGTATAATATTTTGGATATTTTGGAGGGGTACACTAGACTAAAAATTGTGGAATTGTGTTAGCTCCAAGGCCTGCTAGGTACTGGGTACTGCCCATCAGCTAGGGAATGTACTAGGAGTGACCGCACTAAAACTTGTGTAGGCCATGTAGTAGCCATGTAGTGGCCATGTAGCGTGTGTGTCTCGACCCACTTATCGCTACCCCCCTGGCTCTCCGTCATGCAACTTGGCAACATTTCCAATCTTCATCCGTCCAATTAGAGAGGGTCTTATACCAGATACGGTCAAGACGCTACATTATACCTGCATATGAAAAGTCCTCAACTTGACTCTGCAGCTGCTTTGTTATTCCAAGGTTATTTGGTTATTTATCACCACCGCAGCACCGTTGCCTACCCTCTATATACTTGTTGAGCGAGAATCTGGAGCGTCGAATCAGAATTGTCCGCTTCAAGACTTGAAGCAATCGAACCAACAAATCATATGTCTGATGTTATGCACGAAACATGACAATCAAGATGTTCGAACAATCGAGACTTTTTGGTAAAACGATACTCTCCATGTTTCTAATTTAGGATTGAAGTGAAGATTAAGTTGGCTGTTATTCCAGATCAGTTTGATCAATCTACTTTTCCCCCTCGCTAATAATATTTAAAAAACGGATTTGAGGCGGCTGCAGGGACCAAAGTCAACAAGTGTCTGTCAAAGGTATGTCCCTGAAGCAGTGAAGTAGCCTCGCTGTCATGATTCGACCAAGTAGCACGAATAGTAAACACCGCTTAGTTACCGCTAGTTTCCCACCCCTCCTTTAGAAGCCACTGAACACCATCAAGTCAGGGGTAAACTTGGGAAGACTTCTCCTCTAACTTCCCTAATAGGTGAGATATGGATGATTATGACGATCACTCGCTATTGCTTTATCGACATACCTAGTACTGTGCGTGAAATGCATAACCGACATTAGATAGACAGACGTTAGACGTCCGCATGTGAAAGGTATTCGAATTTTGATAGGAGCAAATTCGGTGTGCTGCAGCGATTAATAAGAGCATAAGAAGAGGAGAGCAGCACCTGGCAGAGAGGATTGATTTACCACCAAGCACCAAGCACCACCGGGAAAACCCCTGTTCGCAATTTCATAATTAAGATGAAGCTCATACCCGTCCCTTGCACAACGTCGTCCCCAAGCATCTCAGATATCGAGCACGACATATTGGTATGCGTAAACTGTCTTTGACTAACGCAAGAGGCATTGCATGTTGTTTGGACGGGTAGACTCTTTAGAGCTGCCGGCCTTTAGTAGCATTTGACTAAGGCAGTATATACGTAATTCGAGACGAATAGGTTCATGGGTTTATTCGTAAGCTCGTTGACTCTGTCCATTTCAATGCTCCCCTAACCACATCCCTTTCTTGGGCAACAGTGTAAGTAGGTAGGTAGATACATTATATAGAATTTGTATGTGTTATACTAAATCTGTGTGACGGTAATTTGTCGAGAGAGTGTGGCAACAGCAGCGCGAGTCAAGTTGTGGGAACGCTGATGAGAGTATTATCTACCAGATGCTAGCCAGCTCTAGAATCCCGGCAGCTAAGTTGGTGTACATGCATACAGGGCATAGTAGTGTTAAAAATCTACCTACCTAATAAAATAACTAATATCGGAGTAGAGCAGTTCTCATACTTTAGCAGTTTAGTTCTACATACTAGGCCTGCTACTCCCACTTATCAGTCGCGATTGATGTGTTGCATTCGTCAATCAAATTGGGTCTCGAAGATCGTTTAATTTCGATAAGGTCGTGTCCCGTCCATGACCAGGTCGATGGCTATTTCTGCCCACATGTACTTGTACTTGTACTTTCACCTCCGACGATCTTGTTTTCCGCTCTCGATACTACCGAGTTTGGGTCGGTAAGACTGTATCCCTTCTCGAACTTGGCTTCTAGTTGGAGCCTCAGGACCGGTTAGCTCCGCGAGATCGACAGCGAAGATTTGCAAAGTCGCCAAAGCCGCCGTCTCAAGTTGATGTTTTGGCCCACGGGACCAGCGGGCGGCTTAAAAAGAAATCCCCCAAGTGGAAATGCCGAGTTGATCAGTTCCGTCAGGACCAAGTTGAGAATAGTTTTCTTCTTGAGTGTGCATACCTACATACCTACTTATGTAAGAAGTAAAAAGGCTGACACTCGGCCGGTTCTTGTATTCGTAAATGGCTGGATAGCTGGATGGTAGAATGTCCGAATCGGTAAGCCAAGACAAAATTGAATACAACGTAGGTACATACTGGGCGAAAAAGACAATTGCTTGCATTGTAGATACAGATCTTATCATCTTGCCGATGGCTTAGCACTATTTGGGTGGCTACTATAAATACCTGTCATCAAATGAAGTGGGCATATTGCGCCATAAAAGGGGTTAACTGTTTTCGTGTGCATTCAATAAGACGACAGTCAGCCGATAGCGATAATAAGAAAAACAAAAAGACGATCACCTAAAAAAACTACTCAAAATCGCAGAATGAAATCGAAAATAGATGTGTATTATATACATATTTCTACTAATCAATCTAAGCACGTCTATGTCGATCCGAAGACAATCCTCTTACAACCATTCCATCATCTTGCATGATCCTGCCGTAAGAGTCGAATACTTCAACCACTATGTAGAAAATGACTTGCTGTCTCTATGCACTATTGATAACTGCATACCACCTGTATGTATAACGACACGAGCCGTCTAGGTCAGACAAGCCTCTGACTGCACGTGGCTACAAACCTTCGGCTACTAACGTATGACACGGACCTAATCAGCTTTCGCGGTTAGCTGACATGCAGCTGACGCGCCGTAGAAGCCTTATCTGGTTGAGTGAAAGCTGTCAACTAGCGGGGGGATATGCCGCGCCGTAGGTTTGTCTATCTGCAAGATGGTCATCCATTCGCTTGGGACATAGAGGATGCTGCTCAGCTAAGTAATGGATGGGAAGATATTACAAAGAACAGGTTACCAGCGATCCATGTAACCCGACAACCAGATGGAACCGGCAATGAGGAAGCCTTCGAATACTTTGTGAACACACGTGTCGAAGAAATAATGTTAATAGAGATAGAGATGGAAATGGGGATGGGGATGGGGCGTTGTGAGCCGTAATACGTGGCCCCGAAGTATATATCCTGCTTTCGCATCTCGTATTTTAGACAGAGATGCCACATGATGACGACGTTGCATACGAGCAAACCTTCAACAGGTAAGGGGGGTTATCCGGGAAGACTAGTACCCCGCGGAGCCTCAAGTTCACGATGGTGCTTTTAATAGCCTAGTCAGAACTAGTCCCATCCGAGATGGAATGTTGGAACTCGGAGGTTTTCTTTTTTACATACCTACTAGGTAGGATATGTACTTTTTTTCTCCATCGTCCACGCCACAGAGGAGATATGATGGCACGGAGCACAATCATAATCGTAATCGTCGTTAGCTAACTCAACAGCCCTGGCTTGAATCTCTCGGCTTTACCTAGCTTTAGATTCAAGCGGCTTCTAAATATGACGGGCAGGAGATGAAACATCCTGACATCGTGGTTAGCGGACGGCAAACATCCCGCACCCGTTCTGCCGTCTACGTCGATAATTTTCGTGTAACTGTGTATGCGACTTAGGTGTGTATACGAGTCTAGGCGAGTGGCCAATTGCAGAACAGGAATATGAAGCATGTAGAAAGCCTAAACCGAATCTTGCATACCTCTTGTTAGACAGTTAGACTTGACTTACGAATTCGATATTAGGACGAGGAATGCTATTTGTTATTCGGACCAAGATGTTGGTATGCGTAGTCTTCCACGTCTCCCACGTCTTCCAAGTCTTCAACTAAGGTTGTGAGAAGACGAAAGGGCTGTAAGAGCCCCTTTAAGTGTTATGATGAAACAAACTCTTAATATAAACCCGCACATCGAGTCATCGACAGATGCTGATTACGCTGTAACGGTAACAGATCTAAAATTGGATTGGACAGATTAGCTAGATTGGATGGGTGAGAAGAGAAGCAAACGTGCTGATGTTCCAAGTCTTGGTATTCTGTGGCTGGCCGTGGGGAAGGGAAGGGAAGGCACTTGAAAAGGGATATTCAGTGGATATGCTAAATGCCCGTGATGAAATGAAAGCCTCTTAAAACGACATCAGTGGCTGCTGCTAGATTTCAGGTTTTAGCTTCCTAGTATTTTACCAATCGCATGCTATTCCTATTAGAGTAACACTACGCAATTACTCTCCCCTGATTCCCCTGAGCGCAGGAATTCCAGGGAATGAGCCTTCAGCGGGTTAGTGGGCTAGTGGGTTGGCTAGTGGGGGTTTGGCAAGATCAAATGGGACGCGATTATGTACCGGTACATGTCGACGTGAAGGTATTGTGGAGTCTAACAGTTCTGGTATCCATGTGGATGTACCTAGCCCAGTACTTGCAAAAATCTTAAGCACTTTAAGGGTGATTAGGGTATTGATAGCCAGACTATGCGGGCTGTGCTTGCAGTAATTGCAGTAATTGTCTGTAGATTCACTGATTACAGTACACGACACGCACTGATAATTGATGCGACCGTGTCTGAATGCGCTCATTTAATTGGGGCGGATTTTGGGGCTAAAACTGTGCGGGATAAGCTCAACTCCCTGTATCTCTCTGCACGCTGTACTGTATCTCCCTCTGGTCCTTGTATCTTTTCCCCGTTAACCCCCCTGTCCCCCTTGTATCCCCTGTATCCCATGTATCCCATGTATCCCAAAATTGCTAGGTGTGCCTGGGTTGGCCTTGTCGTAACGCGAAGGCGACTCGGTACCTACCCTTTCATGGTACCTTTCAAATTGAAAATTTATTAGCCATACATCTTCTTTCTCACCCTTCTTTTTTGTCCTTTTTTTCCTCGTCAACTTCTGTCCCTCCAAGAGTCGACGACCTTTCTCTCCTCCGCACATACAGAACAGCCTCTATTTTAGAAGCTTCACGGAAGAGAGAACGAGAATTCATTTCCACAGCTATCTCTGCATATCTGCATTGTGAATTCTTGAATCGTAAACGCCCCCAAATTTATCTCAACCTCTAATTGGTCTCAGCAGGCTTGGCCTAGTCGCTCATTCTATCGTGTCATCTTCAATTCTTTCACTACCACCCCCTTTTCAATTATTTCGCACTCGCGACCCTATTCACACTTTTAACCCAAATTAATCAAGTCAACAATGGCGGACGAAAAGAGTCGTACATCTGGCGAGGTCCCTCGGCCTGAGCCAAAGGGTCCTATTTTGCCCACTACGAACCCTGAGGCTGACAAGCCCCAACCTCCTAAGCCGGCCGTTCATCCGGCTCTCTACGTTGCGTACGTCGAATCCTAGATAGAACCACGATCACTGTCGAGACGCGAAAGGATAAACTAGCTGACACCGAATCGTTATAGAGTATGGATCACTCTGTCGTCATCTGTCATTCTATTCAACAAATGGATTTTGGACACCCTCGAGTTCCGTAAGAAACCCGCCATTTCAATAATTGAAGCCGAAGTTGCGACCGTGAACAAGATCTAATGTTGTCTTAGGTTATCCCGTTATTCTCACCACCTACCATCTGTCGTTTGCGACTGTCGCGACGCAATTGATGGCGCGTTACACCACCCTCCTTGACGGTCGCAAGTCTGTTAAGATGACCGGTCGCGTCTACCTCCGTGCTATCGTTCCTATCGGTGTCTTCTTCAGCTTGAGTTTGATCTGCGGTAACTTGACCTACCTTTACCTGAGTGTTGCTTTCATCCAGATGATCAAGGTACGAATATTGAACCACCATTACGAATTTATAAGAAGCTTAGTGCTGACGTTGGGATTTTATAGGCTACTACCCCTGTTGCTGTCCTACTTTCCAGTTGGGCTATGGGTTTGGCACCCCCCAACCTAAAGCAGCTCGCGAACGTGTCCGCCATTGTCGTCGGTGTCATGATTGCCTCGTTCGGTGAGATCAAGTTCGTCTGGATTGGTTTCCTCTACCAGTTGGGTGGTCTCATGTTCGAGGCTATCCGTCTTAACTTGGTCCAGGCCCTTCTCAGCTCTGCCGAGTACAAGATGGACCCTCTCGTGTCCCTGTACTACTTTGCTCCTATTTGCGCTGCTATGAACGGTGTTGTTGCGCTTGCCTGGGAAGTCCCTAAGGTATCCATGGCTGAAGTGTACCATGTTGGTTTCTTCACCTTCTTCCTGAACGGTCTCTGCGCCCTCCTGCTTAACGTCTCTGTGGTTTTCCTGGTAAGTTTAAAATCCATTCCGTATTAAACCCCGCTGCAGCCATTAACAATTACGTAGATTGGCAAGACTTCTGCTGTCATCATGACCCTCTGCGGTGTCCTCAAGGACGTTATGCTTGTTGTTGCCTCTATGCTTATCTGGGGTACTCCCGTCTCGGGTCTCCAGGCCTTTGGCTACACCATTGCCCTTGGTGGTATGGTCTACTACAAGCTTGGATTCGACGCCCTTCGAGGATATGCTGGTGAGGCCGGCCGACAATGGGCTGAATTCGGTGCCGCTCGTCCTGCTCTTCGCAAGATCGTTGTCGTTGCCGCAGCCGTACTATTCGTCTTTGTCCTATTCGGTGGCTTAGCACCTACTTACGCTCCCGACTACGACCCGTCGCAATACCTCTCCAGCGCCGCTGGCAAGTTTGGCGTCTCCTCATAGGCGAAGATGTGACAAGACCAAACCTCCCTTTTCACCATACGCATTTGTAATATTCTGGGTGGATGGGGGATAAACTTAGGCTTTATAGAGCTAAGCATGATGACGGGTAAACGCTACGTGATGACCTAGTACGCGTTCTCCCTGAATTTTCGAGTACATACTTGCACATTTTCCAATTCATCTTCGCCGGGGGTGGTAGTAATTGGAGAGACATTTTTCTTTGTGGCTGTGGACACTGAATGAGAAAGGTAGCCACACGGTTTTTTATTTTTTGTACGGCTATAGAGAGCAGACAAGGCGTCAATTGCAAAGGGCCGGATTGCATCTGTTCGTATCACGATAGGGCTAATTCATGTAGCTTAGAAAGGTCACAGGGGAAACTAAGACCTGAATGAAAATGAGACTAAAATTTGAACATCAGCTCGTCTATCCCCATCTCCCCTCTTTGAATCGTGCATGTGGTGAAATGTCTTGAATGGTGGGAATACCCCAATTCTAGATCCAAGAAGATGTATATTCAGGCTATATGTTGCCCGTCCAGGCCGTAAGGGTAATATAATTCTCCATGGCGGAACAGCTACAGAATTGCCTAGAATATAACTTGATCGACCATAGGTAACCTCGAAATAGATCGGATGGGTATACATGATTTTGCGTCATTGATGGCTCCGTCTTCTTGGTCGGGTTCTGGTGCGGAATACAACGTTCTAGGAACTGATCATCTTGGTATGCACGTATTCACACATACAAGGTAGAGACACTGGTGTTTGGGTAACTTGGACACCAGGCGATCATGACACAAGTTCGTTGTACATCCCGTACGACATCGAGTAGCCTAAGATGTGTATGCTGTCATATCTGGAATCGATCACCACTTCATGTAGATAATGGAGAAAATACCTGGTCTTGATCTGCCCTCACCTAGACAATTAGAAGTCGTTTTCGATACCCAAAGACCTAGGTCTATGAGAGGCGAACGATGGAAAACTTAGGACATAGGTGGCTTGAAGAAATAGCCTCTTCGTTTTCTAGTTCTTGGGTATTCCACCCTCACCCTTCCTCATTCTCACACCTGTCTCATTTCCCCGTTCAGTAGGAACCACCATATAGTTAATGGATACCTAGATAGTAGTTGAGGATACCCGAAGGACCAGCACACAAGTCACATGTATATACTCAGGAGCAAGCAAGTTCATTCGTCAAGTGTGTTTCATTTTCATGATTCTGAATTCAGAGCAAGACCCTTGTGGCTCCTAATGCCATTGATGATGCGATTTACATCCCAGACCGAACCCCCTAAGACCGAACGACGGAAGTATGCAGACGACAGGATTAGAATTCTATCGGGAATATTAGTTAGCACATTTCTACTTGTAGTATAAAATGATGAACAGAAGGAAGAGTAGGAGCAGACATACTTAGGGGAGTGAAGAACCATCGGTTCTTTCCACTTGTGTAGCGCTCCTCCAAGACCTTCTTAACGTTTTTCTTAGCATCCTCCCGTTGGCTGACCTCCTTGAAGGTCTCGCCGGAAACAACACCCTTCAGGCCCTCGAGCTCGAGGGTGTATCGTGTGGGCATCAAGTGGTTGTAGTTGATGGCCTTGATGAAGGGCTTGATCTTAGAGCGCTTCTCTTGGCGCGTCTTGGACATGCGTCGGGTGATCTTAGAGGGGTAGCGCTCGATACCGGCGACTAGAGCGTGGCCGTAGGGGTGTGCCTTGTTGCCGCTGTCGACGGGCTGGATGATGACAACCTGTAGGAGAAAGAATTTAGTTAGAAATATGTCCCATTTCTCTAACATGAATCATCGGGATGTAGATTTCAATTCCTTAATCCCAAGTAGTTTGTAGAAAAAATTGTTTGCATAGCGACTCGGACTCGGAAATATCGAAGGTGTAGATAGGATAGTGTTGTGCTCAAATATTCAATCTCCAATCCGTCACACTCTCCCGCGTAGTTTCAATTATCATCATTATTTTTTTCCTTCTCGATAACGTACCTTCTTACCGGCATATCTGCCGCGGGTGATGATGGCAACTCGGCCGACCTTGAGGAACTTCATCTTTAAGGCTTCGCAATCGTGGTTGTCGAATGGGCGAAGTGTGTCGAGGAAGTTGAAAGTGGGTTGGCGTAATTGGTCGTTTGAAGATTGCAGTTCGGAATTGAGGTAAGTTCGCAAGTTCCCAAGTTCGCGATGGCTAAGAAAATCAAAATGTGCCTGAGAAAATTAAGCGAGCTAAGGGTTATGATCATGATTGGACAAACTTTTATTGGTGGGGCACCTCGTATGGTTGTTGCATGTGGTCAAAGCGTTGTACAATTAACGGTGGGGCTGTTGGGGGGTAACGCTAGAATGTCAATTGCAGCGACAACATTCTACAATACATAACCCCCCTCACTTTAATTAGAATCCCAGTTAACTAAAATACACTGCAAAGAACGACGTTTGAATCCAGCGGACAAGTGTAGTTAATTCAACTATAATGGCGCCTCCGACGTATATCATTTCCCGTGTGGCAGACCCGATCTTCGCCGTGGTTATTGGTCTCGGAGCTGCTGCTACAAGAATTAACCGCGAAGGGAAGGACAAAGGTAGAACAACGCAACAGACAATCGAGGCTGGAAAGAGGTATATACATTGAATGGTCTACTATGATTTAAACGCGTTTCTAATATAGTCAACCGTCTAGACGAGTCAGTAATCTCTTCAAGTCAACATAGTGATGTCGTATCGAGTACCACCACCCCAACAGCATAGCTACGAATATCCTCGCAAGTCAACTTCGAGCCTCGGAGGGGCTTTGCCACCACGATCACCAACGATATATACCATACTGAAATTGTCGAAAAGAGCCGGCTTTAATATAAACCCATATCGAAAGGGGATGAACGATACCAGTCAATACGCTAGATTCTATGGATGAAGTTCTCTAGGACCAGCAATAAAAACACCTTTTAAGCCGAACAGTCATTCGGCATATGCTGGGCCATATTCCCTCTTCATAGCCTCCCTCACCATCTGCCCGCATAGCTTGGCAGTTGGGTTAGTACTCACAGCCAAGCCCTTTGCGATCTCGTTACCATATCTCCCTCCAAAGGCAAAATCCCTGGAGGCGGCCTCTTCAAACTCGATCTTTGTCCATTCTGCTTCCTTTCTTTCAGAAATCTTAGCCACCTGACCGGGCTGGAAGGACTTCGCAGTCATATGGTAGATCGCTGCTCGTTGCGTGTGTGCCATCGACAGGGTCTTCCCAGCTTGTGGCGAGATGGAAGCAAAGAGGCTCCTCGGCGTTAGCAACGTAATGGCTTCGTCGAGATCCGAAAGAGCCAATGTTGCCGCTTGAGATCTCTCAGCGTCGCCGACGTCCTGTACCAACCCGTTCGGATCATGGACACTAGTTAGGAGCATTGTATCCCCATATAGTCTCCTGAGGGCTTGTGCTCTATTGTTTCGCGCGCTGGCATAATTGGGATGCTCTGAGATGAGTTCTTCTAGCCTCGATACACATTTCCGGTATTCCTCTATTGGCTCTGTCGTCGATGCCGACCGCAAACCAGCTAGTTGCATCTCTAGATGTTGCATAGCCAACACAATATCCCGTTCTTTCTTGGAGACGCGGTCATACACCGATGCATCTATAATGTTTGGGTCTCTGGGCAGCGTTGAGTCTACGATGACAGCTGCCAATGGATTTGATTCCGGGTCTTTGATCTTTTCGAGCACGTTAAAGTCGTGACGACTAAGAGAGCTTGCTGCCGCCATAATGGTGATCTTTGAACCGTATGGAATCTGTCAATGTGGATGATCACCGAAGCTTTACGGGGCCGTTATGGTGAAAGCTGATCAACGAGAGGTAGTGCGAGGCAGACGGAGAATATATCAGTACCTAGGTACGTAGTAATCTCGATGAGATGAGCTAGACTGCATAGACTAGAGGTAAAAAATGACACAACAAATGTACTACAGAAGGTATGCTGACTTCTATGTAAGGTTCACAAACATTGAATGACAGACCGATAGTCGACTCTTAATTGTACTTCGAGGTTCTTCTCCACCTCGGCCCCTATTTCAGTGCCGACCTAAGGTCAATGCTGGACCGTGATAAGGGAAATAAGCTTTCGTCCCCCTCTAACCGCGTAAAGCCATTTGGCCTTATTGGATATCCGGCGAACCTAAGTGGGTGGCATCGGATAGCTGCAGGGCGGAAGCGTGGAGTTCGGGTACGGCTAGCTTCGGCAAGCCATCTGACGTCTTTGTTTTCCGCAGCCCACAACCCGCAACCTGCAGCTATCTCATTACCGATGCTTCGTCGACTTTGTTTTCCGCAGCTCACAAGCCGCAGCCTGCAGCTATCTCATTACTGATGCTTCATCGACTTTGTTCTCGCGGTCAGCCACCCAGTCTGCCAGTCCACACCCAGTCCACACCCAGCGCCTCGGGTTACCGATAACCAATTGCAAATCAGATTGGAAATCATTACCAGGACCTATACTTTTGGGGGTCTGACGTACGACTGTGGACTTTGCGACATGCCAACAATGGCAGCCGCCAGGGCGCGGAATCAAATCCGACCCCGAGCTTTCCATAGTTAACCGCTATAAAGTTCAAGGTAGGTGTAAGTATAATGTAGGCAAGGGAGGTATCCAAGGATGTCAGTTATCTATATCTACGTACTTTCACTCCTTTAGTTTAAGTTCTTATATATGAATCTTGTATCGTAGAATCACATTCAACATCGAACATTAGACTACTCAGTTAGTCTCTACTACCCCTGTCCATCCCATCCCATCCCATCCTATCTACTTGTCTTTACTCTTGGTGATATCACGGTATCAGACAGCCATACCCACATACGTACACAGACACACAATCAACCATGGCCCCCTCAGCAATCTCAGAGTCTCCCCCCAGAGACACAACCTTCCACCCCCCTCACACATCACCAGACTCCTACGCCGTCCAAGCCGGCGTAGCCGACTTCCACGGCTACGACCATGTAACCTGGTGGGTAGGCAACGCCAAGCAAGCCGCCTCGTATTACAACACACTCTTCGGGTTCACGACAGTAGCATACCGCGGTCTCGAGACGGGGAGCCGGTATTTCACATCGTACGTCGTAGCGAACAACCTCGTCCGCTTCGTCTTCACCTCGCCCATCCGATCGCTCGCACATCTCCCCGCCGACGAGCCCATAACAGCGGAAGAACGCACGCTGCTGCGGCAGATGCACCAGCACCTCGAGCGGCACGGCGACGCAGTCAAGGACGTCGCGTTCGAAGTCGACAGCGTCGAGGCCGTGTACGCGCGCGCAGTAGAGCAGGGCGCCGAAGCCGTGCAAGAGCCTCGCTCATCGCGGGATAAGCTACACGGCGAGGTGACGACGGCGGTGATCCGCACGTACGGCGACACCACACACACCCTGATCTCGCGGGGCTCATACACAGGGCCCTTCCTACCAGGCTTCGCCGCGCGCTCGCCCGCACCATCCAGCGTATCCCTGCCTCCCATCGAGCTCGCGCGCATCGACCACTGCGTCGGCAACCAGTCCTGGAACGAAATGGTCTCCGCCTGCGACTTCTACGAGCGCTGTCTCGGCTTCCACCGCTTCTGGTCCGTCGACGACAACCAGATCTGCACGGAGTTCAGCGCTCTCTCGTCCATCGTCATGAGCAGCGCGAACCGCGTCGTGAAAATGCCGATCAACGAGCCGGCAGTCGGCAAGAAGAAGTCGCAGATCGAGGAGTTCGTCGTCTTCAACTCCGGCGCCGGCGTCCAGCACATCGCGCTGCTGACGCACGATATCCTCGCCACGGTCTCCGCCATGCGCGCCCGCGGCGTCGAGTTCATCGCTGTGCCGGACACGTACTACGAGACTATGAAAGAACGTCTGCGTACCGAGAAGAGGAGCTGGGAGCTGGAGGAGAGCTTTGACACGATTCAGAGGTTGAATATCCTGATCGATTATGACGAGGGCGGGTATTTGCTGCAGCTGTTCACGAAGCCGTTGGTGGATCGGCCGACTGTCTTCGTGGAGATCATCCAGCGCCATGATTTTGAGGGGTTTGGGGTGGGGAATTTTAAGAGTCTGTTTGAGGCTATTGAGAGGGAGCAGGCTCAGAGGGGGAACTTGTGAGATGCCTCGTATGCATTTATATAAAAGGGGACGCGAGGGGGAAAGAGAGGGGGTGAAAGGTGTAGGATATCAACGTAACTTTTCTAACGAGATCACGACGGGGCACGGCGGGTTCGGTCCATTGCATTGCATCAGAACATGCTAGAGGACCTGGATAACCCCCAACAGCATATAGTAGTAATCCTAAATAGTATCAGGATCTCATAGTTTGAGCATAAGAAGCTACCAACGTAAATAGCAACAAAGTAGCCAGTTATCATATCATTCATTCGGATGTCTCTTCGTCTTCCTCTAGTTATACGTCTTAATACAGTACCTACACCCATCATGTATCGCGGGGGACTGGATGAAAAACGAAGTCCAGAAAACCCCTTTATGCGAAGAAAGTAAGAAAGATCCCGCGCCTCAAACGAGGACGGTTGTAATCAATTCCTTATCCTGTATGCGAGTACCGCCAACGCCTCCCCCGTTTCCCCCCCATGCTGTGACGATGTGGCTGTTATGCCTGGAGTTCGCTCAAAAAGCCCACCTTTATTAAACGAGACTATTCATCTCAGGAATCTATCTCCATAGCCCCGTTCGCATCGCCATTACTCGTCGCCTTCCCATTCTGCCTCTGCGCGCCCCGGGTATCGCTCTGGCACCCGGGGCAGTTATGCAGAACCTCGTGGGCGAATAAATCGCAATCGATGCAGAAATGGTTTCGGCAGACTTCGCACGCGTACCGTCCTGACTCACTAAGTCCCTTCAACGGCGTCGGCACACTGCCACTATTATTCTTCCCTTTCCCCTTCTCCGGCGTCTTTCCCTTGCCCGACTCAGTGCGAGGAACCTCAGGGAACGCAGTGAGACATGAATAACATGCCTTCGACCTCTTGGCCTCAGCCCACGGGACATCGACCCAGTTGCGCAGGGGGAAAAGGTGATGGTATGAGCGCGCAAGATGCGTCGATAGGATGAGCGTGAGGCCGCAGCCGGGACACTCGGCGGGGAGTCTGCAGACGCGGCTCTTGCAGCGCGTGCACTTGTACCCTTCCTTCGTGGGTCGGTTGTGGCATGAGCAGTAGTGTATGCTGTCACCAGCGGCCAGCGTTCGCGACGGAAAGCCCATCATGAGCAGGCTGGCGTTACTCTGCTCCTGTGTTCGGGTGACGGGCGGTGTGGTGACTTCGAGGAGTAGGCTGCGGAAGTGGTCTTCGTCGATGGCGATGGTGTAGCTAGACGTGTCGCCGCCGTTGGTCTTGGTGCATAGCTCGTCGCAGATGGCGACTTGGGCGGCTAGGCCGACGATGGAGACTCGGATTCGGTCGTGTACGAGGGAGGTGATGGTTTCATGGATGTCGCCCGGGTCGCTGGACATGAGGGCGCCGTAGATGATTACGACTTCGCGGGTGCCGTGGGAGGGGGTGTGACTGTTAAAACAAATGTTGGTTAGCTATTATACCAATCCAACCATAACCGGAATCTTCCGTCCTTGCTGGTGCTGTAGATAGAAACGTACAATAGAGCACCCCGACACATCTCCAGCGCATTCTGTAGACTAGGATTTCCCTGAGGCTCCTGCTTGACCCAACCCTGTAGCTTCTCAAGGTGTTCTGCCGGGTTACCGCTCATGTCACTTATCCTGATCGCCACGCCGTCCCGCATTCCTACGACAGCTAGCTGGGAGATCGGGTTCTGCTCGAAGTACTCTCGTACGAATTGCGACGCGTACGCTATCGTTAGCTCGTATCGACTAGGCAGCATATCCTTCTCGAGCATAGCAAAAGACATGTCCACAACCAACACCAGATGCCGTATTATGCCTCGTTGAAGGGGCGTAGTATCCCTAAGTAATCGCGCCCTCTTCTCGGCCTCGGCACGGCCCTCGATGGCTGCTGTGAGAGAACCATCTGCATCCTCGACGACTGCGTCCCACGAACGCTGGATATCTTCCCAGGCGGCCTTACCACTTTTTCGGGTTCCCTTCTTGGCCTTTTCAGGTCGGGAGCGCGATCGCGTATCGTGTTTAGAGCTAGTCGTCACTCGATGGTCTTCGAGGTCATCGCTTGCATCATCGGCATGGAATTCGCCGTCGGAGTCGGCCATAGTTAAGTCACGGTGGAGATATGTCTTTATCGAAGTCGAGTATTAAAAATTCGTAGTACACAACTTAACGGAAAGTCCGTGATATCGTAGAGATTCCTCGTCAATACGAGTATTGGATGTCGAGTGTTGGTGAATAAAGGAAGAGAGAAGTGAAGAAATCTTAAGTTGTTGCTATGACTTGATGCGCGACCGTTTTTTTCTTACAACACCTCAAGGCATTGTTGACGGGTGAGTCAAAGGGCAGCATAACCCCAGAAGACTACGTAGAAACACTCAATAAATCGCCACTAAAGTAATTATCGCAATGAATCTGAAATGTTTGAATGTGTAAATATTAAGATTTTATTCTAAGGCAAGGCTACTCGTCTTTGTTGAATGCGACCGCCGCAATTACGCAGCCTTGTATTTAGCATCTTAAGCTTTGGCCAATCAGACATCGGATAGATAATACTTTTTACGGATAAGGCACTTGGTACCTAGGTACATACATACATATTAGGTATAGGTATGTACCTATATGCTCTTGAAGATCACATGCAACTCATTGCTCACGGTATGAAATATTGATGAATATCCCTAATATCAATTCACTTCACTCGTATGCGATATACGTATCGGAACTCGAACAAACACATTACTGACGTGACTCGTCTGGTTTGAGACTATTCAACTCTCATCATACGACGTCATATACATTAGCCGCGTATCTCCATCTCCTGGGTATACTATCAACCACACTCCAAAACTCTCCGCTAACCAGCGAAGGGCAGATCTGCCACCATATGTATATGAATATAACCACGCCTCCCCCTTCTCCCGCCTCCCCAAGCATACTGACGTCGTTTCGTGTAGCGCATGCCATCGTGCTCCGTCGAGGCTCACCCCTTGCCCAAGGTATAACGAGTTTTGTTTCTACGTGCATTAAATCTTCGAGGTATTTTTTATCGCCGTTTCTCTCGAGACGGCGTGTTTATAGGACGCATCCAAGGAATGAAAAGAAAGGAACATGAACGGGTATATTGGTGAACCTGAACGCCGACTCCGTATTCAAAATGAAGGACAATAATTATGGGTATCCTGCAGGCTGGCTGGCGATTGGCCAGTCATCTTCCGTGATACTCGACCAGAATACCCAAATCATCACTACCGAAAGCAGAGTGAAGAGCGTTTCGAACAACGCCCCGTCAATCTTGCCGGCGGTACCATTACAGATGTAAGGGCTGATGACGTAGTTGAAGATCTGCCCTAAAGCGAAAAGCAGAGCGGCACCTGTAAGATAGATCATCGGTCGGACCTCGCCGAGGATTCGGAGCACGAGCACGGATTCTAAAACGTAGAAAGCTACGAGAAAGACGAGTGGTGCGAGCTGATAGAGGACGTATAATGCAATGTTCCGATAATGATTGGTAGGATCCGGAACAAACTCGTTCGTCCAATGATACCCCGTATCAAGCGTGATATAACCCGTTCCGATGAAGAGAGCAGCGCCGGAGATGAGCATTAGTCCTAGCGAGAGCGGCGTTCCATCGTCGAGGATTTGGTATCCTACAACAGCGTTAAGCAATAAAATCCATGTTGATGCAATTATCATTCCAAGGTGAATTCCGGTAAAAGCCTGGGCAGTCAAATTAGCTCTTCTCTCACAACACTACTTTCCAAAAGGTATTGCATACGACTCGGACCGTCCCACTAAGAGGAAACTCCCCAACTGTGAATATTTCGCATATTTCGATGATTATATAACCGAGAAGGAATAATTGCATTTCCCTGAAGCTAAATTAGTCGAAAAGTCTTGGGGATGGATTGATTTGATGCGAACCTTCTGCCGACCGCAGCTTTCTTTCTCTCCGAACGTAACAGCAATAAAGTTGATACGACAATGGCAATGCCGCAAAGCAATATGGATCCTACACTTCATTAGCAAGAATCAACAAGATTCGAGGGGTTAAACAAACCTAGATTTCCTAGATGCCGGTCACCAGACAACGGAATGCCTTGCAGTTCGCAACCACCGAAGCCTCGTTGGTCATGATTTGTAGAGAGAACCTAACCATAGTTGTTAATAACCTCGAACGTTTGGTTGGATATCGTATTAGTTGTATCACTCAACGAACGTACATTGCAAACTGGTAAGGTTGAATCGCGACAGAACGCCTACATACACCAAAGTTAGCGTTACGCACAATCAAGATCAGAACATATCATCAGTCACATATCTAGAAGGAGATACATACGTCGAAATTGCCGAAATTTGTCGACCCCATTTAGCTTGCGGCGCGAGGGGATCGCGCGACAATCGGGTATGGAGGGGATTAAATGGCCTATTCGAAATGACCCGCGCAGACAGCGCCCTCTCTTACTAGTTCAATGATTGAATCGTAGTATTCGAAAGCGTATAACTACGAGATAAACTAGACGCCCCCTCTAGATCTATATTCGGAATGTTGTGATAGAAATTGGTAAGATTCTTCGAGCTGAATTGAAGACCGCCTGACTCTGACTCGCGTTTGTCGGATTCGAGGTGCTCGATTCGGATTCTTGCTTTAGAAAAAGTCGAAGGCTGGATTATTATGATGTAATTCGATTTATCCCCCTCAAACTCCCTTTCCACTCCAATTATCGTATCCCGAACCTAATCGTATTGTATTTTTTTCGATTCCAAAATGAAAGGGTTTTATGTTTTGAATATTCGTAGGAAAGAAGAATTAGATGGATTAGACTAAGATAGGATTAAGGTGGTAAGATGAGAGGAAATGAAGGCGCAACAAGGCCAGGGAAGAAAGGTTGTTAGGGTGATTGATGTTGCTAAGCCAATCTTGGGGTCCCCTTGCGCCTTCTACAACAAGAACAAGAACGAGAGAGACGAAGTTACCTTTAGCCCTGGAAGTAGGCAAATCCCAGGTAATCTATCGTAAGTGGGAAGACGAGGAAAGGTAAGTCAAAAGCTCTGGTTGGCGCAAGTCAGGAACAGTGGGTCATTTTAAATTGTCCCAAGCCTATTTTGGTCTGTCGATTTCTACTGTTCCTGAACGAAAAGGCAGGAACAGCGCGATTCGGCTAGTGGACAGGGGTCGAAAATGTGGTTGTCTGGGTCCCGCAGGGGTGATAGCCCCAAATTTGAATTTCTCTTTCACACTCTCTTACGACTAGGGCCGCGCCAAATATTTATTGAGAGGAACATTTGAACTTAATTCCGATTCCATCACGGTACGAAGTACGAATATGTGAGATATTAGATGGATGGATGGTCGGATGGATGGCTTGTAATGTTAAGTTAATGCAACAATGCAATAATGGGTAAGCTTAAGTTTTCGGACTGAGGCTACTGGCCTGAAAAACTTACTATATGATGACCTATTAAAGCAATGCGGTGGATAAGGAACAGGAAAATCAAACAATTGGGAAGGGAAGAGAAAAAACCCGTTCGCGAACTGGCCAGCAGTCAGCAGCCAGCTACAGAGTACGCTGTAGATCCACGATGTCTTGCATAAAAGTGGTTGTGCGCACGTTCTTGGAATGGGCTCTGGAGTCTGTGGGCTTAGAAGTTACGTGTAGGGGCAGGCTGGCAGGCTGGGCAGCAGCTAAAGGAATCGAGGGGATCCATCCCCGATCTGTAGGTAATTTTGGATTGGATCATCTTCATGCGTGATGAGCTGTAGCCTCGAATAAGATAAGCGGGTTGGTCCTCAGCCACTTAAAGCTGATACCATTCTTCCTTCTTCCAATGCAAACTAACCTCTTAATATCCTCTTGATATCAGTCTCTTACTGACAAAATGGTGATTGGGCGTTTAACATGTATCCACTGTATGGATGAAGGTGTGCTGTATAGTGCTGGTGATAATACGGTAGCATATTTCGAGACCATCGACACCTGGCTATTTGGCTACTACATACCTAGTATCTAGGTCTAGTTGCATAGCATAACGTAACTTGACCGGGACGGCCCTAGAATCGAAAAAGTCCGATAGTTTCGAATTCCCAAGTATGGCGTACTTTAATAAAGCTGCTTGAGACACTTCTTTGGCGCCAAATCTCATCCTAGTCGAATGTCACTTCTACCCGCCAACCCTTGCCCCTTCATCTCGCAATCTTGGATGAATGTCCGCTTACGGTCCGTTTACCACAACGGTCCACTGCCTAGCATTGAATAGCTGCGAGGTCTTACGTATGTTAAGCGCATCAAGAAGCTGAATTGCTGGACAAGTGATTCGATGACATTATACCAGACGATAATTACAGGAGAGGGAGAAACTGTCCGTTCTGAGACATGGGAAATCACAAAGAATGCATCAGACACTATAACTTAAATATGACTTACCTACTAGTGGTGAATGCTAATACAATTATTAGTAGAAATATTAATGATCCTTTCAGCCCTGGCGTTGTCCATTCCCCTCCCCCTCGCGGCTTCATAAGCTCATAACTCAAAAACTCATAAACCCTTTAGGGGGAAGTGTCAATCACATGTTCGCGAGGCTTACGCAGTCGTCTTCTTTAGCCACCGCAGGAATGAAGCCTGACTTCACTTCTGCAATGTCATTTCAAGTGGTGTAGGTAATAGAAGCGATTGCGTGCGTGACCATGAAGTTTGGTAGGGAGTAGGTGCGTTTCAGCCACACTTCCTCCGTACCAACAGCATCCAATGTCAATTGTCAGTCAGGTTGGTCAGCCTTTTTTGTAATTCGGCACTCAGGTTGCTTCCAGCCAGTCAACGCTCAAGAATGGCTTCATCATGGAATTAACGTCAAGAGGTTCCCATAAGCTTCCTTCTTGGGACATACCTAGTCCTAAAGACACATGTGACTATTTCCGAACCAGCCCTAAAGGATGAATAGTGGCCGCGGGGCAGCTGGGAGCGCACTGGCGACACGCTTATCGGGTGTTCTAGACATTCCGCAGAGTGCTTCAGGTCGGGTCTGTGGGATGAGTGACGTAGGTAATCTGATCGAACCGGTACCTGGTTATCGCTTTATCTAGATGCTTTATCTTCAATGTTGCTCGACGCTCAGACTCAATAATACGCTCGATATAATCAATGTTAGCGTTATTTGTTAGTTTACCTAGATAGATAGTTGAACGTTTGATATAGCGACCTAAGGATGATGATCATAGCCGGATCCAATGAGTAGATTAGACCGAGATAAGATCTATGAATTACATACTTGTCAGATCTCGGCGAGTTGAACTGTTAACAGCATCCTAAGTTAGTATGTATGGATATTTATGTTTTTTTCACGTGCGTGGAGTGCAAGGAATCTCAAGGCTGTAATGAGGGGGTTGGAAAATCAGCCGAGCGATCATGACTGTTCTCGTGATCAGGCTTCCCCAAACTTTCCAACGACAAGACTAAGACATTGATAGAACTGGGAAAGGGTTCATTATGACGAGGAGCAAATCCTGGGGTGTTGCATCCCCGAGTGACATCCGTGTTGACCGCCTTGGTCCAAACGTTCATACTATGATGCCATCGTGGGTCTTGTCTGCATATCCTGCACACTCTGCATGCCGGAGCCGCCATACCCAGATTGCAAGAACTACTCTCGCAGTCTCATCTGGGCTGAACATGCATCATATCAACACCTGACCCGACTGGTGTTCTTGGATTCGCCTCAAACGATTTGCTGAATTGAGGATAGGATTCGACATGTGTCGTAGTGTATCGTATGCGAGATCCTAAAGGGGGACTGATTTGCGCAGGCTCGTTTTCCAAATAGAAAGGGTTCCCCCCTTCGGAGAAACGAGCTGGACACTAAGGTTCGGCTTTTTACTATACGTATTATATTAATATATATAATATAACTGCATTATACCGTATAATAAACTCACGATTAATATAACGGAACGGAATAACTTATCCGGCCTTACTTATATTTATAAATATTTATAAATGTGAAAATTATTTATATATTATATATAATTTTATTTTATAATTTTTTAAAATTATTACGTATTTAATTATTTTAATAATTTAATATGAAAATTTTTTTTTAATTTATTAATTTATTTATTAATTAAATTAATTAATAATTTAAAAAATAAATTATTTCGTAATTTTTTAATTACTTGGTAATTAACGTAAATGAACGTTAATTTATTAATTTTAATTTAATTTAAATAATTTTTTTTAACGTTTTAAATATAATTTTAAATTTAAAATGTTTTTTTTAAAAAAATTAAATTAAAAATAATTAAAAAAAGTTTTTTAATAATAAATGTTAATTTATTATTTATTAATTAAGTTATTAATTAATAATTTTTTTTAATTTTATTTTAATAAATTTTTAATATATTATTAAATAATTTCGTTTTTATTTTAAACGAATAAAATTTATCGGTTAATTAATTTTAAAAATTTAAATTATTTTTAAAATTTTTTTTAATAATCGTTAAAATTTCCCGTTATTATTTAAATAATAAATAATTATTTTTATATTTAAAATTAAACGTTTAAATTATTTAATTAATAAAATTAATTTATTTATTTATTTTTTTATAATATATTATAAATAATTAATTTTAATTAATATTTTTTAATTTAAATGTGCGATTTAATTAAAATTAAAATTTATATATAATATTTTAACGTTAAATAAAATTATTAAAAAAAATAATATTTATTTTTAATATATATTAAGTTAAATTAATTAATTTTAATATTCGAATTAAAATAAATAATTAATTTTACCATTTATTATTTAAAATTATATTCGTAATTTTATATAATTTTTTATTATTAAATTTAAAATTAATAAAAACGTTAAAAAAAATAAAAAAATAATTAAAAAAAATTAATTAATTAAGTAAAAAATAAAGTAACGTTATTAAAAATTTTATTAAATAATTATTTTATAAATAAAATATTAATTTTAATTTTAATTAATTTAATATAAATAAAAATTTATATTTATAAAAACGTTTTAATTCGTTTAATTTTTAAAAATTTAACGTATTAAAAAAAATTTTTTTTAAATATATTAATTAAATTAATAATAAAATAATAAACTTTTTTTTAAAAATTTAAATTTAATATATTTTTAATTAATAATTATAAATTATAAAATTTATAAAAAATATATATAATATATTTTAAATTAAAATTTTCGTTAATTTAACGATAAATTAATTTTATAATTTCGCACGTATTTATATTAATTTTAAATATTTTTAAATAATTATTATTAATAATTTTTTAAAAAATAAATATAATTAAATTAATTTAATTAATTATAATTAATTAAATAAACTTCGTATTTATAATTTTTTAATAAAAAAAAAATTAATAAAAATTTATATTAATACGTTTAAAACTTTTTTTTTAACGAAATTTTTAAATTTATTAAATATAATATTTATTTAATTAAAATTTTTAATAATTTTTATTATTTTAATTTTATATTTATTATATATTATATTAAAGAATTTATTAATTAATATTTTTAACGATAAAAATTTAAATATAATATTAAAATTATTTAAAAATTTACGAATAATATTATTATTAAATTTAATAAAAAATTTATTATTATAATAAATAAATTTTATTATTTATTTTTATAATTTTTTTTATTATAAAATATTTAATTTATAAACGAATTTATTTATACGTTATTAACGAAATTATAATTTATTATTTTTTTATTATTAAATAAATTTTTAAAAATAAAAATAATTTTTTAAATATAAAATTTACTTTATAAATTTTAATTTAAAAATAAACGTTTTATTATAATATTTATAATAATAATGTTTTTATTTAAAAACATTTTAATTAACATTTTTAAATTAAAAAATCGTAAAATAATTTAAATAAAATATTATTAATTAATTTAAAATAATTATTAAATAATAAAAATAATAAAAAAAAACGAAAAATATTTACTTAATTATTAATTAATAAAAACGTTAAATAAATAAAAAATATTTAATTATATAAAACTTTTAAATAATTATTTAATTTAAAATTAAATTAATAAAAATCGAAAAATAATTAAAAAAAATAAATAATTTTAAAAAAATTATCGTAATTAAAGAAAATAGAAATTTTCAAACCTTTATACAGGACTATACGCATATTATACAAGATTACTATGGTATAATTGCGTATAACTTTGTATTATACATTAATACCGTATAGTACCCTCATTATACGTATAGTACCGACCCTTACTGGACACTGCACCGACTGTTCTCTAACCCCACAGAATTTTAGATGCGTCATGTGACTATCCGCCCGTAGTGTTGCGTTCCAAGGTTTGTGAAAAAAACCCGGATGTGAACATAACGATTTAAGAGAACGAAACAGTAGTGTATGATCGCACGTGGTGTTTGACAATAGGCAGCTTACTTGGCTTTATAAATTGAGCATCCATCAATAATTCCAGACCGTTGGTAAATAATTATTCAAAGTTCTGGATTCGTCGATGTGAGTCGACACGAATCGTACTGCCATTTTATACAACACAGTTATTTGGAAGATGCGGATACAGTATAGTACATTGGATAGTACATCATATCGTATCAATAAGGAAATACGGCACAGTACATAAAATCCAGGCAAGTAACGACCTGGAAGACATGTCTTTTGTGAGACCTTGTGGGGGTTTTATTACCCCACACAGAGAATTGCAACTACCCTGAAACTCCCAAGGCTAAGGAAAGCTAAGGAAGGCTAAGGTCGCGGTTACCGCAGAAAAGGTGTCAATTGGTCGGTATTGGATTGTGTAGCACAGTATGTAAGTTAACGGTGTACATGCTGGATTGTCCTTGGTTGGCTTAAGGCCAGTATCCAAGGAAAGATCAGCGACCAATTCTTACTCCCTGAAGTTCTGAAATAGGGGATTGCAGATAGGAGGATTCTAATCGATCTGTCCGTCCTAGAGAGCATTGAACCCAGATTTTTTCTTTTTGTAAAACTTGGTTACTTCATTCACTCAATCACTCACTCATAATTCATACATTCATTTATTTTTTCGCCGTCATCAGCATTGAACATCGAATTATATCCTACAGTCTCCTGCATACCTATGTAGATTTTCATCGCACGCCCCTTACATCTGTCAAATGATAATCAATTCTTTCGTTACGGGAATTTATCGATACATATTGTAACTCTGTTCTACTCCGTTCTCGGTTACTTTTTCTGTTGTACCTACAGTGTGCGGTACCTTTTTGGACGAGATTTTCCAAGGTTGCCTCTAGGCTTCCTAGGCTCGTTAGGCCAGTTCAGTTGTGCATGTGTCTTGTGCTTGGTGATCCACCTTGGTGCGTTGTGGTCAAAAACTTGTCGACGCCTTTCGTCACTCGCCAGGCCCGGATGACACTGAATCTCGGGGCCCTGTCCTATATACACACTCCACCCATTTCCGCATTCCCCAACTCAATTCCAATCAACATTATCATCGCGGGAGGGTGCTGCTGCCTCACAGCCCCAAAACCTCCAAAATTCCTTCACCAAAATCAAACCGTCTTCCCTCAAACATCCCTCTTCGGACCTTAACCAATCGATCCGATCACGACCACGGCGCCCAATCGACGTCATTGCTGGCCGGCCACCACCGGGACCAGCCATCCCACGAGAGACGCTCTGACGACTCTGCCGACTCCGACTCTTGGACGGATACCGGAGATCTCGCAGAGCAGTTGGCGGATGAGGAGGATCCCTTGCGAAAGACCATCGCTGATACCTCCATTAATGACGACCTCTTATCCGGCGTATTAAAGCGTCATCCGAAACATAAACGCGTCCAATTTAGAAGATCCGTCTCCGAACATAGCAACCACCGTTCGTCGAGATCTTTCTCTACAACCATCGATAAAGAAGCCATCCAGGTCCCCAACGTTTCTCCACGCCGTATTGGAAGAGCAGAGCGTTTCATAGCCGCCATCATGCCGGGTGCCGGGGTTCACGGTTTCACGGGCAAGGCCCTAATGTTCGTCACACGCTCTTCCAGATGAAGGAAATGAGCTTTGCTAACCATGGTATAGCTACTTTACGAGTATATTCGTATCGTTGGGTGTTTTCCTATTCGGATATGATCAAGGTGTCATGTCGGGTATCATCACGTAAGGGCTCGACAATGATTATGGTTTAGCTAGACCGTTTCTCTGTCCTCTAACAATATCTTAGTGGCCCGTACTTTAGAGATTACTTCAAGAATCCTTCTAAGGCCGAAATCGGTACTATGGTCGCTATCCTCGAGATTGGTGCTCTAGTCTCATCCCTAATTGTTGGAAGAGTTGGCGATATTATCGGTCGACGACGAACAATTCTGTATGGCTCGATCATCTTCTTTGTGGGTGGTGCTTTGCAGACCTTTGCTGCCAACATGCCTATGATGATGTTAGGTAGAGTTATCGCCGGTCTAGGTGTTGGCTCCTTATCCACCATTGTCCCGGTCTATCAGTCTGAGATTTCCCCTCCCCACAACAGAGGTAAATTGGCCTGTATCGAGTTTTCGGGTAACATTATTGGTTACACGACATCTGTCTGGGTTGATTACTTCTGCGGATATATCGAGAGCGATTTGTCGTGGCGTATTCCTCTACTAATGCAGTGCGTGATGGGAGCCCTCCTAGGTCTGGGCAGTCTTATCATCGTTGAATCCCCAAGGTAATGGTGCATACCTAGTTAACCAAGAAGCCTATTTAAACTAACAATGCGCGTAGATGGTTACTTGATAATGATCACGACGAAGAGGGCATTGTTGTCATTGCGAACCTTTACGGTGGCGGCGATATTCACAACGCAAAAGCAAGAGAAGAATACCGCGAGATTAAAATGAACGTCCTACTCCAACGCATGGAGGGCGAACGAACCTACTCCGAGATGTTCCGGCGCTACAAGACTCGAGTCTTCATTGCTATGTCTGCGCAAGCCTTAGCCCAGCTGAACGGAATCAACGTCATTTCATATTACGCCCCCTACGTTTTCGAGTCTGCTGGCTGGATTGGCCACGACGCAGTCAAGATGACCGGTATCAATGGCATAACGTACCTGCTTTCAACAATTCCGCCATGGTATGTGGTTGATCGGTGGGGTCGCCGAGTCATCCTCTTAACCGGCGCGGTCGCGATGGCAATATCCTTATCTATGGTATCATACTTCATCTACTTAGATATCAAGTCTACACCAACATTGGTAGTCATATTCGTTATGATTTACAACGCCGCGTTCGGTTATTCATGGGGACCTATTCCATGGCTCTACCCGCCCGAGATCTTACCGCTGAGCATCAGGTCTAAGGGAGCAAGTTTATCAACTGCTTCTAACTGGGCCTTCAACTGGCTTGTCGGCGAGATGACTCCTATTCTCCAGGAATGGATTAAGTGGCGACTGTATTTAGTACATGCATTTTTCTGTGTAGTGAGTTTTGTTGTTGGTAAGTATACGATTTCTTTTAATTCTATTAGGCGATGTTGCTAACTGTAGATAGTGTATTTCATATACCCCGAAACTTGTGGTGTACGATTAGAAGATATGGACTCGCTATTTGGAGATGCAAGCACTGCAGTAGGAACCCCTGGAGTGAGGTCTGAGACGGGTTCTTTAGTTAGAGCAGGATCACCCGTTCCGTCACTCGACCTACGGGGACGGCCTCTGGGCCCGGACGCCAATATCCCCCCAATGGATATTGACCCCCCTGTTCTTAATATTATTGACGGGAAGCCGCAGCTACGGTCAGAAAGCCAGAGCTCACGGGGACGAGTAGGTGAATGGCTGACGAGGATGGTTGGGCAAAATAGGGGGACGAGTAGCAGCCCGGCCGCCGGAGCTAGATATGCTCCATTGGACCAGCGAGATGACTAAATTCACGAAAGATGTGGCATTAAATTGGTTACGGGAGACTACTAGACTCTGATTCATATAGACGGCGCTACGGCGCGGCGCGGCGGGAATTCTAACGGCTATGGCGGCCCGCATTCTAACATCATTGTACAATGTTTTGCATAGTCGTTTTCGGCGGCTCAGGCAAGGATCTCTACGGCGAAAGACAAGACCGAAAGAGGCATGGGGAAATGAGTTTTATAATGCATCGTATCTGGCGAGCTTTTTCTATTTTATTTTCGTACATTCATCGTAACCCTTGATGAGCTCACGGTCATCAACAGGGATACGACCTCATCTATCGGTACGGGGAGTAAAGATTGGGAGCATTATACACTCGAGGAAGTCTGTTCAAGTTAATGTCAATATGCGGGATCTGTACAACTGCGAAACCAGCAGTATGCAAAGTCCCTATTTATACTGCTGACCGGGTATTGGTACTCAAAATTTACCTAAGCTCGGCTACGTGCTTAGGTAGGTATATAATACACCACGGTTCCTTACGGCGGGATGATGCACCCGGTTGGAAAATTAATACCTAGTACGCTGGCGGAATATGGCTAATATGTTTGTTGAGAGTAAATATGTTAAATAGGTTGATCTGTAACGATGGTAATGACATTTAATTCATTCGTATTTAAGTTATTATCTTGTGTCGGCGGGAGGTCTAGGCATTTATATACGGTTTCTATTTTCATATGATCGGAGCTAACATTGAAGGTGCGGGAGGTACGGATACGTATTGGGCGGTACCGACTAAGTGGACAGGCTCCTGGGCAATCTGGAAGGTACGAGGTACACGCAATCGTACAGCGTACTAATGGATGTACTGATCTGTACGCGCGTGTCAGATAAATGAGCAAGGTGTCCCTAAGAAGGTACAACGAGACAGGATTAAGTGCTAAGGTGCTAAGGTGCTAAATAAAGCTAGCTGTGCAGGGGTTTAGGGGGCGTTTTAGCGTAGGCTGTCCCTCACTTGTTAGAATTGATTCAGCTGAAGCAGGAATTAAGAAAAAAAAAGGTGAATTGAAGCCGGACCACGGCCCAGGGTAACCCGTATTTTGTGTTCCTATCGTCGTTTAATCGTACACGCCACGCAACCTTACTCCCTTTTCCACTTCTCTCTAACCAACCTTTCTTCGAGCTCGAGGATTCAGGTTCCCTATTCTATTTTCCTCTTAGACAAAATTTGTCTAATTGTTCCTTTTTTTTCTTTGTGGAAGAGATGCTCTGCTTTTACCATCTTTGACCAGCCTAATCTATTCTCTTCAGGTCCCTCCTTTTTTCTTGACGTTGACATTGTGTCCTCCGTAAGCATCGTCTGTCCAACCCTTGACACTCGTTCTACCTTTATTTCTCCCATTACTCTTCTCGACCTTGGAGAACAGGGCCGAGAGGTAGTTTACAATCATGGCCGACAAGAAGGCCGCAGTCGCGTCCGGCGCTGACCCAGCCGGCGACGCTGCACGACGACGAAATGTACCTGGTGTTACCCCTGGAGCTTTGGCGCAACAGTCGGAGCTCGACGAGAAGAAGATTCACGGAAAGAATAAGGTATTTAAGATGCACCATACCAGTAACGAGCTTCAAGCTTGAATGGGGACAGGTTGCTTATTTGAATATGAATAGGAGACCTCTGTATTAGATGTACTCGATCGGTGGGAAGTTATTATTGCGCCCCTAATTTTCACGGCCTTCGCCATCTTTACACGTTTATGGAAGATCGGCCTTAGCCCCATTGTTACTTGGGATGTAAGTTAAATTATTCTACCAAGCTTCATAACCCTCGCTAACAACCGTGTAGGAAGCTCAGTTAGTCTAGCCCTCTTACCATTCCTGTCGTTCCTTGACCGCCACGCTAACGCTTATGCCACGATAGCTTCGGAAAATTCGGATCGCATTATATCAAGCGAGAACTGTTCTTCGACGTGTTAGTACAACCCGAAAAGAAAACTCGATTATAATATAGAATATTATTTTTAATACGTGTAACAGACATCCTCCTCTTGGTAAAATTCTTGTCGGTCTTTCCGGAGTTCTAGCTGGTTACAATGGATCATTCGAATTCAAGTCTGGTGAAACATATCCCGAAGAGCTCGACTATACCTTTATGCGAGCCTTCAATGCCTTCTGGGGAATACTATGCGTGCCATTGGCCTACTACACTGCGAGGGAATTGAACTTGAGGCGACCTGCTGTCTGGTTGGTTACGCTTATGGTTCTATGTGAAAACTCGTACACGACGATTAGCCGATTCATCTTACTAGACTCTATGCTTCTCTTCGGTACTGTCGCGACCGTCTTTTGCTGGTCTAAGTTCCATCGCCAACAAAAGGAGAGCTTCGAGCCTGAATGGTTCTTCTGGCTGTTTATGACGGGACTGAGTTTAGGATTCGTTTGTAGTATCAAACTTGTCGGGCTCTTCGTCACCGCTCTCGTTGGTATTTACACAATCGAAGATCTATGGAACAAGTTTGGCAACGTCAAGATGCCGGTTCCGGTGCTCGCCGGCCACTTAGCCGCTCGAATCGTCGGTCTCATTATCATCCCGTTCTTGGTCTATCTGTTCTCCTTCGCGCTTCACTTTGCAATCTTGACCAAGAGTGGGCCAGGAGATGCGCAGATGAGTTCTCTCTTCCAAGCAAACTTAGAAGGTAGCGAGATTGGGCGAAACTCTCCACTTGAAGTTGCTATTGGCTCTAAGGTAACCCTTAAGAACATGGGATACGGCGGTGGTCTCCTCCACAGTCACGTTCAAAGTACGTATATGATGTTTCATACAATGATCTAATAAGAAAGGAAGAAGGAAAAACTAATTCGTACCTAGCCTATCCCGAGGGTTCGTCTCAGCAACAAGTCACTTGTTACCATCACAAAGATGCCAACAACGAGTGGTGGTTCTACCCCAGCCGCCAGGAGCAGGAATATGACCCAGAAGAAGAACCTCGATTCATTGGTAATGGCGATGTCATCCGTTTGATCCACTCCCAAACCGGTCGAAACCTTCACAGTCACGATATCGCTGCCCCTGTTTCGAAGAGTCAAAAGGAAGTTTCTTGCTATGGCAATCTTACCGTAGGTGATGATAAGGACCATTGGCAAATCGAGGTTGTCAAGGATGTTGCTTCTCGCGACAAGAGCAGGGTTCGAACTTTGACTACTGCTTTCAGACTTAAGCATCCTGTGATGGGATGTTACCTGCGAGCCGCCAACGTCAACCTTCCGCAATGGGGTTTCAAGCAGATCGAGGTAACTTGCGACAAGACCAACAACCCCCGTGACGCCTTCACTCACTGGAACGTCGAGGCCCACACCAACGAAAAGCGTAAGTTCTACGAAGCAGACATATGTGTATACAGTGGCTAATCCATTAATAGTTCCTCCTGGAGACCCGGGCAAGTATAAGTCGCCATTCTTCCACGACTTTATCCATCTGAATGTTGCCATGATGACGTCTAACAACGCTCTTGTACCCGATCCCGATAAGCAGGATGATCTTGCTTCTCAGTGGTGGCAATGGCCCATTCTAAACGTCGGTCTACGTATGTGCGGATGGGACGACAAGATCGTCAAGTACTTCCTCCTTGGCAATCCTTTCGTCTACTTGGCTTCGACAGCCTCTTTGGGCGCTGTTGGCCTGGTCACTCTCTGGTACATTCTCCGGTGGCGACGAGGGTTTTATGACTTAACCCAGGATGATATCGACCAAATCCACTTCTCTGGTCTTTATCCTATTCTGGGATGGTTCCTTCACTATCTTCCGTTCGTCATCATGGCTCGAGTTACATACGTCCACCACTACTACCCAGCCCTATACTTCGCCATCTTGAATCTTGGTTTCCTTGTCGACTGGCTCCTAAGGAACCAAAAGAAGGCGATTCAATATCCTATCTACGGAGTCCTCTACACTGTCATCATAGGACTCTACATCTACTTCATCCCCATCTGCTGGGGTATGACGGGTAGCAACCAGAACTACAAGTATATGAAGTGGATGGACAGCTGGCGCATCTCCGACTAAGGGGATGAATTTTAAGCGCCACCGAGTAAAAAGGGGGACGAGCCCGAGGACTGAGGTAGGCTGTTCGGCCTCGGGACAGTGATTCTCATATAGAAGCAGGACTAGACTAGGTAACATGGTCCGATCTGGTTATAATGACCAAAACATCGATTCAGAAATCTCCATCTCCTCTACTACTACTATCTTCTCCGTTGTTTGATGTAACGATACGAAGGGCGAACTTTGCATGAAAAAAGGGAATCAAGAGAGTGGAGTTCACGGTGGTAACGTGGATGAGGCATATTGGGAACACAAAAAAAGATACTCATCAGTATACCACTTTCTAATACAACACGCGATTTTTCCTTTTCTTTCTAAAACAGAAAAAAGATCTATATCAAGAGGTTCTTCATGATGATGGGGGATAAGTTACAAGTCACCATGGTCACAATAATGAAAACGTTGAAGATGAATTCGTTGTTCGTTCGTTCGTTTGATTGTTTGATTGATTGTTTGCTTGGTATATAGGTACGCAAGCAGTAGACATTAGTGCGTAGGGTATCATCGAATGCGCAATGGACGATGCTCCTCCCGAAAGTGCGTGCGTGGTGGCCTTTATGTATGTATGTACAAGTCCCCTCCCCCTTAGACCGGAACACCCAAAAACAAGAGAACCCTTAAGTCAACCAGTATCAGTAGTAGAAGTAGAAGTAGTAGTTCAACATACACGGGGGACCCGGCATCTCGTGGCTTTAATCCGATCTTCAGTTTCATCTTTCATCTCATGACGTCGAATTCATCCAATCCAATACAATCCGGTCCGGTCCAGTTCCTTAAACCACCCCAACCCCATCATGTCAAAACTTCAATCTCGACTTCGACATTAGGTAAAAGCCAGCGTAGCCAAATTCGTTCAGTTAATTAGATAGTGAGTCGGTTGTTTGGTTCTTAACAACACCCACCCGCAGCAGCCCCCCTCCCAGAATCCCCGAGGAGCGGGACCTGCTTACCGACGGCGCCGGGGCCGGGCCCCTTGACGCCGGAGCGGCGGTCGTTGAGGTCGTACTTGCCGGCGTTGATGTTCTCGAAGATGCGCTCGGCGACGCGCATGAACGCTTCCTCGACGTTCTCGCCCGACTTCGCTGACGTCTCGACGTACTGCAGCACGCCGTTGCGGCGCGCCCACTCCTCGGCTTCTTGCTCGGTTACCTCGCGCTTGCTTTCCTGACCTTCGGACGGTTGCGCTTGGTCGAGCTTATTGCCTACGAGGATCACGACGATGTCTGGGTCGGCGATCGCGCGGAGATCGGAGAGCCAGTCGGTTACGTGTGCGAAGGTCGCTTTGCGCGTTATGTCGAAGACGAGGAGGGCGCCGGAGGCGCCGCGGAAGTAGGAGCGGGTTACGGATTTATACTGGGAAGGGGGTTAGTTAGGTGATTAGGTGGCTTGCGCTACGATTGGGAGTAGAGATGTTGCATAAGTTATAGCAGCACATGATTTTAATATCGAAGTCTGGTTGTGTATCCATGGATGTCTTTAGACTCGAGGGGTTGGTGTGGTACATACCGTCTCCTGTCCTGCCGTATCCCATAACGATAGCTTCATGTGCTTCTGGGGTGTGGTGTTGGCACGCGGGGGTTCGGGAAGTCCTCCGTCGGATTTGGGCGCTGCGGGTGGTTTGGAATGCGGCGGTCCAACCGGCACGATCCTCGACCCGAATTCAACGCCGATAGTGACATCGTGCTGTGGGCTGAAGCGTCCCTCGCAGAGTCGGATTGTGAGAGACGATTTACCGCATCCTGAGTCGCCGATACATACGAGCTTGGCGATGTAGTCCCAGGGCGGAGAAGACATTGGGATTAGATAGGGTAGAAGGTATCGGGGGAGATGTAGAGGGCAGTGGCAGTGATCACGAGGGCGGAGTGAAGAGCACCTAGGTAGAGGGTGGTGCTTTCGCTCGTAGACGGCGTCTCTAATGCGACGATATGATAAGCAAGGCCTAAGAGCTCTATCGTTCCGAATTAAGAGTTAGCTTTTAGATTGTACGACTGTAAGATCACGCTCATGTGATAGGTAAAACGAAGCAAGAGACGGCAGGAAATAAGTAGGATAAATTACCTTAGGGTATAAGCTTGAGGACAAAGAAGCAGGTCGTGTAGGCAAGTGATGGAGAACGGAAATACTAATGCAAGTATCAAGGTCTCAGGTCAAGTCAAGTGGCACTTAATATTCGATGATGTCTGCCGGGTTCTGACCTGGGATCCGCCTGGAGTTAAAGGCTTAAAGCTAGTCTATCGATAAAAATGCGTTAACTCAGGTACAACGCTCATTGGTACCCACCTGGGCATATATCAAAGTATCTAAGTATCTAGGTATCCAAGGTTACAGGGATATGTTTCTCCTATCACAGGCTAACAGCCAAGTGAAGCCAGCGTCGGTGTTTTGAGCAGCTGGCAGCGCCGATAGCGCCTGATAAAGGGTGGATGACCTCACCAAGTTAGACACCTGGTATTCTATGAAAGGCTCGTGACGATGTAACACCATATATCGACATTTGTTAAAGGGTCATAGTAAAAATAGCAAGATAATTAATGACTTGAATGACTTTTATCCTTTTATTTTTCTTATCTATATCTTGGCACAAGATCCATTATATCTATTGGTGAGGTGATGAAGAGACAAAGTGACGTACGTACTATTAGGTAGTAGTATATCCTACCGCTCCTGGTGCTCTTAGGCAGCTATGGCTACTACGTTAGCAGATGTATCTAGTACATACATTGGATATCCATATATCTTATCGTAGATAAGCCTCTTTAAGCGTGCAAGTACAAGGTCCGTTAGACACAGTACATCCACTAATACATCCACTAATACATCCGCTACATCCACTTTGACCGCTTCCGTAATGCATTTACGCATCTACAGGCAGACTCTCAAGTCCGGATAAGCAGGTACTTGTACCTAACCTTAGCTGCATGTGAGCAATTCGGGAGAGTCATCCACCATCAATCCTCCATGTCTCGTACATCCACTCTTCACCATTCAAATCATTTCAACAGCCGTCGTTATTGTTGACGCAACGACCACCATTTACTAACTTATTCTTAACCTATCCTTCTTTCAAGCCCATTCTTCACCGTTGTGGACTATTCTAAGCCGGTTGCTCATCGTTTTATATTTCTTTTATTGGCGGGTAATCCGTCCCCCAAAGTTACGTCCGGTTTACGGTTTATGATTAGCAGTCAACTGTGTATGGTTTGCATCACTGTGCCGTCGTCACCGCTAGTGATTGATTTACTTCTTTCAAATCCTGCCTAACCCTCCCTTACCATCTTGCATCTTTAATCTGCTGGAGTCTACCTCCTCCTGCGCCGACAGAACATGTTTTCAGAATGTAAGTCAGCTCCAATACCCATCAAATTTGGAGGCTTTCGGTCTGACGCCTTAACTCCAGACGCCTCAAGGTTTTTAGCTCAGTCGCAGTCCCGATTATCTAACTTCGGCCAACCCGACAACAATGATACCTCAAACCGACAATCACAAGGAACACCAGGTCGTTTTGGTAGACATCCCAGCCGGTCGTCATATCAAACCCGACTCGGAAATCCTTATCAGCCTTCTAATTCTCGGTTCGGAGGTTTCTCGCGATACAATACTACTTCCGATGCCCCGCTCTTCCATAGTGCCTTAAACGAGTATCGGGAAGATGAAGATGACGATGATGCGAGGGAAGCTGCTGATCTCCGAGCCTTGCAACGGTCTCGCCGAGTATTTGTCTCGAGTCGGCTGGAGGAAAGTTCGGCTTCTGAGGGCGATGGTCTCGGTGCCTCATCCGGGCACAATGGGAGTGAGTCGCACGGTAATATGTATTCCAGTGCTCGTCCCATAGGAGGGATCAAAAGCAGTTGGAACGGTGAATCGAGCTTCAAGGATAGGCATTTCAAGCGCGACGGCGGCTTGGCTAAAGAGCCAGATGGTTTAGGCAACACTCGACAAGATTCTGGTAGCGATGAAAGTGGAAAGATGGTTGATATTGGTTTAGAATCGACAGTACTAGACAATGAGGTACCCGATGACCTCTTACAAGAGACCCCTACAGATTCATCACCACCCGCTTTTCAGCAGTTTAAGTCGGCCTCGGGCGGTCCAAAGGGCTTAGGCGGTAGGAGAGGTTCGAACTTAGAGTACGACCAACGCTTGATGCGTCAGGTGATAACAGAGGAGGATGAGGATGATGAAGCGGAAGGAGAAGAAGAACGAGGAGAAATCCCTACGCCGGCGCCCACTCGGATGTATGGTGAGATATTTGTGCATGATCAGTTCTTCGCCTGGATTTACCTCATAGCTGTCGCATCCCTTCTCGCCACCTTCGTGCTAGTATGGTTGCACACATCTGTACCTAACAGGAAGATTGGCGACACCATTTACACGACCCTTCATTCTTCATTCTACCTCCTGGCAGTGGACACTCTAGTTTCGATCATCGTCGCCTTAGTTTGGATGGCAGCCTTGAGGTCCTTTGTTCAACCGTTAGCCCTACTCATTCTACTAGGTGTTCCGATCGTCCTCGTCGCCTTCTCGTTATATCCGATGATCTCTAGTTTTCAAGGACCGGATCATGGATCACGACTGCAGGATGTTGTCATGAGATGGGCTGCCATTATCCCGGGCATATGCTCTGTCGTCTGGGTTTGGCTATTATATAAGGGACGTCATGAGATACAGAGAGCGATAGACATATTGGACTTCTCGAGCCGCATTCTCGCGGCCAACCCAGCGCTTGTGCTTCTTGGGCTTGGTTCGTTGGGCTTCGTTGTCGGGTGGACGTGGATATGGCTGTGGATGTTCACGAGAATTTTCCTTGGCGGCTACTTTTCCAAGTCTCTTTCGGCCTTCGTCATCGGTACTGCAACTTGGTGGCTTGCGGTATTCTTTTTCCTTATGTACGTCTGGACTCTTTCCGTTATGAGCGGAGTCGTTCGCGCTACGACTGGTGGTACAGTATCAAATTGGTATTTCTTCCGTAACAACCAGTCTCCTGCCTCGTCCAACGCGATCGTCAAGGGTGCATTGGGACACTCTACGACGACAGTATTCGGTACGATTTGTGCTTCCACACTTTTGTCGCTGGCAATTCGTGTCCCGATATTGATCCTGCCTCGTCGCATCTCGAGTATATTTGAGTTCATAGGATGGAGGCTGGCGCCCCGTCCAGTATCTGTTTTAACTAACCCCTTGGCATTAACATATGCGTCAATTCACTCGTTGCCCCTGATGGAATCTGCATCACAACTTAGTAGGATCCAGTTTCTGGCTACGGGGCCTACTACGACTCTGACACCGAGCGCATTCTCCCGACGTGGACAGTCCACTGCATCGTTGATGCCATACCGAATGGCGAAGATGCTCCTCCATGCTGCACGGTTCGTAATGTCGACCGCACTAGGATTTGCAGCATGGGTTATGACTGCACGGCAGCTGCAGATTCAACTCCCGGATGGTGGCATCAGAGGAAGCGCGTATGCGTACGTTGTGGGCATGGTAGCTAGTATGATCGGTTGGGGTGTGTTAGGGGCTATGGAAGGTATTTTATCCGGTATTCTCGACGGTGTGCTTATATGCTACGCTAGCGAAAGGCGGCTAGGTAGTGAGCGAGCTACTTACTGTATCGAGGCAGCGAGACTCTTCGAGGAGAGGCGATATGATGAGCGGGACATGGTTTGATAACATTATTTTTTTTTTCTCATTCAACTACAGTTTACGCATTGCACTTTTTAGCCTCGGCGTTTGCGTCTAGGCCGCCAAAGATGGTGGATAGGAGTCTCGAGATTGGACAGGACAGCTTAGATTAGGTCTATTGAAACACTTTCGCAACATAAGCAGTACTTCTAGTGGTGGCATATTGAGTTTGCACTGATCTTACAAAAATTAGGAGACCAAAGGTCAGCAGGTATAAGATGGGAGCCCCGAGCACGAGTTATCTGTTCTCTTCTTTTTGGATCCAATGGGCAGGGACACATTTTATACCTACATCTTGGAACTCCAGACAACGTGTCTTTCTTTGGCCATCATGGCTACGCAAAGAGACCAGCCTGTCAAAGGCACCGATGCCCCCCGTCCAAAAGCTGCTGGTGATCCCGAGGAAGATGAAGAAGAGTGGGATAGCATCGAGCTTCCAGGTACGTTGTTTCTACCTATTTCTTCGTATCAAGCAATATGTGTCAAATACTAACCGGTATCAGATCCAGACGCTGAATGGGAGCAAGTGTACAAATGCGCTGCCGATCCTCGTAAGACACACCTCTTTCCCCCTTTTCGCCCACTGCTGTGTTATATTATATTTCTCGAAACCCTTCATCTCACTTAATGATGAAGCCGATGTCATATATATGTCATTGTAGATAGCTCGTCCTAGATGGCTAACTCGATAACTCCCAGATGCCATCGACTACTACAAAGATGAAGGCCTCATCGAGAAGCCAATCGAGGATGGCTGGACGAACGTGACCCAAGTCCCGGAGGAAATCCGTAGGGGAGAACAGGGGAAAAGGGTCATGTCTACACACGATCCTGCCGGTCTCGGAGATAAGGCCAGGAAGCGGCTCGCCAGGCAGAGAAATGCGAAAGCTGCGGCAGCTGGTGCTAAGACGAAGGCTGGTACTGATGCTGGCTCTGGCTCTGGTTCTGGTACTACCCGTTATATCCCCGATGGGTACGTTCCAACTCCAGCTCCAGCTCCAGCTACGACTACAACTACGGCTACGGCTGCCACTGGAAATAGCGGTCGGATGGCTGATGGATGGATACGTGCCGCGTTGTCCCATCGCCCGCCTTTTGGTGCCTTTCTGGACACCGAGCGACGGGAGACCAAGTAATATCGCCCATGGAAATCCCGGACTACAAGGGATATTGGCGCTCTAGGATATAGACCATGTGGTGCAGATCGAGATGATCTTGAGCCGGAGTTAATTCATTATCGGTATTCACAGTATAGCTTATGTTGGATATTATATTTGTATCAACTAGTCTGTCGCGGAGTCTATAGATAGACCTTTTAATACCGATATATTTCCTTATCTAGAAAATCAATACCTCTATAAGGCCATCGTGACAAAGAGAGGACTTCGACGTCTTGTTATACGATAGGACTATGATAGACTTGGTAGTCGTTGAAACTAGCTTCGTCCATCAAGCATCTAAGTGAATACCTTGAGAGCATATTTCTATTCCAATAATTAATGTTATTGGGGAATAAGATCCTCTCGGCTTGCTATTTCTAGCTTAGCTGATCAACAGATTTACCTTCCATTCTGGATTGGTTACATATATTAGTTAAAGAAAGTGAAGCTATTAGAGCTTACTAAACTTAACGTAGATCTTCATAAATCGATCTTTCTGCTCTGTTTTAATGATGTGAGATAGCTTCTTTACTATAATATCGTCAGTTTAGATATTAGAAAGCACTAATCACATAGTTTTAAATTCGGCCTGACTTAAATATTTAGAACCTTATCTGTCAAGAGGCAAGTCATGCCCGACTGAGCCATTTAAGATATCGGGGGACACAATTACAAGTACCGAGGTATATCTAAGTATAGATCACCTGGCAATACCAAATAGCGCCAACTTTTACTCCTACACACCTCTTAGTCATACGCCGCGTGAGGAAGATCCAAGCCATAGAATTCGTAAGCCGACGGGCACGGTTCGAACAGAATGTCAAATTATACCAGTGGCACTGGCAATGTCGTCAGCTCCAGGCGTCCATATCTCCAAGAGTCTAAGAGCTCCGCCACGATGTATGCAACTGATGATTGGTTGCAAGTTGAGGACTCCAGCAGTGGGGTCAATTGTGAGTTTTAGTTACAGCTGTAACACGAAGGCAAACTGTTAAGCGTCGGGGTTGGAGATGCCGAAACTTTGCTATGTAACTGATCATGGATGATTGATCAGAGGCGGTGCCTTCCCTTTCAAACCTGTTTGTACCTTACCTAGTACGTGCTACGCATGTGTCCCTTCCTCGAATCATCTACCCGTAGTAAGTAGAATCTAGAAGCCAGGAACAATTTTGGAAGCAGCAGTGGCCACTCATGATACAGTAGGCTATTTGGAAGCTACCTAGTCTGCTAGACCATAGATATTTAAATCATAATATAAGGTCCCTGCATGCCATCGTCTGTCTACTTCTCTCTCACATACATTTATTGAACCTAAATACCTCTATTAACCTATCGGATACTTTGAATCCTTAATCCTTTTTTTAGACTGGAACAGAACCCCTCCTTACTATAGAGGACCCCGCCCTTTTCGCTCCAGTTAACAAGAGAACAAGACTATCAGTCGATTACTCCATCCCTCCTGTACCTCATTTTCGATAAATTGATATCACATCATATCACATCGCCAAGTCAAATCTGTACGCATGGCAGATTTCGCACCACCTACGGGTCCGCCGCCCCCTAAGGTACCGGCAGGTTGGGTCGCCCGCTGGAACGACCAGTACAGCGAATGGTAAAATCTGTATATCCCTAATATACCAACCTTGCCATCTAACCCTATCATATACAGGTTCTACGTCAATTCGTTTACCAAGAAATCGCAATGGGAGAAACCCACCGAGCCCGCTCTCGACCCCAACGCCCAAGGCGGCATGCCTCCAGGCCCTCCTCCGGGATATTCCCCTGGCTCCGGCCCTACGCCTAGCGATTCGAAATCCGCGACCGGTCACAACAACCCCTTCATCAACGAATCCACGAAACCCGGATCTAGCTCCCACGTTGACGAAGACGCCGATGCGCGATTAGCGCGGCAACTGCAAGAGGAAGAGAACGCCCGCGGTGCAGGAGGAGGTGCCGCGGCATCGTACGCTAGCACCCCGGTTCCAGGCGGCCATTCGCCATACCCAGATCAGTTACCCGCGAGAGGATCCGGCGGCGGTACCACCGATAAGGCAAAGGGCCTTTTAGGGAAGTTCTTCGGCAACAAGAACAAGCAGCAGGGTGGTGGATACGGCGGAGGATACGGTGGCGGCGGATATTCCGGACAGCAGTATCCTCCCCAGCAACAGTACGGTGGTTACGGAAGCCCCGCACCCCAACAGGGATACTACCAAAGCCCCCCGCCTCAAGGCCAATACGGCGGCTACGGCGCGCCTCCCCAGCAATACGGTGGTTATGGCGGTTACCCTCAGCAAAACCAGGGCGGGTACTATGGCGGTCAGCAAGCTGCGCCGAAGAAGTCCGGCGGTATGGGAGCGGCCGGAGGAGCGGCACTGGGTCTGGGCGCTGGTTTGATCGGAGGTGCGTTAATCGCTGATGCGATTGGCGATCACGAGGAGCATGAGGCGTACCAGGATGGTTATCAAGATGGTCAGGACAATGATTTCGGCGGTGGAGACTTTGGCGGCGACTTCTAAGCTTGAAACTCTGTGATTAAAGTCATGGGATTTTAAGAGTGTGTTTATATTGCGATATGACTTTTTAAACTTCTACCACCGTATGCATACTTCATAGGGAGAGATGGGGGGAGGAAGAGGGAGGGAGACGAACGGGTTAGACTGGAGATTCAAGAAAGGAGAGAAGAGATATGGATACATTGAATTATGAATGATATGAACCCGAACCAGAAGCATAAATGGATATGAGAAATGAAATAAGAAAGGAGACAGATGCTAGGTAAATGTGACATTTCGGGTTAGGTCTAGCATAGTGTATCTGTGGATAGGCTTTACAACACAACTCTGTTCGTCACTTTGTCATTCTCGTGAATATTCTCACAGACGATGTAGCAATGTCTCGTCTCATCCAAAGCATGTCTATATTCAGGATACGAAGTAGAAGCTACCGTTCCTTTATCCCATAATCTTCTATAACCTGGTATTTGTATACTCTAGCTTCTTAGGCTTTCCATCATCTACCTCTTCCCACCTTTCTTTCCGTTCCCCTTGGACGGCTCACTCCTTGAGGGTTCGTCCTCATCCTTCTTGCTTCCCTGCCCGGCCATGTAGGCGGCCATATCGAAATTGCCCATGGGGTTGGCACCGGATTGCTGACCCCCGCCCATTAAACTGCCCATCGGGCTCTTCTTCTGCTGCTCTTCCCACTCGGCGCGCATCTCGGGGTCCACTGGAAATGATGTCGTTAGCTAACTACACACACATGGCATTGAAAGTAAATAGAGGTTGGGAGGGATAAAGGTTAACTTACTGTTATCAATCAACTTCGGTAGACCAAGGAACAACACCATGCTAACCAGCCCCATGAGAATCATGGGGTTCTTCAGAATACCGAAAATCGAAACTGCCACATATCGTATTAGCCATCATCCGTTCCCCCATTCTCCTCCCTATTCACAAGCCTAACAGAACCAGTAAGGAAAGCAAAGCAAAGGAACGGAAACTCACAAGACCCCCTCTCAACAAAATACTCCTTCGGTCCCAAAACCCGCACAGGGAACCGTCCGTATTCACCACCGCTCCGCGGCGCCTCCGCGCCCTTATTCTCCCAATCGTTCCCGCGGTACGTCTCCCACGCGCGCACCAACAGCCCCGTCCACTCCTTCTCTCCCCCCTCCGCGGCGTACACGTCCACGCGCAACGGCGCGAAGGCGTGTGTCCCGCAGTGGATGTCCGCGAGGTAGGACCCTGGGGTTACGTTGCGGAAGGCGAAGTCGTTGGTGGAGGAGAGGGGTGCGGTGAATGATTGCTGGAGGGAGGAGAGTGTCGCGTGGGTGCTGGGGGGGAGGGCGTGTGGGTTTGGGAGGACGGCTGAGGAGGGGATCCAGAGCGTGAAGGATGTTTGGGGGGTTTGGGGGGAGGCGGAGACGAGGGAGAGAGCGCTGAGGAGCGCGGAGGTGAGGGTTGTGCGCATTTTTGCTGCTTTCTCGATGGGGAGGTGGTCGTTGTCGGTGACTGGTAATTATGTATGTATGTGAGAAGCTTGGGGCTATGATGCTATTGATTGTAGAGTTGAAGTTGGACATACATAATAATTTTGTGGGACCGGCTAGCGATTGGTCTTGGCGCCAGCTATGCACCTGGAAGGCACACCCGTTCTATCATAGGCTTCAACTTGGGCAACCTTGAAGTGCGTAGATTATGTAATTGACTCAGCCCTTTCCTACTTTCACAATTTGGAATTTATAGACTTTGATTCTTCCTTATTTTTTCCAATATAGAAATATTCTTGGTTATTTAAGATCGCAAATGGTTGGTAAGTTTCAAATCAGATAAACCGTTGGTTGTTAAAGGACCAATAACTACAGGCAGATTGCTAACTAATTTAGATGGTGGGTATAATCATTCACATATAAAAGTGCACAGGGGAATTATTATACCACCGTTGGTGCTGCTTCTTCCTTCTTAGTCTCTGCTCCTGAGCTTCCTTGCCCCTCAGTGGTGGCGGCGGCAGCCTTCTTGAAAGATTGCTCGAAGTCGGCAATAATGTCGTCGATGTGTTCCGTACCAACAGAGATGCGGATTAGGTCCTCAGTTGTACCAGAAGCAATCTTCTCTTCATCCGACAATTGCTCATGTGTTGTGGTCCATGGGTGAATAGCGAGTGTCTTGGAGTCGCCTACATTAGCCAAGTTGCTGATCAGCTTGAATCCGTCAACGATCTGGCTACCAGCGGCACCACCACCCTTAACGCCAAAGCTCAAAACGCCACCAAATCCCCTCTTCAGGTATTTCTTAGCCAGTGCGTGGCTAGGGTGATCTTCTAGTCCGGGATACGATACCCAGCTTACGTACGGGCTAGCCTTTAGCCATTTTGTAAGTGCAAGGGCGTTCTGCGCATGTCTCTCAGCTCTTAAGCTGAGGGTCTCGAGACCGAGGATGAGTTGTTGCGCAGCGAAAGGGTTCAATGAAGCGCCAAGATCACGTAGAATCTCAACTCTCACACGAACAGCAAATGAAAGGAAACCGAAGGTCTCCCAGAATTTTAACCCGTGGTAACCCGCCGACGGCTTAATAAATTGGGGAAACCGGGCGGCGTTTTCACCCCAGTTGAATTTTCCACCATCGACGATGACGCCAGCAATTGTCGTTCCGTGGCCGCCAATCCACTTGGTCGCAGAGTGTACGACGATGTCTGCTCCGTGTTCAATAGGCCTGACGAAGTAGCCACCCGCTCCGAATGTATTATCGACCTACTCATGTTAACAATGGATCCCTTACTAGAATTGTTTACCCGAAAGGAATTATAACTACTTACCACGACAGGGACACCCTTCGCATGTGCAACCTTTGCAATGGCTTCAAAGTCCGGTACGTTATATCGCGGGTTGCCGATGCTCTCGATGTAAATAGCTTTAGTTCTGTCGTCGATGGCCGCTGCAAAGTCCTCGGGATTATCACCCTTGATGAACTTGGTATGGATTCCAAACCGCGGCAGAAGAACCTTAAGCTGGTTGTAAGTACCGCCGTAAAGGTTGGTCGTTGAAATAATATTGTCGCCGACTTCCGCGAGGGCAGAGAGAGCCATGAACTGAGCAGCTTGGCCGGACGCAGATGCGACGGCTGCGGCACCACCCTCTAAGGCAGCAATTCGTTTTTCGAAGACATCGACAGTCGGCTATTAAAATCAGATTAGCATCAGCCCGTGTATGCTGAAAGCAAGCGATCTCACGTTCATGATACGGCTGTAGATATTGCCCTCCTCTTTGAGAGAGAACAGTCTAGCGCCGTGTGCCGAGTCATTGAAAGCGAAGCTCTAGTAATCGAGATCAGTCCGCTATACATGTGTCCTACGAAAATTTCTAGGCGAACGAACGGTTGTTGCGTATATGGGAACGGCGCGAGAGTTGGTGGCCGGATCTATCTGCTGGCTACGACATGGTTAGCATTCAATGTCTCGGATCTCATATGGCATCATCCATACCCCGCATGGAGCTGCAGAGTCTCGAAGTTTTTGCTCAATTCCTCTGCCATTGCAACTGACTTAGGTTCTTGCGTGATATATGAAAGATGTCGTGTATACGGGAAATAAGTGAGTAGGGAATAAACACTTGGTATGAGAAGACCAAGTCAGTCGTATGACCGGATTTAACCAGGTATTTGGGTTCACAAGCTGCTTGGACAATGGGCCTTCTCTACATAGTGTTACGGAAACACGGCTATTGGATTAACTTATAGGTATTTCCGCATCGCAAAGAGCCTTCCGATAATGGGATTTAGCTTTCGAGTGAATCCTCACTCTCAGGTCCCTATTTGGGGTATTGTGGAGTAACGGCACGAAGCACGCCATCGACCATCTTCGATAGACTTGCCTTGTAAGGACTTCTACGACCAATAGGAAAGAGGATTTATCCTAGCTCTATTAGCAAGCCGTTGATTAGGAAGTCGCTCATCTTGAGAGACTTGAACGGATATCGCCCAATGAATCAGCTGGTGCATGGCCAATTGTCTAGGTTAGTTCTCAACATTCAGCACATTTTATTTCCTTTTTACCTAGCACAATGCTAAGAGATAATCATTTAAAATCATATATAGAGGTACTAATTCATGAGTTAATTCGTAAATTAATTCATAAAGTTAACACATAGAATCGATTTTAAAGGAATGGATTTAGGATAATACGTGGGGTATTCCATCGGATCTTGGAAAGCTGAGAAAGCGATGGCGGGGTAATATAATGCATCATACCACCGCCGTATGGCGACAGATTCTACGCCCACCCACACTGCCATCCTGCCGCTCGCGTACCGGTAGATGGTGTAGCACACCCATACCAAACTGTCGGAATCTGCAATTAAAGTTACCGAAAATCCAAGGTGATGGATCTAAGATTCATTAGGATTCATTAGTGCCAAGCTTGCCGACATCGCTTTACGTCTTAAACTTCAACAATTATCTAATCCACGATAAAAAAGACACAAGAGATGCATTGACGTCAAACAACTAATGGTGGTATATTGGATCTAGTTCGTCCCGCCTTCGTGAAATAAGAGAGCACTACTGGACTCGGCTCTCTTCCAGTTAAGGTATAACTATTACTGTTTCGAAAGTATCACACCCAAATAAAACTCCTAAACTGCGCCCTTCTCCATTCCCGTGAACTCGTCGAGATAATTGTACCGAATCAGCTTGTCATCTAGACTAAGCCTTGATATCCGGTTCTCACGCTCGTTACCACCGTTCCCTTACCCCCCGAGATTTTTTGTAACCCCCGTGACTGAGGACGGGTTCATTGATGATGAAGAAGACGAAGAAGATGATGAGAGCCTAGCTCTTGCCTAGGTGTAAATACACTTTATCCCAACTCCCCGCCGGGGCCGGCACCGTTTGATAATCGAGTGACGGCCGGTATGGTGACAGCGGGATATCGGTATACCTCGTGTTCCCGGGGGACAACCAACCGACGCCGGCAGCCAGGCTCATGCGACTCACGCTTAAGCGGCTTGGGGGGCTTCCTTCATCGGGGGCACGCTTAAAGGGCCCTTTGAGCTGCCATTGTTGCGACGGAACTTGGGGAGGGGGAGCGATAGTCCTAAACCCGACTTCGACACCTCCTTTCCCACAAGGATGGCGGATACGGTCCATAGCAGGAACTCCATCGCACCGAAGGCGATGCTGGCCTGCGCGGCGCCGCACACGGATCCTCGGCAGAAGAGTAGTCGCGACATGAACACAGAGAGAGCGATGAAACCTGCGAAGTAGAAGAGCGCGTTGCAGGCTTCGAGACCTACGGCTACGAGTTGGTGTGATACTAGAAGACTTGTAAGCGGGGTTTTCTGGGAGGGAGGAGGAAGGAGACTTACGCTTAGGTGCGAATCGTGGTGTTAGTTCGAGGTACAAGACTGAGATGATTGTGAAGACAGATACGGCTAGCAGCCAGTTGATCTGAGAGGGAGATGAAGTCAAGGTGTCCACGTTATACCAATGGGCGACTTGTTAGGCTCACGTTAGTTAAATGTTCGGTTTCCTATACAATTGGCGTTCAACATACCATAGGCTGTAAGTCCCATGACGATGATGGCGAAGAGCATCTGGGCGGCTCGAAGGCCGAGGATGATGAAGCTTGATGAGATCATGTTGGCGGTAGGGAATCGGGGTGAACGGTTGGGAAAGCGAGCGTCACGGTGCGTAGTAGTCGTCATATAAACACTTTAACAATTACACTAGATGGTTATTTGTTCGACTTGTAGATAGGGAGCGACAGCAGCAGTAATATGCGGAAGAGAGAGAAAGATCAATATCCCAAAGAACGGAAGAAGGGCACCAGGCACGTCGCAGACAAATTAGATAGAATGGATGGTTTAAAGAGGAAAGATCGAAAGGAGAAAAAAACAGGAAAATACCAACGGTTGTTCATGCGTACTCATGGGGGGTATCACTGGCTAATTATCAAAGATTTCATCAGGGTGAAATCGGGGCCTTGTTGAAAGGCGATCGCGTGTACGCAGTCGCACTGAGCTCTGATCGTCCACAGCGATGCGATGTTCTGATACCCATGAGACCATCTGAAACAAGCAACGATCAGGGGTGCCGAGCGATGCTATGCGCCAGCGCATTTGAGAATTCCCGAAAGGGGAGCGGAACCTCCAATCCAGACCAATGATCTCGCAGTCATCTGCCGGGCTCGGTCCCACAGGGGGGTTCGCAATGCACAGAGCGACTTTGATACTTTGGTGAGTGGACAAGGTGGTTTCGACGTTTGGGGATTCTGGGGCTAATAGATCCGAAAGCCACCAGTTTCTTTGAGGTTTTGGGTCTTTGCGGGCGGATCACTTCTATTTTCGAGTTGACACTTTATGATCATGATGAGAGATATATGCCCGAATCTCTCGTCGAAAATAAAGACTTCTACAAATTGAAATGTCTTGATTTTTGAATTTAAAGAGACATCTAGACCCTGCTCATGTTGGCGGCAAGCCGCGAATTAGTATCTAGGGGCATGGAATATGCCGCCGGGCGCCTGCATGTTAACGCTTACACACGCAAAAACTTGCGTGATACATAGCAGCGCCCAACCGCCAATATCTATGTATCCACCCGCCTAAGTCTAAATATTGTTTCCGTGTACTTATGACTCCTAGATGGTGATAAGATTAACTAGAAACCGACCATGATGAAGAAAGTCAAGAAAGCTTAATAAATTGAAAGAGATTGAAACATAGATTGCGGGGATGGAGCCAAAAATAATTAAATGTTTTGAAAAACAAGCTCGGAATCTTGTATCAGACAGTGTTCTGAAATCTTAAAGCCATCTTGGCTACGAGAGCCAAGTCGTCTCGAGGCTAGCATCATACACAGCCAAGAAATGGATTCGTACGCGATCAGATCCGGGAACATGTGCTATGTTAGAAGCGAAAACTAATGCGGAAACGGGTTAGCGAAGAGCGTAGCCATTCCGGGGCACATATATAATCATTAAGTGCACTTTGCAATAACCTGGAATGGTCATCATTAGTTCGGACCAACATAATCTGGGGCATTGGTCTAGGCCGACCACGCCGAGCAACCGTCCCGAACGGAGGATTTAAAGGTCGCACACAAGAGACCGGCTCCGAGATACACAGGTATGTGTTCGATCGTGTCTTATCATCATGGGTTCGAATTTATATCTGTTAAGAAGTATTTTTCGAAAGAAAGGATATCTGTTCCAACTTTAATTGAAGACTATACCCCTCCTTATTGACGAGTTATTGTGACTTGTTTCCTTTCTAGTTTCGGACTAGAGTTGACGATAATTAATGAATCGGAAGATCTTGCGTATTTGGAGTTATTTTGATATTGAAGTCAGGAACATTGAGTCATTTTTAGATTGACACCTGTTCTCATTGACCGGAAGCATTCATTAAATCGCCTGACAACCTCGAAGGTTAGCGATCCTTCGGATAAGAGTCACGACAACGGAAGGCTTCTTCGGATCTGAGCGCCGCGTGTCGGCCACGTATAATAAATCATCCTAAGGTTAATCGCCAAATTCGGAAGGATTGAATCGTTGAAATTCCCTATCGTACGTTCGCATTACTGAAACGGTCAACCTTGAGAGAGGTACATAATATCCCGAGGCTTCAGCACTGGACTCAGCCACCTCTGCTTTTTCGACCAAACAAAGCGAAAATTAACGAAGCAAAAATTACCCAGGCTGCGAGATTACATGCAGGAAGATGGCGTTTATGTAAGCTCCTGTAGGCTTAGGTTGATAATAGTGACGTAGGTTAAAGCATCTTTCAATTGTATCTCACTTTTCGGACCAATCAGATCAAAGACTTTGAAACCCCATATTGCACTATTGCTCCGAGGTTCCCATATTGGCGAATCAGGTTCGATCTCCTTGTAGGTAATACGCAAGCCTCGGCTCGACCAGAAGAGTCCCTTGGCAATTTCGTGCATCGCTGAAAAAAGAAGCAAGAACATGTGCTGCTCACTCGACTAGCTTCATTCAACTACTGCTTATGAAAATCCTTGAAAAATAGATAGGGGCGCGATGTTTCCAGTCTCGGGGGGATTTGGTTTTCTTCTCTAGCACAGCATCGGGGCAATTTGGAGCTACTTACGTACTTAAACGTGTTTCCAAGCTCGAAAGTCAAGTTGGTGTTTCCTTCTCCAGATATATCAATGTTTAACTGAGCTTAGAGCACTCCACACCTCGGTATCTACCCATACTAAGTGGGTCACAACTGTGGAAGTACACCAGCTTTACAATAAAGATCGCGACCCGAGGATAAACCTAGAACTTAAACTTCCCCCCTTACGTTTGTCCCCTTCATCATACCTTGTACTTACCAACCTATCGACTTATCAACTGCCGTTGGGAACCCGTTGCACCAGTTGCATCATTCAATCCGATACAACTGCAGCTGCAGCTTCAACACCAACATACTCGCATCCTTACTACCCTCGACCTATTTAACCGGAATATTAAGTAACGATGGGAGGAATTGGCCCTGATCCGCAGACTGTTGCGTATATTAAAGAGTTGTCAAAACCACCACCTCCAGGTTCGCCTTACGCTTTGCCTGTTCCCGGTTCCGAACGCGAGGGGAGATCTCCCATCTATAGGCATTATCAATTCACCGACAAGCCTTTGCTCGAAACTTATGTGCCCGAAATTCGCACATTTTACGATCTGTTCCAAGATGCCGTAAAGCGATTCCCCGATAACAAATGCCTCGGCACGCGATCCTGGAACCCGACGACTAAGTCCTGGGAGAATCACTTCAACTGGCAGACGTACGCTGAAGTTGCTACGCGAAGCAAGAACTTCGGATCGGGTATATATGAGCTTCATCGCCGTATTGGTATTCCCGCTGGCAGCAGCCATGGAGTTGGTATCTGGAGTCAGAATAGAGCCGAATGGCAGATCACAGGTAAGCTCCCGAGATTGAAGAATGACGCGACTTGCTAACTTGCCTAATCAAAGATCTCGGATTGACATCGCAGTCGCTCTTCTCTGTCTCGCTCTACGAAACCCTAGGACCCGATGCCTCCGAATACATTATCAGACACTCCGAACTCTCCTGCGTAGTGTCCTCGCTACCTCATATCCCAACCCTGCTTGCCCTCGCACCCCGAATACCTCACCTCAAATTAATCATCTCTATGGACCCCCTAGACTCTGGTGAACCTGAGGGATACTCCAAATTGGCGATGCTGAATGGTATCGCTGCTCAGCATGGAGTTCAGATATGGTCTTTCCAGGATGTCGAAGCCCTCGGGGCGAAAGCTGCCCACGCTGCGCGACCTCCCCGTCCTGAAGATATCCTCACCATCAATTACACATCCGGCACGACCGGTGATCCCAAAGGTGTGGTACTTACCCATGCCAACTGTGTCGCGGCCGTCGCCAGTGCTCGCTCCAGCGGGTCTTATGCCGAAAAGGACGTCACTTTCTCTTATCTACCTCTTGCTCACATCTACGGGCGAATGATTGACCAATGTGCGGTGACTACGGGTTGCGCCGTTGGATATTTCCATGGAGATATGTTGGGAGTTGTTGACGACATGAAACTTTTAAGACCTACTGGGTTCGTCTCGGTGCCTCGTCTGTTCAACCGAATTGCTATGGCTATTCGAACCCAGAGTGTTGAGGCGGATGGTGTGAAGGGTGCTCTCTCACGGAGAGCGATAGAAGCGAAGAAGGCCAGCATGAAACTGCCACCTGGCCAGGCGCATAACAAGCACTTCCTCTATGACAGAATATGGACGCCCAAGGTACGAGCTGCTGTTGGCTTGGATCGATGTCGTTCTATGGTGAGCGGAAGCGCACAACTCGACCCTAACGTTCACGAGTTTCTCCGAGCAGCCATGGGAAATTTCTTCTGTCAAGGCTACGGTCTTACAGAATCATACGCCGCGGCATCATTCCAGCTCGATGGCGACTTTACAGTTGGCAACGTAGGCGGCCCGATGCCTGGTGTAGAAATATGTCTAGAATCCCAACCGGAACTTGAATATCTAGTTACGGACAAGCCTAGGCCACGAGGTGAGCTGCTATTGAGAGGACCATTCATTTTCGGCGGATACCTAAAGAACGAGGAGGAGACCAAGAAAGCCTTGGAGGCTGATGGATGGTTTCACACGGGTGATATCGCCGAGATCGACGAATTAGGCCGAATCAAGATCATCGACCGTAAGAAGAACGTCCTCAAACTGTCTCAAGGAGAATATATTTCCCCGGAGCGAATTGAGAATGTGTTCATGGGTAATTCGTCCCTGATTGCTTCTGCCTTCGTTCACGGCGAACCCAGTCAGTCAACGCTAGTCGGCATCTTCGGCGTAGATCCGGCCACATTCGGACCTTTCGCCAGTAAGGTGCTGAAGAAGACGATAGACGCCGGAGATATCGAAGGTATCAAGACCGCCGCTCAGGATCCCCGTGTGGTAAAGGCCATGGTTAAACATCTCGAAGAGATTGCCAAGAAGTACAAATTCAACGGTTACGAACGCGTACGCAATTGTCTACTAGACGTCGAACCGTTTACCGTAGAGAACGAGCTCTTAACACCAACGTAAGTTACATTTTCATCTCGAGCCTACACATGTCCTTGCTAACAGAATCGCTTGCAGCCTAAAACTTAAGAGACCCCAAACAGTACGGAAGTTCAGGACCGATATTGATCGGATGTATGATGAAATCAATTCGGAAACAACAAGCGTCAAAGCCAGGCTATAGTCCGGCAATCGAGGTTGTATGTACAAGGTATAAACTGTACATTTTCGTTCACTTGTGTATAACATCGACGGCGTTAAGCCAGCTTAAATATAATGCATCATTGCTTAATGTTTTAACACCGTTCATTGTTTAAATATTTTCATTCCGTGTTTTTATAAAAATAAAAAGTAAAGTTTTAATATATATAATTATATTAAAAATTAAATAAAAAAATATAATATTTATATATAAATTAAAATTTAAAATTTAAAATTAAATGATAAAAAACTTTAAATTTTAAACTAAATATATAACTTATATGTAAAATTAAATTATTATTTATTATACGAATTTAAGAGTTTAAAACGTTACAAGTGGGGACAACATGCAACATGGCCATGAACGCGCCGAACACATCGTCGAGGCGCAAAGAAGTTATTGATTTAACTAGTGATAATGACGATGAAGAAAGTGATGTTGTTACTCGAGATAAATCCAGTCTACAACTACCCTTGAAACGGCTAGGCCATCGTTCAAACTCAATTAATGGCTACCATTCGAAAGTCAAGACAAACGGACCGTCCATCTCCAACACACCACAACATGTTCAACCTTCACCATCCTTACCCTCGCCTTTCTCCATCCAAGCCCAGGAACATCCGACAAAGCGGCGGAAGATACAACACGGGAGTAGTCGCCAGCCAGCCTTGCCTTCTCCCTCGCCCTCGACAGACACTAAAGCCTTAACGAGATGTTTACAAAACCAAGTGTTCCCACACCTCGAACGTGCCGTGAAGAAACTTGATAAAAACATCTACGATGTCGAGAAGCTCGGTGGGAAGATCATTGGTAGGGTTGCCAACCAGCAATTTGAACGTCATTTTCACGATGGCAATGGCAAGTTGGCACCGGACATCGAAGCCTCCGTGATAGTCCAGATTCACGGACTGGTAGCAGAGTTCATAAAGGGAAATGTAGGGGTTCCCAACATCTATTCAACGAGCATGACTTCTAACTCATGCATTTTAGGAATTTCGACGTGACCTTGCTCCTCCGATACCACCATCACCATCATTACCTCCAAACCCCGTATTCGAACCCAAAGCACCTATTATGACATCAGTTATACCTTCTATTGAGAACCCGGTAGACGAATCTCCGCCTCATTATGATGATGAATATGAGGGAGATGGCGGAAAAGAAAGCTCGAGAAATGGTCCGAAGCCTGAGGAATCAACCCGACAGCAAGTCTGGACGCCGCCCCGAATCCTGCCGAAGAAGAAGCCACCACTTTCACCTCAACAGCAACGAACGAGAATAAAGGCAACACAGTGGCAGTCAGGTAGAAGCTATGAATTCAAAAGGGACAGGTCGCCAGCACACATGGAGAATCGGTGGTTTGGTCTACTTTCAAGGCCGTATCTACCCGCCGAGGAACGGCGCTTAATCACGAGGGGCGTAAGCAGAGGCCGGGGATACCGTATTGGGAACGAGCAACTACGCCAACCAAGTGTGTATCATGTCGACTTCAGCGACGGAGAAGTTAAATACCTTAGATATCTCGCAAGATCGTTATACGGCAGACCAGCTCGGGGCCAGAGATCAGACTCGGAGGACCTACGTCGTCTACTGAAGAAATCCGGCGCCGATGCTTTAATAGCTCGTATTACCGACGTTCATCGTCACCGATATACCAATTTTCAAGATCCTCCTCTATTCCTGCTACAGCGTTCCCCAGATGATATCAAGAATTTTTTGCATGACCTTCACCATAAACATGTTGACGAGGAGAAGAAATCGTTATTTCTCGAGCGAGACGATGCGAATTCCCAATTTGATGTCGCGAGGACAGCAGCAGTGCCATCGCTGTTATTGGCAAGAGAGATCGTCGGCAACCGCCTCGGGGCTACTAGACGCTACGTAAACTTCAATACAGCGTTAAAGAGTAATAGGGAGGACTATCTCGAGCCAAAGGTCGAATGGACAAACTGTGCTGGCGATATCATGACTATTGCCTGGACTCCGGATTCCACCCGCTTCATTTGTGGCACTACCACACACTCGGATTCGCACAACCAGCAGTACAACAAACCCGGAAATCTTCTATTTGGCTCTGTGGCCGAGAACACCCTACAAGCGTATCCTGATCACCGAATCCCTCGCCCTCTCGTCGAACATGGCGATAATTCTTTGCCGTCAATGAGGGAGTCACAAGATCCTTGGCTCTACACCTCGGTCGTCTCATCAGACTATGATCCCACGACAGGCTGGCTCTTCACTTCAAGCTTCGACCACACAGTCAGGGTTTGGTGCCCTTCTGAGACGAATAAAAGCGGTGTAACCCTTCGGCATACATGGGGGCACGAGGGACGCGTCAATTTTGTAGTAACGAACAAAAACAAAGCCATCAGCAAAGTAGCTACAGCTGCTGATATCCCTGAGAATGCGGTACGAGTCTACCATGCATCATTAGATGGTGAGACCCTCTTGGGATATGACTATAATGAGTTTACTTGCAAACGGGTCCACGGTGAAGACTATGTACCTTCAGACAAATGGGCATACTTTCCGTCAGCGATCCGCTGGGGGGTAGAATCAAGCGTGAACCACCTTCTGCTAGTCGGCTATTCTCCACGAAGCCTTAACGGTGATGACAACGACATCCCAGAAGATAAGCATAAAACCGGGGAGCTGTGCCTCTGGGATACGAACACAAATACCGAGGTTAAAGTAAACAGCGCTGCCACGTCGAACGTCTTCGAGGTCGTGTGGCACCCTTCTCGGCCGAGTTTCGCCGTGGCAACTTCGGCCTCCCAGACTTCGGAAAAGATTGAGGAACATATCCGAACTCAGATTCGTCTTTTCGAGCTAAACGAGACCGGGCAGTACGGCGTGGTGAAGACGCTTGACTGTCCTGCGATTGATATCAACGAGATCACGATCAGGTATAGACACATCCTACTTTATCAAATTCAAGATGCTAACTTAGAGGCAGGCCTAACAGCATTTTATATTCGTATCTCGCTGCCGGTTGTACTGATGGCAAAGTCTACATCTGGGACTCGGCGAGGAGTGAGGACGACGACCCTATCTGCGTCCTCAAACATGGCGGTAAGGACTTATTCTATCTCTATTTGACGATATATCTAATCTCAATTCAGACCCAGTTGAAGAACTCATCGGAGACCGAGAACAAGAAGACGTAGGAGTCAAATTTACAGCATGGGCCACAACAACCGACCGACTATATACCGGCTCATCCGACGGTGTTGTCAAAGTGTGGAACATACGACACGGAAAGGGGGTCCTAGTGAGAGATCTCATCGAAGTAGCCGCGCCCATCACAGCCGGCGCTTTCTCGCCGGACTTCAATAAACTACTCATCGGAGATGGCAGCGGACGCGTCTACCTCATGGACGTAGACAGCGACAAGGAGGACGGGCAACCTCAGAACCAGAATAATCCAGCCTCCGTCTCGTCGGCCTTCTTCAACCTACAGTTCGGCGGGCAACAACGCGCCATCCGTCGCCCCCGCCCATTCATTCCTCACCCCACACCCCCTCCCCCAGATTCGGCCGGGGGACACGAAGACCTCGAGTCAGAAGCCCAGGTCGGACAGCAGCTAGCCAAAAAATACCTACACAAGTCGCAGCTCGTCCTCCACCCCAACCCCACCATCGGCGCCGTCCAAGGTCCCCGGTACGTCGAAACGAACCTCTTCCGCGCCGAAGCGCATCTCGACGGAAACACTGAGGCGCCGCTTCTAGCTACCTTCGAGGCCCAGCAGCGGGCGAACCACGCGTTTTCGAGGAAAACCCGGTTCGCGAAGCAGAGGGGGGAGAACTTGGTTATTGGGGATGGTGCAAGGTATGCGCATAGCAGGAATTTGTCGAGGGATGGGGAGGGGAGGTTGGATGGGCTGACGAGGAGGGTGTTGGAGCGGGAGGGGGCGGAGGTTGAGGTTGATTGGAGGGATTTGGATTATGAGGATGATTGAGGGTGTGAGAGAGATTGTGAGTAGAAGTACAAAGATGTGTGAGAGGGTAAAGGGGGAGACAATGGGATTATTAGTCAGTTTATACTTGTTATAGCTGTTACTGTAGTTTGACTTAGGGAGAATAAAGAAAAATAGATACGTATCATTAAGTCACGGCGTGTTGTTACTTTGTGTTGGAAATGTGTCAGGGCTTATAATTATACGTTATGGATAATGTTTTGAGCTTTTACTGTTGTTGTTGTATATATGCCAAAGCTATGAGAATGTGATATGTAAATGTTTCCTTACAGAGCCTCATCATCCCCTGATTCACAACACTGAATTCAGTTCTTCATAGCTGACATATGTACGTTCATAGGTACCTACCTACCTATTCAGGTCTAAGATAATATGTCGGAAATATGTAAGCGAGATTCACTACTCGTTTATCTAGACCAATATACACACCCGACATGTATATCGATCTCCTATTTCCATTCGTACTATTCTCCTGTCCTATCTACATCGTGTACCATATCGCATATGCACAGTACCCACACACCCACCCATTCGGAAAGGGGCGCTAAGATCGGTTAATATATCGACAGCTAGTTCCCACGCGTTCACGCTTCTAAGTCAATAGTTGCAGGTTCTTGTCTCACAGTAAGTCCGCTTTCACCAATCCCCCGAAAGCTCCGGGGATTCTGTTTAGGGGTGGACCAAGCAGAGTGAAGCTATTGGTTATGTATATTCTACCTAGTTATGCGTCCTTATGCTCGAGGGACCCGGATGTTCCGGATGAGAAAAGTCCATCCAATATGTACGCCCCCACCTATCTCTTAGACTTGCCTGTCTGCTTGTATGACCCCCATCTAATGTATCGGTTGGTCTCGCGAAATGCCTCACTATAATATCGTACATGAAAGATTGCTTTTGACATGATCGTAAAGATATTGAGTGGCGATTCGCGATGAAGTAGCCGTTGGACCGGACATCTACCCAGATAATTCTAGATTGTGCATGATATTGAGGGGCGTAAAAATATATTATCGATTACAACGATCACCTCCGCCGCCTGTCTATTTTTCGACAACGTATCATAATAGGAGCCTAGCAAACTAGTAGACATGGCGATGCGATGTAAACCTAATAAATGGTTATCTAAGGGTCCTCAGTAACGGCCGAGTTAAGATTTCGTATCATATAAAGTTACGCCCTTAAGGATGAATATGTACGTAATTAAAAGGCTTGCCAATCACACAATTCAGAAGTCAAAGTTCATATAGAATCAACCGAATCTTGATTCCTGCAGGTATCTAACTTCCGGCATAGTGGAAGTTAACGAAGAAAAAAGCCGCCTCCTCCATTTTTGTTTGCCCCCAACGCCTTTCGTGCTCTGAGTACTATACATTATGTACTCTACCACAGACTCAAATCTGTAAGCAGAATAGACCATACACTCCGTAAGTAAGGAGGTAGGTCGATGCTAGATCCCGAAGGAAAAAAACAGCATCAAAAACGGATAGACCGTATACCCTGATGTGAAAGTTCGTCAAACCTGAACTCGAGAACTCGAAAGAAGTCTGATATAGTGACATGCCAAGAAAGACGACCGCGGTCCTATCAATCTTAACGCAGAATACCTCCAACGCCGATCCATGCTACGTGATTCGTAAGGTGCTATGCATATCCCCGTACTGCAAGCACCGCGACTACTAAGCCGATTCAACAGGAAATGTGAATTTCTCTGAAGCACCAAGGAGAAACACAGAGGACATCGTGATCCAATAGTTGGAACGGGACAGCTTCAGTATTGCCATCCGTAGTCCGACCACTGCTACTGGTCAGAGGTAGGGGGAGGGAAGGCAAAGCCAGGAGGGAAAACTGGCATGCCGTTAGGGCCGGTTCCAATTCCAAAGGGGAATGACGGGATAGCTGGGCCATTGGTGACTCCGTTCCTGTCGTCCTGATGCTCCTCTTGTCGACCGTCTCGGTTTCGACGCCATCGAGTAAGGTCGCCCTCCTCCTCGCCACCCGGACCACGGCTAGACTTGGGACCGTGTCTTCCACCCTTGTCGGTCTGCATACGTCGACTAATTGCCTTCGACGAGACACCAGCGCCAATCTCGATATCTGGTTCTTCAACCACCAATCCCGTCTCGATGGAACGACCACCGCTACCGCCGAATTCAGCGGTTAACATCCACTTTCGGTCTGCCTCTGTCAGCTTGTTGATAGGAATGACGCTGATGCCCGTCTGATAGTCGCTACAATCTCTGGGACCAAAGCCGACACCCCATCGAGTCTATATATATGTTAGCACTGAGGAAGACAACGATGACTTTAGAGACTACTAACCCTGAAAGTGCTATTTTCCATGGCTTCCTTAGCAGTGACGGCATCCCGTCGAGTAATCATCTTGACAAACGCGTGGCGCTTGTCCTTGTTGACGATGCAAGTTTGCACCTGGCCATGACGATTAAAAGCGCTGCGTAACTCGCTCTCAGGGCAACTATAGGTGTTGGTTAGCAATTGCTATAAATACATATTAATATAGGAAGGATATAACTTACGTGACGCCTCCGACGAACAAAGTCCTGCTCAAAACTATAATTCATGTTAGTGGACATGAAATCGGAATGGATGTTCGGCCGGCTTACCCTTAATGTGACCCTGTGGGATGGTTCTGTCATACTCGACCCATTTGGTAGCCGGGGGCTGTGGGTATCCTTGATTAGGTGGGCTAGGACTACGGCCGCGGCGTCCGGGACTGCGCTGCCGATAGTCGGTGCCTCGAGCACGACGATCACGATCGTCCATACGTCCTAAGCCGGGAGAGTTACGACCATAGTTGCCATATTCACGATCAGCACGACCTCGAGGAGAGTCGCGCGTATCCCAATGACGGGGAGGCGAGCGCGACCTCGAACGGTTGCGATATCTAGGCGATCTAACTTGCTGAAATTCATGATCACGTGGATCAACCGGCTGAAAGGCGCCTTGACCCCACGAGCCAGCATACTGGGGCTGACCTACAGGGGGTGCTGCAGCTGAAGCGGCAGCAGTCGATGGGGGTAGAGCGACACTACTGCTCTGCATCCCGGCTATGATAGCTGGTATCTTATCAAAAGGCACACCTTGGTCCGCAAGAAGTTTGATTATCATGACCTGCTGCTGGAGACTGGGATCCATGCCAGAAACAGGTGCCGCAGAAGCACCTGTAGCTACGCCAGGAAAGCCGGGGACTAGATTACTGGCAGTCACCGGGGGCGTGGGGGTTGCCGCCTGGACTTGACCTGGTTGGGGGAATGGATACGGCATTCCTGGCAAATTTACAGCCTGCTGAGGTGTAGAGTAGGGGGCGGGCTGACCTTGTCCCAGAGGGAGAACCGGGGATCGAGTTGTACTTGTCTGCGCCGGCGCTACGTTATAAGCGCTGGTCGCAGCTTGCACATTGTTATTGACCGGTGCTGCGGTCACGTTCTGTCTAGCGATATTGGCCAGAGCCTCCATAATGGCATTTGGTGCTTCGGTAACGGCAGACTTGGTTTCCGGCAAACCTGGAAGTCCGGGACCCGGCGGGGGACTACCTGGCGGCGTCGTGGACTTAGCTACAGAGGCAAACAAGGGTCAGATACACGTCCTCAGAGACACTGCAGAAAGGAGGAAGAAGTGGGGGGATCTTCTTGCTTTATCATATTTCAGGGTTAGGGGGGGAAACCTGGGAGACCTACCTGCAGGAGTGAGCTTCTGCTTGAATGACTCGATCATATCTAGAGGGAATGTCTGGCCCTTTTCCCAGATATCAATGAGCTTCTTAATTTTCTCCTACACGGAATGATTAGGTAAGTACTTTCTTTTTTTCGATCAATGTTGCAAAAAATGTCTTAGTTAGGCCAGTAGTCGCGAGGGAACCAGGACGAAAATTGGCCTAATACTAGGAAATAGCACGACTAAATATCTGTGGCTTGTTCCAAAAGTACCACGCCTGATTTTTGACGATGCTGATGCTATCACCAAGAGACTACTACGACTGAACGGGCGACAAGTATATGATATAGCGTACCTTCTGTTCTCCGGGAGCAGTTTGAATAATGTCATTCATAAGGACAGGAAGCAATTCCGTTACTCTATGCACACCGGCAGCGTAGGTTCCATCGTTTGCAGAGCTATTGATAGGCTGACCCTGATGTTTAGCGTGCTCAACCCATTTGCGAGTTACGGAATCTACGACGTATAACACGCCTAACTTGTGCGTTGCTGGGGCCTTCTTGAAATGGGTATAGATCTTCTGGATGAGTACGGATTCAGACTGCGACATTGAATATTCGAGTTAGCGTTCATGGACTCGTCAAAATGCAAAGTCAAGACAAGAAAAGAATCGGTCTATGGACTTACCTCAATGTTGTCAACGCATAAACTTGTCAGTGTTGAAATACGAGAAGCGGTAACTCCGGGTGGCTTTAGGTTTTGCATGGCATTCAAGCCCGCCTCGAGCTCAGCTACAGGCGACGACATGATTGCTCTAGTGTTCTCTAGTGCTCTCTCGAACAGGCTGGGACGATGACAAGCACACAATGTACAGCGAGTTCAGGCTCGCAGCACCTGTGAAATGATATACGATAGAGTCGCGCGATTGTCACCCAAATACCAGGGAGTCTCTTGTTGTGGGTTTGGCTCTCGGGCGATTACTTGTATTCTTGCCGCAACCTAACGAGTTACAGCTGTGTCAAGAGGCAAATCTAGGTAGAGTCGAAGTGTGTCCTTTTTCTTTTCTTTTTTCCTAAATGCCTTCTTCAAAGTAGACCAGATTTTAGTTGGGCGAGTGATGAATGATGAAAATCTGCTTGCGAAAGTGAAGAATTTGATGCGACAATGCTTGGTACCATCAAGAAAAAAGTCCTTCTTGCACCTCTACTATGGCGCGTGGGAACAAGTTCCCGATACGGGTTGTACGGGTCGAAAATTAGAAATCCTGTGGCTAGACTGGAAATGTTATTGTAAGTGACAATGCCGAAGCAAAGTAGCAAATTTGCAAATGCGACTTGTATGCGGCAACTATTTGAAGATGTCGACGATATTTACAAATGCTGTAGTGGTGGTAAGTTAGAGGTTGATATGGGTGAGTTTACTTGCGGGAGAGAAGGGTTGGGTTGGATGAATTAAAAGGTTGGAAAGAGGAGATGGAACCGATGCGCATTTAGGTACTCGACCTTTTAGCTTGAGTTGGACGGCAAGATTTTTTTCAGTCGCGTGTTGCAGAGGTGGGGGTAGTTGAGTAACTGAGCTAGCACTCGCACCTGCCCAGCCACGGTGATCCACAGAACAATTGGTTTAACTCTGTATCCTCACACTCGTTCATCACCTCTCGCGCCTGCCTTATTAGCTTATTAGCCACTAACATAGGTACTTTTGTCGTCAAGTAGTTCTAATTCTTAAGCGTAAAAACTAGGTACCAAGTACCAAAGATTAATACTAATATTAAAAAGTTCAATATTTATAAAGGTGAAACTTTAACGCTCGACCAGGTTTAAAACTACCTAGGTACCTAGGTACATACATAGTTGAGAAATAACTTGACGATAACGAAAATTATATATGTAATTATAAACGTGATGTTTCGTTATCAATACGGTAGGTCCGTAAATGCCGTTTTGTTACGTGTTAAACTAATATTAAACCCAAGGCCCTTGCGACTCGCGGATAATACCCCCGAATTTCAGTTCCGGGCTTTAGCCGAAGAAGTTAAGGTCCTCGACCTGACCTAATTAACCCAGAGCCTCACCTCTTTTCATTTTAGAGGTAAAATAGACCTCTCGTCAGCCGCCACCATAGAAGCACGCGCCGAACCGTGGGCATGCAGGGAGTGGGTTTCTAGTATAAGACATGAGCTGCAAGCCTATCTAGCAGTTGAACCAGCAAGAGAGCAACGTGGAGAGGGACCGGGAGGCTCGGCTCTGAGGCTAGACTTGGGAAGTCTAAATACCTCCCAGTATCCCCTTATATGTCTTGATCCTACTTCTGCGCTTCATACATCTTCGCATACGTTATGTCATTCTCGATAAGCACTCCGCGGACAACCGAAATGCGGCCTGCTTCCCGGATTGTGGATAGTCGATAGGTAGACAAACTGGTCATTTCCGAGATCGACAGACTTGCAGCCATCGTATAGCCCTTAACCCCTGTTCTCGGCGCTTTCCTGGATCATTGGCTTGAGGGCAGATATCCAAAGAAGCAGTTCACGGCCTTGTGGCCCTTGGTAAAGTCTTCGAATGAGGTATGTTAATGTGTTTTATGGAAATGCTAGTATATCAAGATGGTTTACTGTCTAGGTACGAATACAAACAGCTTGCCTGTCTCTTGACTGAAGTATACTCCAATGAAAGATACGGCAAACCAGATATGACCGTTATTGATAAGTTTAAGTCACCATCTAATCATGTTAATCAATACTTAGATAGCCGTAGGGCTACTCTTGCTAGAAGCCCAGCGCATGGACTAGGTATTCAATTGCCTAGGTCAGTGAGAATCAAACTATCATGTCGCATATGTAACAACGATGGTCCCGAATCCTGGATAGCATACCCAGTTCGTGCGTATATTTGCGTCAAGGAGGAGATCGTGCGCATGGTCATCATTGTCTCAGATGCTACTAATAAGCTCTACAAGAAAGACTTGCCTATCGCGTTCTCCATTTTCACTTCGAGGCGTACACATACCCATCTAGCCAGTAGCATGGGAGGAAGTCCTATGAAATGTAGGCTTTCAAGTTGATGATGGCGAGAAATAGGGGTGCCACGCTGAAACCCATAGACTCGATGATTGATGATGTAGCGCTCAGAGCAAGCACATTCAGATATCATTTTGAGCTCGGTCATCCCAATTTCCCGTCGACGTTCCAATACAGGGCCATCATACGATATAGATGAAACACAACCAGCCTCTCTTCGTCAATGTGCTTCGTGAAGAATAACCGGAGTGTCGTCCTCGTCGTCGAGAACCATCGGGAAACGCCGCCAAACAATTGTTTAGGGGCCGGCGGACGACCGAGGCGGCCACGTAGTCGCAACCCGCGCACTGACGGCCAGGCACTCGATTAAGTCGGGTTCCTACTGGAAGGTAACAGTAAAAACAAGACTCATGGTGCCTTCGTGTAGGCGCCTTCGTATAGGCAGGTTATCCGGGGTCCGGGTTCCCGGGTTTCCGGGTCCCGGCTAATGTATTGTGATACCACGATACTCTTCTGGTAGGAGACAGTTACCTAGGACTCCGGCCTCATGTGTCATCGGCGCTGTTACTCTGTGATGGGTCATCCCATCTATTGAAACATACTTAAACAGTTTGTCCATACCCTTTCAAAAACAATTCTTCAGCACAAATTTTTTGTAAAGGACAGTCAATATGGGATTCAGAGTCATCATCGTCGGGGGCAGTGTGTCGGGCCTATCTTTGGCCAACATGCTCGAGAAATTCGGTATAGAATACCTTATTCTCGAGGCACACCCCAACATCGCACCCCAACTCGGCGCTAGTATGGGGCTCCTTCCCAGTAGCCTCCGTATCCTCGATCAGATCGGCTGCTATGACCGTATCCGGGAAATGTCTGGGGACTGCTATTACCAACCCAACTTTCGCCTTTCCAATGGCCGGATATTAAGTGAAGAAAAGACCATGACCTTCTCTGAGCAGTTGGAGCACAAGTACACCCACCTTCCCCTCCCCCCCCTTTACCTAGGTCCTAGGAGTCACCTCTCGAGCTAAGATATGCTGACCAGGGTATTGCAGAACCGGCTATCCTCAGGTTTTTATTGATCGACAGATGCTCTTGCAGGTTCTCTTCGACAAACTCAAGTCAAAAGATAGAATCTTGACGAGTAAACGTGTGGTTCGCGTGGATAGTGTTGAGAATTGCGTACATGTTCAGACCGAAGATGGCACTACTTACACGGGTGATATCGTTGTTGGCGCCGATGGAGTTCGTAGTGTGGTCAGAAAGGAGATGTGGCGAAACGCCCTCGAATCTGGTTCCAAGCTATTTCAGCCAGACGAAGACCAAGGTTCGCAGCCACGGATTTTGACTACTTTCCTATGGTGAGCTAACTAGTCCGCTAATATTCTTTCTACAGGGCTTGTAGCAGATTCAAAGTGCATCTTCGGCATATCTAAACGGCCCAAAACACTTCCTAGTACAGATTTTCAAATCGGCGCATTCTTCCGTGGTTGGAATTACCTGGTTCTCTCAGCTCCAGGAAACCGGCTCTATTGGTTTCTATTCCAGGACATGGAGAAGGCCACTGGCAGTAGTATCCCCAGATTCACGAAGGACGATGAGACCACTCTCGCAGAGCAACATTTCAACGATCCAGTCACCGCCACTACGACATTTGGGGATATTTACAATCATCGTTTGCATACCGCACTCGTTGCTCCCGAGGAGCACGTTTTTGCGCGATGGCATTTCCGGAGAATCATTACCGTTGGCGATGCTGCACACAAGGTACCTCTAAGCTCCCAAGCCTCAGCTCAGAGCATGAAGCTAACTTATAGTAAAGGTTCACCCCAACAGCGCTCAGGGGGGCAACGGCGCAATCGAGACCTCGGCAGTTCTCTTAAACAGTATCTTGCAACAACTGGATCAAAGTTCGAAACCATCAGAAGAGGAGGTTGAGGCAACCTTCGCCGAGGTTCAAACTAACCGTTTCGACCGCGCCACAAATGCTCTCGAGCAGGGTCGTACAATATCATCCCTCTTTATGAGGGATTCGCTTGCTTCCAGGCTATTCGTTTGCTATATATACCCCTGGTTTGGCGAGCGCATAATGATGCGGCTTGCCTTTAACCATGCCAAGACCGGCCCCGTCATCGAGCGACTACCTCTTCCCAACCGACGCGGCGTCATTCTCCCACACAGCGGTACTGTAACGAAACCTAGCCGTATCAGGGTTCGTTGGGGCTTCGGAGCATTCGGAGCGGCCATTGTTTCGGTGTTTCTCTACCTCAATAGAAGTTCGGGTTGGTCGGATTCTCTTGTCTCGTTGCTTAAAACGCAACTCGGGTCGTCTTGAAACAACAATGAAGATGTAACTATTCGTAGACTTGTTTTTTTTATTAGGTTGAATTAGTTAGAGCAGGTTAGCTAGGTTATGTTTTCCCTTGCGTTAGTATCTTTCCCCGAACAACCCAGAGATAAATGAAATATAAATTTCCCTGAAATCCGTTTGAATATATGTTAATAGTGTCATTCACGCTATGGGCTGTCCATGACAAGACATCTGCTCTATACCGATAACCTTCAAAATCCTTGCGCCGAATAACTTCGAATATCCTTAGGTCGTCGTCGTCGTCGTCATTACTGAGGTAATTATACAGCTGTGGACGATATTGAGGTCTTAATGCATTTAAATTTTGTCTGTGTCGTGTTGCTAAGTTTCATTCGGGAAGCTTGGGCTAGAGGTTTGGAATGACTCCATCAGAGCCTGGTTATTATAAAACCATTCTTCTAATTGTGCCCCATGCCCTACAATCATCATTGGATTCGTCATAATTGGCCCGGCCTGTGCCTCGGTTGTTCTCATACCTTCACTACCTGAGACAAAGTTGTTGTCAAGATTGTGGGTGAACCCCTGGTTGTGTTGCTCAATGCCACTGCTCTGCCCTGTGGATGACATGCCTAACATCTCGAGATACATGTCCATTTGTTCGGTGGCTTTCGGTTGACCGTCGTACGAAGCAGAGAGTTCGACATAGCGAATAGCGACCCTCTGTAGGACCTCAAAGAGGCGATGCAACTTATCTGCGGCATCAGAAGCCGCGGCAGCGGGTTGGATAGAAGTAACAAAAGCACCGAGTCGGTCGAGGTCCGCTTTGTCTTGGGTTTCGATTACTTGACAGAAAATAACAATGAAGGGGATGAACGGCACGAAGAGGAGGGTCCTATTTCGTCAATATTCCAAAGTTCAAAGATGAGTCGACCTAGTACTACGTACCAATGAACGTATGTGGGGAGAAAGTCTTTACTGCTCCTCTCCATAATCGCCTGGCAATCTTGGTGCCTGTCGAGGGTGGCTCTGGCGGCCGCAACACAGTTGGGACTGAATGTTGTTAGAGCTCCAGCTTGTTGCGGAGCCGCCCGATAGACCAGAGTAAGTAGTGACAGCCGAAGAATATCGTCGGAGGTGGCAAAGAAATTCACTAGATCCTGGCCTGCGTTGTCTTTTGAGATTTGTATCCATTTTTTCTAAAAGATCTGCAAGTCAGACAAATCAGACGGATAGAAATTTCAATCGCTTCTCTACCTACGTGAGTTTCTTGTGTAGCCTGTTCCAACGTTTGTAGATTGTTTACTAGAAGCTGAGCCCGAGATTGTCTGACGTCGTCGGGCTGAGCAACAGCATCGGGACTGTATAGCAGCTCATAGATGTTCCCTTGGCAACGCGCAGCCTCGACCCAGAGCACGAAATAAGCTACAGCTGGCTCTTTGTGCGGATCGCTAATTGAAGGTCGATGTGTTGTAATATCCCAATCCGGGATGGTGGACGCTCGACCGAGTCGAAGAGATAGACTCTTGTCGAGGAAGTAGTTAGTCCAAAACAAAAACTTCTTAAACTTCGCATTATCGCTATTATCTATGTCGGGCATTCTATGATAACCTAACGTCTGGCATAACTCCGATGCCTTACTTGAAAGTGCCCAGGCGAGGTAGGGTTTCGAGAGCTCGATTGCATGCCAAGCCTATAAGCAAGTTAACGTCAGTGCTGGGTATGAGTCGGCGTCCACGTACACCGAATAGGAGAGCTGTTATAGCGTTCGTTGTTGCCGGCAGATGCAATGGCAAACCGTCAAGTGCTGTTTCAAGGTTCGCGCGACACGTGTAAGCATCGTTAAGATACACCTCCTTTTCTTCCGCAGAGGTATGATAACTATAGTCAGAGAAGAGGGAATAAAGGCCAGCGTTGACGATAATAAAGTCCATCTCGGAGAAGCTATCGGAAAAATAGACCTGGAGGCAAACGTCCGAGAAATGCTGCATAGATATAAATTCATATATAAGGCCCGTTCCTGCTAGGCGTTGACCTTTGACATTATCAGTTTCCCACACTAGAAATAGGTAATGAGGTGACCTGATCACTCACTTCTTGCAATGCGAATCAACTCAACTGCCTTTTCGATAGGAGGCAACTCATACCCTGATGGGCGTCGACGTTGGACCGACCGGGCGTGAGGATATGTCATTTCATTCGCAACTGTCTGCTCTCTCAGACTGCCAACAACATGGGAGAGTGCGTCCAAGGTGTCCGTCATCTCTGGTCTGGAGCTTTGGAGGAGATTGGTGCTCGCAACTTGATGCATGAAGTCGCTAGCAAATGCGGAGTGGGCTGTTAAAGAGGATTTCCCCTCAACGCCCATCAAGGCCGAAGACGGTGGCTGGGTGGCGAAGCTCGACGGGCTTGACACGGACGAGGACACGGTCGATACCCGGGCTCCAGCCGATGTCCTCAAGGGCATAGAAGTTACACTGAGTTGTCTGTCGGTTTTGATATCTTGTAAAAGCTCGAGGACTTCCCCAAGACGGCGGTCAAGTTGATCAAGCTTTTTCTCACTAAATACCGTACATTGTTACAACTACCTGAGCACCGAGCAAAGGGAATAAAGGATATGAGAACATACTACTGTGGAGTCACGAGGATTCGTGTACGTTTCTCCCTAGGCTTCTTATTGACAAGTGTGCAATCGATTTTGGCGCTCACGCAGTTAGAGCAGGGATACTGCCTATCACAACGAATCTATAAACACACCTTGTAAGCAATGGATACCCGAGGCAAGACATCGTCTTGGGGGTAAAAGGGGCTGTCTGTGTACCTTACGGACACGACAGGAATCGCACTAGGAACGGGTTAGTTTGATATGTGAGATCTGACGACCCGACAGGATACTGACAGCTGGTCGAATGTAGGTGTTGGGACTTGGCGACGAAGGCCCTGGCCCGTCGTCGCAGCTCGCAGTAGTATCCATGGTAAGATAGACAGCCGACAGAATAATGGCGCGGAGGTGGGTGGGTGAGAGCCCGACAACGCGAGAAAAAATGAAGTCAGTCCAGATGAATGCGATTTGAGTTAATAGGTCAATGAGAGCCAGCTCGGACCCCGGAGACCCGGGTGCCGAGCCGCCCCTGACTTTTGTCAAAATGACGGCAGCCCGGCTTGGCAAAAGACGCTCGGACCGCCTTTATAAGGTTTCCCCGGCGGACAAGCTTCAACATATAATTGTTTCCATATGTTTTCATTCATCTTGCCAATGTCCTATATATATGCTACCTACTCACCCTCAAAATTTGACGTGGATCCATGCTTTGAACGCGCGTACGTGTTAGATTTCTATGGTAGGGCCAAGCAATGGCGATCGTATTTTGACATCATGGTCATCCTCGCTATCTACATACATCGAGGTCGTCGAATATTCCAGCTATATTCTCCTCAAAGAGCTTGTCGAAGCGAGCCAGAATCTAGAAAGGAACCTCCTAAGATCCGCACATTTCGTCAAGTTTGATTACTATTATGCGTATAGTAGCAGTCACAATGCAAACAAGGCAAACAGAAGGGGAGAGTGCTGAGCCATCTAGACTCATGCCACCATCGCGGCTGATTGGTTGATATAGACGGCTGTTACCGAAACGGAAAAAGAAGTCGAAACGGTAGCGAATGTATACATAACTGCTAGATTGCGGCTAAGCTTCTTTTAGCTATTTCAAGCAATTCCCTATTAATAGGTATGTATGGACAGAATACCTATGATAATCTGATATATTTACAGTTAATATGGATCATAGAATATCATCACAGTACCTTTGATACAGATATATTTTCATACATACTATATCCAATTACCATACAACCCTTTAAAAAGCTAATAAGGTTGATACTATCGACGAGCCAGCAGATGACCTTCCAAGCTTTGCAATATATGGTTGGGCGCTTAGCTACCACAATCACTACCATACCATACCTACAATTCGCATCACCAACACTTGATATCTCTCCTAGGAATCACATCTCAACCCATTATATTTGAATATCTACGCAAATAATCAAATCAGAAAAACTTGATATATCGAATTGTAAAGAAACAAAACCCCGGATACTATATCACCGAACTAAATACTCCGCAGTTTAAGGGTATCTACCTACTTCCAATTACTTATATTATGTTAGGCATGATCTCGTGCAACTACGAAGCTAAGTTGACGTCAACCCTTAAAAAATCAAGCTGCATGTAAAATGGGGGGGGGAAGCTCTTGAGGTCTGGGATCTTGCTGTGACTGGTCGGAAAAGAGGCAATTGCGACGGTTTTATGCGCGGATATGCGGAGACTAAATATCCGCAAAAGCTCATTTCATTGGTCGAGCTTTCTACCTGATGTGGTGTTTTTTGGTGAGGCTTCGGTCCCAATTGGCAATGGCCAAAAAAGAGAAATAAGAAAAAAAACAGTTGAAAGGATGCGGTGCGATGTAGGCCGACGTAGGCAGGTACGAGACATGAAGTATCTCCGTATACTGTCATTTTAGTTGCCGGGACCACTAAATTTTTCATCGGCTTCCCCATCCAACCGAAGCTGCCCCTAGTCCGTCGCTCGTCAATTTACCTTGGTAAGGACGACCCTAGGTACTATGTAGTTTTCGCTCTTGAGGCATTTCATCACTTCTTTTTTTTAACCTTTTTTTAGAAGAATTGTCACATCTTCTAACTTCTTCCCATCACCACCACCACCACTCAGTTCTTCTCTACTGTACCTCGCGCAATGGCTGCCTCTCTTCGTTTGAGCACATCCGCTCTCCGAACTACCTTAAGGGCTCCTACTTTCACAGCCCGCACCACAGCTTTCAACGCTGTGCGATGCTACTCTTCTTCCAAGAGCCAGGTCAGCAAAATTTCTAAAAATTTCCGTACATTTCTGCGACATCCCAAACTTACCAATTGGCCTAGACTCTGAAGGAACGCTTTGCCGAGCTGCTTCCTGAGAAGATTGAGGAGATCAAGGCCCTACGAAAGTAAGTATATCGGCGTGCCCCTCACTTGATTTTCACGGGATTCACGGCTCACGATACGGCGCATAGAGAGCATGGCTCCAAAGTCGTAGACAAGGTCACCCTTGACCAGGTGTACGGTGGTGCACGAGGAATCAAGGCTCTAGTATGGGAAGGTTCAGTTCTCGACTCCGAGGAGGGTATCCGCTTTCGCGGCAAGACGATCCCGGAGTGCCAGGAGATTCTCCCCGCAGCTCCCGGTGGCAAGGAACCTCTGCCAGAAGGTATGCGCTCAGCTTGTAATCAAAATAACACGTACTAACTTTTTCTCCGTAGGTCTCTTCTGGCTTCTTCTAACTGGCGAGGTCCCGACCGAGCAACAGGTTCGTGACCTATCTGCTGAATGGGCTGCCCGATCCGATATCCCCAAGTTCGTTGAGGAGCTGATCGACCGCTGCCCTACCGACCTACACCCGATGGCCCAATTCTCGCTCGCTGTCACTGCTCTTGAGCACACTTCGTCATTTGCCAAGGCCTACGCCAAGGGTATCAACAAGAAGGAATACTGGGGATACACATTCGAAGATTCTATGGACCTGATTGCTAAGCTGCCCACCATCGCTGCTCGCATCTACCAGAACGTTTTCAAGGGCGGCAAGGTTGCGGCTGTCCAGGGCGACAAGGACTACAGTTTCAACTTTGCCAACCAGCTCGGCTTTGGTGAGAACAAGGACTTCATCGAGCTCCTACGATTGTACTTGACTATCCACACCGACCACGAGGGTGGCAACGTCAGCGCGCACACGACCCACCTTGTCGGCAGTGCTCTCAGCTCCCCCTTCCTGTCACTGGCCGCTGGTCTAAATGGTCTCGCTGGTCCTCTACACGGTCTTGCCAACCAGGAAGTCCTGAACTGGCTCACTGAGATGAAGAAGACCGTTGGCGACGATCTCAGCGACGAGAAGATCACCGAATACCTGTGGTCTACGCTGAACTCCGGCAGGGTTGTCCCCGGTTACGGCCACGCTGTTCTCCGCAAGACGGACCCCCGATACACCGCCCAGCGCACGTTCGCCCTGGAGAAGATGCCCAACGACCCCATGTTCCAGCTTGTCAGCCAAGTTTACAAGATCGCCCCCAAGGTTCTAACCGAGCACGGAAAGACCAAGAACCCGTTCCCCAACGTTGATGCCCACTCTGGTGTCCTCCTTCAGTACTACGGCCTCACAGAAGCTAACTACTACACTGTCCTCTTCGGTGTCTCGCGTGCCATTGGTGTCCTACCCCAACTGATTATCGACCGTGCGGTCGGCGCGCCGATCGAGCGACCCAAGAGTTTCTCTACTGCTAAGTGGGCCGAAATTGTTAAGAAGCTATGAGGAAACGAGAAGGATTGCATTTTTCCTTTGGTCTGAAAGAGCATGTTTCACAAACGGAAATAGAACGGTCTACTGAGGGCTCAGTGGTGTATCAAATGAGGGGAGTTGAATTAGAGATGCTCCTAATGATACCAAAAGCTGTGCTTGTACAATAATGCGTCATGATTACTTTTTGTATAGGTAGCTGCTATTCAAAGTTAACTACATGCAACACTCTCCGCTTACTATCTTCAATTGATAATTACCAAGTTAATTTTATTTTAGGGTCGGGCACCGACGAAACACCTACTATTACCTACCTAGGCTGCTAGGTACCTTGCTTCGTAGACTTTCAATGTTATCAAATATGTGGCGTTCCGGTAATTGATATCGATATTGATTGCGCATGAGTATTGGATGCGTAAAGTAGACGGTCTAAGGGTCTGAAGTAATAGTAAGGAAAGATTGGGGAAAGTCCGGTCCGGTTGTTGAGCATAAAACCTGCCCTAGCAAATTCGATTGATGGGGGGAAGCCGCAAAAATATCGGGCGGAGTATCTAGGGGGATCCTTACTTCTGAGCTTGGCAATTGTTGAGAAGGTAAGATCCAACAACTTCGAACCGATCTGTACGTAACTTGGCAAGAGCGCTGAGACCTCCTTACGTGGCTCAAGAAAAGAAAAAGAAGAAAAATAAAGAGGAAAATTGAGTTGATTTAGATCTAATCCTAAACTCCGTAAAAACATCTTGATCAAGTAAACCCCCCATCGTCAAATTTCTACCAAATCAGGAAGTCTCCTCTTCTTGGGTTTTCAACAGCTCAAAGTACCTAATAAGGTAATCCGCGATACTAATAGGTATTAACTCCATTACCGCACCCCTCAAAGAAGACGTTTGGATTGGCCCGACATAGGCGACATAGGCCTAGGTTAGACTAAAATAAAAAGAATTACCACATGTGTCCGAGGCTTGTTGAACCTGATTTTTGCTGACCACACTCCCGGTATCAGCTGCAAGCTTACTTGCCTACGGGTAATCCGAATATTCCTACACCGAAACCAATCACAAGCTCAAAATCCGATTATCGTTTGTCGGAAAACCCACCCGACTCCGAATTACTTTGTTGCTTCGACTTCATTCCGTCTTGAATCCGTCTTACATCTTTTTCTTCTGAAACTTTATCCCTCACGCCGTTCGAACATCAACACTCTCCTCTAAGGTCCTTAGACACCCTCTCTCCGCGAAGAAGCACCCGATTGCCTTGGTCAGGCCCCCTTCCGTCAAACGATCCTCGCTTGAGATGTCCACCGCCACCGCTGCCGCCTCCGGGGTTACTCCCCCCTTGACGGACAACAGGCTTGAGAAGAAGCCCATCAAGTTCTCCAACTTGCTTCTCGGCGCCGGCCTCAACTTGTTTGAGGTCACCACCCTCGGCCAGCCCTTGGAGGTCTGCAAAACTCATCTCGCCGCCAATCGAGGTGACTCCTTCGCCTCTGCGCTGCGCTCCATCTGGAACCGTGGTGGTGTCCTTGGATGTAAGAAGAACTCATATCAATCCAGCATCATGTCGTATCCTTTTTATGTCACCTATACTGACACGTAGTCTTCGTATCGTAGTTTACCAGGGTCTCATTCCCTGGGCCTGGATCGAAGCCTCGACCAAGGGCGCCGTCTTGCTCTTCGTCGCCTCCGAAGCCGAATACTATGCCCGAGTCGCCGGCGCTTCGGAGTTCGGTGGCGGAATCATCGGTGGCGTGACCGGCGGTGTCGCGCAGGCCTACGCCACCATGGGTTTCTGTACCTGCATGAAGACGGTCGAGATCACCCAGCACAAGATGGCTGCGGCCGGCGCCAAACCTCAAAGCACGTTCGCGACCTTCATGGATATCTACCGCAAGGAGGGCATTAGGGGAATCAACAAGGGTGTCAACGCTGTCGCCATCCGACAGATGACCAACTGGGGTTCTCGTTTCGGCTTGTCGCGTCTTGCCGAGCAGGGTATCCGCAGGGTCACCAACAAGGAGCATGGCGAGAAGCTCAGCGTTGTAGAGAAGATCACGGCTTCGGCTCTGGGTGGTGGTTTGTCCGCCTGGAACCAGCCGATCGAGGTCATCCGCGTTGAGATGCAGAGTAAGAAGGAGGATCCCAACCGTCCTAAGAAGATGACGGTCGGCAACACTTTCAAGTATATTTATGATAGCAACGGTCTCAAGGGATTGTACCGTGGCGTGATGCCGCGTATTGGGTTAGGCGTTTGGCAGACGGTTTGCATGGTGGCTATGGGTGATATGTAAGTGTTATCTCCCCTAACTACCCTCCATCTTCTCTGTGGTGTAAAGAATAACTGGATTGCTAACGAGTTGCGAAATAGGGCCAAAACTTACGTGGAAAAGCTGACCGGAGACAAGGTCACTGCTAAGCATTAGGCGGCGTTATATGGAATGACTGTTCATGATATGATAGATCATGGGATGAATGTGTGCATTTTGCATTTCTGGTACTTGCTACCTATAGATCTTAACTTTTACCTCGTCTACAGGTAGCTTTTGAGTGGCCCGTTTTAACATACGGCGACGTTTTTACCCTCGTTGTCGATATTATACTTATACTACATAGACCTGATCGCAATACAGGCTTTTGTGATCCTTGGGGTCATCTTATCTACATTTCTCGAACGTTGTGCGTGATTTTTTGCTCCATCCTATGGACGTTACATATGATTGATCGCTGCAGCATGTCAAATTGACCAGTAGAAATATGTTTACCTATCAAGACAACCAAACAACATTTGTCGAATGAGAATACAGTGTTCAATTACCCTTTCATACATATTCTACTTACACGATTGAATTTATAAAGCCTCTGGTCATCTCCGGTCTGTCACGGCACTTGCAATCTAGGATATAGGCTTCCAGATTTCTTCTTCGACTTGGCACCTGCCGGATTGTGAGATCTTCGGATCCTTTGAGGCTATACCCAACCGTCTCGCCAGCTAGCCCCGTTGGCCGATCACGACTTGGCATGTTCTCGATTCTTGCCATATCGGGAGAAGCTTGTTTCTCCGCTCGGCTCTTGCGATATGCGGGTTGGAGATCCTCGCGGTTGTTGGAGAGTTGCTTGCGCTTAAAATAGCTGGGATCTGTCGATGTGTGGGTTTGGTTTGGTTATGTATGTCAGCCTTGGCGGGCTGTAGTAATACAGTTCTGGCTAGATGGGCTTGGGCTAGGGTTATTGAGTACCGGACGGGGAGTTTCAGTGGCATAGGTTGGAGGATTATGGGCAGGAAGAATTCTGGTTCGTTCTGGCTTCGTGTGGTACTTACGTGAGGCTATCTAGCTTGAGTATTGGTTTCGATGTTGTGGATGAGAGGACTATGTACAGGAACTTCGAATACAGTGCAAGTTTCTGCTTGAAGGATTACGATCATCAGAGAGACGAGACGCCCGATGGAACTGTAGGTATTCGTAACGGCGGAGTGGCTTTGAGGTTTGTTTCGATGTCTGTCCCCGCAGGTGGCGATCTCAGGCACTGCCTATAGCGTACTGCATGAAGGAATTCGTATATTGGGATAGGAACATCGTAGAGAGACTTCAATACTTTCGTCCCATGCGGCACGTACATGAGTCCTTCTCATACTCTGGAAGCTGTGGCAGCGTTGTACGAGTGAGATTGCCCATGTTTCTGATGGGGACACTCTAGGAATCGCCGTTTCCCTTTAATGAGATATCACCTCATTCAGCAGTCACGAGCTGTATAGCTTTGATCTACAGATCTATACTTATCGGTGATCTCTCTACTAAGAAGCATGTATAAGGTAGTTTATTGGCTGGTATGATAATATCTCATCTTTCACATTTGTCCATGTTACATATCATCTGGGACTGTGCCTCTTGTGGTACGTGGGCCGACTCGTAATTCGTTATATTCTACGTGTCGTATGATCTCAATAGCTGAATTCATATTGAGCCCAGAATGTTATGATCTCATACTATCGTGTGTGACTGAGAATATTAGAGGTATAGCTCTAGTAGGTAGACACGAATATGTCCCAAGTCATTAAAACTATTGATATAAAACGAAAAGAGTTGAGGTTGTAAATGTAAAGCCATTTAAAGACTAACATGAATACAAGCTTTCTACAACATACGATACATGATCAAATCTGGCTTACCAACAGATTAATGAACAAGCTAACTGGAATTGGACCAAAATTGATATTATTGACTTGACTCCAGAGCTGATAGGTACCTAGTAATCATACGTTCATATTCAAAAGCTTGAAGTAAGCTATGGTGTTGTCTTCAACATATGTAGGAACTACATAAAGTAAGTGAGAAGTTACGAAAACCACTCTATTCAAGTGTCTGAGCTAGAAAGTCTACATATTCCCTATAGCCAATGATATGAACATATCGATATACCTAAAGACTCAAAAAGTATGAGTTGTTTTTCAATCGTCAGGTGCCTGTTTCGGGATATGCTAGCCAAGAATTATTCTATCATCTGCTGGTTGACCCCCATGCATGGAAGTTCGAGAACGATCGTGGCCATGCGCCCCCAAAGACTTGCATTCGGGAAAATCGCTCACCATGTCACCAATGCACATGTAATCGCGTTATATACGAATAAGTTGACGTTAACTACTACCCCTCTCAGGTCGGTACTCATATGCGTGAGTTCCATTCAATGCTAGGTTAACATCAGTGCCTGATATTAAACGCATCCCGAGTGACGGTGTCTGAATCATATGTCGGTTTATCAATATACCGGGAGTCATAAGCCATACCATTGGACACCGAGCCGGTCTACGATTGCTCAAGTGATCTCCGTGGGGGGACGGGCCGATGCATTGGCTACCTACAGACCTACCTACGTCTTGGGCGTCTAAGGCTGGCGAAGCCGTTAATCTATGCGGTCGCATTCCATGGCACACGTAAGGCATAAACTGACGTCGGTGACATCTCACATACAACACTTCGATAAAAAAAGAAGAAAGAGAAAAGAATAATCTGGAAAAGCAACCTTGTGGTAGGTTTGTTTGCTAAGAAGCGGTCGTCATCCGTGGTCGTAAGAAAGGAGGCTTTGGCGGTCAAGCGCCACATGACCCAACGGGCTGCCGCGCATCGCCATTACCGCCGTCGCGGCGGGGCCCACCTATGACATACCCATCCATCCCTACCGACAACGAAGCTTCGACCGCAGACGGGAAAAACAAGGTCAGGCAATCAGTCAGGGAAAGGGCAGGGAAAAAGGTAGGGAACGCAGGCGCCAGCATCCGTTCGTCACGCCGCGCCTGCCCTTTTTCCAAGTTCCTTATCCCTCCCAGCTCCTGCCTACCCCAGTGTGGAGGGAATGGGGATAGGCATGTAGTTTCGACGGTAGTCGCATGGTCAACCACGGGGGCATTCCGGGGAACCAGAAACCGATCGTTGGTCCCCCCTGCCGAGCCCGACGCGGCCCGTACGTTATTCCTGCGATAGATGCACAGGAGCGAAAGGGCGAATCGGATGGACCGCCTTTCGGTTTACGTAAGTCCGGCTCGTGGTGACAAACCTTTGGGGGGTTGGACGGGCAGGTCTTGGCTTCTTCTTTTTTCCTTCCCCCTGAGTTCTACCGATAGATAGCCTGATTGACGGGGAGCGCAGGATCAGCTCGCCTGGATCGAGGCTGTCCTGTCGGCAATTCTACAGTTGCTATTTATGTCCGACTAATGGATCTACTATTGTGTGTGTGTGTGTGTGGTATGTATGTACGATTTAGGTTCTGACCTACTTACAAGTTACAATACTTCTCTCTTCCTTTCTACTATCATCTCGGTGTCTCAATGTCGCAAAACGCCATGCTTAGCCTAGGCCTCGGTACATCTTATTGTACTAGCTATTATGGTGTCGTATTATTATTTATTGCTTATAATCTTGGCCCTGCGGCGCCTGCCCAGTCGCGCCGTCTGGGCACAATCTTCTGACGCATCCGTCTGCTGCTTGCTCCTTTTTTCATTACGATGTAGCGAGTTCGCGCCAAGGAAATTCGAAGATAAAAAAAGGGTCCGTCGCCTCCGCGAAGAGGGCAGATCGTCGCGTCGTTCGCGACAAGTCTTGGCTGAACAAACTTTACGCCGCTACATAGTACGTGCTGCTATGTATGAGAGGGCAGAATGGCAGAATGGGAAAATACTTTCCTATTGATAACGGAGGAGGGAAGAGGGATGAGCGACGCGCGCCCAAGAAAGCCCAGAGCCAAGCTTCTGATACGTATGGTTTATTTGTTTCTAAAAAATATAGGAACATTACTATACGATCCCGATGGCCGAGAAAGGGAACCGTCAAGCTAATAAAAGTCGTTAGGGCATTCTTGTGGCATCAGTGGCATCTCTGTGGTCGCTTGGCATGACGCGCAAATGTACGTGCCAAGACGACTTTGTCTGATGAGGTCTATCAACTCTACTTTCGATACCTTCGATAGCGTACAAGACCGTAAACAGGACACTGTATTGTCTTTTTTCTCGAGAACACAAGTTCGGGTAGTTGCGCTCACCAAGACGCTAGGTAAGAGTATACACCTATTTATGTACATACATGTCAGATGTCCGCCACGATTGCCTCAAGTTTGGTTCTACGTATACATACCATATTAGGGTGGCATGTAAATGTACCGTACTACATCGTGTACCTGACCAGCCTACCCAAGACTATGAGCGGATGTGCACGCTAGGTGGGAAACATCATCTTGGCGGCGGAGAAATCGCACAACCAGATCTGCCAGAACCCTTTGGGCGAGCCAAGCCAAGAAAAGGACACTTGCTAGCCTCGATAAGCTTTCAATGTTGGCTGCCCTGACTTTGGGTCGGTTCTAGACATCCTGTCACATTCTCTATACGCGGATTTAAACAGCCGCGCGGACTGTCGTCAACGAGCGAGGTCGAGTTCAGTCTAGAGTTAATACCAACGCGACGGCGTCCTAAAAAGCTTTTCCATCTTACTAGCAGAGCCATTGCCTCGGAATCTACCTGAAGTCAATCTATGAACTAAAGAACTAAATAACTAAAGACGCTACGTTGAACCCTTCTTGCATCCGACGACTGAACTTAGAATGCTGTTCTAGTCAACCTTAGTTCTTGTCGAGCTTCTAGAACAGGTAACAAAATAATAAGGCTCGCGCGAATATAGACCCTGAACCACTAAGGCGGGAAACCTTTTTCCTTTTCTTTCTTTCTTGGGGTTCAAGGATGTACCCGGACCTCGTAGGCGGTATGAGTAAGCGCGAGAAATAAAGGATAGAAGAAAAAGACTCATATATGTTGTGATATAACATGGGCGCATCCAACGGCGGTTTCGAGATGAGGCATTTCAAAATAGTAAACAATGATATGTAATGAAATGTTTACTGTACGGTCCTGGTTAATAGATTGTTTCAACAAAGAGCCAAAGAACCAAGCTTTTTATAGCCGGGTTTCATCGTCAAGTTGCCTGCATCGCATCCTTGCTTAAACGCGCACAGGCGCTTCCGGCGTCTTGCTACCATGTCGAATATGTAGGTATCACAGAGGATACTGGTAGGATCTGATTCGTAGCCTGTGGGAAATGATAAGGTACTGCATGGTGTACACCCACGATGAGCGCGGACCGAGGAACGGCTAAGGAGCGGGAGGAGACGTGGACAATGGTTTCGCATGAAATGGAAGATAAGGCGAATTTTACGAGGCAACGAGGCAACGAGGCTAGAATGACAATTGACCCTTTTTGAAGCGAGTGGCAGCGGCGCGACAGCAAGAAGCGAGAGCGCAGTTCGGCCGCTCGGAGACACGAGCGTATCGAATATCGGGAATAGAATACTTGTTAGGAAAAGCTCTCCCCGTGGAGTCTGTTAAGACTAGTCGAGGACCCCCATATCGTAGCAGAGACCCCCCCAAGCTAACTCGTTCCTAGGTAAACAAATCATAAATTACGTCCTGGAAGGAACCACATAATGTCCGAATTAGAGCCATTGACCATTGATAGCAGCTCGAACGGGGGCCGCGAAATGGGAAAATCTTTTAGCGACACGAGCGGCTCGATCCTCGGATCCTCACAGTATAATTCCATCATAGCCGCACCGTCCTTTGGCACTCTTGCTACCACACCAAGTCCCAAGTCCCACGTTCTCCGGCTATCCTGAATCCAGTCGCCCGCAAACGGCGAGGCAATTCTGGCATTTTAGCGCAATCACGCACACCTGGCCGAGCTACATCCTAGTCTGCACGAATCCCGATTTTCGAGATTACTTTTTGCCGCGAACGTGATTGGCGAACTCGTCCAAGTAAGGGTTCCAGATCCAGGTCCGGATGCATAACTATGTAATAGTAATGATAAGTTTATGATTGCCCACGCGACTACTTGCCTTACGGTGAGTGATATATGGCATGTATAGTGTATTATGTGGCTTGCTACTTCGTACATTGGTATTCTCCCTATCCGAACTTACGGCGGGTTTGAGATAAAATGTGTCTAGACGAAGACGAGGGCATACGAGATGACCGAATAGGGGATGGGGTTTCATCTAATCATTCTCCATTCTTTAGCGACGACGAGCGAGGCAAATAATCGTTTTCGATAGTAATAATGGCGAAGATGCCGATGGCCGATGACCGAAAAAAGGCCTTTGGTCGATCTCTTCAGATCTAGCTGTTCCGCCTCACTCGCAGGTTTGGAAACAGATAGCTGTAGCGTGAGGCCATTGCCATTCCAAAGCATTAAGGTTGTTGGCCCGTCCGCTCCCTGAGACTAAGACGCCCCGTACCTAGCTGCTAAGGAAGGGTTAATAGGCGGATGTCGGGTGTAGACTGGACGGTGGCCACGAGACTCCAAGCGGACAAGCTTGGTGGAGCAGCGGCCATACCGAGCGAATCTCCATCCGAGAAATTGCGGCAGGCCAAATGGCTCTTTTTGCCTTTCACCGAGGTCTCCTGGGTCTCCTTTGCCGGAGCGTGTCGGTGTAGAGGGTGCCGCGAGGACAGAAAAAAACTTTTTTTTTTTACTAAAAATCTAACATCATCTACGTATCAACCTGTACTACCGTCCGGGTGGTCTGTGACCTCTTAGCCGGGCGCTGGGGTATGGAAGTGCAGGATTCAATGTTGGTAAAATGCGGGATTGATCCTGTGGTCCCCCATGACGTATGAAAAGTAAGCCACACACGCCAGAGTCGCAGGTAGGATTGCTACCATCGTTACCCGTCGTGTTTAGTGATCCAGTGGCTGCTAATGATCCAGCGGTGGGTTGACTTTAACTTCCTACGCTTGCCTGGCTGCTCAGTCTGGCTTTCGATGGCAGGATGGTTCGCGTCCCCTAGCAGCCCTAGTCGCGCGCTCTGATGCCCTGAAGCTCCGTTCATAGTTTCCGTTCATGGTACATAGCACATAGCACAGGTCAGGATTGCAGCTGTGCAGGAACGATAAAAAACCCGCATTTGGCAGGTCGCCGGTAGATGGTACCTATGGGCTCTCCACGTTAGACAATGACGATTGTCGGTTAATAGGGATGGTCTGGCAGGCTGGGCGTTTTCTGGATCTCGCAAAGGCGGTCTTGCGGTCTTGGGAAAGCGTTCAATAGCAAATACCATATTATCGCATGGCATGCTCTAATGAAACAGAAGCTCCAGGTACAACTTGGTCTTAGCAGGATCGGCAAAGTCTTGTGGGTTCCAGCGCCTTTCCGTTTTCGATAGCAGCCTCGTTGAATGGAAAATGGCTCATAATGCTGGTAGTTGAAGCTGTTAGCTGTTGCTACGTAGATAGGGAAAGTACCTGGGTTACCCATTCTGTACGTACCGCTGACTAGCCCGACAGGCCTGTCTAGCATCTCTGCTGCTTTGCAGTATGCAGACTCAAGTGCAGATGGATTTGTATGGATTGTATGGATGGGTGGATAAGGGTTGCATAGGCACAGTAACAGGGCGCACTGACTCGCTATTAACTGACGACATTGCGCGAGCTGACACTGTGCAAGGCTAACATGAGCCAAAGCATGGGTGGTCCCAGTCAATGGTTAACAGCCCTCGCATAAGCCTAAGGACCTAGAGGAGTAACCGTGCTTCCCGAATGCAGAGCTCGTGGAATCTTGATTTGGGATGAGCCTGGAAATCAGCAGAAAAAAAAAAAAACTCTCACCAAAACAATTAGATCAGAGCTATTCCCGTGCCAGCCGTCGCATCGGGATAGGCAAAAAATAGTTTAAAATTAGTCAATTGAATAGAATAGATGGGTCTACAGCTTCAGCGATATCTTCCGCGATGTTTTTCTCTAAGCTTTGACTACAAATGACGAATAGAAAAGTCGGTGCGCTTGTCTGTCTTGTCAGCATCTTGGGAGCAATCGAGTAATTCCCGCAAGATCAGAGAGTTCATGGGTGCAAAGTGCTCTTGCTCTGGAGATGGGATGTGGAGTCCCTGCTGTCCAGGTACCGGATAGTGGGCCCTGCAGGGACCGAGTCACACTGTGGCGACTTTCTGCGTCCAGTAAAATAACAAAGCTTAACCCAATTCGGTAGGTTAGACATCTTAGCGTAGGTACAGTACAAGGCCGCACACTAATTTTATGCGGCATGCGTCGTACCTTTAATCCTTGAGTACTGATGTGCATAGAAGCAATTTCCCGAAAGAATTACCTAGGTAGCTTAGGTAAACTTGGCTCTATTTGGCTCCATGTAAGTAAACAAACCCTTGAGCTTAACAATTTAGAGTTCAATTCGTGACTGAAGTTCTTGACATGAGACGGAGGATTAAGTTGCTGATTTGAGCTATGGGCTTAGATATTTGCTGATAGTATCTACTACATGAATGTACTAGGTATTGAAGTGATGCACGATGTATTCATACTTCAATAACTTACTTAATACCGTACATAAGGTAGATTGAATGTCCAAATTATCATATCTTAGGTAGAACTTAACTTGCTAGGCATGTACACATTAACGAATCTGAAATATAATAATATCTGCAACTGTAAAATTCGCGCGTTGATACCATACGTACATCCGCATACCTAGAAAATAAGTCAAATAAAGATATAAGTACCCTTGTAGTATTGCGAAGGTCCTCCTGGCTTGGCCAATAGGGATGTATTGGATATAAAAAAGTGGAATTGGTGGAAACAAACGGAAGGAACAACCCACACTGTATTGCGCTGTACCGATACTTCCATGCTTGGGGTGAGCCATTGGAGCCACTGGAAGCTTGGTTGACGAAGGCCCCACTTGTCGGAATTAGCTCTTGCTCTTCTCGCTCTGTTTTCCACGACTTATTAAAGAAAAAGGTCGCCCACATTGAACGCGCTTTCTCTCCTTCTTCTCATCACGTTGAAGACTTGGTTACGGCTCTTCTGGCTTGTCAATTCCTCCCAAGGTCGTCCGTGGTGCCTTCCGCCCAAAATCTCCCCTCTTCTCCCCCTCTGTGTGATTAGTCTGAACGTCGTCCATCTTATCTCCCCCACGACCTCACCTTCACCAATACATCTTCAGTCACCTATACAACCAAACCTAATCAGCATTCCAGTCGATCCTATTGTCGATTTCTCTGCCCGCCTAACCTGGAGTAATTAATAATTTCACCGGACTCAGTCCTTTATCCGCACATCTATTCAATTCGACATCTGGGTTATCTCTCTGGTTGTCAGTCTTAGAAGCTCGCCGCCATGGCTGAGTCCAACAATGCCGCCGCGCCGGCGCTTCACACCAATATAGAGTCGGGCAAGTTTGATGAAAAGGAAGCTCACCGTATCGAGGACCCCGCCCCGGCCAAGACTACTAAGGGCGAGGAAGAAGAAGAGGATGAGGACATCGACGCCTTGATCGAGGATCTCGAGTCTCAGGACGGAAACGCATTCGACGATGAGGAGGAAGGTGATGGACAGCCCGGCGGTACTGGTCGCGTTGTTCCCGAAGAGATGCTCCAGACTGATACTCGTGTCGGTCTTACGGAAGGTAAGCTTGAACCGACATTTATGTCACGGTCGGAGCGCGTCGAATTAGAAAACTAATTGTTCCGTAGCTGAGGTCACCAACCGTCGTCGCAAGTATGGTCTCAACCAAATGAAGGAGGAGAAGGAAAACCTAATCCTCAAGTTCTTCGTGAGTTCTCCCCATTCTTCTAACAATTTAATTTTCGCTAACCTGATCATAGGGTTTCTTTATTGGTCCTATTCAATTCGTTATGGAGGCTGCTGCCGTCCTTGCTGCTGGTTTAGAAGATTGGGTCGACTTCGGTGTCATCTGCGCCTTGTTGCTCCTTAACGCCTGCGTCGGTTTCATCCAAGAATTCCAGGCCGGTTCTATCGTCGACGAATTGAAGAAGACTCTCGCCCTTAAGGCTGTTGTCCTCCGTGACGGTACCCTCAAGGAAGTTGAGGCTCCTCTAGTTGTCCCTGGTGATATCCTCCAAGTTGAGGAGGTGAGTGATTTTCCCTGCGCTATGAAATCAATAATATCGCAATTCTCTAACAGTAAATCAACAGGGTACCATTATTCCCGCTGACGGCCGAATCGTCACTGACGATGCCTTCCTACAAGTCGATCAGTCTGCCATCACTGGTGAATCTCTTGCCGTTGACAAGCATAAGGGTGACCAATGTTTCGCTTCGTCTGCTGTCAAGCGTGGTGAGGCCTTCATGGTTGTTACCGCTACTGGTGACAACACCTTTGTCGGTCGTGCTGCTGCTCTCGTCAACCAGGCTTCTGCCGGAACTGGTCACTTCACTGAGGTTCTTAACGGTATTGGTACTGTTTTGTTGATCTTGGTTGTCTTCACTCTCTTGATTGTCTGGGTTTCGTCTTTCTACCGATCCAACCCCATTGTCGACATTCTTCGTTTCACTTTGGCCATCACTATCGTCGGTGTTCCCGTTGGTCTTCCTGCTGTCGTCACTACCACAATGGCTGTCGGTGCTGCCTATCTTGCCAAGAAGAAGGCTATCGTTCAGAAGCTCTCTGCCATCGAGTCTCTTGCTGGTGTCGAAATTCTGTGCTCTGACAAGACCGGTACTTTGACCAAGAACAAGCTCTCTCTCGCTGAGCCTTTCACTGTCGCTGGTGTTGACCCCGAGGACCTCATGCTTACTGCCTGTCTCGCTGCCAGCCGCAAGAAGAAGGGTATGGATGCCATTGACAAGGCTTTCCTCAAGTCGCTCAAGTACTATCCTCGTGCCAAGGGTGTTCTATCCAAGTACATTGTCAAGGAATTTTTCCCCTTCGACCCTGTCTCAAAGAAGGTTACTGCTGTTGTCGAGTCTCCCCAAGGTGAACACATTACTTGCGTCAAGGGTGCCCCTCTGTTCGTCCTCAAGACCGTCGAGGAAGACCACCCCATCCCTGAGGAAATTGACCAGGCCTACAAGAACAAGGTTGCTGAATTCGCTACTCGTGGCTTCCGTTCTCTCGGTGTTGCCCGCAAGCGTGGTGAGGGTGCTTGGGAAATCCTCGGTATTATGCCTTGCTCTGACCCCCCTCGTCACGATACTGCCCGCACCATCAACGAAGCCAAGCGTCTCGGTCTCTCCATCAAGATGTTGACTGGTGATGCCGTCGGTATTGCTCGTGAAACTTCTCGTCAACTCGGTCTCGGTACTAATGTCTACAACGCTGAGCGCCTTGGTCTCGGTGGTGGTGGTGACATGCCCGGCTCTGAGGTCTACGATTTCGTTGAGGCTGCTGATGGTTTCGCTGAGGTCTTCCCCCAACACAAGTACAACGTCGTCGAGATTCTACAACAGCGTGGTTACCTTGTTGCTATGACTGGTGATGGTGTCAACGATGCTCCCTCGCTAAAGAAGGCTGATACCGGTATTGCTGTCGAGGGTGCCTCCGACGCTGCCCGATCTGCCGCCGATATTGTCTTCCTTGCCCCCGGTCTTGGTGCTATTATCGATGCCCTCAAGACTTCTCGACAGATCTTCCACCGTATGTACGCCTACGTCGTCTACCGTATCGCTCTTTCTCTTCACTTAGAGATCTACCTTGGTCTGTGGATCGCGATCCTGAACCGCTCGCTCAACATTGAGCTTGTCGTCTTCATTGCCATCTTCGCTGACGTCGCTACTCTGGCTATTGCCTACGACAACGCCCCGTACTCCATGAGCCCCGTCAAGTGGAACCTTCCCAAGCTCTGGGGTATGTCTGTCCTCCTCGGTGTCGTCCTTGCTGTCGGTACCTGGATTACTGTCACCACCATGTACGCTCAGGGCGAGAACGGTGGTATTGTCCAGAACAACGGTAACATGGACGAGGTCCTCTTCCTTGAGATCTCCCTCACTGAGAACTGGCTTATCTTCATCACTCGTGCCAACGGTCCCTTCTGGTCGTCGATCCCCTCGTGGCAACTTACCGGCGCCATCCTTCTCGTTGATATCCTCGCTACCTGCTTCACGATCTGGGGTTTCTTCGAGCACGGCGCCCTTACCCACATCGTCGCCGTTGTCCGTATCTGGATCTTCTCCTTCGGTGTATTCTGCATCATGGGAGGTGTATACTACATCCTCCAGGACAGCGTTGGATTCGACAACCTCATGCACGGCAAGTCCCCCAAGGGCAGCCAAAAGCAGAGATCTCTCGAAGATTTCGGTAAGTTTCAATTAAGTCGATTTAAAGTTTTAGATGGATTTCTAGCTAACGCGTTTCATAGTTGTCTCTCTCCAACGTGTCTCCACCCAGCACGAGAAGTCCCAATAGATCATCCCCGGATGAAACCGAACGGCCGCACCCTAGGTGGCCATTGTCACCAGGGATCAGTCCTAATCGGTGGTACATACTATTGCCCTTCGGTCTATAGACATATTCTCCGGACAGGCTTGGTTGTTCACATCATTTCCTTCTTGTAAACTGAAATACCACGGCGTATAGGCCTTCGGTTATGTCATACCCACGTCTCTTAGGCTTAATAAGAATGAAAAAAATACCAAATACCCGGCATGTCTTATGTGAAGCTGAGTTATGTAATTGCATGTCTTTAAAGTCTAGTTATGATAGCTTTCAATGTATATGCATTAATTTTTAATGAATGATCTATTTATCGTCCTAAGTGCATATTTTTTAATTCGGTATGTATTAACATCAGTTGCCTCGCTACTTTAGAGTATATGTAATTTTTTTCGTTACTATCCTTTGTCGTCGGCACATTTTTAAAGTTTGTCGCTAACTTCCACCTTGACCTCCACTTTAATTTTTGATACTTACATGTATCGTTATATTTTCATCTTTCACTCACAATATTCACCACCACCGTCACACCAAACTTTCCAGGCTTGTGTGAAATATTGACAAGATGAATTCTAATTCACCAGCAGATATTCCAGGTTATTTCTGGGGTAATTATTTTTTCTTGATCAATTTCTTGTCGCTTCATATCGATATTTTCCATATACTAATACTCTAGTTTCCTCCAGATCCAATAACACGCCGCTACTTTAAAGTACAAAAAAGGCAGTACTCCTCTCGTGATGACGCTCCTAATGACGAACCTTGGTCTTTGGAGAGTGTGAAGAGGCGCAAGCTCGACGAAGAGGTTGCAGCGGAGAAAGCACGTATGGAGGCTCGAAACATGTCCCGTATCACCCGCTCTAAAGCGTTAGATGAACCGCTCATGGGCGGCTTTCTTGCTCGTGAATACGGTCATGACGTTCGCGACCTCCAAGCCGCAGGTTTCGCACAGGGTTTAGTTATGCAATGCAAAGTCAATACCGGACAGGTATACGGACAACTCTCGGCTATGCTTATATGTGGCAAGAAGGACAGGCTCAGTCTCTACTCCGTGTTGAGGCGTAAGTTTTACATGAAGATCGTGGAAGATAAAGGCTGACATAAGACAACGTTCAAAGGTCAACTCCGGACCAATGATTACCCCTTGGGCAGAGATGATAGGACTGGAAGGTAATATGCTAAACTATCTTTACTATTGTCATCATTTTGCTAACAGGAATTATGATGATAGGATCGAGATATCCCAGTCTAACCACCAGACAACAGTATTTCCAGAGCCTGACGTCTTGATCTCAGACATAAAGTGCAATCGGTCCATGACTTACGCCTTTGTCAGTGCTATCTCTGTCACGAACGGGTTCCCAGCTTTCTGGAAAATACCCCTCAACCCGCGGTCCACATCTTTCAACACTATTGACTTACCAATACCAATTCACCGCCGCAAGTTATCTGTATCCCCAAACACCATATGTGTATCCCCAACAGGCCAAGCTTTCCAGTGCTTGGTCGGAACAGATTTTGGTCTTGCATCGCTCGACGCCATGGACGAGATGAATTTAATCGTACCTACCAAGCGTAAGGTGGCGGGACGGACATACCCAGAATCGTTCGCTGATATATTCGGTGTCGATTATCGTGTCGCTGATCCTAACGTCGTGTTTTTCGGCGGTCGCCCCGGCAGGCTCCTCATCGGTGATCTTCGTCAGGATAGCTACGAGTGGAGCAGTATTCAGCTCCCAAGCTCCATCGCGCATGTTAAGGCAATCAATGACAACCAGGTTCTGGTAGCTGGCCTAAAAAACATGATGTCCGTCTACGACATCCGATTCTGCGACCGGGTTGGCGTCAACAACAACACGATTACCCAGAACCAGAAGTCGGGTAACCCGATCGTGACGATGCAGGAATACAGAAACCCGTCTCGCTTTACCGGCGGATTCGACTTCGATCGCGGTACCGGCGTGGCCGCGGCTGCCCATGACGATGGCAAGATCTCGTTGTATTCGGTGCGCAGTGGTCGCCGGCTGCCCTCTCGAGATATCGACAAGATCCACTGTGGATATGGACAGATTCCCTGCCTTCAGTTTCTGACCTTGGAGGGTGATCACACGCCGACCTTGTTCGTCGGCGAGGGAACCGATGTCGTTGCATATTCCTTTGGTGTTGACAACATAGACGATGAATGTTGATGTCTTCCCACATCTTTACGTCTTTGAGTTTCCGTTGCACGGCAGGATTGCATTGGGGGAGTGGAACTTGGAATTGGCATTTGCATCATTGTTGGCATGCATAGGTTGGTTTGCATTGGGAAGGAATAATTTGGCTTGCATGACGAGGGCGTTTGTTGCTACATGAGATACCCAAGTTCTTCCCTTAAGGGAGTGCTTGTATTGCTGATTTTTTTCTGCTAAGAGAAATACCCAATGATGATTTGTATTCACTGACGTGTGGCCCTTCATCTATCTGTGATAACGTCCTTTCCTTTCCATCATACGTCCCTGCTTCACACATGTCTTTTTAGGGGCTCTTGGTACACGTTGGATATTATATTATTATTATAGAGTATGTCGTATACCGAGTGACGGGAGTACGATATTCTAATCCGTCGAACTACTCGGTATACCCTTTACATGTATCGTACCGGCTCGACCCTTGGATTCCCTTTCCCTGTTTCCTTGATTCAACATTCACATACACCTCCATGCTCAAGCTCTCATCCCAAGCCCTTGGATATATCAACCTCCCTTCATTAAACATTCATTCACATATACAAACACACCCACGCCCCTCACCCCCCACCAAACCGCCCATCCCCTCCCTCCCTCCCCGTATCCCTAACCTTCAAATTATACGTCCCCCTCAACCTCGGAAACGCCGTATCAAACGCCTCTCCCAGCGTCCAATTCTCAAACCGTCTCAAATGCCGCTCAAACACCGGATTAATCAACAACTCCCCGCCATCGGGGCTCCTGAGCAACGTATCCGTATCCTCGTACGGCCAATTCAGACTAATCGTCGTCGTAAACGGGATAAAGAAATCATCAAACAACAACCCCCCTTGCCCTCCCCCCTCTCCCTCCCCATCCACACCCCCACCCCCCTCCCGCGCCAACACCTCCCTCATCCTCGGAAACGGCAAATGATCAATCCACGCCGGATGCGAAACCTCCAACTGTCCCGGCGTCGGCCTCGCAAACGCGGGTAAAAGGGTATAATTCGCCAACGTGGGACTCACCTGCCACCGCATGACCAGGAACATGTAATACAGCACAGCCACCCGTTCCGGCAACGTGCTGATCCCGGGGAACGCCGCGAGGATGTCGGTGAACACTTTGGATAAGGGGTGCGAGAACACGCTTTGGGACGGGTTGAGCAGGGAGGATACGGAGGGGTATCGTGGCCCGATTACTTCCCGCGCTGGGACGCCTTCGCTGGCGCGTTGCCGGCGTTCGGAGAGGAAGTCGAGGAGGAGGGAGTCCAGGGGACAGGTTGGCGGGCTGTTTTTTAGGGGCGCGGTGTGGCCGATCCATGGGGAGGTTGGGTCCGGGTTTGTGGTTTGGGGGGTGGGGTGGGGGGCGTATTCGATGCGTTGTTGGTGTTGTTGCTGTGGTGGTTGATGTGGTTGTAAACTACCGTTTTCGATCGTGATGCTGTTTCGGGAGGGGATGGGGTTTGTTGTGGTGTTGTTGGTGCCGGCGTTGGCGTTCCAGTCGTGCTTCATGGGTAAGTGGTGGTATTCGGGACTGTCTTGGGGGCCATCGACACCGGTGTGCATCCTGCTCACGCGCGACGAGGGGTCGAGTAGGAAGTCTAGTTTCAGCTGCTCGCCGGCGCCGAGGTCGAGGCCATGTAGTAGGTCGTGCCGCTGCTGGTTGAGCATTTTGACTTGTGTGAAGCGTGGGCTCGGATGTGTCGTCTGGGCTTGCCATGATTGGTCTACCATGGTGGAAGCGGGAGAGGCGGCGCTGATGGGTGTAGAGGCATTATAGGTATGGCTAATGGGGAGAGAGGGCGACCGTTCCGTAGGTTGGATGCTCGGGATGTTGGTTAGAGGTGGCGTGTTGTAGGCTTCGACTAAGACGGGACTTATTAGTCTACTAGGTCTCTTTTTTTATAAAGATTCACTTCACGCAAAGACGAAGGCTGTGCATGTGAACCGACCTTGTGGACCAGATAACATAGGTTGTATCATAGCCATGATCGAAGCTAGACGGCTCTTAATCTCGGCATTCTCAGCCTCGACGGCCTCCTTCGCTCGTATCACGGCCTGAAGCTCTTGATATGGTTGTTGGGACGTCAATTCGTGTATCCGCCTTTCGAGTTTTTCGATCTGGTTTTTGGTACGTTCGCGGATGGCTCGCTGTGCCTCTCGGTCTACAGGGGGATTGTGGCATGGTTAGCAAGGTAATTTAAGTAGGTATATCTCTAAGAGGCACGTAAAGAAGAAGCATGAATAGTGCAACCAATACAGTACGGTTTACGAAAGCAGTAATAAATGCAGAACGTTGGTTGATGGTGGAGGATTTAGGCATAAAACGTAGCGAGGCTAGGAGCTATACCATTGGCTCTCTTCTTAGCAAGCTGCTCAGGCGTCAGGTTAGCCACGCCTCTCGAGCTGGCTCCGACCCGACGCTTCTTCGTTCTTTGATCCTCGAGCGGACCACCGCCTCCGGAGTCCGGAGACATGCAGCCATCCTCGTGGGAAGAGGAGGGGGGTCCGCCGTGTTTGTGGAGACGGCCCGACTCCTCGTGCTCGGAAGGGATCCCGTTGTTAATAACAGAACCGCCGTTCGCAGTGTCGGGACGATCGGTGATGGCGGCGGTGGTTGGGATGCTAGCAGAGATGGTGGGAGAAGTGGGGAATAAGGAGAAACCCGAGCCTGAGGCGGACGGGTGCATGTCACGGTGGTAGTAATCAATGATATGTTGTGTATCGTGGCATTGGTTAGGATGTTAGGTCTGTCCGTATATCCGGTAGACGATACTCGACTTTCCTGGTTGACTGGTCACTGGTCAAATTGCGAGGAATTTCCACATCTGACCCGCTTGGAAAACTCCACCGAAAGTGAATAAGATCGCCCAAATCTGCCAAATCTGCCAAACATGAATCAACAGAACCAAGTGGATCGCTAACAATTTCATTCTTACTCGAGTCAGCATAACATCCGATACTATAAGCCCCCTGCTCTCACCCCGATTGGTCAATGCTTCGTTATCCTAACCCCTATTTCCGCCATGTTGGATTCAAGTTACATATTGATTGTCACAAGCAAACATTTACTATACTAGACAATGATATCATACCCAGGGTTGGGAATTTCCTTCGGCATGCTCCATGTTTGTGTATTAATCTAAAGTGTCGATGCAAGGCCTGGGCTATTACGTAGCTCCTAAGGTGGCAGGGTGGGTCGCTTGCTTCTTCAACACGCCCATGACCTTTCCAATCACCATCAACGTATGTATGTCATTTTGACGAGATCGACAGCAGCTTTCTCGGGATGCACCTCTCGTCTTTCTCAATTACTGTTACACATCCTATAATAACTTGACTAGTCTGCTGAAGCTCTTGCGAGAGCTTCGTGGAGGTGTGGTGGGAACCGGTATCTCAGCTGGCTTGTATATGTCGTCAAGTCCATGCTGATCTGCTTGAGGTTGTCGCACATCATCCGTCGCGTACCCTCGTTGCCGCTGAATTGTCCGCTCATGAGACGCTCCCTCTGCCGAATACAACATGTGATCGTCCACATCAGTAAGTTGGGTACATTGATGGCAACTGTTCGCGACAGTCCCGAAAACGTAGCTGCGTAATGTCTGATCTTTGCCGGATCGCCGTTAGCATCGAGGGGTAGGATTTCGAGTGCTCGGATTTTCTACGGGATTCGTTAGTAAATATCTATAATCGTATGGGAGAAATAATCAGAAATACTCACGTCTAGAGCTTCAGGCCATTGGCTACCCTCCACCAAGACCTTGATGTCGCTCATCTGCAGAAGGATGTGGCAGGCAACCCGGTTCTGATCCTCGATCTTCGTGTAGAACATGGCGTCCTTCTCGTACATAGACATCATCGTCATGGCAAGCTGGATAGGATCGTCGATGGATGCTAAGCTCAAGCTGCTGCCTGGTTGCGCCTCGGGGTCCTTACCATCCGATCTAGGCTTAACCGGCATCAGGCGCATAGGATCCTCACCAATCTCGAGGGAAATAGCCTCGCTTAGTGCACGGCTCACTATGGTCACCACGCTGTCGTAGTCAGCAGCTAGATGGTACAACAACACCGCATCTGTTGTTCGGCCGTTCTCGTCGGCGAACCGGGCTGCCTGTAACGTGACCGTCTTGACGAAGTCATCTTCCTCTCGTAAGCCGATAAGCGAGGCGCGCTCTTCCACGAGACCGGTGATTCGGTGTCCGTCTGGTCGAATGTCGCCAATGAGTTTACTGAACTCTCTGCTCTCTAGAATAAGCTCTCTCAGAGCTACGTGGCAAAGCTCTGCTTGCTGACGTCCCGCCTCGCCGCCTAAGTCGGCATTTAGGCAGATCAATGTGATATAATCGACGGCAGAGGCAACGTCGGCAGCACGGAAATCGCGCGTGTAATATCCCAGCATACGACCAAAGCTTAGCTGCGGTCTCGAACGGGTGTCGTGAGATAGAAGCGAGTCGGCAGTGGTCCAAGGGTCCGCGGGGCGTATAAGACCGTAATACTCGAGGGCGATAGAGAAGTGGATCGCATCCACGTAAGAGAAAGCGTAAAGGTATGCGACGGCCTGCTCGAACATTCCCGAGAGGATCTGTAGGAAGAAGTACATGCCAAAGGAGCTATTGTCATCTTCGCTTGGTGATTTGGGGAAGTGCTTAAGACCAATTTCTCGTATACTCGCTCGCAGGTCCTGCAATCCGTACGACTCAGCCGCCACTTCGGTTGCCTTGTCGTTCTCACGAGCAAGGTTGAACTGGAGCCATATCCAATCTTCAATCTCCGTGTTAAGGCCATCGAGGCTGCGGTTGTTCACGTCGCAACGGCCGACGATCTTGTAACACGCCATGCGGAATGGGTCAATAGAGTTTTCCGGCGCATTGCGGGCTCGTTGGTTATACTCGTTGTTACAACGATCCTGCACCGCACGTCTCAAGCGCTTGTCGGGGCTACTGACATACTCGAGGAGGTATGACGCGAAGGTGCGGTCGATACTCCTGAATGTAGTAGATTGGGTCTTGACATAATCAGCTGCTTCGACAACCTTTCCGGATCGAAGTAGGTAGAACACGATAGCCCAGACGTACTCCCCGTCGACCGATTGTAATTCGATATTGTCGGGTACGAGATTCTTCCTGGTGTTTCGTAATCGAACGTAAGCCTTGATTTTACTGATCACATCCGGACGGCCACCCAAGTTAGCTTCGCGAGGGTGTTTTGCAATGAGATTTTCAACCTCCTGGAAAAACTTTCCTTCCAAGAAAGAATTAGCCCCGTTGAGAATTCGTTTTCTCATCTCTATTGAACCTGGAGACTTGTCATTCGGATCCAGGTATTTATCTTTATATTGGCGTTCTTTGGCTGTAGCATCACCCGCAAAGGTCTCCGCTTCCGGGTTCTCTCCCACGATGGCCATAGCAGCGTGATAGGCATCGACCAGTTGCTGAGCGTGTCTATCGCCAGAACTGCCAGCCACTTGTGCGAGCTCGTGTAAGATAGGATAGGGTTGTTTCTCGATACGGGCATGGTTGAGTTGGCGAACACGTTCGGCAAGCCTACCTTGCTTCTCCCTGAGGAAGCGATCGTCAAACGAAGCAGCACCGTTCAAAGCACCCGGGCTTCCGGCCGTCTCCTGAACGTCCGTGAACTCAGACTGATGAGTGCCAATCTTACTAGGAGTGCCAATGACCGATTTCTGTAGGTTCGAACGTCCAAATGTACTAGCCTTGAGTCCGGGGGCTGTGGATCGTGAAGCCTTAGCTGTTCGTCGCGATCGGCCAAAGCCTACTGCATGCGATTCTCTACCGCTGGCCGCCGGTTGTCCGTCCGCAGGTCCAGCATCTTTGGTCTTGATACCAAAATGTTCGTAGATTCTCATCCTCTGAGCCTCCCACTCCATATTAATGTTGTCTTCGAGGAAATTATCGAAGTCCCTAGTTGATCTTTCCAAACCATCGGCAATCATGCTTAAGGTCGTCTTCTTCTGGATGTTCGAGAGATAGGCATCAACATCGATATCTGAGGCAACGGGGGCAGGTGCAGGCCGTTCGACGCGGCCACCGATTCGAACATCGAAATCGTTCAAGTCTCTCACGGCTGATGCTGGCTCGACACCAGAAGCCGCGAGAATATACCGAGCTCTATCGTGAGCTACAGGATCGGCTTGCGGGCCAAGTTTTCGAAGGCGTTGGCGAAGATCTCCTAAGCCAAGCTGAAGGCTGGGAAGGTCTTCGAGTGGAGATGATTCGTTTCCTTGCTTCTTGCTCTTCGAGAGTAGGCTGTCGAAGTACCCTGTGGTGTTTCCCTGTGGCAGCGTGCTAGCATTGAGCTGGTTAGCCCCAAGAATAGACGAGGCTCCTTGAGGGAGATTGTTTGTTGACTGTCCAAGTCCAAGGCCAAGGCCACCAGCGGGTTGCTGGTTCTGCAGAGTCGCGCCAAACATGCTTCTTTGCTGAGGCTGTTGTTGCTGTTGTTGCTGTTGCTGCTGCTGAGGTGTTTGAGGTTGTGCCGTGTTGAGTGAAGCGAATAGACTTCCTCCTGGCCGAGGTTGTTGGGTGTTCGCTGTCGCGCTGGCAAGATTGGCAAATGGACCGGTAGCTTGAGGTTGTTGAGGCTGTTGTTGCTGGGTTTGAGTGGGATTATTACTGAACAAACTGCTGCCAAGCTGCGGTGGCTGCTGCTGTGTATTTTGCTGGGTAGTGCGTGCAAAAAGAGAAGAGGTAGACTGAGTAGGCTGAGCTTGTTGACCAGTAGCTGTGTTGGCTGCTGGATTAAGACTTCCACCAAACAGACTGCTTGCAGGAGCCTGCCCCGCTGGTTTTGCACCGAACAGCGACATATTGAAAAGGAAAAATGATAGGTTGTCACTGTTTGTAGATAGTGGGGGGTTCTGATGTTGCTGCAATTGGCAGCAGAAATGATAACCCGATACCAAAGAAATCAGGTATTGTAAATTGTGAGATCGCGGATGGATTTGTTAGGAAGCTGGAAATTTCCTAGCAAGGCTGAAAAACAATCAACAGCTAGCGCACAGACCAACACGCGCCAACTAAATCAGGTACAACCGGTAGTCTTCTGGGTAGCTCTCTCCACTGTAACCAGCACAGCGTAAGACCCAAAGTCCCAGATCCATCAAACATTCCGATGTTATCTTATCGCTAATATTGTATTCTGTACTGTATCAACTTCAGAATTCCATAACCATCTGGAAAATATTTATAAATCATAATGACTCACTCAAAACTGTGACTGCAGTCTCACGGCTACTTGCGTACATATATTTTACTTATTGACATTGGATCTTTTTAATTTTTAGGTACACAATGTGATACAACGCGGTATCTAGGAAACACTCAGCCAGTTGGAAATGGAAGCCAACCTGTCTATCCCTAGATAACCACATCAACGTGTCAATTCAACACCAAAAGCAAACAAAGTCAAACATCGGGTTTCATCGCAAAAACGACCAGTCTATCATCATTATACTCATAAGTATACTGGACAATGATATATTCTCTCTATCCCACCGATGCCGCGCCTGTCCTGTCAACAAGTCCAGTCCATTAAAGGTACCCATCTAACTCACAAACAAACCCCCAACCCCTTTTAGTTTACCCAAGTGAGTTTAGTTACCTCCTATTTTCCGAATTCGTGGTCCCAGGTGCTGGTAGCCGCATCGATCTTTAGACGGTAGTCCCGTTGGGTACGGCACTGCTCCAGGAAGACCTCGTATTTGGCATCGAAGAGCTTCTTCTCGTTGGCATCGGACCCGGGCTTAACGAGTCGGCCAGGTTTGCTCATGCGATCCATGATAGTCCAGAGGTTCTCCGTCTTTCCATCGTTATCCTCGCTAGCTGCCTTCGCACCAAGCATGGCTGCTCCATGCACCACGGCAGCGTGGACGTAGCGGGGAATTAGCACCGGCTTGCTGCAGACCGTCGCGATAAGGTCCATGAGCATGTCATTCTGGCACTGACTGCCGGACATGAAGATGGTCTGGATGTTGTGACCAGAAGTGTTCATGGCCTCAATGATTTGACGTGTTTGCAGGGCGATGAACTCCATTGTGGCATAGTAATATAGGGCAAGACCGTCCACGCTAGAGTCCGGGCTGAGACCGATCACCGCGCCCTTCATGTTGGGATCCGCGATGGGCGACCGGTTACCCCATAAGTCGCCATAGAAAAAGAAGTGTCGGCCAAGATAGGAGACTGTGGGAGCACTAGTCTTCTCAGCCAACTCCCTAAGGTGGCTATTCATGTAGTCATAGATGTTCATATGCATAGCTTCGGCAAGAGGTATCACTTCTTTGTGTGCTGGGTGCGTCTCTATGACGTGCCTTAGAAGCTCACCCGTCGCCGACTGACCGCCCTCTGCTAACCAATAATTAGGTAAGAGTACGTCACGGTAGGGTCCCCATACTCCATTTACGAATACAGGCTTCTCGGACATGGCAAGATGGCAAGTAGATGTACCAGCTACGGCGGCAAGCCGAGTAGAGGCTTGGGCAAGATCGTTCGCGGGAGCGCTCTCATCGGCGTGACCATACTCAGTGTCAACCTTCGCTCCTACGGTACCAACCCAACCAGCATAAGCATCAATGACACCGCTACCTACAGCGATGCCAGCGTGCAGGCCTAGCTGCTTACTAGCGTTTTCGGATAGGTGGCCGACAAGCTCGCCAGCACTAAAGTATTTACCATTCTAGAAACGAATTAGTGGAACAGTTCAACCCACAGCGAGCTACTGGGGACCGGGAAGAGCTTACCACTCCGTTTACTCCACCCATGCGCCTGAAGTTGTCTTTAGCTAGATCTCCAAGCCCAATCTCGTTGAAAAAGTCCTCTTGCCAACCCTTCTCACTTCCATCTACACCTATTGGGACGTAGCCCTGCTTGCATACGGTGCTACAGAAGCTTCGATTCTCGTTGCCCGTGGCCAGGTGGGTCAACGCATCAGACAAGTCGTAGAACTTGCAACGGTTGAAAAGCTCCGGGGGCATGTTGTTCTTCAGCCATAGCACTTTGGGGATCTCCATCTCAATGCTCATCTTGCCTCCAACATAGCGTAGTAGGTTATGGTCGGTGGCGTTGATCTTGTCAGTCTCTTGGACGGGACGATGGTCTAGCCAAAGGATAACATTTCGGTCGTGGCCATCGTTCTCGAAGTCTGGGCCGGTGACTGTGATAGGTAGGTCGTCATCTTCGGAGAAGACTGCTAGGGAGCAAGTAGCATCGAATCCAATACCCTTGATGTGGTCGATGTTAACGCCAGACTGGTGTACGACTCGCTGAACACAATGACAAATGCAGTGCCAGATATCCGTGGTCGATTGTTCCTAGTTATTATGTCAGTTGGTTTTGTTTTATTGGTTAAGACGGGGACAAAGCAAGAAGTGGTAGCTTAGATATATATAAGAGGACGTACATAGTAGCCTTGTTGTGGCTGCCATAGCTTAATAGCTTCCGAGGCTAGGGCCTTAATATCTCCGGACGAGTCTATTAGACAAGCACGAGCAGAACCAGTGCCTACATCGATACCAATATAGTGATCCTGCATGGTATATGCTGTTAATTAAGAATGTTCGAGTTACTTCATAGGAAATATGAACGACTGTTCGTTCAGGGAACGCACAATGTCTTCAAAATGGATTATATTCCGGGTACTAAATAGGAAAAGGAAAGCCTTTGTGTCAGAACCTGGCTTTTAACTCAGTCATACAGACGATTCAGGACATTACTAACTCCATCGTGGGGGAAATAATGCCCTCAACTATTTAGCCACCTCAGGGAGAGCAGGCGTAAACGAGTGAATAGAGTTATTAATCGCACAAGAAACTTTGATCCGTCCAATTGTATGTGTCACCAGGGTTGTACACGATACGCCGTCAACGATACACCGATACACGATACCTCTCTTCCTTGAGGCCTTTCCTTCCGTCGTGCCAATTGTGTCGAAGGAATCGTGTGTGTGTCAGCTTAAAGGAGGAAGTTCGGGGAACAACCAAATATTCACGCAGGACAAGAACGGACGATACGGGAAAATGCACTTCTGTGGGAGGGCAGGAGTAGAAATCTAGAAACTAGAAAATCGATTAAAAAAAGATAAAAATGTTCAGTGACCCTCGTAACGACCGTAGCTGCTTAGGTGTGAGTTGCTCTAAGAAGCTCCCCCCTTGCTACCTGCTACTACCTGCTACTACCTAACTGCTAGGCAGGCTAGGTAGGCACTCTACTGTACCTACCCTCCTTGAACCTTCCTGCTACTATACCTGCTATGCAGTAGCGAGCAACTAGCAGGCATCTAAAGTCTGGGAATGGCCTGGGCAAGCCTGGACCCTGGGCGAAGTAGGTGCCAATCCTACCCAGTTGCAGGGTACACCGCGATACTCTAGTGTCGTCACAGGGTGGGGATGGTGGGGAAGAGCTGCACCAAAGCCACTAAAGCCAGCAATACACACAGCAGTACCCCGCCAATCTTTGCCCTAATTCAATCGAGCTCTCCAGAGGTCTGCCCTCCGCGCGGGATAAGGTTGACTAGCACCTCCTAGCACCAGGTACCTCTCCGTACCGACTCAGAATCCCTTTCAGCCATCCAGAAACCACCAAAGTCTCACACCTGATAGGCATCGTGACTTTTGTTGGGTGACAAACCGCTCCAACCACTCCACAAATCATTTTTGGGTGAGCCGACAATAACGTGGGAGGCGAGAGAAGAAAAATTTTTAATACGAATATTGGAGACACTCGTCCGTCCTTACCGTCTGGAGGTCTTGTCCATCTGTCATCTGTCCTGTCTGTCAGAGATCGCACTAAGCGGAATCCACATTACAGCTGTACAACAGGGTTGCTTGGGATCCAATCCTTGGATGTGATGTACATACTACGTCCACCGCCAAACTTGGCTCCGGGAGTTTGCAGGAAGTCCGGTCTTAGGAGGATTGTCACGATGATCTTTTGGTGTGGCAATTCCGCCACTCTCCAGACCGTCTGGGCAATTATCGAGCTAGGTATCTGGGTTGTCTAGCCCTCGTTCGTATGTATCCATACGATACATGTGTACTTACATGTAGGCAAGACGACTGTCCGGTCTGTTTGGTTCGTCAAACCCCCCTCCGCAAGACTGCCGATCAGCCAACATATCGAGTTAAAAGCCGCAAGCCAAAAAAGCAGGGCAGAGCAGGCAAAGGTTGCTTTCCTCGCGTGAGGGAATAGTAATTAATATGTAAATTTGAAATCGGAAACATTTTGCAGAAACGGACTGACTGGGTATATCTACGCGATCGACTCCCCATTCCGAGGTAGGAAACAAATTTTCAGCTAACCCAAGCCACGCGCCCGATGCCCGGAACACCTAGATAATCGTGTAACCATCGTGAAAGTCATCGACCTCGCCATTGCGATCGTAGGAATTAATAGTCTGTGCATATTTCCCATCCCGAACCCTTGTCCCTCTCTCAAAGCAGACCTGCAAAACACCCCCTGTGAAACTCCTGTCCGCCTCCTCCCCTATTCTGCATCACCCGGTTGATCCTCAACAAGTATTACCACCTTCAAGGTTGCCGCGTAAGCTTCGCGGATAGCGCACGCCATGCTGTGTCGCATTAGCCATTATTCAATCAAATACACCATCGTCGTGTGACGGAAACAACTCACCAAGTCCTACTGATGTCCGCCACGACTGCGCTTAGTCCCCAGTGGGAACACCATGCCCGCGCCAAGACTTCATTGTCGCGATTGCCAAATGCTTGGATTACTAGCACTCTCTCCTCGTCACCATCGTCAATATGTTGTGTTGTTTTACTACCGCCAACCGCTATAGACGCAGTGCTCCTTTTCTTGTCAATAGGTTTACCCCAGTCGAGAATATCCACCACTTCGTCGACAGTACGGAGGGTATGGACATAATCGAAGAATAGAGGATGCGGTCCGTCAGAACAAGGCCAGGCGCTGATGAACGAGACATCGAAAGTCAGATGAAGCGGCCACGACACGCCGTCAATGGCGAACTGTATCGACGCATCGAACCATTTGGGATTCGCATCTAGCTTATCGGGGACCGTCTTAAGATTGATTTGCTCGATTCGTATCGTATCGACGATGTCGTCCATGTCTGGTGTAAGTAGATCATAGTCTCTAACGGGGTAAACTCTAGAGGGCGGTCCCAAGGGGTCCGATCTGTCGCTCATCGATGTTACGTCTTCTGGGGTTAACATATGATGCCGTGGTTTTTTGGTGCGGATGCGGGCGATTTGAGTGCGATTTAAATCACTCGTGGGCCGAGCAGGGCCAACCCATCCGGCGACCTCGAGACAGGTTGGCGCAAGCACTTTACCAACAATACAGGTCGAAGCCCAGTAGGTATATCCCTTGCGATACTGGAAACCACAGTGAGGATGAAGGTGCGTGAGTAAGGCAAGGTCGTCCGTTGCCTCATCAGGATCGATGTCGATTAGGGAGTTCATGATGAGATAAGGGAATGTTGGCTACAAAACAGTTAGCAGGTTTAACAATACCATGAAAGGGATCATATAGTAGGCGCTTACTCCTGGTAGAACCAGACCACTAAAGAAAGCCATAGCGTGCGAACTAACAGGCATTAAAGAGCCCTCCGCATCTCTCTCCCTCAGCTCGTCCAATGTTTCATGGAGGTTCGGCCACTTCATCATCTGGGCGAATCTCTTCAACATCTTCACCTGTCTCTTTCTCAGCTTGAACCGCAGTTTAACCTGATCGGCGGTTTCGCCGTATTTCTCGACACGGACGAAATCCCTCCACCGTCTAGCAAGTGCTAGATTCCATTGGATCTTAGGTGGAATCTGCGCAATAAGTCTCTCCTTGGCCCAATCTGTATGGAGCCTCGAATTGATTCGCAACTCCAGCTCGAGACTCAGGAGTAGCTGGTAGAAGAATTTATGGTATTGCTGTTGATTTTCCGGGCTGTTATCATAGATGTACTTCGTCACAACCTGGTTCTTTGGATTCGAGAAATCAATCCAATCCGAACCCGACAGGCACATAACCAAATCCATGATCTGTCGTTCCATCGTCCTGTGCGGATTGAAAACCTTATCAGGATCTCGGAGGAATCGTTTGTATATACGATATAGTAAATCGTCGTCGTCGTCTTCCAAACCACCTTCCAAATCCTTCAGTCGATCAAAAATCTGAGTTAAACTAACTTCTCTTGGGAGGAAGCCAGGATCACGAAGCCCGATAAGAGGCGGTACAGCACTGAAGAGACCGGCCCAGTGATTCAGAGTAATGGTGCCAGGGAGAGTTCCATATCCAAATGCAAGGCTTGGTTGTTCTAAGGTCTCCCAGGGAAAGTTCGGAGGACCAGAACCCTGTATTTTCAAGGTCGTAAGTTGGGTCATCGCGTTATGCTGGTTAACGGTGTCTCCCTCATCGCCATGATTGCCCGCCGTTGTTGTAAATAAACCATAATAATGTTCCGAAGCGTGAGGGATGGGACGTTTGTGCCCTTTGTGTGCCGGGACACCTCTTGAGACAAGTTCCATAGCGTGGCCGAGTGTAAGTTCTTCCTCGCTAGACATACCGGATGGCGGCCATTCCGACAAGGGCGCCGGCTCATATCTGTGGCCATTTGGCTGTTCCCTACCCTTGCCTTTAGAATCACGGGGGTCCGGACGGCGAGGTCGTCTGCGGGACCCAGTGCTAGCGAGTTCAGGTCGCTCATACCGCCGTCTTCGAGAACCTACATCACCGTCGCTAGCCCGTCTTGAAGGTGATTGCTTCTCCTATATAAATTTTAAGTAAATATTCAACTTATATTGTTGTTGGTAAGAAATAAGAAAGTGCATACCAGTCGGTTAGTTCCCTGAGCGTTGCTAATCCTGCGGATCAGACCGCTCCATAGCCCTTTCTTCTTTGGTTCGGCCATAGTTGTGTCGCATCAAGTTTTGGACCGGCATAAAGAAAAAAAAATAAAGTGCAGGATTATTTGAGAATAATCTCAATATGTCTTGATAAGGTTCCTGAATGTCGACGTGAATTACTTACGCGTAAGGCCTTGTGGCTGGGCACACTGCACCTTACGAACGGCAAATAACAAACAAGGAAATTGACCTCGAGGTAGACTTCGGTACTCGGAGTCAATAAACTCACTTAGCGATTTTATTGCTGTCTCGTATGACAACAACCTTGGGGGAAAATCGGACTGATATCGTAGAAGCGCAGAAATGATAGATTCAATTGTTTAATGTTGGTTTGCGATTTGAAAAAAGGTACGGAACTAAATAGACTAATAAGTTCTAGTTGTTGCCGTGGCAGGAGAAAGATTTATTGTGTTTTAGGTCCGTCATGTACATGAACGCACAAAACTAGAAGCTGCAGGTGCGTCATATGCACAATCCAGTTAGGAAGGGTCCATCGACGCCAGCCTCAATGCGCTTGCTGCATCATGCCTGAAACGAGTCATCAATCGTATTCAGTGGACTGATTGGATCTCAATCAGTAGAAGAAGGAACAACCATTCAGGAACATACGTCGCTGCTATAGATATAGGTGGACAAACCAATCACTTACATAAACAGCCACTATCTGCACTATCCACTTACAGCACTTACAACATTTGAACAACAGCTCCCTTCCTTCATCTTCAGTGCTGGCAAGTTTCCATTTGTGCAACTTTTTTGTTTCGTATATTAACGCCTTTGCTCAGATCGTTGAAGCCCGAGGACTTCTTATCCTGCAATCAAATTCTTCTTCGGTATTTATGCTCTCAATATACTCATGACTATACATACTATGCACGCAACAATTTTTACGAATCCGATACCTCCGATACCTGGGCGTCAACCATACCACTAATGCTGAATACAACGAACAAATTTCTTACACATATTGGCTTCCTTCAAGTAACACAAGTATCTACCACCGTTAGCTTCTTTGCTTTTCTATTCTACAGTAACTCGCCAATCGGAAACATCGCTTCCGTTTCATTCAATAACGGCTTATCAAATTTCGCAAACGCAGCCCGGTACTAAACGCACATAGTCAGCAAACGATTTCTTAACGAGGGGAAAAAAGAAAATCTCATAAAGGGCAGTAGGTCTTACCGAAATCACAAAATTCAATATCAGAGCGAACATCAAAGCTGCGCTAACAGCCAGAGGCCCGATCATATTATCGAAGTCCTTGCCACTACGCTCCATGATCATGTCGCGACGCTTGTGTAACATGACATATCCCCAGGTCCCCGCCATGACGGCGATTATAACATAAGCAATACCCATACACTCTGCGACGAAGTTCTCTCCCGCTGCCGTGTATAGACTGATTGCCAAACTGCCTAATAGGATACATATATGCTGCCACTTGAGGAATGTGCGCTCGTTTGCGAGCCACACCTTTGGCTCGACCTGTAGCGGACCTGCGTTTTTGAGCCAGACCTCGGGCTTCGTAACGCCCTCTGGGAGCTGCGCCCGTTGTCGCTTAGCACGCGAGTATCGTGTCAGAGAAAAGCCGGGGAAGACGGACGAGAGGGTACCGTAACCTCTTTGCTGTGTTGCACCCTCTTCATCACCCGGCTCGACGTCTTGATTTACGGCGGTCGGAGGTAGAGAGGCCCTGGCGTCCCGAGCATCTCTGGCAGCTCGCTCCGAGAGATACGACTTTCCGACTGGAGAACTCGTTGCAGGCTTGTAGGAACCCATCTTGGCGGCAGCAGCAGCAGCACCGCCGCCTAGGAAACTGCCTACGACCATTGCATCCTCAGCCTGCTGCGCTTTGCGCTGTTCTTCTTCATCGTGTGCCGTCTGCGGGTCTTTTCGGATATCCGTTTCGAGATCACTAAGCCACAGCGGCAGGTGATTAACATAATCCTCGAAGAGAGATGCGACACCGTGCACAAATTTCGAAAACCTCGGAGCTGCATGGACGAGATGAGAGACCATCAAATCTTCTATCCACCTAGGCCGCTTGCGACCGCCTTCCTCCTTCAGTTTGATCTCCAAAAGTGCATATGGGAACCTCGACACCTCGCTCTGATTTATGTTTTTGAATGGATACGACATGTTACCATTATCAATGTCTATTCGGTGCCACTCCTGAGGATCGCGACACGGCCGGTCACGATCTAATGTGTCCTCACGAATGAAGGCGATATCGGTATCAATTGATATTCGCACACGGTCATCAGAAGGTTTCTGGAACGCCGTACGGGTATAATTGGCTCTTAAGATCGGTTCGAGCTTGCCCTTGATAATGAAGTCCTGGATCTCTCCCGCAGTAGTCTTGAAAGATTCGATAGCTTCGGCTGTTTGGCCTTGTCTTTCCATTTTGTGGACCGTCTTTTCCATTTTGTAATCCCCATCGATGAATTGTTTGATATATTTGTCCTTGATGTGAAACTTTTTCTCCTCGCTAATGCCATTCTCGTGGACTATCTTTTGCTCAAGGACAATATCCGGTCTTGAATCCAATTGACCATACCAGCGCAGTCTCAAGGATGAGGCGTCTACCTGGCGATCTACCTTGATACCGTATATTTCAAATTTAGAGTTATCGAAGTACACAGACGTGATCTTGGGGTCGTTGTTTCCGTCGGGTTCTTTTCCGGCTTGCTGGGTGTACACAAGAGAAGGCAGGTGTCGCAAGATGGCAGTTTTAACCTCAAGGAGATTGTCGGAGTGTATCCAAACTGGAAATAGCATGTCAGGTTAAACGTAGATTACAAAATGTCTCGGGTCCTTACATTTATGGGCGGTGTAACGCTCCCCATTGTGCACCTCTTGCGGGTTCTCCAAATCCAAATCTAGAGGCTGTCGCTGTTCGCTCTCGTCAAGGTTTTGGTTTATGGCATAGTACATCAGGGACAGCTTCGTCAGCAGCGGCGAATACGCCTGCTCCGAGTTGAAACCGCGCTCTGACAAGCTGACCCGCATCATGGGCCGCACCTTATACCGGTCGCCACGCTTGCGATCGTGCTTCTTGGCTATCTTGAGGAAGCCCGTGTAATTGGCGCTGCTGTACTTCTTCAATTCCTTGACCTCGTTCGTGACGGAGTCGAGCTCGCTCTTGAGCTCCTTCAGTCGCGCAGTCGTGATGTCGCTCTTCGGCTTTTCCTTATCGTCGGTCGAGGGCGCCATGTCCTTCAGCTTCTCGAAGGCTACCTCCGCGCGCTCTTTCAGAGAGGCGACGATCTTTTCTTGGAACTGCGCGACCTTCTCGAGCTGCACGTTGAAGATCTCGTCGCAGAACTTGTTCTCGTCGTCTTCGGTCCAGGGCACGTCCTCGTCTTCTCGTCGGTCTTCCCGCAGCATCGTCTTCAGCTTCGAGTAGTCGATGTACTGGTCCTTCCATGGTGGGTAGATGGACTCCCGTAGAGTCTTTCCGAACCGCATCTTGGAGTCTTCGTGATTTGGAGGGTTTTCTTCGTTCTTCTCTTCTTCAATTGATCGTGAGGTTGGGGAAATTCGTATTGGAGTATTGGCACAGATAAGGTAGGTATGTAGGTATGTACCTATGAAATCAAAACAACAGAGTGATATACAATTAACCCAAGCGAATTAGGTCGGATACAGACAAAATTATATGGAATATGTATACAGAATATGCGGTCAAGTGTCAAACTGACCGATTTGTCTTGGAAGACGAGTATAAGTTAAGGAAATTTTGGTGGAAGAGGATGGTATTATTCTGCACAGTACAAATTATGAATCTGCTTTGTCGCAGCTCTTTCGTCACGACTTTGTTACCGGCGGGGCAACGAAACTTATCCTAGCTATTACCTAACCCTTGCTTCCTGGATCGATCCAGCTCTAAACGCGAACTACTACTCTAGAGTCTATGCTACCAACGGCATAGTTCATTACGAAAGGAAGACCATTCTTGCCAATAAGCTCTCGTATTTATAAAACGTGCTTCTAGAGCATTGCGGCTTAAACGACACTAAAAGAAAAAAAAAATCCGACTATGAAGAATACTAAATGGCCACATGTGAATTACTATATGAAAAGACATCTTCATAATGAAACCGAGGGAAAACCAATACTAAAGACGAAATCTACGCACATTATAAACGACTATAACATTTTATGGAATGATAATGTTTATACGAATCTTGAATAAGATCCTTCTCATATCAAAATAAACACAGTACCAAAACCCCCATCACAATTCATCAAGCATCAAGACATATGTAAAATACACAATATATATTCGCCTAACTAGAGTATCATATATACAACCCGTACACTTTCGTAAACAAATAATAACTCCATGCTATCATATCAAACAAGAAAAGATGACTGACATAAAAAGAGGTATTCTGTTTTTCCGAACCGCCAACGAACATTCTCGCCCCTTTTTCGTGGTATCGTAAATCAAATCGTAACAGCAGCGAGCCTGTCCAAAAAAATCTAGCTTTTGACATAGCTGTACATGAACTTCATATCAATTTCGTTGTCAACAAAACTTTTGTTTTTTTACGCCGCGACGACGCTGAAAATCTCCTGTGCCGTTTGCTTAATGATGCCACCGGTGACAGGTAGATTGGTGTAGCGGGAGAGGAAAAGGTCGACTTCGCGAGCAGCTTGTCGTCCTTCGTTGATACCCCTGGATAATGTTGTTAGTTTATGTTAGTTGATAGAGGGAATAATAAGGTAGCTTACCAAACAATTAATGACTGGCCACGACGGCAATCACCAGCGGCGAAAATGCCAGGGACGTTGGTGGCATATGAACCAGCAGGCGTCTTAACATTCTTGCGGGCATCCTTCTCGATATCCTCGCCAAGTACTCGGGCCTCGGGACCAAGGAAACCCATGGAAAGAAGGACAAGATCGGCAGGGAAGAACTGCTTTGTATCTTCAAGCTTCTTCATATCCCAACCGCCGGTAGCAGACTTAGTCCACTCGACGCGAATAGTATTGATACCCTTAACGCGTCCCTCGCCATCATCGACAAACTCCTCGGACATGATACAGTATTCACGAGGGTCCTTGCCCATGTGCTGAGCCACTTCCGTGTGGCCGTAGTCAACACGGTAGATACGGGGCCACTGTGGCCAGGGGTTATCGCGGCCACGCTGTGGTGGAGGCTGCGGTAGAAGTTCGAAGTTGATGACCGATTTCGCACCATGACGGACCGAAGTACCAATACAATCGTTTCCAGTATCACCGCCACCAATAACTATAACATCCTTGTCCTTAGCAGAGAGGTAGGCGCCATCGGCTAGCTCAGAGTCAAGCAGAGACTTGGTGTTCTTGTGTAAGAACTCCATGGCAAAGTGGATGCCTTCAAGGTTGCGACCCTTGATCGGAAGGTCTCGGGCAACAGTAGCACCGGTAGCAATGACGACGGCGTCATGGTTAGCCTTGAGGACTCTCAACGTGATATCCTCTCCGATAGTAACGCCTGTCTTAAACAATATACCCTCGGCAGCCATGAAGTCTGTCCTACGTTTGACAACACGCTTATCAAGCTTCATGTTGGGGATGCCGTACATGAGCAAGCCACCAGCCCGATCAGCACGCTCGTAGATAGTAACCAGGTGACCGGCTCTGTTCAACTGATCGGCACAAGCAAGACCTGCGGGACCGGAACCGATGATAGCAACCGTCTTGCCAGATCGGACCTTAGGTGGTCGTGGTACCATCCATCCCATCTCAAAGCCACGGTCAATAATAGCGCACTCGATTGACTTGATACCAACGGGGTCTTCGTTAATTCCAAGCACACAAGCACCCTCACAAGGAGCAGGGCAAACGCGGCCAGTGAACTCGGGGAAGTTGTTAGTCATGAGTAGACGGTTAAGAGCATCTTGCCATTGGTTCTGGAATACCAGTTCATTCCACTTTGGAATAATGTTGGAGATCGGGCATCCTGTCTCGGATTGGCAGAAGGGGACACCACAGTCCATGCATCGAGCTGACTGGTACTTGAGTTCGTCTTCGTTTAGACGTTGAGAAAGCTCGGCCCAATCCTTAGTCCTGGTCTTGGCGTTGCGATACTTCTCGGATCGTCGCTGATACTTCATGAAACCCTTGGTCTTGTCAAGAACAAGAGCACGCTTCTTCTCGGACGCATTGTCACCAACTGTTTCTTCGATATCTTGGAGTTTAGCAGCTTTCTCTTCCTTCTTCGCCTGGACACCAGACACGATTGGAAGGTTATACTCAGCGCGCTTAGCCTCGGCAGCCTTAGCGGCCTCCTCTTGAAGGACCCGCTTGTAGTCAACCGGAAGGACCTTGACGAAGCGTGGGAGCGCCCTGTTGAAATCGACAAGGATACGTGCAGCCAACTCGGATCCAGTGTAATGGTGGTGGTCTTCGATGAGGCCACGCAGGAAAGCAATTTCGGTAGGATCATCAACCTCAGAAGCTTCAACCATCTCCATGTTGAGTTTGGATATGAAGTCTCCATGGATATCGAGAACGTAGGCAATACCTCCCGACATACCAGCGGCAAAGTTGCGACCTGTGTTACCTAGGATAACAACACGACCACCAGTCATGTACTCGCAACCGTGGTCACCAATACCCTCAACAACAGCCGTAGCTCCTGAATTTCTGACAGCAAATCGCTCGGCTGCAACACCTCGGAAGAAGCATGTACCGCTGGTTGCTCCGTACAAGCAGACGTTACCGATCAAGATATTCTCCTCTGCCTTAAACACAGCCGACCGAGGGGGGTAGATAATGAGTCGACCACCAGACAGACCCTTACCGACATAATCGTTGGCATCACCTTCCAGCTCTAACGTGATACCAGGAGCAAGGAAGGCACCGAATGATTGACCGGCTGAACCCTTGATGTTCACATGGACCGTGTCCATGGGTAAACCAGCTTCTCCATAACGTTTGGATATCTGGTACGAAAGCGACGTACCCATGGCACGATCCGTATTAACAATATCACACTCAATGCGAGATGGAAGTCCCTTATCCAGGGTCAACTCGGCTTCGGAGATAAGCTTATTATCTAGTCGCACGTGGAGACGGTGGTCTTGGCGGCGGACATGGAAAGTGGAAACTCCGGGTCGGAGCTTATGGGCAGGAGTAAGGATAAGGGAGAGATCAATGTTAGATGTCTTGTTAGTTCGGAGATCATCCCGGACCCTGAGGCACTCGACGTGTCCTACCATTTCGTTGATAGTTCGGAAACCGAGCTGAGCCATGATCGCCCTGAGCTCGTTAGCGACATAGTAGAAGAAGTTGATCACATGCTCAGGTGTTCCGGTGAACTTCTTTCGCAGTTCAGGGTCTTGTGTCGCGATTCCGACGGGGCCTGGTAGCAGGAGTCAGTAATTAGAAGAAAAAAGGAGAGGGAGAAAATGAAGAAATTTTGGTATGACATACATGTATTCAAGTGACACTTCCGCATCATGATACAACCCATAGCAATTAGAGGAGTCGTGGCGAAACCCCATTCCTCAGCACCAAGCAGACAGGCGATAGCAACATCGCGACCAGTTCGTAGCTGTCCGTCGGTCTGGACCACGACACGTCCACGTAGATCGTTCAAAACCAAGGTCTGGTGTGTTTCGGCAAGACCAAGTTCCCACGGGAGACCAGCATATTTGATTCCGGTCCATCTACTAGCACCAGTGCCGCCATCATGTCCGGAAATGAGAATATGGTCAGCCTTAGCCTTGGCAACACCGGAAGCGACAATACCAACACCTGTCTCGGATACGAGCTTGACTGAGACACGAGATCGGGGGCTTGAGCATTTGAGATCGTAGATGAGTTGTTTCAAATCTTCGATGGAGTAGATGTCGTGGTGAGGAGGAGGTGAGATAAGACCGACACCGGGGGTGGAGTGACGAGTTCGGGCAATAGATTTAGAAACTTTGTGTCCAGGGAGTTCACCACCTTCACCGGGCTTGGCACCCTGTGCCATCTTGATCTGAAGCTCATCGGAGTCGGCAAGGTACGCTGACGTTACACCAAATCGTCCGGAGGCGACCTGCTTGATGGCGGATCTCATAGTATCACCGTTCGGCATCACTTGGGATCGCTCGGGGTCCTCACCACCTTCACCGGTGTTGGACTTGCCGCCTAATCGATTCATAGCAACGGCTAGGGTAGAGTGAGACTCCATGGAAATCGAACCATAAGACATGGCGCCCGTGCAAAATCTCGTAACAATAGCGGTCCACGGCTCAACTTGCTCAATAGGAATCGGGTTGCATTCCTCAAACTTGAAGTCAAGCATACCACGAAGAGTGCAAGCCTTGATCTGCTCATATTCCGAGCGCGAGTAAGCCTCATACGACTTGTCGTTCTTGGTGCGGACCGCATCCTGGATATTCGCGATGGAAGTCGGGTCGTTGATATGGGCTTCGCCACCATCACGCCAGTGGTACTCGCCGGACTCGGGTAGACCTGGTACTCCAATAGTTTGGCGCGAGGGGAAACCACGTTCATGGAAACGGAACGCATCCTCAGCAATGAGTTCGAAGGTAAGACCCTTGATACGGGAAGCTGTTCCTCTGAAGCATCGCTCAACAACCTCATCGTCAACACCAAGTGCTTCGAAAATCTGAGCACCCTTATAACTGGCTAGGGTAGATATACCCATCTTGCTCATGACCTTGAGGATACCACCATCGCAAGAGTGCTTGTAGTTAGCGATGAGGGTATCATCGGAAAGCTTCTTCCTGATCAACCCCTCACGGTTGAGCTTCAGGATACACTCCATGGCAAGGTAGGGGTTGACAGCATCGGCACCGTAACCAAGTAAGACACACATATGGTGGACTTCACGAGCCTCTGCAGTCTCGATCACAATAGCCGCCATTGATCGCCATTTGTTACTAACAAGGTGGTGGTGAACCATACCTGAAGCCAAGAGCGATGAAACAGCAACACGGTCAGTAGACGTCTTTCGGTCGGAAAGGACAATAATTCTATCCCTGGCCTCGATAGCCGCAGTAGTTTCATTACAGATGAAATCGAGGTGCTTCATGTAGCCAGCAACACCCTCCGACTTGGGGAATGTGAGGTCAATAGTCTTCACAGTCCAATCGGAGTGCAACTTGGACATATGTGTCAAAGCGTTAAATTCGGGGATAGAGAGAATCGGGCTCGGGAGTAGTAATCGACCGCACTGAGAAGGGTCCATCTCGAGCAAGTTGCCTTGTGGTCCAACATAACACTCTAGGGACATAACAATAGATTCTCGGATCGGGTCGATAGGAGGGTTGGTGACCTGAGCAAAGAGCTGTCGGAAGTATTCATAAAGGAGGCGAGGAGCCTGAGAAAGACAAGCCAATGGAGCGTCATTGCCCATAGATCCTAATGCTTCCTTCTCATCTGATGCCATAGGCGCAAGGAGCAAGCTGACCTGTTCGTGGGTATATCCGAATGCAAGCAACAGGGGGTCTTCCTGAAGGCGCGTGGAATCTGGCTTTGCAGCTACATCGATGGCTTTTCCCTCGGACACTTGGCTTAGGACTTTGGGTAAGCTAATAAGCTCCTTGTCGATCCACGAGCGGAAGTCATTGCGACTAGATACAGTCGCCTTGAGTTCCGAATCGTCGATCAAGCGACCGGCTTGTGTATCAACAAGAAGCATACGGCCAGGTTGCAGACGTCCCTTTTGGATAACCCGTTCAGGATCGACGTGGATCGTACCGACTTCAGAGGCGCAAATAATGCGGTCGTCATCCAAGATATAGTATCGGCAAGGACGGAGACCATTTCGGTCTAAGTTGGCACCGCAAAATCGACCGTCGGCGAATGTGAAGAGAGCAGGACCATCCCATGGCTCCATTTGGCATGCCGCCCATTCATAGAACGCAGCCTTCTTGGGATCCATGGCAGTGTTACCTTGCCAGGCCTCGGGGACCATGAGCATGACAGCTTCGGGTAGCGAAAGAACGCCATTGATGGTAAGCAGTTCCAAAACGTTATCGAAAGCAGCCGAGTCGGAGCCACCGGCTTCGACGATCGGGTACAGATGCTCAAGCTCATCACCAAAAATGTCAGATTGCATGACACCCTCTCGAGCGCGCATCCAGTTCTTATTACCGCGGAGAGTGTTGATCTCACCTGAAGAGATGTTAGAATTACGAGGTCAATGATTATTGGGAATCTAGAGCTACACATACCGTTGTGGGCAGCCCATCGAAGTGGTTGAGCACGATCCCATGAAGGGAAGGTATTCGTTGAAAAACGAGAGTGGACGAGAGCAAAGTGAGCCTCGTAATCGGCATTTACCAAATCATGGTAGTACTGATAAACTTGGACTGGAGCAAGCTGTCCCTTGTACACAATATTCTTGTTTGAAAGGGAGCACAGGTAGAACCAGTTATGCAGACCGATGGAATGAGTGGCACGCTTTCGAAGGACATATAACTGTCGCTCGAATAGCCGTTCGTCGAATTTCTCTGGGTCCGTCATTTCAGGAGCATTTCCAGAGCCATACGCAGATGCAAGCACGACAAAGGGCTGTAGAATGAATGGCTCTCGTGAGGATGCAGCAGGACCAAGGAGAGAAGAGTCTACAGGAGGTGATCGCCAACCCAAAACTCTTAATCCTAACGATTCAGCAATGTCTTCCAATTGCCTCTTCGACTCCTGTAACGTCTCCTCATCCGGCTTGAAGAAAAGGTTTCCCACAGCATATTGTCCCAAGGGGGGTAGTTTGATATTTTCCTCCCTCTCGAAATTCTTGATAAAGAACCTATGGGGGATTGAAGTCATAACACCAGCACCATCGCCATCTCGAGCATCGGAACCAACCGCACCACGATGGGTCATGTTACAAAGAAGGTTGCGAGCTACATATCGTTAACATATGGATCTATGAATCAGGGGGTATATTCGTGACTGACCATCGCTGACAATTTTGTGGCTTGCCTTGCCCTTGATGTGGCTAGATGGATAGTTAATAGGTTGCTTCTTACAACAGACGTGATTTTAAATTTATCATACCAAGCAAAACCGACACCACATGCATCTTTTTCCAAGCTTGGATCGTACAATCCTCTATACGAATTAATTAGTTATGGGACTGCATCACGATCATTGAAATTACTGGACACATACTGCTTTACCGGAAGGGCACCGGCCCAGGAGTCATTGTTATCTGTCTGATATTCATAAGGATGGTAGGCATCGGCCTCGGACTCTAACTGTGTTTGTCTATCGTCGAAGTCGGCAGGAAGGCCCATGTCAGGCAAACAGAGGGGTATGGCCAGATGAGGTATGGAGTATTACGAGGGTCGGAGGTATCTAGATGCCTCTTGAGAAGCGGCCCTTCTGTATACAATATACGGCGAATGAAAGCAGCAGACGCTGCTTAAACGTCAAGTCAAAGCTAGAGTACAAATTATGTTAGCTCTTGGTAATTAACTCAACTCTTGGATCGGCAGATGCAAACAACGGTAACAACGCGAGAGATAACGCAGAACAATAGATTGATCCAATGGCGAATAGCGATCCAGACAACATTCGATGTTGGAGGGTCCAAAGTGGCGGCGATGGATATCCAGTGGGATGTAAATGCGGGGTGATTGTGATGGTACACCCAGACTAGATAGACCAGCACCCAACAGAGCGATTTCTTTTTTTTTTCCTCTTCTCTACTCTTTTCACCGGTGCTCGTCCTTTATCTCTTTCTGTATGTCAGAGAGTGGAGTTTGCCATGTGATGCTGGCGGCCGAAGCGCAGTAGACAAAACTCTATCCGGGCTCTAGGACCGGGTTTCGAAAAGAATCCAACGAGCTTCGCGGGGATCCAATCAGGAAGTGACCGAAGCGGATCGCGATTATCTCGTGGCAAAAAGGATTCCTGAACCCTTTCCCCCCCTTCAAGTATTCAGAAAGTATTATCTTGTCCACTTGACCGAGAAGTAGGAAAAGGACCGAGCCGAGGTTGAGAAGCGTCATTGTCATTGTCATCGCTGAATAAAAAGAGAACAAAAGAGGCGTAGAATAGCTTCTTCAATATTCTCTTATTCTCAAGAATGCGCTTAGCCCCAAAAATACACCACTGGCGTCATTAGGCTTGGATAGGACAGCCCACCACGACGCACCCATGTAAATGCGACCTGAATCAGGAAATTCGATTGTCGAATCATAGGTGTTCGCACACTCGCACAGTGGGAGCGTGGGGAATAATACGACAACAGCCAATCAAATAGCTTCCAAAAGCAACTATGCGGCTATCGATCTTGCGTCTGATAGGTTGATGATCGTGCATATGATGCCCTTTTTGGTCCGATGCCTCAGTTATCACCCGTACATAAAGTATAGGGAGGAACAAGGGTTGCTGCATTCGGAGGGGCGGAGTGCTTCGTCGAAGCAGCATACAACTTCTCAACACCAAATTTGACAACCGGTGTATAAAAACCCATAGGTGATCGAAACGGTGATCCTTTTTCGCTTTCCGATCCCATTCCCGGTTTATGGGTACAGCAGGTACTACTTTCCAGGCATTTCGCTTCCCGGGTCGACATCCGTCGTATTCTCATCGTGGCCGCTGGTATCCAGGTCGAAGTGTTTCCCGTTCCAGTAGGGTAATTATAGAAATATGTAACTATACTCACAGGTTGATGATTTTGCACAATTCGCCTTCTTGTTTCTTTCCCTCCCTTTTCACTGTCTCTTCGACTGGGTGTCCTCGAGAAAAATGGTAATAAAAAATCGAGGTCTCGACGAGAAGTTGGGTATTTCGCTAAATGGTCTGGCAAGAGAAAGAAAAGGAAGAAGAAGGAAGCAGACGTAGAGGAGGTGCGGCAATGGCGTGGGTTTTATGGTTGTTACAAGTAGTAGAGAGGAGCCAAGCCGGGTTCATAGATTTCAAGGCTGCGTCTACACAATTTCCTCAAGTAAGAATACAGAGAGAGAAAAATTATTTATTCAGACGCTTATTAGTGAACAGTAACAAAATTGGTGTATGTAGAACCTAACATGGGACATGGGACATGGGGACTTAGATCGGCCTCCTCCACCACTGTATCCAGTCAGTAATAAGCGTATACTTAAGTGGGGGAGGGGGGAGATGGCCGAAGGACGGAACGACAGGTCTTTCATACCCCGGGCCTTCTGTTTGCGTCTATTGGTCTGTTGGTTTATTTAGCTTAGCACTTAGCGGCTAGTACGATTCGGTGACGTTACCGGAGTTCAATTGGTATTGCCTTCTCGCATAGAGTCATTGAAGATTAACAAATGCGCTATTCTAATTGGTTGGAACTAACAAGGACTATGGCAGTTGCTTGGTTAAACCTATTACATAGTTGGAATTTTAGTGCTGCTGTACAAATATACAAATACGTCCAATACAATCCAGACATAACTCGGACGCAACCTAAACTTTGCCTCCTAGCATTTTTGCACACATACAATAGTACAACTTTTAGACCAGAGGCGAGGGAGAGATGAAAAAAAAATTATATTCGCGCAAACTCGGAATTTGGTAACATAAGCACCTTCACATATGACATATAATTATATAAACCTTACCCAATAAGCGTCATTCTTGTTTCTGTGTGATCAAAGCAGATGCCGTGAGAGGTAAACTTAGGAAGATGACCACGTAAGTGTAAGAGATGGCGCAAGGGCGCGAGGGACTCTCCATCTGATTATCGATTTAGGAATTTGGGGGGTTGTGGATGATACGAGAGACTGTTTGCTAGTTTGATGTTGCTAGCTGCTACGTATGTTGCTAGTATATAATAATAATATGGATACATGGGTTGCTACAATTGCTACAATTCCTAGGAGATGCAACATGCCATCAAGTTGCGAGATAGTAGGTAACTTTCTTCTCTCTAGGTAGGTACCTACCTTTTTCTAATTAATTACACAACAACTACTTACATATATGTACTTACCTACCTATTCTATAATATCAACCTATTTTACTAAAGAGAGAATCAGATCTGTCAGCACTATTTTCGATACCCAAATCTAACGTTCACTCTAACTTGAAGTGCGTCCATGTCGTAATGGTGCAGTTAGCAAAAGCTTAGGCGTTTGACTTGCAACCCAAGGCACTGGTTCATTGGTAATCGGATTTCCGAGGATCGTCACTCACGAGCAGGAGTTTATTCGCTTAGGCGCTATTTGGTCACAGCTGATTGATCTTCGCAAATCAGAAATAAGGCAGATCAATAAATTATAATAATTTTAGTTATGTGCTTGCCGTTCATCGGAGGCGTCTTGTCTTTAAGCTACGTAGCCGCAAGTGAAGACTTGAGTAACAGAAACGCCCCTCAACACCATATTGGATTATGGATATACTAGCCAGAGTCCATTCCAGAACGCACCCTGCGCACCCCACACAGACATGCATATCCCGAAGCAGGGATCTGGCCAGGAAGCAGACAGGGAGTCTAAGACGAAGACCTCTTCCGTGCAGACGGATTGGCGGATGGGAAACAGAGCTGGCCTAAAACGTCGAACGAGGAATTATACCTAAAGAAAGTCCGTTCAAACTACTGGATGGTCCAATCACTTCGACCATCATTTGGTTCCCGAATCGTAAGAGTGCTATGGTCCGATGTCGCGTTACCCGCTACTGCGGAACACTATTGCTGTGTACTGTATGTATTGGGGGTAGTATGCAGCTCGCGATGTGCTAGGTTGGGTAGCAGGTGGTAGGGTCCGAAGAGAGACGAATGCGCTTACGAGAGCCTCCATTTGGGGTATGCTGCGTGGCAGCGTGGGGTTTCTCCATCACGGGCAGACAAATACTCACATCTTAAGTGTCTGATTTGAGGACGCATGGGGGAATCAACCGAGATGCCTCATTTCTTGGATGTGTCTCACGTCGTATGTACGTCTCTCCTTCAAAGGGGGTAATTTCCATTATATCCCGCAGCGATAAATGAGCAGGTAGGTAGTCCGTATGTGCCGAGCTGACGCAACTGCTTGTTGTTTGCCCACGAGGTTATGAATCGAACAATCATAGGAGGTACGAGTTGGGACTGCGGGCATTGATGGTTTATTTCGAAATATATCTCGAAGTATGCGATCTTACAAGCAAGGCTGATCTCCGGGTGGTATAGGAGGCGATTTCCTATAAAATAGATCTATCAATAGGTCATTATATTCAGCCATACCCCAATCTCTAAACAACTTCAACTACCACAATGGGTTAGAGGAAACGGACAGTTGACCAATGAAGTGTTGTCTTAGACATGCTAGTCTCAGAATATGGAACAGCCATCTGAACTTCTAGCTGTGTTACTCGGTGTTATTCTGCAAGGTGAACCTGCATTTCATTTTAAGTAGGACAGGGCGGCAGTGTTACATACATGCTGAACCATACATACAGAACCTAGTCGTCGAAGATGTGACCGGGGCTACAAGCCTGGTGCTAGGTCGATGTAGGTTGGTTGGCCGCGTGACCTTCCGTACCATTGTGCTACTTAGTTCGTCCTCTAGCTCGCTTCGAAAAAAATTGTAAGTAAAAAAATCGACAACAGCAAAAGCAAGAAGCCGCCAATCAGAAGACTTGTTAATCATGATGAGCGTTATCTCTCCCACTAGCCTTGGGACAGTTCCTTGCGAGCCGCTAACAAGGCCGTATATAGGGTAGTATGCACATATGTAGACCCGTAGACCCGTAGCCAATCTAGATCTCGGCGAATATATGACAGAATCGTAACCTCGTTCCGAGCGCAAAGAACTACGCGTCACGGATGGCAGCGTCTCGAGAGAACTTCGGGCTTCGTTTTTGCCTGTTACTCGAACAGCGGTCATACCCGATATTCGTTCATCAGTCAGTTTCTCTCTCTAAGGTTGAACCGAGTAACGGAAGGATTCATAGCGAGATCGGCCTGGCGACGAAATAAGCTGGAACAGAGTCTCTCCCCTCCTGATCCTTGCCAGTCGCGGAGGGAAGCGGGGCGGACTTAATTAGAGTAAAGAGAAGTCCTGGAAAGGCTGACGGGCGACGGCGGGGGCAGGGAACTGGGATCAGGTCCCTAGCACGTGCACCACATAACGCACTATGTGCGAAATACAGTAATAAGAGGAGGTCGGGCGCATTCGTACCTTCAGCGCTCGTTCGTCCTCTGGAAGCGTAAAAGATTTCCACTTTCTACTTCTCGTTCCGAGAATTCCCGTAGTCGATGTAAGTCAAGCAACAGTCCATGGGCCAGCCTAAATGAAAATATGCTAGTTGTTCGTTTCATAAGCCGCGGCTCTACTCACCGCTGATGGTCTCGTACCATACGCTGCATACGCTGCATAGAATGCCCTGGACTAGCAATTTAAGGGTATTCTCATTACTTGATGAAAATGATTTTCATAGCATTCTCGTTGGTAAGCGTATTTCGGAAAGACATGACTTGTCATAGGCATAGGCTACGAGTCTGAGAATGTACCGGGTATGTTGCGAGGAGTATGGATATTCACGAAGACGTCCCTGTAGTCGACTCTCATCCGAAATACCGTTCGGAGTGACAGCACATATGCTACTATTCCGGAAAAGTATTGATAGTCGAAGCAGTATTGTTGTATCGCAGGGCCGCAGGCTGCAAGAAGCACTTGACTTTCGAAACCAACATTGAACGTGGATACGTCCATTTCGAGTACCCGATCACATGCTTATGCGAAGGGAGTCCTCGTTAGCCTTGTCGGCTTCCTTCTTTTGGCATTTGCGAATATCGGGACGAGTTTGATGATTTTTGAAGTTGTTTTCATAAAAGATTTATGCTGGGATTGCCATGTACATAGCATTCCTGTATCCAAGGATGCTGAAGGTACGATGCATGTTCCAGGGCTACTACCCCGGACAACTGGAGTAGAGAACACCGGAAAGCGCATGTCGCCTAGGTAGGTCCGGGTAGGTACAGTACATATTACAGGGCAGCTACGCCTAGCTGGAAGACCCGCTTAGTCATAACAAAATGTAATAATTTTGGAGCCTCAACATCCCACCTTAGATCCTCTTAGATCTGCATATTCATCCCGTTACCGCAACACCTCGTCCAAGAACAGCCAATACTCCTGTTACTGCGGCAGGAAGAAATTAGGCGGGATGAAATTCATGCCGCCATCCCACAACACCGCCAATTGTATCTAGTCGGCAACCCTTGTCCCTTCTAGCCTGACATCGACCTACTCAACCATCCCGACCAACCTCGACCATCATGCTATCCCTCCTACCCGACCTAGCACCGCGCGACGTAAGTAAACCATCCCGGACCTCGGGATCCTCTACCCCGGCCCCCCTAACCCGCGAACTAACCAACGCGTCCAGTCTCACGCACTATGGTATACATCAACACGAAACCCTCTCGCCTCCGCCTCCCTCGACGCGTCCCCCTACCCGCCCAATAACCCATCCGCACTCGGCCCCCAACCACACGACCCCTCCGGCCTTAACCACCGGCGAGGCGCCCACCTCCTCGACCGATCCCCCCTGGCCCGCCTCCGCGCCGACGAGCAGACCCTCGAGCGGCGGCGCGCGAACGTGACGAACTTCGGCGCCGCATGGCTGAAGCCCCTCGGGATCCCCAAGACCCTGCACCAGCTGCGCGAGGAGCGGCGGGAGGCAGAAGAGCACGCGGAAGCGTTGCGGCGGGAGCAGTTAGCGCAGGAGCTAGCGGAGGCCGAAGCCGCGGGAGGCGGTGGCGTGGACGCTTTGCTCGACGCGCAGGGAGAAGGGGAGGGGGAGGATGGGGTGATGGACGATGTGCAGTTAGACGGGGCGCGGGATCTGGATGAGGATATACCCGAGGCGGACGACTTCGGGGCAGGATCTGGTTCCGACGAGGAAGAGGATGAGGATGAGGAAGATGATAGTGATAGTGATGACGACGACGACGACGATGATGATCCGGTGCGGCAGGCGGTGCAGGTGCAGCGGCAGCTCATGGCGCAGCGGATGAGGCAAGCGAACGATGCGTTCCGCGAGTCCATGGTTCGAGGGCGTGTTGATGGGAACTACTACGGCGTCGACGACGAAGTAGACGACGAGGATCAAGCCCAGATGATCGAGGAAGACGATCTAGTCGGGCACGGAGACGGTGGAGATATGGATATGGATGGCGACTTGGACGATGACATCCCCGAAGCAGAGGACGCAGGCTATGAGCATACGGACTCGGAGGTGGATGACAGCAGCGAAGACGACGGCGACCAGCCCGAGATGAGCTTTGCCGCGCAGACGTCCCAGTCGCAGAGATACAGGCACAGTCTAGCACGCAGCGACGCGACGCGACATAGTCTTGCTATTAGTGACATACTATCGCACGACGAGAGCAGCATGCTACACAGTAGCCCTGATATCCAGCGGCGGCGAAACAGCGGTCCTGCACGCCGCGGCCGAGGCTAAAGGAGAGGCCAGGAGGTGCCGTGCCTTTACTAGGCCTATTCACCATTCATCGTGATTACACACATCACTTGCATTACCTCAAGATACCAAGATACCCTTTTCTGATTCATCATACCCTACGCCTATGGATATCCGTGTAATCAGCCAGCCAAAGTCTTAATAGTATTTACTATTGCCAAAACCCGAGCAAGAAGCGACGAAGTAGACGATGGATTATGATACATTTAATTACAAACGTCGTATTTTTTGACTGGCCAATGATCGTTCCCATATGTACTTCGTGAAACTTCGTCTCGTGTCCGTACTTTTTTGCGGCATTACCCAGTGCTATTCAGAACATCTCCCCCCCTTTTCTCTTGCTCGATCGTACCGTTGTACCCTGTTGATGCCAAAAATGGAAAATGAAAACACGCCACAACGCCTTCCGTGATGTAATGTAATGCTGCTCGTGTCTAAAGCTTGCGCATGGGAATTTGTTGTTCGTTCACGGGTTGGAGATGAGTAGGTATGTTGATAGATGACCCGGAACGAAAGGAGGTAGGTGTTCAGAAAAGCCAGACGTAAAAGAAGATGAAGATCACGGCAGCGAAGAAACCAAGCCAGACCTTCCAGCCGACGCCGGTCCTCTCAGCCATGACCAACATCCTGTTCATAGTGCCGCGTAGCCTTAACCGCGTCGAGTCGAACGTATCGTTCATCTTCTCCGCAAGCGCCGAAGACTCTCTAATCTCGTCGCCGATAGCCACCGTCATCTTGCGCGGAGCGAAAACACTACGTTAGCATATTCTTTATCGCAAACACCCCGCGCGCTCTCTCCTCTCTTCCACTTCGGCTACCCACTCCGCAGACAACTTCGCTGCTCCCCTCTCTTTCTCTGTTTATATTAATAGCATAGTATGAATATGAACTATCATAATAAAGCAAGAGAAACCCGTCCCCCTCAACTTACGCGCAGCATCAACAGCAGTATAAAACTCACATCTTTCAGGACTTTGACCTTCCCTAAGATGCCCTCGACCTGCTGGTCGTTTTGGCTTTCTAGCTCGTTGAGCACCGCATCGCTGTATTGGCCCCTATGTCACGTCCCAATATTAGCCTTCGTTTCCATCTTCCCGTGTAGGCTTTCCCTGGTAGCTTATGATTTCGGAAGAGAAGGAAGTAAGAAGTACTTTGAATTCGGCGTCGCGGGCCTGAATGTCCCTCTGTTATCCGCACCAAGATGCGAACTCGCTGACCCGTTACTACCTCCGGGGTATCCGTAGCCGTAACCCGCGGCCGGGCTGGATCGTCTCGCAGGGTCGGCACTGTTACGGCCGCTGCCGCTGTATCCCTCGAACAGGGCGCTGCGGGAATCCCGCTGGTGAAGTGTCGAATGGCCGAATCTATAGACATCGTGTTAGCCCCTTATCTACCAGTCCCGTGCACGCGCAAAGGTGTTGGTTCATAGTCAATAGTCCAGCCCTAAGAGGCTTTCCCCTTTCCGAGCACAGGCGGCGCGGCAAGATCTACATCAGATCTCCGAAGTGTCCCAAGGAAAGTAGACTACCGGGACTTGTTCCTTGTCAAGTATCCCGGCTAAATGATAAATTTCGTTGTTTGATAGATACATCTTGAAAATTGCATACCTTGATGCCATGCTGTTGTTGCGTGTCGATGTTGAAGGATGGCAGAGAGAAGGAGAAAAAATAAAGAGATTAGGTATGAGGTAGCATTAATTTACTGGGGATAAAAGCATTTGCCAGGTGCTGCCACGTGTGGTTTTGGCGCGCATCGGGTCAGCAATGCCCTTCTGAATTTAACGACGTCACTTATGTTGACCTAAACCAAATATTTGGTAAGCAAGTAACCTTAACTTAAAATAAGAATGAGAAAAGAAGGAGTATTTGAAGCTTTAACCAAATGGCACATACCGGTTCCTTCCCGCTGCTAGTCACTTCCTAGCTCAAGACATTGTGTTCGCCCATGATATCACAAGAGGTACGGTAGACTTAAAATTCCATTATTTTATGCATGTATAGGTACATATAAAATGAACTTATCTTCTGTATGCTAGTTCTGACTCAATGGGATCAAGAGAACTATTGTATAGCCGTATATTTACCAATGGTTAAAATATTAAGTAAAAAGAGTCAAGATATATAAAAATTTTGCAATATTCTCATTCATGTAAATGGTTTCTCGGCCGTAGTTTTCATTATTATCGAATGACAACCCTACTTTGGTAGGTAGGTATTCCCATACAAATCCTCCTCTTTCCCTGAAATGGTCTGGACTTGACATACGTTCGCATCTAGGACCACGCCAGCTTCCTCACCAGCCCCAACACCACCTTACAACACCACCGTACCGCCCCTATCCCGTATAACACACTCCCTCCTTGCCTTCGCAAGCCCCTCGTAGCCTAGATTCTCAATGCTGCCCCATTCGGTAGACAACAATGACATCAAAGGCTAGCTAAACGACGGGGTCGTACATCGCTTTGCGCATGTGATAGGGCTGTTTGATATTAGATCGTAGTAGCTAGAAACACAAAAACGATCCGAACACCAAGGAGAGGGAACCCCAAAATGTATATAGCAGATATTCTCCTTGTCGAATATATACAACAATCGTCATGTTCCCTTTTGTATGCTGACCTTGTAATCGAGATCTCCGAAAAGAAAATTCTAAGACAGATTCCAACCGAGTTCGGTAGTTCAAAACTAATTATGCACAAAAGATAGTAAAGCCGTAATGCAAGGTCCGCTGAACGCCATTATTTTAGAATCCAAGGACAGGGCGCACAACACGACGCGTAACAGCGTTGTTTAACAAAGAATATGTTGCGTCCAGTTCGGGTATCATCTGAACATAGGTAAATATAAAAACGAAAGTGAATTTAGAAGTTCTGTGAGATGCCGGCACTTTGCTGAGGATAGTGCGATGGGTTCTCGATGCGCGTGTTGCGTCGAGCCGGGTTATCACGTATTACCGGCTGCCCTCCTAGTTCTCCTGGGCGCTGTTGGCCGTAAGCGCCGTCAGCATATGGATTGTTACCACCGTATTGATCGAGATATGCGGGCCCACTGTAGGAGCCTGTATTCTCGCCGGAGCCATCAGACCTTCCAGCAGCACTGTATGATGACGAGGCATTCGATGGTCCGCGGTGTACGTTACCGTTATCGTTCCCACGGTTGTCAACGGCACCCGGGCCCATAGCGCCGAGAATTTCGCCTTCTTGCGGTGATTGAGAGCCTTCGCCCATTAAGCCGTCTCCTGATCTAGTGTCAGAAAAGTTTCCTCTGGTCGGCGAAGTTGCATCCGAGTAAGCCACACCTGCTGCGCCGCCCGACATTGTAGTCGAAGCTTTCCTCCCAGTTGAACCAGCCAGGGTAGTAGAACCCCATCCACGATAACCCGAAGATCCACCATCTTCCTTCATCTCATAAGCCCCAGCAGCAGCTCCTGCTCCCATATCGGGTAAGGTTGGGTCGTTATTCGGGTTGTAACTGTAATCTTCGACTTCCTTCCTCCTTTCTTCTGCCGCATCCATTCGTTGCTTGCGCTTCCTCCAGAAGAAAATTCCTCCGATAACTAGCAATGCTACGGCAGCGATTGGAACTACAACGGCAACCGCGATTTTGGCCGGCTCAGCTATGGCACCCGATTGGGAAGCACTTGAGGTTATAACAGAGCCGGAGGTATCTGTAGAGGATGCTTGCGCAGTAGATTGTGCAGTATTGGTATTCAACTGGGTTGAAGTGACCGTGATAAACGCAGTGCTCCCATTTTCTCCTGTGCTAACCTGCGTAGTGGTGAAAATCACGCTTGATGTCGTCGGCGGATTTGTCGTGGTCGTTGATGAGGATGGCGTAGTCGAAGTACTGGGTATTGTCGTGGTTGAAGAAGGGGTAGCAGAAGATTGAGTAGAAGTAGAAGTTGGAGTGTCGCTAGTAGTGGGAGTTGTGCTAGTTGAAGTAGGAGGGGCTTCTGTTGTAGAGGTTGATGTAGGTGTTGTCTGCTGCGTAGTGCTAGAGGTGGTCTCAGGTATCGAGGTGGATGATCCAGCCGAAGTGCTAGGCGTAGTTGCAGACGAACTGTCGGCAGCGGCCGGACTCGAAGCCGTCTCCGGTACGGAATTGTCCGTATTCGTGGCGTTGGTAGACATGGTGAACTGCCTCCCAACTTTCAATCCAAACAAGTGACTGGGCGTCATGTTAGCATACCTAGTACGAAATGACACGAGGAGATGGCGGTGAATGGCGTTGAAGATAGTTGAAAAGAGGACGGTATAGATGTTAGAGAGGTTAGGCTAAACAAAGCGGAACGCCATTCGGCTGAATGGGGCGTTGGAGCTGATCGGTCCAATGAGGTTATCATGGAATGTGTCGCAGATCGCCACAGCATAAGTTGTGAATGTGCATTAAATGCCATCGCGTGTTTGCTTAATGAATAACATAGGATAGAAATTTAAATACATACCTTTACAACGAACTAGACAACTCAAGCTAACTCACAGCCAAAAAAGACTGGATGAGAGTGAACCTCAACTCTGTTGTGAAATCGACAATTGACCTTGGCTGATGTTTCGAGTTGGGCGGGCTCTGAGACGCGAAGGGGAGGTCGCCAGGAGGGTGGACGAAGGACGGGACGGGACAAAAGACCAAAAGACAAATAGTGTAGGTACAGGTGCTGAGGTGCAGTGACCCGGTCGACGGTGGGCGGTCCAGTCTTGATTAGTGTCTGGAGAGGGAATTGTAGCAAATGAGCGAACGAATAGGCTAATGCATACGAGGCGATGATCGGTGCAGGGGTTTTCTTCTTCTGGGTTAAGGCGTGGCTGAGTTCCTCTATTTTTTCCCGCTTATGTCTCTCGCGCTGTCGTATGTGCAGGAGGATCGAAATTGATAGGACAGGAATGCAGCAAAACAACCAAACCGCACGGATCTCGGAGGAGTTGTAACAGGTCTTAGGTGAGTAGAAACAGTGATGATGAATTTAGCAAAAAAGGCAATGAACTAGGTGGACTAGGTGATTATTAGATCATAGATTTGACAATGTCGTCAGAACAAAACACGAGAGGGGGGAAGAAAACGAGAAAAAAAAATAACGAATGACGGTATAAGTTGAAAGAAGATTAGTCCAGGGGCAATTCCTTTCAAGTAGAGAAAGTAGAGAAAATACAGTGGTAAGTACATATACAGCGATGATTGACACAAAAAAAAAGTTGGAAATTTCCTTGCGAAAATCGCAACTGGATCCAGAATTGTACTTCCGTCGTACCTGCTATGAGCACGGAGAATCCGGTAAAGGCTCTCAATTGAGTTTTATCTCACAGCAGCTCGCAGGAACATCCCGGCGCTATGATGTTTGTTAGTGGTTTCGTTTAGCAGTTACGAGGCACAGGTTGCACGATAGCAGGCTAGTAGATGCCCTAAATGACCTAGTGCCGCTTTTCCGTACTTCCCCTTAGAGGTCTGTGGCTTGCTCATCACCAATATCAATTGATCAAGCGCTACCATCTCGCATTCGCAACCTAAGTATTGAGTAAGTACCTAAATCCTACATGATTCAGTAATCAACCCGATAGTTACTGAAATCATCCAGTATGGTATATATCTCGATGCGATAGAAAGAAATATGACGATAATCAGAGTGAGTATGTCGACAACCAACTCTATGCCACGAAATGAACTGTTATTTTGCCCCTGACTTACCAAGACGCTACAGCTTAGTATGCTTAAGACGGGCTATCTCACGCTGACTTTAAAGGGCCGTTAAACGTCAATTGGACTACTACCCGAGATTTTATCCAATCTTCCAAGGAAGTTTCTTTAGAATGCCACGTTTAAACAGGCTTGTCAGTAACACTAATCTTATAGTTCAACTTATCTGCTGTGTCTAGCAACTCTATTCGAATGAACGTTGAACCTTGAGAGTTTATTCCACGTGTATTTAAGTTGCCACAGGGAAAGAATACGGATCAGCTAGTGACTAATTAACAACTTCGATAAATCGGAAAACGTTGACAACACTTCGAAGTTGAACAGCCACACATCACGCTGTACCACCGACTTGGATCTTTACATAGACCATCAGCCCTCTATCTAGCCTACCATAACTCACGCAAGGGCAGATCTCCCGTAACTTATGGGGTCTCATCTAGCCGCCAGAGAAGCCGCAAAGCTCTGTGCAGTCCCAGTGTAGGGCATAGCCCCTCATTCAGTGTCATGTATGTAACCCATCTATTCTGTACAGCGTACATTCTGTACATAATAAGGACGCAGGAATCAGATTCGACTGGTTCGCGGTATCCATAAACTCAACAAAATCTATCTGGTGGTACGATCGAATCAGACGAATCATTAAATCTTATGACAATATAGAAGCGTCAACCATTATTCCCGGGCTCGAAATATACAAAAACCAATCCCCTACTTCTAAATTAAATAAAGTAAACACAAACATACATAATACCGAGCTTATAGTTCTCACCGATGCAGCAACTGCATGTCTATTACGTCGCGGAAATTCAATTCTCCAAGAGAAATACGTAATTACCCCGAGCTCCCCCATAACCGTTGGAGATCTTCGATCTGAGGCTTCCCACCTTAGGAAGTCTTCCGCGAATCTGACCATCTAGATTCGGAGAACGTTCCGAGGTCAAATTAATAATTAAAAATTCAAGCATTGTCAATCTTCATTTTTTTCAAAGTAAACTCATACGATAACTTTATAATGAGTAAATGTTAAGCGTGTATGAACCTAAAGCAATGTTGACTGCAGTGACACTGTGACAGGAGTTTAATGTGGCGCCTTGCAGAAACATCAAATACGACAGGTAAAGAATCGCATCCACTCAAGTATTTACGAAATTTCAGATATGTTCATTATGATTCAAGACAAGCCTTCAGAATTACACGCCTAAATACTCCCAAAGAACATCAATGACACGGTATCAAAAATTCAAGCGTAGCATCCCATCCATACCTCTTCGAGAGCATCATCACCGCAAGAAACATCCCCATTCTACACATTCAACCAAGAAGAGAACCTTATTAAAAACACGCTATAGTACAATGCAAAGAGACGAACTTTACAGCAAAAGGGGGAACCATACAATAATCACACACTCGACGCTCCATGTAAAACCAACCTGGTTATATTCTGTTCAAAAATACCTAATAAGCAAAATTCCCTAGTTTTACCTGACTCACGGTAAAATAAACTGCACCGATCCTTCTATAATGTGTCCCCATGCAAGGTTAAACGCTTCGCCGGTCATGATTTGGTTTCCAAATTACCTCCTCCCGGATGGAAGAATATAAAAAGGGCATTAACAGTACATATTTGTTTCTTCAGAGATATACAAGACGGCTGAAGCCTCGCCGTATTTGGTATGTCAAGCCTACTTCGGATCGACCAACTCGCCTTAAGTCCTCATGTTCCACGATGGCTTTAGGTTGTCGGTCATCGCGGCCTGGGTGAAGACAGTGTCTCCGGGAAGACGACTGACTCTGCCAGCACCGGCACGGATAGCGCTGAGGTTAGCAGACGATATACCGCTACGGTTGCTGACCACACTGCCGGTTTCACTCATGGATTCGGGATCCTTGAACCGACGCGGGGGAGCGAAATCGAGACCAGTGAATGTTCCTGATTTGCGAAGTAGATGACTAGATGACATTAGATATATGACCACTCAGACGTGGATTAAGAATTGTACTTACGGACTAGGTAACGCAGGAGTGTCGTCGAAAGCACTCACTAGCGGCGAGTGAATAGGGGTGGTCAACATGTAAGGCTTGCGTTCGCCAACGGGACTCTGAGATCGGCCAGCTACTACATCCTTAAAGGTAGGGGGAGGCGCGAAGTCAATGGAGCCTAATAGAGCCATCGAATCATCTCTTAACTTGGAGGGAGTAGGTAACGTGTTTAGTGCAGCAGGAGGAGGCATTGGCTTTCGGGGCTTTCCGTTGTTGAAGTTACGCGGGTTGGAAGCCGATGAGTCGGGGCGAGGGCTCATCGCTGCCCACCTACTGGCAGACATCGTTGAGCCGGCTCTGGGTCTACGGGGACCAGGCATGTTCATGCTTCCGTGAGGACCGTGGCCGTGGGGACCACGCGGTCCAGGCGGGCCTCGTGATCCAGGTCCTGGCATAGGTCGTCTGTTGCTTGGAGGCGGAGTCATAGCACGGCGGGTGACAGGCTGTGCATAGGGCATAACGAACGCATTGGTTTCGGGATCGAAGAATGCAGTGTCACCGAGGTAGTTCGCATCATAGTCTTCATGGTAAGCGGGTTGTTGTGGAAGTGGAGGGGGCTTTCCGTTATCCGTTTTGATTTCCTCGAAGTATTCCTTGTAGAAAGATCGGATCCTGTTGGCTCTAAACTCGGGGTCTTCAGACTCAAGGAAGTCCTCTGGGGGAAGAGGACGGAACCCGACGGATAACCTTCGGTTGTCCTGTCCTGGTACGCCCAAGCCAGCCGAATGGGGGTATTCATGCTCATCCGGCATGTGCGGCATACGAACTTCCTCTCTAGCCACCTCATTATCCGGTCCGTCAATTTGGAAATGACCCGCATAATTTTGGTAGTCCTGAGCGATATCCAGTCCAGCAGGTAGAGATTCCTTCCGAGGTGGTCGAGCACCTGATAAATCCGCAGAACTTTGGGAAACACGAGCATCAATGGCATTAGCAGGTCCGACAACATTAGCATTATTTGCGTTCGTGGATTCATTAGAGAGAGGTCGGGCGTTGTGTGGGCCCTGCGAAGCTGCGACCGGGGGCTCTTGGATCTCAGGTACTCCAGGAAGGGTGATATTATCATCAGTAAACCGGAACTCGTTCTTTGCTGGGGGTGCAGATACTTCGTCACCGGAAGCACGACGCGATGGCGGCTGAGCAACGGGAGGCAATTGCTGGAGGGGAGACGGACCTCGGCGAGGAGGGGGCGGGTTTCTGAACGGATCACGATCACCACTTGACCGTGCCTTACCAGATGATACGGTAGAATCCCTATCGAGTCCCTTGTTGAACGAACGCATAGATGCGACATCACTACCACCGTAGCTGGTAACCGGTCGGTAGGGATCATCTTGGTGGAGGGATTTTGCCAGAGAGTTCATGGATTCCCTGGACTGGTGCAATGCTGGTGGAAGCAAATAAGGACTGGAGAGGTTCATGTCCATGGAGAGCTGTACTTTGTGGTTCGGGTCCTTTTCTTTCCCAAAGTAACTTTGTCTCTTATTTTTCTTGCCAGTCACGTTGCCTTCGAATCCAAAGTCCATCGACTTGTACTTGTCTGTCTCGTCTTCTCTCCTCTGCCTAACTGTTGTCCGGTGATGTAAATAAACTAGGACAATGATTGCAAGTCCTAGCGGGATACTATAGTTCGGTTAGCCACGTCTTAATTCAACTCTACAAATATCCGGTTCCTTACCAAACACCGAGAATAATCGGAAGGGTTGTGGTACTCCCGACTGGCTTCTCATCGAGGTTATTTTCCCTAGGCACAATTCGAGAGATGGTATCTGCCCAAACAGAACCATGCTCGGCCATTGCTTCCCTCGTCTCCAACTGGACTGGCTGTTCCGTCTCGATATGCAATTCCCTTGAATGAAAGTGGTGGTGGCCATGGCCGTGACCGTGGCCACGAGCTTGATGAAAATGACGCCCCGTCATCGCGTCAACTTCTCCAACTCAATTCCTTCTCTTAATCCAACCCCGTCCTCAACTAAGTTTCAAGTCGAAAATTGGTCGGTTTTCTAAAACATTTGTTTTGATATTATGCCACGCCGTCTGATGCTGAGTTGTCGAGGTCGAAGGACGAGCTAGGAATAGTAATTCCCTGATTTCGAAAACCAAATATAGCGGGACGTAAATCTATTCTACGAAATCGTCGTCTTGACACTAACGCCTGAGTAATGCACGAGGCTGGAAAGAATGACTTATGGTCGGGGCACAAAAGAATGACTGTAGGTTAGCTTTGAAAGAACGGCACGCCCGCTGGCAGGCAGTTAGGTCTGATGGACCGATTGTCGACGAACTCCTGGATAGGCGGTGGATGAGGAGGATGAAGGAAGAGAAAGAACAGAAGCGAGGGACAAAAAGAAGGTGATTTACCGAGTACAAGCCACAAGGTATCCTTAGATGACGGGGATCAGAACAACGGACGAATCAAAAGTAATATTGGGGAAATGAATGAAGGGGGGGTGGAGTCTACAATACATCAAGGTTTACATGAATTAGATGGGGAAGAAATTCCAAACGAGTAAAGGGCACTTTCCTCACCCACCCAAAGCTCCAATATTCATTAGACCGAAGACACATCTCATTGGCTATGATCAACAAGAGATACACTGTAGCTTCCCTGTACATCCCCTGGCATCGGCTAGGGAATCCCCTGAAGGGCTAACGCAGGAACCGGCCGTTCATCCAATCAATCATAAGAATAGAAACGCTGATAACGGTTTAATCCTAAAAGAGGCTAGTGGATCTGGCCCCCTTTTCTTGTTCCTTGGCTAAGATGCTTGAATTTCTAGCTGGACCTGGCGGCGTCCTGGCCAGCTGCTGGCTGAGCTGTTGGCACAACCCGCACGACTCTATCTCAAGTAATCTTCCCCTTTTATTGGCCCCTTGACGAGTTTACATCTAGCTGAGATGAGAAGGAAATATGTACGAATTCCGTCATGCATGAAAGACGATCTTGAACTGTGCTAGATATTCGTCACATCTAAACTTTCCAGTCACGACCAATTCGTGCTAATTATCGATCGCTCTACCACACAACTAAAATGCCAGGGAAGTATTAATGCGGCAAAGAACTCGGTCCTACGTAAACAGACCTAGATTCGAAATTCGCCTTTAAACCGACCCTATAAATAGGTACCTACATGTACATACTTACATAGGTAGCTAGGGTATTTAGCCAAGTCGGACGATGAGATCCTATGTATAAGCTACCACTGTGAGTTACTTATTAGGGAGGAATACAGTAATCAAGAAGCCTTGGAAACATTTTTAAATCCGGGAATTCCCATACACAGCTTAGCTAGCGCACCAAGCTAACGGTAAGCCCTCTGCTGTTTCTTTTTAAAACCAGCCCTTGCTATTGGCCACTCAAGTCTCAGCCTCAAAAATCTAGCTTCAATATTGTTTCATGAATTGCTTCTCTTAAACGAGAAACCTCAACTGCCTTTCTCAGGTAGACCTCGTCGTCGGAATACGGCACAGACTTGCACCATCAAGCCTTGATCTCATAATAGCCCGCCCCATACTCCAATAGCCACCCTTTCTCGATTTTGCTGATGTCGCGAATAAAGATCTTGCTACCAGTTTCGATTACCTCGTGGAAGATCACCCAATCAGCTCTTCGGTTAAACATGAGAGAGCTAGGATGTGCGTGGAGTGTCGTTCCCCCATCAATACTGAGAAAGCTTCCATCGGACTGCATCCTCGCTGCATGGGCGAAGTAGCCCGTTGTGAGGCATCTTCGAATCTGTTCACTCTTGCCAATTGTCGATCCTTCGAGACTCTCATCTGTCGTTATCCCAAATCGTTCTAAGTAACGTTTCAATTGTGCCCTAATGCTAACAGCACGAGTCATTGCCTTGTAATTGATGTAGTTGGCATAACAAAATGACGACGGGTCCTTCCGACCATTCTTTAGGAACGATTGGTAGGTATTTAAAAGCGTCAAATGGTCGCCTTCCTCGACAGAAAATTTCCGTCGCCTGGACTCCATCGACTTTTTCTCTCCCTCTCTCTGAATCCATACGGAACCACCAAGGCTTGTCATCGCCGCTATTGTCAATATCTCGTTAAGACAGTTAAATAATGGAGCCGAAAGTAACGTTTTCGCCATCATAGGCTCAACTGCGAGCTCTGCCATCCGCATGCCCAGAGGTTTTGTTAGTTTAGCATATTCATCTAAGGCGCCTAATGAAAATAGCAGTTCGGTTGCTTTAGCCATAAGTTCCGCGGGCGGCGGTGTTAGATAATCAAAGCGTACAACATTATCGATACCGAGCGCCTTGAGTTGCAGGATAAATGGCGCAAGATTAGATCGTTGTATTTCCGGAATGTTCGCATCGGGCAGCTCTATAAATGCATCTTCGGTGTAGAGCCGAAAGCATTTGCCAGGTTTTGTACGACCAGCTCTTCCCGCACGCTGTAATGCTGCTGCTTTCGAGACGGGCGTCGCGGTCAATGACTCGATGCCGGTTGTGGGGTCAAAAGCCCTCAATTTCACGAAACCGGAGTCAATGATATAGACGATGCCGTCAATTGTAACAGACGCTTCTGCGATATTGGTCGAAAATATAACTTTTCGTGTATTCTCAGGTGGCCCATCGAACACGGACATTTGTTGTTCAGTTGATAATCCCGCGTAGAGCGGCAGAGCCAAAATTGACTGAGATTCCGAAGGAAGTTGGGCTGATCGTTCTGCAACTGCTTGCACGGCCGTGTCAATTTCTTCCCGACCTGTTAAGAAAACAAGAATGTCGCCCTCCGGTTCTTGAGTGTGGATATCAAAAACTGTAGATATTGCTTTTTCAACGTAATCCTCTGCCGGTGTTTCTAAGTAAAGAGTATCCACCGGGTACATTCTACCCTCGAGACTAATGATAGAGCCAATTTCATTTTTTTCGCCATCAGAAGAATCCTGTTTCTCAGACTGATCCGAAAAGAAATTTAAGAAATCCTCCGCCTGGAGGGTGGCGCTGCTGATAATTATTCGCAACTCTGGCCTTCGCTTTCGAATCTTCTTTAGAAGACCGAGAAGAATGTCTGTGCTTATAGACCTCTCATGAGCTTCGTCGACCATAATCACGGAGTAACGTGATAGAAGCGGGTCAACTAGAGCTTCTCGAATGAGTAGCCCATCAGTTAAGAATTTGATTCTGGTAACAGCAGATGTTACATCCTCAAACCTTATTGAATAACCAACTTCTTTTCCTACGTCACAACCATATTCTTCAGCTACTCTGACAGCAACTGTTGTAGCAGCTACTCGCCTTGGCTATTACTAGTCAGCATGGAATGGTGGTTTTTTTTTTTAAAAAAAAAAAGTGAGGGGTCTTGCCTGAGTAACAGCTATTATCTTTCCGTCTGAACACCATCCCGCGTTCTCGAGAAATTGTGGTATTTGCGTGGTTTTGCCGGAGCCTGTTTGACCAACGACGATTGTGACAGGGTTTTTCTCGATGAGATAAAGCAGGCTATCGTGATGCTTGGCGATAGGTAACAAAGCCGAAGGTTTATGAAGCGCAGGAATGAAGTTCGAATTAAGATCGAAATCACCCATGTTAAACACAGATTCGTTCAGAGACTTTGTGAGCTGTGTTGCTTCACCAACGCTCCGAGTCGATGTCTTGTGTACCTACCTATTCAACCTAGTACTTGAGGTAGTAAAAAATCCGGACCGTAGATCCATTCCATTCCTACCTCATATACATAGGCAGTATGACGTTTATGGATAGCTAGACAAGCCTTTACATAGCAATAATTATGAGCATAGAATTTCGGGGCTCCTGTTGAGTGAATGGGATAGTCAAGTGTTTTCAACTAATTTGAGTTTCTCGTAGTATTCATTATCATCCGCCCTCAGCTTGTTTGTAAAGCGAGGGAAAGCCACTTAAAGCTCATGAGCCACAGGAATTGTGGAACCGACAAGGGTTATTTGATTTGTTTTAGGCTGCCAGGACGAGTTTCTGTGGCGCAGGATTAAGTCAAGTCGGGTCGTCATTGGGCACTCAGCCCTGTTGTGGCGGGGGACGTCATGCGCGTCGCAACCTTAGAACTCCGGTAGGCAGTCGCAGTTGCCCCTCAGGGCCAAGATATCATAAGTGCATTACAGCGCCGTTCTAGGTATGGGTTGCATAAGTTAGAGTTATATCACTGTCACTTGCAATAAATCTCCTGTTTTATAATTTAAGCTGGGCCTCAGCAGGCAAACGACGATTCATCACCAATCGTAACCGTAGCAATAATCTTGCTATTCTCCATAACGTTGATTGTTCATTTTCTATTGTATTGCATAACTTCCTGAGCTTTTTCTCTTATATTTAATCAAGATGTCAGCTCCGACTGATACCGTAAGTTTCATGTGATTTCTATTCATGCGACAACGACAAGTCGCAATTTACATTCCAACTTTTGATCACCTTCTCTGTCGCTGACATCGAACTTGGCAATAATAGAACAAGGCCAATCCATCTGCGACCGTACCCGAGTCTCCTACCACCGTGCGCCCGTTCGAGATGGATGACGATGATATTCAAGAGACAGTCCCTCTCGGTGAAGACAATGCCCACCCTACGACTGCGACATCGACTACTACCAACCCAACTGCAGCTACCGAGCAAGCCGCGCCCCCGAAGCCCCCTCGGCCACTTACCGAACAACAGAAGAATGAGCAGATTCTCAAGGAAGCTTTCCCTGACATCGATCTTGTGGTCATTAAGGCTGTATTGAATGCGAGTGGCGGTCAAATTGATCCGGCTTTTAACGCTCTGCTAGGTGGGTACGATATTACTCCCGGTTAGGATGATTACTGATTATAGAAAAGGTATGAGCGATCCTGATGCCGTCCAGAATGAACCCGAACAAGATGCTCCCCCTCCACCTCAACCCCCGCGACCAACTGGGCCTAGAAGTCCCATGTCGCAGATGGAGGCGGACGAGCTCTACGCCCGCCAACTAGCTCAGCACTACGATAGCGTCGGTGCCTACGAATCGAGAACACAGAACAGGGGCCCTGGTGGCCAGTTCCCGCGACAGGCAACCGGTCTGAAGCCTAACGAGATGTACGACCGAGAGCATAGTTTCATCGATGATGATCTGCCTGTTATCAAGGAAAATTTACGCAAAGGGTTCATGGAAACTCAGACTAAGGTCAATTCTTGGTTCACCAACCTAAAGAAGAAGATCGATGGAGAGTACGATGAAAATGAGGATGAGACTCAGCCCTCGAAAAATCAGCGTCAAAGCTTGGGTAGTAGGCGCAGCGGAGAGGGCTCTCGAAGAAGTGCGGACTACCACGGCTACGACGCTGATCCACAAGTGCTTAGCGACGATTTTGCTGGAATAAGACTCCATCCGGATGGGAGTTAGTGATACCTAATTTGAGTCGCGAGGAAGATATATGGCTAACAAAGCACAGGGTCATCCCAAGATCGCCCATCGAGCAACCCAATCTACAGACCTCCGCCGTCTACATCACCTAAGCCTGAGGGTCGTAAGGTTGCCTTCAAGGATACTGTAGAGGATATTGACCAATACAATGCTTCCCCGAGAATCCCACCAAAGGATGGCTCAACCCCGCCTCCCGGAAAGCAGAGCAAGTGGCAGCCTCTATCTTCAGTCGACCCCAATCCAATCACAGACAATGATCCTTTCAGCCTTGGGGACAGCGAGGATGAGAAGGAGACGAAAGATAAGAGTAGCGGAGGTATTAAGATGGACGATAGTGAGAGGCTTAAGCAAGCTACAGCAGATGCTATGGCTGATAGCTTAGTTAGCCCCGACAAGAAAGCCGGTGGCAGCAGTAAATAGTGAGTAGTACCTATCACTAGGTACCCGGTATCAGTTATTTCTACGTTTGGTGGAGGGGGTATGGTGAGGTTGTGATGACGCAAGTTAATTGCGCGGTGCACGGATAGTCAGTCCATCTATCCTATTGGCCTCAAGTTTCAACACCGAGATATTCGGTGTTCCTTTTGTTTAATGAATCCCTAGTATTACCGGCTTGATGTTTAAGCCGAATCCGAGTTGATGTTGATCGGATTTGACATTGATGCTGCCGGCAACGTTTAAATCCGTGGGACAAAGATTCCGTACGATAGTCCTACCTAAAGGGGATGGCCGTGAAGAGCCGCTCCTCGCCTATACTTACACATGCGAAGAGCAAATAGGAATAATTTGATTGGCCGCCCGCCTCGATATGCATTCGTATCCGTATTATACCTTGTTTGTAACATCTGTAGCAGCAGCTTCCCGTCTTTCCCCTCCAACATGTTCAGCACGATCCGAACCCAGCTACGTGCTGCTGCATTAATATGTATTACTAGGTAGCTAACCGTTCGCATAGATCCGCAACGTCACAACCGTCTACTCCTCTCAAACTCCCCAGCTCCCTTTCAAGGATAAGGAGCCCCGCACTACCGCACCCATGAATCGGAGAGCTTGGTTGATATAATATTATCACATCGCCGCCTGAGAGGTCTGCGCTCCTGGGGCGTTCGATGTAACGTGTATAATATCCGTGTATGGTATAAATTCATACACGATCAATTTACCAAACCTTTGTCTCTTTCTTTCGTGTGACAGTTACACTTTATTCATATAATCTATATTATAAGTATCCATTCCCTCTTGTCATAAGAGTATAAATGTCGAACGTCTCAGAATCGTTGGACGTTGGGACGTCCAATGTGGCGAAGTATGGAATACTCGCAGTTACCTTGGTATGCTCCTAAGACATGAGGCTTTTAACTAACGGTAGCTAATACTACACGGTGTAGATAGTTACCTATCAAGTCTATCAAATCATCTACAACATCTACTTTCACCCGCTCCGTAACTTTCCCGGACCCCTATCTCAAAGAGCATCCAGACTACCTTGGGCTATCCGACATGCCATCGGTTCTCAGGCTTTTCACACACAGAAGCTTCACGACAAATATGGAACCGTCGTCCGTGTTGGCCCTGACCATCTCTCATTTACAGATGCCCGGGCATGGAAGGATATCTACGGCCACCGTGTTGGGACCGAGAGCAATATGAACGAGATGGCCAAAGCCCACACCTTTAACAAAACGATCCGCCACATCCCGACCTCGATCATAAACGCCGACCGTGAGGAACACTCGCGGTTTCGCCGAGCGCTCTCTCATGGGTTCTCCGATAGCGCGATGCGCCAACAGGAACCTATGATTTCAAGATATGTCGATCTTTTGCTGAAGGTTAGTATGTATCTACCTAGTGGCTATGCAATTCATTCGTTCGCTTCATTCCTATCTCAAATTATTCGGGTTTGAGACTTGCTCTTGAAACAATAAACCAGGTATTTTTGTGTAACTTGGCGAACGGACCCTTTTATCTCCGTGGTGGCTGACATGAGCTGTCGCTTAGAGATTACACGAGGAATGTGGTGATGGGGAAAATAAGTTGAATATCGAGGCTTGGTATAATTGGACCACTTTTGATATCGTTGGCGATCTCGTCTTCGGCCAGTCGTTCCGCTGCCTTGAGAATATTCATTATCACCCATGGATCGAGTTCATTTTCAGCAGCGTCCGGTTTGGCGCCGTCATTGTGGCGATGACTTATATCGGTTTGGGTGAACTGGTTCAGGTAATGGTTAAGGTCAGTGCGAATACTATTAAGAGAGTACAGAAGTATACCGAGGACATGGTCAGAACACGGCTGGCGATGGAGCATGAGCGTGATGATTTGTTTGAGGGACTCGTCAAAAGGCGTGAGGACTGGGTAAGTGAACCTTTCTCCACTTTGAGGCTGATCTGGTGATCTCGAATTCTAATTTTACCATGAACTCATGAATAGGGCTTGTCGTTTGAGAAATTGTCCTCATCCGCATTTATTCTTGTGCTGGCCGGATCTGAGACAACAGCCACCACCTTGTCCGGTGCCACCTTTCTCCTCTTGGCGAATCCGGAGATCCTCGAAAAACTGAAGCGGGAGGTTCGCTCATCGTTTAAGAGCGTCGACGAGATTAACATTAACTCGGTTAACAAATTGTCATATATGCTGGCAATCCTTAATGAAGCACTGCGGCTCTACCCTCCCGTCACGTCAACTTTAGTTAGGACGGTTCCCCCTGGCGGAGATCAGATTGCGGGTCAATTCGTGGCTGGTGGCGTGAGTGCCCGCGTTGACGCACATACATGAGCTAGAGAATGAAACTGACACACGGTCATATAGTCGTTCGTCGAGGTCCAGCATTGGGCAATGAACCATAGCAAGGAAAATTGGAAGGATCCGTGGACCTTCAACCCCGACCGATTCTTAGCAACCCCTGAAGAGGCTGCTAAAGCGGGGAATAAACTCGAAGCACTTCAGGCTTTCAATGTTGGCCCGAGGAATTGTATCGGCCGAAAGTAAGATATCCCCTAACTCTGAAGATAGGTCTCATTGACTAATGTTCTTCGTGACGTGAAGCCTTGCGTATGCCGAGATGCGCTTGATCCTAGCCCGCATCATCTATGAGTTTGATATAGAGCTCTCTAACGAGAGTCAGCGGTGGATTGAGAGACAAAAGACGTTTGCGCTTTGGGAAAGGTTAGTACATGTCGTCTTCCGCTCCGTCAGATGGGTCGTTCACTAACAGTTGATTTCGAAATACAGAATCCCTCTTTATGTACACTTGACACCAGTCAAGCGGTAGTATGTACCATGTTCTGATACTATATAAAACCCCCCAATGAAAAGAATATTTGGCATCTAGGTACTTTCTGCATGTATGTGAAGTATTGTGTGTATAAGACTGCTTAGACGGCTATAGGTGTAGATGACCTGGCCTGATCGTTTGTGTCATCTACTTTACTATGATGCTTGTTAGACGCTACGTTCGGTAGAAGAGTTTATGTGGAAGTTATTCTTACCAGTGAATTTTCTTGACTATTTCAAGGGATATATATTTTGCGAGGGAAATGACTTTACAGCCACAGATGCACTCCCGTAACTAACATGGTTACTAGAGAGTTGATATGGCAAGCAGAAAAGATGCCGTATATGTCGATCTATATCTTACAATTCGACAACTTTTCGTGCCATACGTTCGAGGCTACCCCAGTTTTTTCATGCGAGTTGTTGGCTTCTCGAGGAGGACACGTCAAAATCATTCCCGCAGTCAAGCAGGGATAGGTAAGTTGGTGCAAATCATCTTCTCTTATTCGTACTCGTTTACATCATCTATTGGTCCTGTGTACGACTTATCTCGATTATTAATTGAACGGAGAATACGGAAATCATTCTTGTAAAGTAAAAATAATTAAAAGGCAAATGCATACTTATACTTACCTACATAGATTTCATCTTATTCAACACTGAGCGGTTGCAAACTGTCTTTTCCAACACGTCCGAATTAGCAAATTTCTCGACATCATGGCGCCCGTAATAACCAGGGCAGTGCGTGCTATCAGCGCAGTGCCGTTCCTCTTTTTAACAGCATGGTCTTTTGGTGCGATGGACTTGGATAAGATGGCTTCGCACACTCAACCCTTCGCGGATTCGGGTGTGATAGAATGGGACGGCGGCAAGGTTGACATCATCGACCACTTCCACAACGTTGATATCCTTGACCAACTATGGCGTGGTGGTATGGCGACGTTCTCGACTTCGACTTTTGGGTATGACAGTGTTAGCTCGTGGCAGGTGTTCTCATTCCTTATTGACCTTGGTCCCATATACGCCATCTGGATATTGGAGTCGTACCGTAGGGTAAATGCTTGGACACCGATATATCTGTAAGTTTAATTCACATTAGCAAGCATGCGCAACATGGGTGTGGGTAGGCCACTGACTATGATATGGCTCAGTCCGACCATCTTTACGGTAGCGGCACAGTTATTTGGCATAGGCCCGGTATCCGGTGTCTTCTACTTTCTGTATATCACTTTTGGTCCAACACCTTCTGAGCTCGCCCGTTCCACTCAAAGCCGGTCCATTTGGAACAAGGGCAGCATACACCTCATCCTCATTATTCTTCTACTACACACGTCTGAGATATTCGCCATGTTTCTGGCCCCCGATTTCGCCACTCGTCATTACTGGACTTGGGCCTGGCAACTGACCCCTCTATGGATCGGTGTCGCCAATGTTCTATTCGACCAAACCCTACGCCTCCTGGGGCTAAGGAGACTGCTATCTATTTCACTTGCACCTTTGCTCATAATATTGGGCTTTATTTCTAGTAGCGTCTGGCTTTTTACTCTAAGCTCCTCCCCATACCCCTTAACAACTCTCTTCATACCCGACGCCGAGGAGCAATTCGAATTTATTACACATACTCGAAGAGCCCTACAAGCAGATGAGTTAGGTGTAGTTGTTAGCAGCTTGCTATGGTTGGTCTATTCGTTTTTCGACTTGTATATCGCCGGTTTGGTAGGATGGGAATGGCTCGTTTACGCTGCGTCGCTTGGGGTCGCCACTCTCTGCTTAGGACCTGGGACGGCAATCTCGGTTGGGTGGTATCTGAGAGAAAGGGCTTTGGTATCAGCTAAGAAATAGATATCATTGTTGCCTCTAGAATTTACGAGCTCTGCTCGGAGAAAAGAAATCTATACTCTAAACTACGCCCTATAATGAATGGCGTGGCAACCAATACCCATATATAAAACGTAAATCACTACAAAGTGCGTATATTCCCGGTCTTGTCTATCCCAGAAACAAATTTCCCGCCACAATCAGTCCAGCAGTAAAAAGCAAAACTCCTTCCCGCCCGACCCCCCCCCCCGACGGATGCAGATGACTACCTATATAGGTATCCATATCGGCGCCATAAAAGCCACCAATATCCACACACACTTGGAGGAGGTATCGTCCCCTTCTAGTCGCACATTCCCCTCCCACATCTCTAACCCCCCGAGCGTAACAAGCAGTAGATAGCGATCGTAGCCGTTAACATACTAACATGAAGTCAACAAATATTCCCCAGGGCAAAAAACATACTTCCGAATCGCGACCATCCCTTATCCTTCCTATCATCCTGAGTTCCTCCAGCGTAGCTTCCGTCGGCCGCCACCGGTTCATATGCATGTAGACTCTCCACTCTCCCGTCCCGTGCGCAGCGATCGTGTCCCAGCTGCCGAACGAGTGACTCGACGCCACGAAGCACACCTGGAACGGCCAGTTCTCGTTGTGATCGCACCGCGCCGAGAATATAAACTCCTGCAGGTTGGGCAAGCGAGAACATCCCCGCGCCATCGCCGTGAGCAGGGTGTTCATCGCCGCGTCATTTGGGATTGATCGGGGAATGGGCCATTCGCCTCCTTGGCCGAAGAACGATTGAAAGTGTTTGTCGAGGTACTCCTGGGCTTCTTTATCCTCCTCCTCCGTCTGTCCGAAACCTGGTGGCAGCCGGTAATGATCGGTGGGCGAGCCTGGTGAGTCGGGGGTACTGGAACCGTCCTCTTGACGGAAGAGCCATGCTCCATCTGGGCCTTTCATTTTTACATTTACCGTCAAGTCCGATAAGTTTTTCCAACAATCCGCATCTCCGCCTAGGACGTCGGCGGGAGGGTCGAAAAACGAGGCGTGTATAGGGCCTTTAACAGTGACGCTAGTGCAGTTTCTTGTAAGATGTCGTAAGGCGCAGCTGACAGGGTCGTAATTCTCTGTGCCGATGAAATTAGGGATTTTTTGGGCGGTATGACCATTTGACGGATGGAATGAGCACGAGAAGCTCTTGGTGGACGCTGGCAGGGGTGTGGATCTGATAGCATCTACCAGACCGTCGCGATAGATTTGATCAAATCTGAAGTAACGACCCCAAGAACTCTTGTTAAACCATGTACGCCAATCAACGTGTATGACGTTCGTCATTTTGGCAGTAAGAAGCGATGCAATACGAGGATGCCAGATGCGATAACAGTTATTGATAGTGAAAGAGCGGACAGCCGGGAGGGACGGGAAATCTGCCGCGTCAGAAGTGAGGTCTATCATGGAGAATGAATAGGAGCGAACTAGGTCCCTGGGATTGTAGTAGGGGGGATCTGAAATACGAATATCGAAGTTGATTCTCGGTGGCATATGGTTATCTTGGTTGATGGTAGCTATGATATTAAATAGCTGTCTCATCGATCGCGTAATTACCATACTGTTGACTCTCCGGATGTTATCTTTCTCATACTCGATTGGAGGTGTTCTGATGTTGAATGGAACGTGAATTGTGACACGGAGAGTCTTCAGATAATCGCGACGCTCTGGAGTTAGAATTCGTTCAAATTCATCAAGTTCGGACGTGTAAGTTGTAAGGTCCAGGACACGAAAGGTTCGACGCTCTATGGCAGCCTGAAACCTGCGCGATATAGTAGCGATTGTTGGGTAGTTTAAAGGAAGGTCGCGATGTGCAACTGCTCCTCTGTTTTCCTCGCCTTGTCGTCTTTCAATAAACGAAACGATGAGGTCGTAGATTTCTGGAGGTAACCTGTCCATGGTGACATGTAGCTGGATCGAAGTTAGATGTTCTTTTTTCACTTTGCTTGCGAAATTTTAACCTGCCGTTATGGGGAAGGCTTCGTTAAATATTTGTATCGAAATCAATAATGTGCGAAGCCCATTCTGAGTGGCTTGATGCATGTGTAACACGTGCCAAAAAATCACATTGGTTAGAATGAATCTGTGGCTTCCAGGGGGTCTCCCCTAGAGAAAGCTACAAATAAAATACTTACATATATCAATAGGTACCTGTTATGAAAATCGAATACATACCATATATAGGTACTGAGTGCTTCCTACCTACCTCTTCCGACTAGCTATCCCTAAATATATATCAATAAAAGCCTATAACAGCGTAAGGTCCTGAAGCTTTGGTATAGGCAGCGAGGTCCTGAGATGTAAGTTACTTTCAACTTATGTTACTTTGAAGACTAGGTACTGATAGAGTCATGAAGATGACACTGAATTAGTAGAATCAACAAGAGATTTCAGGCGCTCGTCAGCCTCGTATTCTCTCAGTGCCGTCTCCTTCCATTCCGTCCAACACTGGTCGACTCCGAAAGCTTTGAGTATTGCTTCTGCCAACGGTAAGGCGTACGACCATTCAGTCTCCAAGGCCAATCCCCAAAAGAATCTTCTCGCCTTTTCATCGGTCATGCAACTAGCTAGTTCGGGATAACCCTTTCCCTCCAAGGCATCCGCCAATGCAATATCGTCCACACTCAGTGACACTTTACCATCGCACAACGAACCCATGTCGGCAGTAACAAGTGATGGCCCGAAGGCCTCACGCGGAGGTACGACACGTGCCATCTGCCAGTCAATGATGCCGGTGACGTTGAGGTTCTCGTCGACGAGTAAGTGGTCGCCTTTGTCGTCGACATGCTTCAAGAAGAATTTCTCCGGGGTTTGTGTTTCTGCGCTGGGTGGGACTAATTGCGCTGCGTTATCCTTTAGAAAGCGGTACGTTAAATACGCATCGACTGGATACTCGGTATAGAGTTGACCGTCAGCAATGAGTGCCAGGTACTGCTCAGCAAAGGCAGTATAATAGGCAATCGAACTATCAAACGGACCCTCCGGAGTGAGGACGACAAATCTGTCGCTCGCCACTGCCGACACTTCGATGTTGGATGACTGAAAGCATAGAGATCCAGCCTTGAAGAACGGGTGCTTAGACAATTCGGCTAGGATGTCCGCGAGGGCACTCCAGAGCTTGGCCTTCTCATCATTGGTGGCTTCGTCGCCACATACTCCATTGCCCGTCCATGGCTTTCCTGGTAGTTCTTCCATGAGAAGGAAGCTGACGCCGATCCCATGATCAGTTCCGAGACCACGTACGCCATACCCGAAAGCCCGAGGTGCGGGCACGGCAGTGTGTTCAAGAAACTTCAGTGTGGCGTACTCGCTGAGTATCAGGTACCCCGCTAATGAGTCTGGGAGGCCGACAGTGCAACTTGCAACTCGCGGAACCCTTAGGAGCCAGGAGGGAGAGCCGTCATGGAAGAGAATGCGGGCGTGGTAATTGGCGCTTCCCATGAGAGCGCCCGACCCAACTTTGGAAGAGTGCTCGATGCTGCAACTTCTGCCACCATTCAGCCTGGACGCAAGTTCGCATACTGCAGCGTCGTTGATCTGAGAGCGGAGACGATTGATCTCGGTGACAATCTGCGATACGTAGGTTGCATCATCTACGACCTATTCATCGGCTCTAAAATAAACTTAGGTGAAAGAAGGTAGAGCGTATCGGTTTCTCTTACCTCACCGCATTTGTGCAGGGAAGGGGATAGGTGAGTGAGGCACAGGTGAGTGTTACAATTGTCACATCCACCAACTGCCCTGACACTTGGCCGTTCACATTCCGGTATTGAGCAACTGAAAAATCTCGGCGTCATTATGCGTTGATATACCTAATACGCCAACGAGGTTACCGTGATGACTGCATTAGCTTGTGTGAGGAGAGAATTATTGAAAATACCTAGGTACGAAGTAGATTTTGCTTTTTTTGAAGCAGATAATCAGGAATATGAATAGGGGTAGGGGCTGGAGTGGGGTGGGGTAAAAACATGAGGAGCAAAAGCAAGGGAGTAAGACAAATCAGCCACCTCAGCTTGCATACTAGGTACGTACGTATAAGGGCTAGAAGAGGAGGAAGAAGAAAACGTTTATAGCTTCGAGATTTCGTAGATCTCATTTACAATTCTTTCCTTACAGCTCAGTTTCCGTCGTACTGTCCTATTTCACTATGGCCGAATTCACGTCTACACGCGAGGGCTTCCAGCGTGCTATGGAACTGTCCCTGAAAGGCAACCCCGAGGAAGCCAAAGCATATGCGGATTCTACATCGCTGCCAACATTCTACCAAATAATGAACGGCCATCGCCTAGATTATGATACATACGTCAAGGGTATCATTGAGTGGCGTGGTAAGGTCAACGATTTCAAGCCGGTCGTGTGAGTATCTTCTCTCTACCCATCATTCGCATATGTAGACTAGAGACTCGAAGTTGACGTATATCGTTCCTATAACTATAGGCACGAGTTTCTTCGAGACGGCGACCAGTTAGCGGCACGCATGACCGGATCGATCAAGATCAGCGGCACCGATACCAAATTCGAGAGTTTCATGTTCGGGAAGGTGGACAAGGCCACTGGAAAGATGGAATGGTTGATCGAACGGTCTGTCTGGGAACCCGTGGGCGGAGCCTGATCGTAGGGAGATATACATAATATCTGCACATTATAGTTACTCAGAGAGCTTGTATTGCAAACATGAGATGGCCATATCTCCAAGGAATGATCATTGATCATTGATGGTTAAGTGATATGTGCCTAAGTAATAGGGGTTTAGAATATCATGGTTGTATAAAATGAAAAGTAGTAGGTAATGGTAAAACTTCGGTGACAGCACATAATTAAAATACTTAATATCGGAGACCGATGAGCACTTGAAATTTGTTGACGACGGAAAGAACAACGGAAGAACCGGAACTCGCCGACCGGTCCCGGGTCTCGGAGGCGACGTCGAGGTCGAAGACCACGGGGTGAAGATATGACTTTCAATTGGCTGGGATTATTTATGAGAAAGAGGAGATGGAAAAGTAGCTGCGATGTAGAGTGGATCGATCACCCACTTTGTGGGGCTGACTTGCAGCCCATTCCCGAAAAAAACAAAACTACCATTCTGAGATGTACTTGTACTAGGGTCCGATCGGGGCATGTCAATCCGCCATGACCATAAGATCACGAAGGACTTGCTATAACTATGTATGAACGCGATTCTTCCGGCTTGCCTTTTCAAGGTTTCCAATAGTACGGCAGATATATTTCCGCTTAAAACCATTATCAATGATGCATCCTACAGTTGAGAGAGCTGGCGGCTTTACTAGATGAGTACCTACCTATGCACATACCAATTGATGTACATAAAAGTGTACTAGCATGTACATAGCGGGTGAAGGTAGTCACTTCCAGCCGGTCTTTTTCTTAGTACCCCACTATCGAATTGTACGTGAGCTGCTGTCTTGAACTGAAAAAAAGATCAGTGCTCCCAAAGCTTGCCTTTGTCAACCTGCGTTCAATATTCAGAAGCTTGCATAAAAAAAGTATCGACGGGGCTCAACAAGCTCGGTCCATTACGTATGAAATTTAACGCTTGTTTAATTCTACAGATGAACTCGGCCTTTCTATCCACATTCCTATAATTAGCCTCCGACTATACGATAAATTATAATCCGAAACCTCAATCATATGCCTATTACCTATTACCAAGGTATGCATTGGTCTGCAAGGTTACTAAGAGCTAGTACATTGTCGCTACATGGCTATTAGCTCCTCGGCGTTCGAGACCTATCCATGAACCTATGACAAGTTATCTACATACTAGGTACATACATCTATGGATACCTCCTTTGCACGGCCGTACGAGTTTGACGTCGTTTGAAGCACCGAAGCACTTGAAGCCGACTCATGAGAAAGTCTCTACGTCTCCATTTTTTCCCATGTAAGGTACCCTCCTAATCCCTCCAGTCCCTCCTATCGACCCTATCGACCCCTCCACGGGATTAAACATCGTCATATTAAAGAGTCTGGGGCACGTCCTCGTCACTTTTTTCCTGCGTCACATCCGTCTTTACCTGAACCTATCAGAAGCCTTTCTCTTTCTGCTACCTGCTAAGTAAAGCAGTTTCTAAGCCATTTCGTCGGGATCACCAGCCGCTTCATGCAGAGAACAGTATCTCGTTCCAACTCTTCCAACCCTTCACAACCCTATCTGACCCCCACTCACTTGCACGGCCGCCGTCATTGGATATCAGTACCAGTGCTTTGGGCTTTTGGCGCATCGTCTTACCAAACCACTCTAGTTGCCTGAAGATCCAGCTTTTAGTACCGACGCGCCGTTATACGACCGGTCAGATCGTTGTGAGCGTGACCTTACAGTTTACTACTTCCGTCACCACTCGTTGGTTTCTCCATCGTGAGAATTCGGGTTCTGTCTCGAAGAAGGTAGAATACCTACCTAATGTATGCTTGTTTGCTACCTTTATTAGAACCAACATCCTCGTCTTTTATCGAATTAGTCTAACTTAGACTTATTTATGCAGCATCCCGAGGTGGTGGCTAATATTCCGAAGTTACAAGTCGGGCGGGAATCCTGTTCAAGAGCTTGCTCCTTACCATAACGCCCCCCTCTCCTGGAATTGCCACATGCTCGAATGTTAATTGACTTAGTGCTACTTACCTCTAGCCTTCAACTTCCTTCTCCTGCTTGTCTCTCCTAGCAACTTTAAGTCCTCTCAGCAGAGAATTATATGACTCGAGAGACACATCTTTGAATGTTTAAGCCCCCCCGTCTCTTACGTCAACCCTCCCGTGCCGCCAGTACACACTTCCCCTAGTCTCCCCTGCTGCAACCCGCATTCCTACATTTAGTTACACACGGAAGACGGCCATCGAAATTACCTACTGTATCTACTGAGACACGCCTTCTCGGCCTGTCTTGAGGCCTCCGTCCGAGTAAACAGCCTCTACAGGCTGGTTGCGGGCGCCTCTGCCGCACCATGTAAGTCCCAGCCCGTTAGCCGCGGATTATCTTTCCCTCTTACCTGCTGTATCGGAATATCGCCTTTAGCATCGGTGAGGTCCACTAATACCTCTTCAGGAAGTTCGGCAAGCAAATCCAGAAGCGTCAGCTCGAAGTACCTGAATATGCCGCCAGCTTCGTAAACTACAAGGCGCTCAAAAAAGTATGTCGGCTGTTTTATCTTAGTCAATAGCATACCTGCCTATGTATGCTTTCCGTGGGGCTTTAAGGCGAGCCAGACCCGTGTGAAGCAGGGAAAAGGCTGAATTGTTACTCGTGCTATCTTAAATGAAACTTGTGTTGCTTGCAAAGTGGGATTGTATCACTAACATTAGCCAATAGCTCATCAAGAAGCTGTCTGCTACCCCGACACTGAGCGCTCAAAATGACCCTCACTTTACTCCCACGCCGGTAGACACCCAAGTTGCTCTACAGGCAAACAAAGCAAAGTTTTTCTTTCAGCTGGTAGGATTTACTCTTTTCTCGTAGAGAATTATGTGCCTATGAATGGCGCTTACAGTGCGTAGGAACGAGAGTTAGAGAAAGTCAACGCATTCTACCTCCAGAAAGAAGCAGAGGTATGCAAATATATCACTAAGTATTGATTTTGAGGCGTTGGTGCTGACACCAATCAAGCTCAAAATTCGACTCAAAACATTGTTAGATAAGAAAAGAGTACTACAATCTCGTCACAGCATCTCTAGACGCTCGGCCAAGTTCACTACTCTAGAAGAAGGGTTTCAACAATTTGCGAATGACCTGAACAAGCTTCAACAATTCGTCGAGATTAATGGGACAGCCTTCTCTAAGATCCTGAAGAAATGGGATAAAACATCTAAGTCTAAGACGAAGGAGCTGTACCTATCGCGTGCTGTGGAGGTACAACCATTTTTCAATGCCCCGGTCATTAGCGAACTCTCAGATCAGGCGACAACCAGTCTGCAAGAGCTTGGAGCTTGGGCAGACGGCGACCATGTCCCGTTTGAAGCTCGTTCGGAACATATGGTGAGTAGCCAACATCTGCTCGGAACAGATGAAGGCGACGCGGATAGTCTGTTGCTCGATACGGCAATTTCTGGCAACTTGGAATCACTGCGAGATCTACTCTCAAGGATGAGAGCTGGGTCTAGTTCGCCGTCCGGGATGGATGTTTCTTTGATGGAGAGAGTAACCCGCACGTTTCTCGCTGCTATCCACGAAGCACCGCAGGCTTCCCTTGAAGTCTTGTTAGAGACCGGACTCGTTGATATTCGATCCGAAGACGACATCAACGAGAGAAACTGCCTCCACCAAGCCACTATCTACGGAAACTCGTTTGTGTTAAATGTCGGCTTATCAGGAGGAGTTGAAGTTAATAGGACAGATGTTTATGGGCGGGTACCACTTCACTATGCGAGCATGCATGGACGATTGGATATGCTCGAACTTTTACTTCAAGGTAAAACTAACCTTGATCTCTCGCCGGATGACATGGTACTAAAGTTGACGCATAGCCGACCCGACGACAATCGACCTGATTGACCACGACAACTTCACTCCACTGATCCACGCGATTATTCACGGCCATCTCGCATGCGTCCAACGACTTCTTTTAACCACGTCGCGTTTAGATCCCGTGTCGGAAACCGACCACATACCACTTAATCTCGCCTGCGAGCATGGATCGCTTGATATAGTCAAACTACTTCTGGCACATGGGGCACAGATACTACCTGATGCTGAAGGGCTATACCCACAGCATCTCGTAGCACGTTCGGGTCAAACACCTCAACTACTTCGGTTGTTGCAGGAATATGGCGCCGATCTAGACCAAATCGATAAACTATATGGCTGGACACCACTAGTGCATGCGGCGAGCGAGGGGAATGTGCCTTGCTTGGAAGAGCTCTTGAATGTGGGCGTGGATCCTAATATCGTTGACGAGAAAGACCTGCCTGCTATGTATTATGCGGCGTGGGAGGGACATCTAGAATGCATTCAGAAGCTCACGCCATACCAACGGAGAAATATAGAGAACTCCCTCATGATGCAGACTACTGGTCCTCTCCTAGGTCCTCTCGGAAGTGGAAGCACACCAATTCCAATGTCGCTTGACGCCGACGCGATCCCGATCCTCGAACTTCCGCCACCGATAATACCATTACGACGTTATGGCCATAACTTCCTAGATACGAAGGCCGTCATCCAAATTAGCTTCCAGGAAGACGGCGACCATCCATTAGTATTCTTTCACGATAGCAAGTATCCTGCCGCACGATTAACTATTTCGTCTAAGTTATCAGACCTCATACCGAAGAATATCATGTTACCTTTCCAAGAAGATACCCGGTTGGTATCTTTCCAGGTCGACAATCTCGATACATTTACCCTCGACTTTGACGTGTTCCCCACCTATGGCGCAAAAATCATCGCAAAGACGGTTGCGCTTCCAAATACGTTCCGAGCTTCCTGGAGTAGCTCCGGAAAGTGTTGCCTTCCATTGTTCGACCCACGGCTCCGAGCGATTGGCCAAATATCATTTAATACTCAAGTAATTAAACCTTTCCAGGGCACTCCACTAGAGATTACGGACTTTGAGACATATTGGAAGGCCACGAGTCAGCTTGATCAAAATCCAACCATGTTTGTTACTGGCTCGAGTTTATCTGGCGAGTTTGTTCAGCTATACGTCCAGCATACGAGTGATGGCATACCTGTTATATGGCCGCAGTGGATGATTCAATGCGGCGGGATTGATGTATCGATCTCACGATTATCTTACGAACAATTTTCTACCGTCACGGCATCAAACCCAGGGCGAGCTCAACTTCCCTTGGTACCATCCCAGGGCCTTAGCAGTATTGCCGATGTTCATCGAGTACTTAACACAGCGGGAATATCTCTAGGAGAAGCGCTTTCACTACTTCCTAACTCGATGCATGTAGACCTCCAAATTATCTATCCATCGGAAGACGAGGAACGAAGGCTAGGGCTGGGCCCGACGGTGAACGTTAACAGTTTCGTGGACTCCATACTTACCATAGTATTTGATCACGCGAGAGAACAGAGGGCACAGACGATGTCGGCTCCTGATACTGTTAGATCAGTTGTCTTTAGCTCTTATAACCCTACGCTCTGCACGACTTTGAATTGGAAGCAACCGAACTTCCCCGTATTCCTCTGCAACGACCTTGGCCGCGAAGATGTCATGCTCTCGCCTAGCGTAATTCAGAGCAGCGGACGGAGGACGTTCTCGGTCAAGGAAACTGTAAGGATAGCGCAGAGCAACAATTTTATGGGGCTTGTTTGCTGCTCTCGACTATTGGTAAGTTCATTTTCGAAAAGAGGACAATTTCCAAGCATTTTAAAGAGTGTCGCTAATATGATATCGCGATTAGAACATGGTTCCAGCTCTCGTAGATGCGATAAAATCCCACGGGTTGGCATTAGTCGTCGATAAATCAGCCGAGCAAGCCACGGATCCATACCTGCATTCAGATCTATTCCCCATCCCCAAAGGCGTCGATGGGTTGTTGAAGGGTAACGGGGTCTTGAGATTTAACGAGTCTATAGAGGTATAGACAAAACGGCGGCCTAGAGTATTGGTTACAGCATCAGTTATGGAATCAGTTCCGAGGCTCTGTTCGTATGTGCATATGTTATACGGTACGGCTTGGCTTGCGGCTTATGGTATAGCTTAGACATAGCATTAATGGAATGATATGAATAAAAAAGTGAATCGTTATTCTTTTTATTGAGCACTTCCGTGCTATCGTATCGCGTTGCATAGAAGCAAGCTCCTATTATGCCCCCTTATACTCGTATCGCAGCGCGCTTAACTCCCTCTCCGGATCGACACTACCCATCACCATCTTCGCAACCAGCACAACCCCATACACAATCGCAGGTAGATTATTCAACCCGACATGTCCCCAATACCCCTGCGAAGCACCCGACCTCGAAAGCAAGCCTGTCAGGACCAACACCGCGCACAGCCCGACGTTCAGATACGGCAAGTACCGAGCCAGCGGCGAATCGCGATGTTCCTCCGCCCAAAACGGCGAATTCGCTATATCACCCCTACTACCATAATCATCATCATCGCGTTTCCTCCGTCCAGAATCCTTCCCCTCCTTACCTCCCCCAACCCACCCATCCAAAACCCCAATCCCCGTAACCCCCGGCCTCCGCACCCACAGCGTCCAAGCCGTACACGCCAAACTCGTCAGACTCAGCAACGCCGTCGAGCGATCTGTGCCGCCGTTCCGATCACTAGTAGATGAAGGGGACACTAAGGCGATTAGGTACGGGAGCGTGGACACGGCGGGGAGACAGAGGAGGAGGATGCGGAATTGTGCGTTTCGCAACTCGTTTTGCTGGGTTAGGGCCGCGATTAGGGTTTCTTGTTCTTGCTCGTCGAGGGTTTCGGGGAGGATGTCGGGGAGGGTGTCGGAGTCGGAGTCGGAGGGGTAGGCGAAGGTGCGGCGGAGGCGGGAGGTTGTGTTTTCCATGGTTGGTTTTTTTCGTGGGTTGGGATGGGTTGGTATGGTTATTTGGTTGAGTGGGGATGAAGTAAAAAGAGTAAGTGATGCGATGGTATTGATTAAGTTTGGGACAGCATGATGAATGTAGTAGGATGATGATGGCTCCTAGAGTAGATGGACGGACGAGCTGTTGCTTGGTGTTTGATTGCGATCAGGCTGATGTTGAGCTAAGGAAAACTAAATAATAGCCTTGTGATCCAGGTGGGTGGTGGAAATGACGTAATATGTAGGTACCTACCCAGTACTTATGATTGGGGCGAAAAAAAGAATACATATGTATGCTTCAACCCCAGGCTCAGCAAGCGGTCTACACACACGGCTTTCTAACTGAGCCATATAATTCCAACAGGTACTTGAAGAATTGTTACAATACATAATCTTCTTTAGATATATAAACCTTACTCAGGTAAAAAGTGGCCTAAACTTCGATCTGATCGTGACTCACTATTATAGCCTTAGGTACCTAACCTACAGGTATCATACCCCCTTAAAAATTGCATATTCCGACATCATGAACATATTCGACGTTATAGACAGAATATATTGAAGTAGAAGACTGAATACAATTTCATTTTCAGGGATACATTTCATCTTGAATTTTGCATTGTTGGATTCTTATACGCAAGCCTCAAGGAGTTGGAATTAAGTTTAACGGTAGCTAGTCAACTTCTTGCCGTGGTTAAGGCCAACAAGATGATGTTATAACGGACATGCTACTATCGAATCTATAGGCCATGGTGAATAGGGAGTATCGGATTCTGTATATAACTCCATGTTAATTCTATGCCTGAGCTTCATAAGAATCTTTCATTGTCCGCCATAGGTCATCTTTCCCGGAAGAGTAAGGGATGCCTGAGCAGATATGATGACTTTAAGGTCGGTGGCACAGTATAAGTGAATGGTAGCAAGAATGAAGCCCATTTTACTTACGAGACATCCCTTTCAAACAGGCCGAAACATGTTTCCAAGCCCACCATATTTGATACACGGCAAAAGTTGAGCGGCAATATATACAATTCCAATTGTTTATACAGCGATACCAATACACAGTATCTACGACGTCGTCGGGAACCCCCTAAAGTTCCCATTATTATCATATTTCGCCTCTGTCACCGCATTAGCCCTCATACTCCAACTTCCATCCATCCCAGCACCAACCCAAAAACACCGCGGAATAACTAGGAAAAAGACAAGCACTCACTGAAAAACGTATAACTCAACGTAACCTCATTAATCCCACGCATATTCAAATCATTCAACAGATCCGGGTCCAAGTAGAAGAACACCGGCATATCGACCGTCTCGCCCGCATTCAGCCTCTGTTCCTCGAAGCAGAAACACTGGATCTTGCTGAAATACGGAGCCACCTGGGCCGGTGTAACGCTGTACGTGGCTACGCCGATGATATCGGAGTCGCTCCTGTTCGTGGCCGTGTAGAAGGCGAGCGCGGTTTCGCCGGGGAGGACTCGTACTTCGCGCTGCTGCGGCACGAACTTCCACGGCAGGATGTCGGAGACGGAGGCGTTGAAGGTCACGCGGATGCGTCGCGCGTCGGTTACGGGGATCACGCGCGAGGCTGGGTCGAAGTCGCCGGAGCCGCCGTGGCTGGGCGCGCGGATCGGTTGGCCGCCCCAGCCTGTTGTTTGGCAGATCTGTTGAGGTTGGTTGTTAGTTACGTATACATCTTATAAGTCGTATATATGCGCAAAGCATGGTGTGTGTATGTAGATATGGGGAAACGAGGTAGGCCGTACCATCTTATACATGGGAACCGATCCGTACGAGAAAGCGACGGTACCGAGGATGATGCTGAGCGTGTAGTACCTATGATAGCCATTGAGCGACGAACTTGCGTAAGCGATGGGATTAATGAATAGAGTAGCCGTACATCGTCGACCGGTTTTTATATCTGTAATATTCCGCCATTCGTTCCATCGACGGGGCATCGGCTGTGTGAGTAGCTTGCGCTTTCTTCGCCCTTGCGCTATTCGTTACAGTCCTACGTGGGGGGGACAGTTTCGTTCGAGCCAGGGCCCTGCGACAAGAGGCGCATGCCCATTGTGACGTTGTGTTTGCTTGTAGCAGCCTCCATGAGGTATGGTAAAGACTATTCATTATGTCTTAAAAAATGATGTTCGCTGTTTGGAAGCTTTGTCGAGGTCATCATGCCATTTGTGGGGTCACATCGAAAAGCTCAAGGTCCCTGTGATTTTAGTGGACCCGGGAAGCTTACGGGGTCTAGCTAGTGATCTACCCCGCTATAAACCTGCACAATTAAGTCAGATAGGCGACTTTTATGCCACAATCATGAACCATGTAATTATTCATCCACTGCTAACAGGAGACTGAACAATCAATTAATTTAAAACGAATGATACTCAATAGATCTTTATAGAGCGGACCATAAGGCCGAATCTGCCAACCCGCCAATTCAATTAATGTATTAAAATGTATACAGTGTAATACAGTAGAATAACGTACAGTCTGAAAAGTATTGCACACGGTACCCCGAACCTTACAGTGGGTGTTAGCGTTATAGGGCGCTGGAAGGCCTGTAGCTTATAGGCTTTATAGCGCATTAACTCCTTGTAACTTATAGTTGGTTTTTTAGGTATGTAAAAAGCCCTAAAGCTAGCGCTAGAGTCTTCTAAGGTTATTATTAATATTTTAACCTTTTCGAAACGAATTAAGTCAATTGATTCATATGATTCAATTGATTTATCTAATTCAATCGATTAATTCGATTCAGTTGAGTGCGTAATAGGTAAGTAAATAAACATAGACGCGCAATAGTTCAAAACGAGGGGTATCACGTGATATACGCTAAGCCCTATTAGGTAGTACCTATAAAAAAGGCTATGCGCTATAACCCTTATAAGTTACAGGGCTTTCAGCGCCCTGTAGCGCTATGACCCCTGTAAGATTCAGGACACTGTGTGGAATATCTATTAAACTGTACGCTATTCTACTGTATTACACTGTATACATTTTAATACATTAATTGAATTGGCGGGTTGGCGGATTTGTTCTTATGGTCCGCCGTCCTTTATTCTCATTGATTGATATCCTTTGGTTTCTGTTGTGGCACTATTGTAGAGGGTGAAGTCACTAGGAGATGAGGTGGGAAAAGGGGAAGGGGAAAAGGAGGAGAGGGACGGAATCATCTAGAGAATTATGAGAACCCTAACAATATATGGAAGTTATGATATTATTGATTTCTACCTTAGGTATTGTACAACAGCCTTATTGTACAGCGATTTGAACAGACTATGAATGTTTATCGTTCAGTATCTTCTTGCTTGCACCATTGGCCTTTGGCAGCGTTTTCCTTCTATTTTTGCCGAATATCCATTCCAGAATATCTACGACGAAAACCTGGATGGCCATGATGATAAGCTTGACGACCAGGTCTGTGATGCCCAACTTGGGTTTCTTCCCTCGACTGTACGTCGAGTCCACGAATTCGAATGGTAGCTTTGCTCCGAGATGAGCGCTTGCCGCATGTATTCCACTACTAAACCCGTCTTCGTGAAACCCATATTTTGTCCAGGCGCCTGCATAACTGATTCCTCTCGTGTTCTGTATCTTAGGTAAAGCTTGTTGCGCTCTAATCGCATCGGGAGTGTATAGTGGATGTGAATATGAGTATCGACCTTGAATAGTCTCTGGTTTCGGTTCCTGGATGGGATTTAGTGTCACCAAGACGTCGCCGAAGCCTTCCTTCGGAATGTGTTGAAGGATGTTCATGTTATACGTCAATGAGACTTGATCAATGTCTTTACCCGTCCAAGGCGATGACACCGTGAGATAGTTCCAAGCAGACCATGACTTCTTGCGCTGTGGCATATGCGAGAGATCTGAATGGAGAATGCAAGTATTTTCAGAAGTTTTGAACGAGGACATGATTTTCTCCTCCTCAGGGGTAGCTGAAGGCTTGATAATCTGATAGGCCTGATCTCCATGAGTAGCCAATATGACGTGATCAAACACCTCTGTCTTCCCATTCTCTAGGTGTAACCGAACGCGCCCATTCTTTTCACTTGTAACGTGCTTGACAGCTGTCTTCAAAAACAGATGATTCGGTGGGAATCCACTCATCACCGCATCAATGTATGATTTTGCGCCGCCTTCCAGAGTAAGCCAATCTGGCCTAGCAGCAACTGTACTTAAGAGATGATGGTTCCACCTTTATGGTATAATTAGTAAATATACACCAACGAATTTGGCTGGCGACTTACATAAATCGAATGAGAGTTACGGCAGGAAATTCCAATGTACACTTATCAGGGCTCGTACTCCACACGGCGGCCGTCATGGGTATTAGGTAGTCATTGCGGAACGTCTCAGAATATCCTTCCCTATCCAAATATTGGCCAATGGTCTCCATAGGTGCAGCTCCCTTTGAGGCAGAGGAGTCGTCGCCATCGTCATCTTTGAGTAGGTCCAGAGCAAACTGGTTGAAGCGTATGATATCGAAGATTAGTCTCCACATCTTCAACGAGAAGATATTTCTCTTTTGGCTGAAAACGGAGTCTAGGTTTGTCCCTGCCCATTCAAACTTTCCCTGGTCCCGCGAAACACCGAAAGTCATCTGAGTGGGCACGGTGTTTACCTTAATATTTTTAAGGAAGTTGATGAAGTTTGCTAAATCTAGTTAGCAACTTGCGGGCGTATAGACTTGTACTAGGTAGTTTACGAACGGTATGTAGCCGTGTTGAGGACGATGAAGCCCGTATCGACCAAAGTGGTAAATTTGCCCTTTTTCCATTCTACCGTGTTGGTATGACCGCCCAGACGGTCACCCGCCTCGTAGAGATACACATCATGATGAGTGCGATTCAGAGCCCAGAGAGCACCGATTCCAGCAGAGCCACTCCCGACAATAGCTACCTTCTTCCTAGATACACGGTTAGTGGATGATGTCATGAGTCCCTATACAGTAAGAGACTATAAAGACTGAAGTTATAATAATGAAGGAGCCAGAATTTCATGAGATACTGTGAGTAGGAATGTGGAGATGGAGGAAGGCAATAGTATGTAGGTCAGTGATCGTAGGACTTTGGCGGTGGGAAGGGAGATAGCCTAGGAAGTGGTGGCGGGCTAACTATGTAGGTGTGCGTCACACGACATTGTCCATCTTCAATAGTTCAAGCATACCGGCCAATCCGTAACTGAAAATAGGCAGGCAGTGCTGAAATGTTGGAGATTGGAATGGAAGATGGAAGCTGGAAGCTTCAATGCTAGATAAGGTAAGTTCCGAGGTATGTAAAGGTGGAAGCTGCATCTGCCGCATATCACATTTACATCCATGGATAGTTGCTGCTCCTGTTAGGATACTTTATACTTACATATTCGGATCTATAACCTTGGCACTCGCATCTGCCTGAGCCATCTAGGACTTAATGTTTCTGACGGTCCAGATAGTTAAACGTAGTTAAAATAAACATTAGTTATGAGAAGAGACGACCAAGTTGATGTATAGATTCAAAACACTCAGATAGTTGTTAGGTTACATGCCTAAGGGCTGAAACAAGGATCCACTGCCACTGTAAATAGTCCGACTATTAACGCTTTGACTGTAGCCACAAGAGTCTATGACATTGATATCTTCACAGCTGACAGATTCGGACATGTCTCTGAGACTGAGACATAACATCACCGGCGACTCGCTTAATACTTCTGTGCAGGTAGATTTCAATTGACGAGGCTCTGCTATCCTTTCTTAGCACTGATAACAGAATAATCAATATTCTCACATAGTCTATCACTCATTACATAGTTGAGAATAACTCGCCTTCACTGAGAAGACGCATTTGCGAGAGCTAGCGAAGACTTTTTCTCGGGTTTCGCCGTTTCAATTGTCTTTTCTTTTCTCGACTAAAACTCCGAGGGAGGAATATCTATGAAAACATTTCGTCTAATCAGGGAATGTCGAGGCTCAACGGGATCGAATATTCAGAGGCGGAAGTCCGCAAAGACCACGTCTAATACCCAATTCTTAGAAGCTCCATTTTCGGTCTGCCCGGCTAATACAACTTCACGTCTGTAGAGAAAAAGAACGTAGAGCCTTAATTATCTGCGTCCGGGGGTTCAACTTTCATGGAGAAGAAAAGGAAAAGAAGAAATAAGACACGCACTGGCTCAGATTCATTAAATATTTTTTCTCTCTCGGATGAATTTCCCCACAAGAGGTGGCTGGTAATTGTGGCTAGTACCGCAATCGGTAAAACGGTGCCTACTGCTGTCCCCACTCTTAATCTTGGTCTGGACCGCATTGACGGATCTAGGAACTGGCAAGTTACGCAACACGCATGATCTCTCCTGCAACTTCGATATACCGTTCATGTAGTCATCTCTAACTCAGCCAACCACATTCCCGATTACCTATCCGAAGACCCTCTAAAATCTAGTAAGCAGGCGCTCGACTATCTTAATTCGACAACATCTACCACGGGTTCTCCTTTTCAACCGAGATACTCTCCGCGAGAGTTTCGACTATCCCAGCCACAGTCAACGAGTGAAAGAAAGGAGCAGCAATCATCACCATGGCCAACCCTCTCGACACCGACGCCGGCTCCGAGCTGTTCAGCAGCTACGAAGCCGAATTCAAGCTCGTCCAAGCCGACTTGACCCAAAAACTAGACCAGATCCCCGAGCTCAGCGGCGAGCCGCGCAAGGCCGCTATCAGCGCCGCCGAGCGAGCCCTCGAGGAAGCCGACGAACTGGTAACCCACCCTTCCCTCTCTCTCCATCTATCCACCCATCCAAAGCCCTCTGCCCGATCGATCCTAACCACCTAACTAACAACCCGCACCAGCTCGGCCAAATGCGTCTCGAAAAACAAAACATCCCCTCCTCCACACGCCCCAAAATAAACCAACGCTTCCGGAACTTCGAAACCGACGTCGACAGCTACAAGCGCAAGCTCAACTCCCTCGCCTCGGACCGGGCCGCCCTCTTCGGGAACCGGTACACCGACGACCCAACCCCGTCCGACGTGCAACTCGAGCAGCGGCAGCAGCTGCTCTCCGGCACCGACCGGCTAGACCGGAGCAGCCAGCGGCTGCGGTCCAGCCAAGCGTTAGCGAACGAGACGGAGGCGATTGGCGCGGGGACGTTGGCGGACCTGCATGCGCAGCGCGAGCGGATCTCGCATACGGGCCAGATCTTGTATGAGAGTGAGGGATACGTCGATCGTAGTGTGAAGACGCTGAGGGGTATGGCTCGTAGGTAATGACTCCCCCTTTTCCCCGGAAGAATATGCGGATATGCGCGTGTATCTGTGCGTGATGAGAGTGGAAGGCTAATGTTGGATAGGATGGCTACGAATCGGGTGATTACTATTGCTATTATTACAGTGCTGGTGATCCTGATCTTCGCTGTTATTTACAGCAAGTTCAGGTGAACAACACAACAAGAGAGAAGGGCGACAGACCGAAGAAGTTGGTCGGTCGTTGTATAGGGGAATGGAGGAGACGACGAGTGAATGTGGCATCTGTAAATTTTTTCAATCCTGCCAAGTGTAATGTCGAGAGAAGTTTGCAGTTACAAGAACGGCGTTTGGGGAGCGTTAAACAAGGGGACCATTGGGAAGATTCTCATTATCACGGTCGTTTCTCGTACATATTCCCTACCGTAGTCTTCAGAGGAGGCTACGTTCGGATTGGCTTTGACTTCACATTAATTAAGAACAAGGACGTTTGATGGTTGACGTATCATCTATTTTTCATTTCGTATCGGAGAACCCATGTTCACAACCCCGTGCCTATGTACGCCTCAAGTCACTAACCAGACAAGCAAAAACGAGATACTCGCAGCCATCTATGTATAGCAGCAGCTATGCCGTTAACGGGTATCAAACTCGGCTCGCACCGCTCATCTCCTACCGGGAGATTTCGGTTTACCGACCTTGCCTGAGAAAGCTGGGCCGTGTCTCTTCTCCTCCCCAAGCCCTCGTCTCCCAGATGCAATGCCTCCCCTGCCACTCCTTCCTCCGCGCATGCCGCCTCCGCGCGTACCACCACCTCGCATACCTCCGCCACGCATACCGCCGCCACGAGAAGGGCGTCCTCCGCGAGGGTTGAAGCCGCCTCTACCACCTCTGCTGATCTGAGACTTGATGTTGGAGACATCTTTCTCGTCGACATCCATCTCAACATCGTCATCATCGTTGTCCTTCCCTCGCTTATTAGAGAACTTTAGACGTCCGCCTCGTCCCCTATGTCCGACATCCTTGCTCTTAAGAGCCGCCACGTAAGCTCCGACTCCGCTCTCTTCTCCACCATGAGCTCCGCCGTGAGCAGGTGTATCGATGACCATAGCATCATCGTCGCCGTCATCTTCGCCCAATATCAACTTGCCGTCCATATCGGTCTTGGCTTTAGTCCTACCCGCCTTGCGCAATTTATCAGGTTTGGTGGAGGAGATGCTGGCTAGGGCCTTGCGATCCAACAAATCCAGAGGCTCGTCATCATCTTCCATAATGTACGTAGAGCCGCCCTTCTGCGACTTTCGCGACTTCCCAAGAACCTCGGCGTCAGAGTCGTCGGAACCGTCAGATTCTTCACTGCTATACAGCGCCTCATCGTATTCGCTCTCAAACCGACCTCGCCGCTTGCCATTCTGTTGTTCATCTTCGTTTCCTGCTTCCTTAGCAGCCTCCTTTCGTTTCTTACTACGCTCCTTGGTCTTTCGGATGTTGGTTATCAATTTTCGGTCCGCTTCGGGGCAGTTCCTATTGACAATATCGAAGCCAAAGCGGCGGACCATGCGTTCCAGAATATGCTTGACCTTGGCTCTGCAAAAGTGTCCCTTGTGCTCGTGGGCCCATACCATCAAGTTCGGAATCATAGTTGGTAGGCGTGGTAACATCAGATCTGTCGGCAAACTGATGACACATACCTTTACAAACCCTAGAACACTCCTGACAATCTCTCGGTTGTTAGATGTCAAGAATAAATCCATAGTCTGTACAAGGTCACTGAGCACCTCTTTGTTCAGTGTCTCGCGGAACTCATAGAGAATGCGAGTAAGGGCGGTGATGGAGGCAGATATCATGTGTGGCGTGCTACCCGCAAGTCCGGCGCTAACCATAGTGATGTATTCTTCTATGCTTGCAGATACGGATGGTGCATCCTTGGGCATATGAGGGATCTTGCTATTATCGATTGGCTTGCCCTTCGCTTCCGACAGCTTTTGCCCCATAAGAACAAGCAATTCGAAAGCCAAAGTTCTCGCTTTCTCATTTTGCTCTTTGCAACATATGACTACCTCAGATAGTACAGAAGGGATGAAGTGAAGCGACGTAACGGGGATGAACGGTACGAGCGCAGTAATTGCCGCCAATCGTTCTCTTCGGGCGGGGACTGAGACTTTTTCTGCGCTGGATAGCAATAGGTTTTGTAGTTCCGCATTTCGTTCTTCGAGCGCCACTTTGCCAATCTCGGACTCGGCAAGCCGTGGAATTAATTTGTAAGCTTTCTTCTGCAGCTGCGGGGCGTCATCCCTCACAATGACGAGTGCGGCAATGTTGAAAAGAGGACCAAAGCTCTGGCGAGGAAGGTAAATTGACATAGTAATGACCAAATCCATGAGTGTCTGGCTGGTAGAGGGTGTCTTCTCCTTTGACTTTTGGCCCTTTTCCTTTTTCTCATTTTCAATTTCGCTTAATGACGATGCCAACATGGTGCTGACACGGTCAAATGTCTCGACGAGTTCATTCTCAGGTGTGATGCTCAGATAGGCATTGATAGTCTGAAGTATAGGACCCCTGGACTGGGGAAGCGTTTGGCTGTAGACGTTGAAAAGGACTGCTAGGAGGTTGCCTGCAAATTTTCCAAGATAATCTAGATTCTTCTGAGCGTCCGTTTTTGAAACTCGGCTTTTGAGAACCAAACTCTCATCATCAAGCGCAACTACATCTTGATTCGATTCGACAAGGGTCTTGAGAGCTCGACAGACGTCAAGCCTGAGTTCAACTTGCTTATACAGCAAATTTGCAAGCATTTCAGCAAAGACTTGGTCAAATGCCACTGTCAAGTCTAAGGGTAGGTCGCAATAGCCTGGCAGGATAGACCAGGTTTGATGTACCAATGTCTCGTATATCTTGACTTCCATTGTTTTAGAGGCCTCTCCGTTGTCCAGAACCCGCTGAAACATAGCCTCGCTCAACGGAATGAGCTCGGTTCTGAAATGCTGGAGATTTGTGTTGCTGGTATAGTCTCTGAGGATTGGCAGCATCCAAGCTCTACCATATTCATCCTTGGTTGGCTTGACGAGGTTTAAAGGAAGAACACTAAGGACGGCTTCGGGACCCATTGCCCGAATCGCTTTGCCCAGAACTTCGTCTGCTTCCTTTTTGCCCATGAAAGAATCGTTTCCACGGAGTTCACCAACTGTTCGAATGACGTTCAACATCGTCGGATTAGCACGCCATTTCAATGAATCAAAAATAGCACCGATGACGTTGAATGTTTCCATCCAGGCTGCCTGGTATTGCACGCTGAGGAGACCCTCGGCAACTTGGGCTATCTGTTCGATCATTTTTTCATCATAGATAGAGGGTTCTACTATGACTTGATCGGGAACACAGTTCTCCATAAATGATATCAAACATTCCGATGCAGATATCCTTATATTGTGTGAAGAAGATTCCATAAAATGAGATATCATCCCGAACAACGCCGGAAGCTTGGAAAATGTCTCTTCAGGCTCAATCTGAGCGGAAACATCGTATCCTCGTGATAATATGGCGATCCAAGGTGGAAGTAATTGTGTGTCGTTAGAAGAGGGGCGCATCTCGGAGATAATTTCGAGGAGGCGCGGCAGCTTGGTAGATGCAACCTCATCGGCCATGCCCTCAAAAATCATCTCAAAAATCTCAAAAACAGCCATCGTCATGTGCTCATTCCCACTCTTCGCGATGTTAAGTAAAAGTTCGCATAATGCCTCGATATTCTTGCTGGGCCAGCCACCGCTTGCCACTGCGACTGTCTTGACAAGTTGCAAGGCATGTATAAGTGCAGGGTCGTGTTCCGCCGTGGATTTCTTCTGCTTTCTTGACAATGCTACCTTGTTTGCTATATCTGTCAAGCTTCTCATCGCCGTTTCGGCGCATAGGTCTGCCGCTGGGTGATCCAGAGACGGACTCGGAGGGGGGTTCTTGAGGACTTTTCGTAAGGCATCTTGCGCCCGCTTTCGTACTTTCGGCCTATGATCTAAAGCAAGATTCAGAAGACCTGCGACAGCCCGTCGCGGGCTTATTTCATTCGTCGGGAGTTTCCATGCTCCTGAATCTTGTGCGAGAAGTAGCGATTCCAAACAACCAATCGAAGGCTTCAACAACGGGGCTTCTGCATCTTTGAGCAGTAGAACAGGCGCTAGGAGCGTAAGAATTTGGGTGAATTTGGATCGAAGGAGGGGCTGTGGCGCAAACGGAGTAATTATGTCGAGGAGATAGACGACGGACGGTGTTAATTCTTTGTTAATCTTTCCGCTCTCGAGAGATTGATTCAGTAAAGCTAATAAAGCAGCGAAATATCCTGTCGCTGTTGGTTGAGTATTCTGTTCTTTCAGTGTTTCCTCAACCGCCTTGAGAATCACTCCAGTCTAATGCGAAATTCAAGGTTAGCAATTTGAAATTGGTCTATCCTTAATGCGCGAGGTTCACATACTTGTTGTTGGCTCTGGAGATTCGGCGACCGGATCTTTTCCAGCTTCTCTTCAAGAGTCGCCATTTTGAAAGCACAATCGATGATTGTTGAAATTGGTGAAGTTTCCGAAGTATATCGTTAAGGAATTTTGTAATTTTTCTGCTTATCGAATCCTTATCAAGTTCTTATCGGCGTTATCGTTAAGCTTCGCACTTAAACCCCACCATTGGTTTGGCTTGGCAGAACAGCCCTACAATTCTAGGTACGTACCGGAAATCATACATACAAGCTTCAATAATACCTAGTAGGTAATAGGTACTGATAGAATGCATTTAGAAATCTTAGGTAGCTTTCAGATATTGTTTTCAATATATGTTAGTTAAATAGATAGAAAGGCATATATATCATTCATCCCAATATCAAACAACTCCTCTCAAAAACAATTAGTTCCTCCTGGCTGGCAGAACTATACTGTGAGGATGTGGAAAACAGTGTTAATGCTATCTCATGTGGTAAGTGACGAAGTAGGTAGTCTCCAGTCTTCAGTCTTGACAATGGTAGCTAGTTTTGCTACAGTTCATGTTCTAGGCCAAACGTCGTAATCATGACTCTCTATGCGATTTGCACGGTCATGCCGCGTCTCACCCAACCCAATGTGCACCCATATGTTGTTTTCGGCTGGTCATTCTGACAGAGCCTTCTGCTTATCATCGGTCTTCCGGATTTCCTTAAGAGAAGTCTTCGCCGGCCTCTTCGATGTTGTTCTTGACTCGTACAAGAATCGTAGTCTTCCACTTATCAAGCTTGCTCATCTGGTCAAACTGGAACAACTTGTCCGTAAATTGATCCTGGTCGCCCGCTTCGATGGCGGCTGCCAGGTCTGTAAGCAGCTGGTGCTCTCGGGTACTAGGGAACGTCGGGTCTAGATCTCGGTACTTCTCGAGCGCGCGATTTGCGGCGACCATATCACCCGTCGCTAGGTGGCAGATACCCGCCTTGAGGAAGTAGTCCTTTACCGAGTATCGCATTAGGTTGTTGTTGATGGAAGCCCCTGCAACCTTCTCGTATTGTTCGATCGACTTGTAATAGTCGCCTTCGAGGGCCGCAATGTCTGCTACCTTAAGCCAGAGCTTGTTCGCCAGACTAAATGTGCATTTTAGTAATAAAGTCCTTTTCTACTTTCATATTGGAGAGGATCCTTACGCTGAAGCATTATCTCCTTCGTACCATCCAGCAGCGGATTCGTAGCATTCGAGTGCACGCTTCGTATCGCCCACCTCGTTCTCGAAGACTTCGCCCATATTCTCCTTGTGTTGCGCTGCTCGCCTGAAGTTGCCCTTCTTGCAGTATTGGTTGACAGCGATATCGAGACATCGCACTGCATCTTCGGGGTTTTCTTTCCGGTAGACTTTAAAGGCATCGACCAAGGTGTTCGCGGCATCGTCGGGTTCGTTTAGCTGTTTGGTTTGGACCGCAGCCGCCTTTTCGAAAGCCTGGCCGGCTTCCCGGTTCATTTTCTGAATTCTGAAAGAATTCGCCGCCTCGACATATAGATCTGCAGCATTTTGATACTTGTCTTCTCGGCCACCGAAGAAACTGAAGCCACTGGAAGCGCTGGCGAGCGTCTTATCTGCCTGTATTTACCATGCGTGTCAGTAGCTGTCTAGGTAAATGTGGGGGAAATGGCGGGGCAATCAGACCGACCTTCTGTAGCAGAGCACGAGGATCTCCAGCCATGGTGGTCTGTTTTATTTGTATTATTATATTAAAGCGAAATGGGCGAAAGGAGTTGTCAATGTTTGAATTTATCGTTTGCTCTAATGTTGATGACAAAGGAGAGAGAACGATAGAGAAGGCGCAGTTTGGAGTTGCGACACGGCTACCAGGTACCTAACCTTAGGTAAGTCTCGAGCTATGACATCGCATGTCTCACATCAAAGTACCACATATGCCCCCTGTAACGTGTCCCGAAGTACATGACAAGTACCTATAAAGTCAATTTATTAAGTTCACATGTAGCGCAGCCACTTAATAAATGATTTATAAAAAGTGATAATAATCAGTTTCTAAGGTGGACCATAAGCCCGTATCCGTTAACCCGTTAATTTAATTAATGTATTAAAATGTATATAATATTAATAAATAATATATATAAAACTTATATTATATTTTATAATTTATAAAACGTTATTAATATTTAATAATAATATTTTTAATATTTAAGTAAATATATATTTATTATAAATAAAAATATTTTTTATTTTATAAAGTTTTTAATTTAATAAATTAAAACGAAAAAATAACGTTAATTTTTATTATTAAATTTTACGGTTTATTAATAAAAGAAAAAATAAAATAAAAATTATATAAATAAATATTTATTAAATTTAAAGAAAAATATAATTTATTTTTATTTTTTATTAAATATATATTATATATTATTTATTTTTTATTTTATTTTTTAATTTTACGTTAATATTCGAATTTTATAATTTACTTATTTAATTAATTTTTTTATTTTAACGTTATATTTAAGTAATTATTCGAAATTTAACGTAAATTAACGTTAATAAAATTAATCGTTTTATTATAAAAAAAATTATAAGTTTTTTTAAAAAAAAAAAATTATTTAATTATTTATATTCGAATTTTTTTTCTTTTTTTAAATAAATATTATTAAATATTAAAATTATAAAATTTTTTATTTTAAACATTTAATTTTTAAAAAGTAATTAAAAAAAATTAATGTTTATTATATTAAATTTTTAATTTATTTTAAAGTAAATATATTTCATTTTAATAATAAGTTTTATTTAAATATAAAATACGGTAATATTTAAAAAAGTTTATAAATATAATAATATTTAAATAAAAATTAAACGATTTTTATTAATTATTATTTATATTTTTATTATTTAAATTTTCGATATTATTTTTTTTACGGTTAATATTTAATTTTTAAAAAAAGTTATTTATTAATTTAACGTATTTAATTTAATTTTTTCTTTTTATTAAACGAAATAATAATAATAATAATAATTAATATTAACGTTAAAAAATTATTATTTATATAATTATTTTAAAGTTTTATTAAAAGTATATTAAACGTGTTAAATTAAGTTTTATATTTTATATTTAAATATAAAATTTTTATAATTTATTTAATAATTTATATTTTTAAACGTACGCCGTAACGATTTATATTATATTTTTTTTATTAAAAAACGGAAAAAAAAAATATAAAAAAAATAATATTATTAATAAAATTAAATATATATTTATTTAATAAAAATTACGTTAAATATAAATTTAATTACTTTAAAATATTATTATTAATATATAATATTATTTTTTAAGTTTATTAAAAATATTATTTTTTATATTTTTATAATTTTTTTATAATAATAATAATAACGATAATAAAAATTATAATAATTAATTTTATTATAAAATAAAATTAAAAAATTACGAAATAACGACGTTATTACGTAAAAAGTTTTTAATTATTTTTTTATAAAAAATATAATATATATATAAATAAAGTTTTTTATTTATTTTATTTTTAAAATTAATCGTAAATAAAACTTTCGCGAAAATTTTATAAATTTAATTTTAATTTTATAAACTTTTAATTATTAACTTAAAAAAAAATTAATATTTAATAAATTTTTTTTACGTTTAAAATTTTATTTTTAAATAATAATTTAAATTTACGTTTTTTTAATTTTAAATATTTTTTAATAAAATAAATAATTTTTAAATATATAATTATTTAATAAATAAATTATTATAAATAAATATTATAATTTATTTTTTTAAATAATAATTATTTACCGTTAAATATTAAAATTATATATATACGTTTATTTAATAAATAAATTAAACTTAATATAAATATTAAAAAGTTAATTATATTAAAAATATACGTATTATTATTTATTTTATTTTATATTATTTAAGTTACGAAACGAAATTAAAAAACTTGGAAATAATAACGTTATTACGCGAGGAATTTTTAATTATTTTTATTATAAAAAATACGATATATATATAAACGAAGTTTTTTATTTATTTTATTTTTAAAATTAAAAATTAACGAAATTTTTATAAACTTAACGAAAATTTTATAAGTTAAATTTTAATTTTATAAATATTTAATTATTAATTTTTTTTTTAATTAAACGTAAAATAATTTTTATAAATAAAAATATAATAAAAAAAATAATAAAATAAATAAATATTTAATAAATATACGGCTTTTATAACCGTGTTTAATAATATAAAGTTATAATATTTTTTTAATTAATTAAACCCGATAATAAAACATAATAAATAATACGAAAAGAAAAAATATTTTATACGTAACTTGAAACTTAACATAAAAAATTCTTTCTTATATTTTTATTTTATTTTAAATTTTTTTATTATTTAATAATTATTATTTATTTTTTCATATAAATAATTTTATAATTTAATAACTTTACGTTTACCCGCGTGGTCCGCCACGCGTTTAATATAATTTTTTATTATTAAATTTAATAATAATTTTTTCTTTTATTTTTTATATAATACGGTGCGACGAATTAAAAACTTTATTATTTTAATTTTTTTTTTCGTTTATTTTTTTTAATTTAATTTTTCTTTCGTTTATTTTATTTAATTTAATTATTTTTTTATTTATTTCTTTATAAATTTCGAAGAAAAAAACTTTATTATAATAATAAATTTCTTAATTATTTTATAATATTAATAGTTTAAATATATTTAAAAATTAAAAAATTATATTATTTTATAAATTTATTTTAAAATTAATTATATACGAAAACTTAATAAAACTTTAAACTTTATAAAAAAAACACGTCGATTTATTTTACGTTTACTTAAATATAACGCGAAATAAATAATTAATATATATAAATTTAAAGAATATTTTAACTACGTTTTTCGTTTTATTATAAAATTTATTATTAATATTTCGTACGCGTATAATTACCCCGTAAAAGAAACTTCGCTAAATTTTTTATAAACTATTTTTAAGAAAATAAAATTTAAATTAAAAATTACTTTTTCCCCGAATGTATTTTCTTTATAATTAAATTTATATAACGTAAAAAAATTAATTCTTATTTTTCGAATATTTTATTTAATAAAATTTAAAATAAGTTTAATAAATTTAAATATTTAATGGTAATTAATGTAACCATGTTTTATTATAAAAACTTATAATTTTTTAAAAATTTTTACGAATTTTTTTTTTTTTAAAAATCCATTATTTTAAAACTTAAAACTTTAAAACTTTAAATTATTAAATTTTACTTTTTTATTAATTTTTTTATTATTACATTTTAATAAATTAAAAATTATTTTTTTACCGCGCGTTAAAAAAATAAAATTTAATAATATTTTTTTATTATTATTATTAATTTACGTATTTAATATTACATTAATATTAATTTTATAAATTTTATAAATGAAATTATTATTATCGTTTATTTTTATATTAAGTATTAAACCGATATTTAATTTTTAAATTAAAAAAAATATTTTTAAACGTTTAAAATTAAGTTTTTTTAAAATTTTTATTATTTTTATATTTTTAAAACTTTACTTAATAATTTTATTTCCGTAATAAATCTTTACTTTAATTATAAAATTTATTTTTAAAATGTTAAATAATATTAAAATTATTATTAATAATACGAATAACGAAATAATTAGTGTAAATAATTAAAAAAATTAATAATAAAATTTTTTTTAACTTTTAAAAATAACATTAAATAAAACCGTATAATAACGAATTAATAAAATAATAATTATTATAATAATAATAATAAACATGTAAACGAATAATGGAATAATAAAAAAAATTATTAACGGAATAACCGGAAGTTTAAATTTCTTTAAAATTTTAAATAAACGCGTAATATTAAAAAATTAAATTTTAAATATAAAAAGTTAATTAATTAAAAATATTAAATACTTTTATTTAAATATAAAGTTAATTATTATAAGATTTTTTAATATTATAACCGTAAGAAAAAACACTTTTTAAAAAAATGTAAATTTATTTATTAAAATAATAAATGCCGTAAAAATTAATTTAAAACGAATTAAAATAATTCGTAAAAAATTTTCGTAAATGTTTCGAAAATTCGCTTAATAATAATAAATAAATATTTTAATAATTAATAAAAAAATTAATTATTTATTTAATAATAATTAAGCTTTTTAAAAATTTTAAAAAAATTATAAAATATTTATATACGAAGTAATATTTAAAATTTAAAACGCGAAATATACCCGAAATAATTATTTATAAAATATTAACATTAAAATTTAAGTTATAAAATTCCTTCGTATATATAAAATCGTAAATTTTATAAAATTAAAATATTAAATAATAATAATTTAAAATATTTTAAACGTTAATTTAAAAATAATTATATCGTAATTAATAAAATTTACATTTTTAAATATTTACTTAAAATATTTAAGTAAAAAAAAAAAAACTTAAAAAATATAATTACTTATATTTAAAATTACTTTTATTCTTTTAAAGTTAATTAAAAATGTTATTAAAACTTAAATAAAATTCTTTAAAAATATCCCGCTTAACGAATTTATTATTTTTAAAATTTTAATTAATATTATTTATATAATTAATTAAAAAAATAATAATTTTTTAATTAAGTTTAATAATTTTATAAACGTTTATTAATAACGAATTAATTTTCGTTAATTATATAAATATTAAAAATATAAATAACTATTTAAAAATCGTTACGAAATTTAACGATTAAATAATCGTAAAATAACTTATAATTATAATTACTTTTATAATCGTTCGTTTTACGGAAATTATCGAAGGTATAAACGTTTACGTTATAATGAAAACTAATATAATAATAATCGCCGCGAACCACTTCGTTATTAAAAACGTTAAATAAAAAAAAAAAAACGAAAAAATAACATATATTTTATAAAAAATAAAGTTTTTTATA